GAAAAAGGAAAGAACTTTGTTTACAAGCGAAATAATGGCAAAAACTTTATTTACATTAGAAAATGGCAATAACTTTCTTTACAGTGCAAAAAATGGCGAGAACTTTATTTACAAAGCAAAAAATGGCAAGAACTTTGTTTAAAAATCAAAAAAACTAAAATTTTAATGTTCGACTAGCGCCCGAGCATTTTTCTTCTCAAATATTTTTAAAAACGACCCCAAAATGTCACGCTTTGTGTAAATACTCTAGTCTACCCTACTCTACCTTCTTCTTTCCTACTTAACCATAACACCACACCCTGCCCTATCGTGGCTTAATTACTCTGTCATACGTTACCTGTTATCAGTGTTTTGCCAGACCAAACGGACAAAAATTTTTGCGGACCAGACCGGACCAAAAAACCTGCGGACTCGGACCAAAGAAAAAGTTCCGGACCGGTCCGCAAAAATTTGAAGTTTCGACCAAACCGGACTCGAAAATCGGCGGACCGGACCAGTGAAATACGCTGCGGACCGGTCTGGGTAAAACACTGCCCATTATCTTATCTTAACTTACCCTAACCTACCGTACCTTACATTATCCTACCTATCTAACCATACCATACCACACTCTACTCTACCCTCTCTTACTCAACCTTACTCTACATTACCCTAGCTATCTAAAAAATCATTTTAAGATACTCCTCAACATATATATTACATTACTATCCTATGTATTACAAACCATGACACTGACCGTATTTTGTTAATTAAGTGCGCCCTATGACACCCATTTAGGGGCAACATGTTCGACCACTTGACGCTCAAGGTTAATTCCACTCGACTAATGCAATGTTTGCACACAGACCAGTTCCAGGACATTGAAGCCATTGAATGGGACCGGAAAAGGTCACCGGGTTACTGTAACGCACAATGCATTCGGTTACTGTTGCGCAACTTCAGTGACAATGGCTTAACAATGGATTAACTTGTCGGAAATGGGCTGGCTGGACTTACTTAAGAACATTACGCCATAGACTAGTCTAAAATTTAGCCTTACTCTTAGCCTTAGCCTTAGGCTTAGGCTTAGCCTTAGCCTTAGCTTTAGCTTTAGCTTTAGCTTTAGCCTTAGCCTTAGCCTTAGCCTTAGCCTTAGTGTTGACCTACCCGCCTTTGACTAGCCTTGCTTTGTCCTCTTCTGTCCTACCCTAACATACCTTAGCCTTCCCAATCTGTCCCCCTTCCCCCCTCCTCCTCCAAATCAATCCTTGCCCCATATTCTCTCCCCTTACTAAATTCTGACCTGCACTACCTGACCCAACTACACCCTACTCTTCAGGGCCCAACAGTACGATACTCTACACTATGCTACCCTACACTACCTTTCCTTGCTTATTCATGCTTTACTTTACTTTACCCTACCCCAGCAATAAAGTATTAAAAGACTCTTCCCGACATTAATATTACCACACCTTCTATTATTGGCTATGGCATTGCGCAACAGTGCAATGAACCGAAGAATAGGATTAATTATTTTTATGGTAATGTATTCGAATTTGATTACATGTAAAACATCTCTTTGTGGGAAATACCGACCGTATAACAAAAAAAATGTTTAAAAAAGCAGTCGGAGTTTTTTTTACTTCTGGAACAGCCAGAAAACGTCAGAACGGTAGGTAAAACGACAATAAACAAATTAATTTTGTAAATTTAAAATGTTTTACATTGTACAGAAAGTTCTTGCCATTTTTTGTTTTGTACAGAAAGTTTTTGCCATTTTCTGTCCTGTAAAGAAAGTTCTTGCCATTTTATAATCAATAAAGAAAGTTCTTGCCATTTTATAAATTTAAATTTAAAAATAAAAATTGAAAATCCAGTTTAAAACTTTTAATACCCCCCCCTCCTTGTCTCGGCCTTGGAATAAAAGTTATGGAGCGCTCTTGAATCCCCATTAAGATGAAGATATTATTCATTTATGGTCCGGAAATGCGCCAAAACATATTAAACATTATACTCTAATGGATTTTACAAATTGTTTAGATAAAAATTTGAGTTTAATGGTAAAATACGCAGTAGTAAAGAATTCGTTTTAAAATTTACAACAAAAAAGCAAAAACTTTCTTTACAGAACAAAAAATGGCAAGAACTTTGTTTACGAAACAAAAAATAGCAAGAAATTTCTTTACAAAACAGAAAATGGCAAGAACTTTCTTTACAACACGTGAAATAGCAATAACTTTCTTTACAAAACAAAAAAACGCTAAGAACTTTTTTTACAACACAAAAAATAGCAAGAACTTTGTTTACAACACAAATATAGCAAGAACTTTTTTTTACAAAACAAAAAATGGCAAAAATATTCTTGACAAAACAAAGGATAGTGAGAACTTTCTTTACAAAACACAAAATGGCAAGAACTTTCTTTACAGAACGTAAAATAGCAAGAACTTTATTTATAACACAAAATATGGCAATAACTTTCTTTACAACTCAAAAAATGGTTTTCATCGTATAGCATGTCCTCTGCAGCATGAATCCCCCCCCCCTCCCCCCCCCCAAATCAGTAAAATTTGATTAAACTGTTCCTTCTTTTGCACTGTTTGGCAAAATGCCATTTTCAATTTTACCTTACTAAGTTTTCACTAATTTCGATCACCTTGTCCTTTCGCTTAAGCCCATTAGAGCCGGCGACTTAAAACAATGTTGCGCCGGCTTTTGGGGACAGTAAGCACTTGTAACTCAAGTGTCACTTTCTCATAATAACTCCTTCACCTTTGGAGACCGAACAATGGTGATTCATGCCGGAAAAACCCGAAAAAAAGATAACTAATGGGGTCTCAAGTGCAACACACAACTTTTTATTGTTTTGTCATCAAAAGGAAGGCCTAACGATTGTTATGAAAAAGTTTTGTCGTTTTTCTACGTATTATTACACGTCAAAAAACGACAAGACTTTTTATAACTAAAAATTTTTGAAAAATTTGGATGTATTGTAAAGCAGCCTAACCCAGGGCCTAACTAAAAACAATTTTAGGCTTCCACTACCCCCTCCCCCCCCCCTCCTTCTCTAATCTCTAGAAAAAATACGTAGCTACGTTCCTGGCCGAGCCCGATTTATCAATCTATTGTTTTGTCCACGGGCCTTGGGCTCACATGTACCAAGGTCAATGCCCGGCCCCTTTCCAATTTCATCTAGGTCCGACACAGTGTTTCTCCCAGGCCGGTCCGGAGCGTTTTTTAACTTCGGTCCGGTTTAAACTAAAAATTTTTAGGTCCGGTCCAAATCCAAAATTTTTAAGTCTGGTTTTCAGTAATTTTTGTTCCGGTCCGGACCCGTCCGCGGACCGGCAAAGCACTGGTCCGGCCAGAACAATACAAGTTTATTTAAACTTGGTTTCGGCTTGAAGACACACCTAGCGAGCCACTTTTCAAGCCGACTAGCTCGACTGGGTATTTTAAAGTTGTTCATTACACAAGAGTTTCGTTATCAAGCAGTTCTACTTTACTTATATCAGCCCAACCACATTTAGTCAGGCAATCCAAAATTTTTTCATATTCAGCCACGCCAAAGCGAGCTGAGTAAACTACTAACCTTTTTTGGAAGTAGATACTTCGAACAACACACAACTTTCAGCTCTAGACATAAAAGAGAGAATTGCGTTTTGACTGGGTTTCCCAAAACAGCGAGAAAGAAGAGACAAGAGAATAGTGGTAGAGAAAAAAAGTTGATAAAAGCCGCACACAGAGTTTTGCTATTTGGGTCCGGTCCGGACGGTCCGGATTTTTTGAATTTATTTTTCTCGCCAAACTCATACCTTGAAAACTATTATAGATATCAAAAAACTAACAGCATGTAGAAGGGTTAGCACCATTCCAAATAGAAGCTTCAGACCGATCCGACCGGTAGAAAAAAACGCGGGAAAACAAAATTCAAATTCCGGACCTCCGCATTGGGTTCGGTTCGGTCCGGGAAGAACTCTGGCCGCACACATCCTACCAGGTCTGTTTTAAATTTGTTAATTTTGGGCCAAGCCTAGTAGGTCTCTTTTTCAGGTTTGGACTGAAAGGTTTTTCAAAAACTAAAAAAAAGCCAACGCTCCACAACACCAATACCCAATAAATGTTAGTTTATTAGTTGTTTTATAATAAAAAAAGATTTTGATATCAATTTAAAAATTTAATCACTTTATATCAAATTTAAAAGGTTGATTAATATTGACAATAACATATATACAAGTTGGTTGTCATCTGTCTTGTTAGTGTATCATCTTCAACATCATGAAAAAAAAATTTTGTACGTCACTTCAACAATAGTCACGTCGTAACGTGATCGGACGCTAATGATCGTCCTCAATAAACACAAAAGTAACCGCCAAGCCTTGTGTGCCAAAAAGTCCAACACATGTTACCTACATCAATGTTATCCGAACGTTCTTGCTTATTTTTGAGCAGTAAAGAAAGTTCTTGCCATTTTTTGTTTTGTAAAGAAAGTTCTTGCTATTTTTTGTTTTGTAAAGAAAGGCCTTGTCTTTTTTTATTTTGTAAAGAAAGTTCTTGCCATCTTTTGTTTTGTAAAGAAAGTTCTTGCCATCTTTTGTTTTGTAAAGAAAGTTCTTGCCATCTTTTGTTTTGTAAAGAAAGTTCTTGCTTTTTTAATCTTTTGTAAAGAAAGTTTTTGCCTTTTTCATGTTTTGTAGAGAAAGTTCTTGCTATTTTTTGTTTTGTAAAGAAAGGTCTTGCCATTTTATGTCCTGTAAAGAAAGTGCTTGCAATTCCCTGTTTTGTAAAGAAAGTTCTTGCTATTATGAACATGATGTGCGTGTTCAAACACTTTTGCAACAGCCAAAAAGAGCCGTTTGAAGATGTTTTGGCGCTTCTGAATATCGAATATTCATGCATTTTTGATGGGATCACGCATCTTTAAAGTCATCAAATTCTTCTTAAGCGAGGGTGGAACTTTTGCCAAATTTTCTAAATATTTTTCTCTATTTCTGGTCATTCTTGTTATTGACCAGTCAATTATGGATGTCTTTTTGGCGATTTTTGTCATTTTTATTGGATTCTTGGTTGAAGAATGTGTTGGCTTTACTTATGGTAAGAACTTTCTTTACAAATCAAAAAATGGCAAGAACTTTCTTTACGGAATGAAAAATGGCAAAAACTTTCTTTACAAGACAAAAAATTGCAAAAACGTTCTTTAAAAAACACAAAATGGCAAGAACTTTCTTTACAAAATAAAAAAATGGCAAGAACTTTCTTTACAAAATAAAAAAATGGCAAGAACTTTCTTTACAAAATAAAAAAATGGCAAGAACTTTCTTTATAAAAGTTAAAATGACAAGAACTTTCTTTACAAAGCCAAAACAACCACAATTTTTATATCCATCGTATAACGTGGCAACTGCAAACTGCAAAATTTAAAATTTTGGTTTTTACGGTAAAATTGCAGTAACTTTCTATCCAAAACATAAAACGGTCCATTTTCTCGTTTATCGTATAACTTGTCCTTCGCAACCTGCAACACATAAAACAAGGCGTTTTTGGTGGTTGATCGGCAAGAACTTTCTTTACAAAACGAAAAATGGCAAAAACTTTGTTTACAACACAAATATAGCAAGAACTTTCTTTACAAAACAAAAAATGGCAGGAACTTTCTTTACAAAGCAAAAAATGGCAAGAACTTTCTTTACAAACTTTAGAAAGACAAAAACTTTCTTTACAAAGCAAAAAATGGCAAGAACTTTCTTTACAAAGCAAAAAATGGCAAGAACTTTCTTTACAAAGCAAAAATAAGCAAGAACTTTCTCTACAAAACAAAAAATAGCAAAAACTTTCTTTCTAGGCGATGAGCGGTGCTTCGAACCCTTGGATGTTGGCCCGTGCACATTTTTTGTCAAAAAATGGTACTACGACCAAGCTTCAAAGGAATGCCGCGCTTTTAATTACGGGGGATGCTTGGGTACTCGGAATCGATTTGGCAGTAAACAAGACTGCCTGAAGAGTTGTATCTACAAGATGGACGACCCTGTAGCTTTGCCTGGTAAGTTGGAAGAAACTTTCTTTACAAGCTTTGAAATAACAAGAACTTTCTTTACAAGACAAAAAATGGCAAGAACTTTCTTTAAAAAACATAAAATAGCAAAAACTTTTTTTACAAAACGAGAAATGGCAAGAACAAAACAGAAAATGGCAAGAACTTACTTTACAAATCAAAAAATGGCAAGAACTTTCTTTACAAAACTAAAAATAGCAAGAAATTTCTTTACAAAACAAAAAATGGCAAGAACTTTCTTTACAAAACAAAAAATTGCAAGAACTTTCTTTACAAAACATAAAATGGCAAAAACTTTCTATAAAAACCAAAAAAATGTTACAAATTTTCAGAAATTTGTCTTCTGGACGCAGATCCAGGCCATTGTTCAGACGAACGTACCGGCCAATGGTGGCATTATTTCAACGCTGAGCTTGGGATTTGTGACAAGTTTATGTATTATGGTTGTGGTGGCAACAACAACCGGTTTTACTCGTTATATCAATGTCGGAAGGTTTGTGGAGAGAGAATGGATCCTCAAATTGGTAGGTTATTTTGAACTTTGGGGATAGGGTACTATAAGATGTTATATATAGGGTAGGGTCAAAATATTAAAAAAATTTTTTTTTAAGGATGAGATAGATTTTTTAAAAGTAGGGTATATTTTATTTTATCTTTATTTTATTTTTTTAAATTTTATTTTTTTTATTTTATTTTTTTTATTTTTTTTTATTTTTAGTTATTTAACTTTTTAATTTTATTTTTTTTAAATTTTTTTTTAATTTTATTTATTTAGCTTTTTAATTTAATTTAATTTTTTTTATTTTTAAGCATGTGAACGTTGTGACGTGAGAACGTCGTTCTGTCAAGCTGTCAACAAATACAAATACACTTGTGAGTGTAGAGAAGGCTACATAAAGGCTTCTAATGGGGATTGTATCGACATGGACGAATGCGAACTGATGCAGGCCGACTGTGGTGACAATTCGAGATGCATCAACACTATTGGATCATATAAGTAAGAACCCTACCCTACCCTATTCTACCCTACCCTACCCTACCCTACCCTACCCTACCCTACCCTACCCTACCCTACCCTACCCTACCCTACCCTACCCTACCCTACCCTACCCTACCCTACCTTACCCTACCCTACCCTACCCTACCTTACCCTACCCTACCCTACCTTACCCTACCCTACCCTACCCTACCCTACCCTACCCTACCCTACCCTGCCTTACCCTACCCTATTCTACCCTACCCTGCCCTATATTACAGTATGCCATTTCAGATGTGAATGCCTAGAAAACTACGTCGGAAACGGTAAAGAGTGCAAGTACGTAGGACCAGCTACAGTAACCGATGACTGTGATAACTGTAATGAGAATGCCATTTGTCGTGACGGGAAATGTCAATGTAAACTTGGTTTCGAAGGAGATGGGTTCAATTGTACTGATGTGGATGAATGTATGGGTACTATGCCAAGATGTGACCCTAATGCCAAGTGCTTCAACACTATCGGATCGTATCTTTGCGAATGCAGTCCTGGCTTTGCTGGAAACGGATTTGAATGCACTACTAATACCAGTAAGTACTAACTCTAGCTCTAGCCTTAGCCCAGAGGCCCTAGCCCAGAGGCCCTAACCCAGAGGCCCTAGCCCAGAGGCCCTAGCCCAGAGGCCCTAGCCCAGAGGCCCTAGCCCAGAGGCCCTAGCCCAGAAGCCCTAGCCCAGAGGCCCTAGCCCAGAGCCCTAACCCAGAGTCCTAGCTTTAGGTCTATTTATTGTCCTGGCCTTAGAGTTGGCTTAGTTTAATCCTACAGTAACCCACAACGCCTTTCATGGCCTATTGTTTCTTTTGTCTTGTTCTGGGCTAGTATTATCCTATACTTACTCTAGCCGTATCCGACCTTGCTCTACATTGCACTGCCCAGCCTAACCTTATGCTAGAGCAAGGTAATGTAGAGCTTTTTCTCTAGTCTTATCTATTCTATTCCTACCTTACTTTAATCGCCGTTTAAACCTTAAAAATGTGCAAGAATATTACAGTGTCCTGTCTGGACAAGCCTTCTCGAGACTACGAAGCCTCTTGTACTGGCGAATGGCGGGAGCATTTTGTCTTTGATCACGAGACAAAACAATGTAAAATGATTTGGTACGATGGATGTCCAAGCAAGTCCAGAAACCTCTATTCAGATTTGTCAACTTGCGAAGAGATGTGTGTCCAAACTCATATACTCAAAAAGGCTCGTGGGTTTAAAATTTATATTTTTAAAAATTCTTTTATTTCGAGTTTAGTACTGTACACAGTTTTATCATACCGATTATAAAAACCGTATTTTACAAAAAAAATTTTGGTTAGCTTAAAATGGCAAGAACTTTCTTTACGAAACTAAAAATAGCAAGGACTTTTTTTACAAAACATAAAATGGCAAGAACTTTCTTTACAGAAGCAAAAATGCAATAAAAATTAGATTCATCGTATAACTTGTCACCCGCAGGCTGCAATTAACAAAAAAAGCCGTTATTTGAAAAAAATGGCAAAAACTTTCTTTACAGAACAAAAAATGGCAAGAACTTTCTTTACAAAACAAAAAATAGCAAGAACTTTCTTTACAAAACAGAAAATGGCAAGAACTTTCTTTACAAGACGAAAAATGGCAAGAACTTTCTTTACAACACAAAAAATGGCAAGAACTCTCTTTACAACGCAAAAAATAGCAAGAACTTTCTTTACAAACTTTAAAATCGCAAGAACTTTCTTTACAAAACAAAAAAAGACAAGAACTTTCTTTACAAAACAAAAAATGGCAAGAACTTTCTTTACAAAGCAAAAATGGCAAGAACTTTCTTTACAAAGCAAAAAATGGCAAGAACTTTCTTTACAAAACAAAAAATGGCAAGAACTTTCTTTACATAATACAAAAAAAATTTGTTTTATAAAAATGACGTCAGAAGCCACTTGATTCCAAAATCCTCATTTCCTCAAACATAGTATCATGCTGAATATAGAATTACATGATTCACGCCTTTTAAAGAGTGTAATCGTATAAACCCGAGCCTTATTCCATTTTCCGTTTGACCCCAAAGAAGTTTTCGAAAATAAGAATTTGACGTTTTTGTGAAGTCCCAGAAGGCAAAAAGCCAAAACATTTTTATTTAAACTGAAGAATTTGTGAAATCAGCCCAGTCCAGACGGCTTTGACCATTCTTTAGGGGTCTTTTGTCAACTAAAGGCAAAAGACTGTTAAAGTGGGGGGGGAGGGGGGGGTAATGGGTGGGTTTTGCCTGATCTGTTAGTGATCAGTGGAAGCGGTTTATCATCGTATGGTAGTATAAAATCGGACTAGGGCTAGGGTTAAAGTAATTTTTTTAGTTTTTTAAATTTTTTTTAAATTTATGGTCAGTGTTTCGTGGCGTGGCAAAACAGAAGTTTAAAAACTTAGGCATTGGCTATATTTTGGGAATGGTGAAATTTTATGGGTAAGCCGTGATAGGACACTGTAAGTTATGGTAGGTAATGCCCAGTAGGCCTGAAGGCAGCTAAATCTGAAAATAAGTCGAAATAGACCTCAAGGGAAAGGGGGGGGTAGAAGAGTATAGTTGAGAAGGTAGCAAGGTAGGATTAGATACGATATTGTAGGATAAAGTAGGGTAGAATAGAAATTGCAGAGTAGATCAGGGTACGATATGTGGAGGGGGGGGCGGGAAGGAAGGGTGCAAAATGTAGAAAGGCGAGGGGGAACATCCAATACTTACAAAAAAAAAGGGGGGGGTAGACATTGAATATACTTTATTAGTGATAGGGGGGGGGGAGAGGGGGGATTTTGTGAAAAGGGAAAGGTGAAGGCGGAAGGTGAAGAAGGGTAGTTCAGGCCAGGTTAAGATAGAGTAGCAAAGGGTATTTTCTTATTGATACTGTAACAAGGATAGTGTAAGGTAGGATAGGTTAGGGTAGGGTAAGGTAGGGTAGGGTAGGGTAGGGTAGGGTAGGGTAGGATAGTTGAAAGCATTTTCTCAATTTTACCGTTTAGTTTTAAAATGGCATGGCAACATTTAACCCCTTCGAACTTTTTTAAAATTCCCTTTTAACGACAAGAAATAGGAATCTGTTGCCAAAAAACATGCAAGAGTTATTCCCAGTCCAAAGAATATTGGAATAGACCCCCTCCAAGAGAAGGAACTTTTCTCACCGCATTATTTAATCTGGGTTAGTTGAGCCGTTCCTTTCTTGACTTGTAAAATGCTTTATAGTTTATTCCTTAGGGTAGGAGCATTTAAACTAAAGATAAGGTATTGTTTATGGACTAGAGGCACAGGCTGGAGAAGGTATAAAAAATGGTTTTGGATTTAGAAGGCGCTTTCAAGTTTTTTTAAAGTTTTAAACAATTTTTTTTATTTTGCTTCCCCCCCCCCTAACCTTTCCCTTTGAAAAGCTGTAGAGCACCTTTATGTATACAGTAGCCATATTTTAAAAATTTTCTCATTATTTTTGCTAAATGTGCCACTTCACCAGAAAAAAACTGTAGCACCACCTTAATGTATACCTTACTCTACCCCCTATTTAAAAATTTTTAAAAGTTATTTTTTTTTATTTTTTTAACCCCTAACCGAGCTCATTATTCGGTTTGTTCGCGGTTCTTCGTCCCCAAAGGCGTTGGAACATTACTCAAAGAAGCAGGGGGAGGGGGAGATTTCGCGACAATTTATTTCGCTCCTTCTGTCCATCAGATAACATTGTCGGCCGAACATGCGAGCCGGTATTAAACATGCTGTAAGGCTTCGAATTACACCATATGTTGGTTGGTGAGGATAACAATTTTTTTATTTTTCAGGGTTTTTGAAAAAATTTTGCCTATGGGTGATAATTGAGGGGGGGGGGGATGAAATACCATAAGGGTAGATATTCTTTTGTTGGTACGATATAAGAGGTAATGTTATAGTGTAGTCACAGTTAGGTTAGGACAGGGATGCGGTGTAACGAGAATATGATTTGGGCCAGGCTAGAATCGCTTACGGTGTGGTATGGCAAGGTAAGTGTACGCTAGGATCACTATAAAGCTAAAATGAAGGATGTGTTATGGAAAGGTGCTGTAAGGCCCAAAAAAAATACAAAAAATGTAAGACTAGTGTAATTTTAGGGTAGGGGTATGCCAAGCTTACCCCAACATTGCTAGGGTATGGTGAAATAGGGTAATTGGGCCAAGGGTGGACTAAGATAATTAAAGGCTAGTAAAGGTGGGTCGGTCTGTGTTTTTAGATGATAAAAGGTTGGATGAAGGATGAGTAAAGGCTAGGGCTAGGGCTAGGGCTAGGGCTAGGGTTAGGGCTAGGGCTAGGGCTAGGGCTAGGGCTCTGGGCTAGGGCTTTGGGCTAGGGCTGTGGACTGGGGCTAGGGATATGCCGCCGCTCTTTAACCGCTCAATTAATGTATTCGGTTTTAAGTGAAGGGGGGGGAATCGGCCGCTTACAAGTGGGATATTCGTTTACGTTTCGCGCCACGGGAAACCGCCCAAAACCGGGAATATTTGAATAATGGACCGCGCCGGATTTGTGAAATTAGCTCGGATTTTTGCGGCGCGTTTAATTACTTTTAATGCACATTAAGGAAATTTGAATATTTTTCCAGGATTCACTTCAGAAATGAGTGACCGTTGAACGGAAAATGACTGTTAGAATTGAAATTGAGGAGAAGGGATGAGTAAAAATTGTTAGAGGGGTTGGCAAAAACAAAAAAATAGGGGGGGGCGAAGCGAAGTTTTTTTTAAATTTATTGTGAGGGTGGGGGGGGGGTGGTGGTATGTAAGGTAAATTGGGGCGGGTTTTTTACTTATATGTAATAAGGTAAGGGTGGGTTGGTTTTTTTTTGTTTTTGTAAAGAAAGTTCTTGCCATTTTAAGTCTTGCAAAGAAATTTCTTGCTACTTTTTGTTTTGTAATAAAAGTTCTTGCCATTTATTTATAAAAAACAAAATTCGGTGTTTTGCAGGTGACAAGTTATACGACAAACGTAAAATTATGGTTTTTTTCTTCTGTAAATAAATTTTTTGCCATATTTTTTTTTGTAAAGAAAGTTCTTGCCACTTTTCTGTTTGTAAAGAAAGTTTTTGCTAATTTTGGTTTTTTAAGGAAAGTTCTTGCTATTTTTTATTTTGTAAAGAAAGTTTTTGCCATTTTTTGTTTTGTAAAGAAATTTCTTGCAATTTTTTCAAATATTTATTAATCAATTTAAAAAAAATAGTCTTTCAAGTATAATATAACGTTATGTTATACAGCCGAAGCGGCCGAAAGATTAATTCATTTTTAATCGATTACTTTTATTTTTTATTAGTAACCACAACTTTGGGCGATTTGTCTTTGTTAATTTCGGCCCAAAAAGCTGGGGCCGCTTTATTTCGGCTCAGCATGAGTCTTCGGCTAAAGAGGGGGGAGCTGAACAGGTTGTTGACATCAACTACATGTTCATAACATGTTGTTTTTGGCGGAAACGTGGAAAGAAAGTTTGGGATCTTTGGTTTGTAAAGAAAGTTTTTGCGATTTTTTGATTTGTAAAGAAAGTTCTTGCTATTTTTTCTTTTTGTAATGAAAGTTCTTGACATTTTTTGTTTTTTTGACTGCACCGTGCAGCTTATGTAATTTGCACTGTTGCACGGTGCAATGAATAAATTTCGTGATTTGTAAAGAAAATTCTTGCCATTAATTTTCCTAAAACAGCTTGTTCCAATTTTGGCAGCCTGCCGGTGACAAGTTAAACAATTAATACTGAAATTAAGTCTTTTACTGTTTTGTAAATAAAGTTCTTGCCATTTTTTATTCTGTAAACAAAGTTTGTTCGTTTTGAAGCCATCTTACGAGTATTACAATAATCTGATGACATGTTAATTTAAATATGTTGTAAAGAAAGTGTTTTCGTGATTTTCGTTGTAAAATACGATTAAAAAAGTAACTTTTGTTTTAGGCTTTAAAATTACTATGAAATACTAAAAAACCAAAAAGTACAGTACCACATACAAAAATAAAAAGATGACTGAATTCTGTACAGACAAAACCAAAGTAATAGTGACGTTTTTGTTGAGTTTGATTGGACTAATCACATCTTCAGAGGTCTGTTGGGACAAATTCGATGACAACTTGAGGAAACAGTGTAAAAGAGGTGAGTATTTTATGAGATTTTACTTGTGAGTTGCAGGCTGCAAGGGACATTTTATACTTTAAAATATGTTTTTTCAGTTTGTAAAGAAAGTTCATGCAATTTTATGCTTTGTAAAGAAAGTTCTTGCCATTTGTAGTCCTGTAAAGAAAGTTTTTGCCATCTGTAGTTCTGTAAAGAAAGTTTTTGCCATTTTTTAATTTGTAAAGAAAGTTCTTACCATTTTTTCTATAAAAGCCATTTCAGGAGAATGGCAACAACGATATTACTACGATCACAATTCGATGACATGCCAGTTGTTTTGGTACGACGGATGTGAAACAAAGTCGAGAAACTTGTTCAACGACCTGTTGAACTGCCAATGGATGTGCGAGGAGCAAGTCAAGTATAAGGACAGTACGTTTTTTCGGATACTAGCCCAGAGCCCTAGCCCAGAGCCCTAGCCCAGAGCCTAGCCCAGAGCCCTAGCCCCAAGCCCTAGCCCAGAGCCCTAGCCCAGAGCCCTAGCCCTAGCCCTAGCCCTAGCCCTAGCCCTAGCCCTAGCCCTAGCCCTAGCCCTAGCCCTACCCACTTATACCATGCCCAATTTTTTTTTGCTGCCTAAAAAGCCCCGCTCACCATTCTACCCTGCCGATATTTTTCCCTATCCAAAACTTTACCCTGTCCACAATTTTACCCTGCCCAAAATTTTACACTGCCCAAAATTTTACATTGCCCAAAATTTTACCCTTCCCAAAGTTTTACCCTGCCCAAAATTTTACCCTGCCCAAAATTTTACCCTTCCCAAAGTTTTACCCTGCCCAAATTTTTACCCTTCCCAAAATTTTATTCTATTCAAAATTTTACCCTGCCCTAAATTGTAAGTTTACTATGCCCAAAATTATTACTTTACCCTGTCTTAAATTGTAATCTTACCCTACCCAAAATCAAAAACAAATGCTTTCAGAATCCTGTCTAGACAAGTTTGACGAACATTACAAAGACGTTTGTAATGGCGGTAAATGGAAACAACACTATTACTTTGACAAAAACTCCAAGGTACCAACTTCTTTTTATTTTTCTATGTACTTTTTGACCAAATTTTACAATTTTTTTAAATTTTATTTAGCGCTGCACCCCCTTTTGGTACGACGGCTGTAGAGGATCAAGCCAGAACTTGTACTCGGACCTGGGCACTTGCCGTCAGGTTTGCGAAATCCCTGCTCAGGGTAGGTTTTCATGCCTTTTTCAATTTGAAAAAATAAATATTTAAAAATTGAAGCCAAGTTTTAGGAGTTTATGGTATTTTTTACTAATTTTATTATATTATCCATGACAAAATTTGATGTTTTTGAAGGATTTTGATAACCTAAAGCATTGTTTGGTTTATTTTAGGTAATATCTGGGCCTAAAAAGTGTATTTTTCTTAAAATTACACCAAAAAACGAAAATAGCTTTCTATTGTTACCTATTTTTATGGTTTTCATCACTTAATATAGTCAAAACTTATAGTTTCACATTGGTTTTTAAAATAATTTTACTTTTATTACCTCTGCGAAAACCTTATTCGTATTTTACATTAAAAGATTTATCTAAAAACCTAAAATTCATTTTGAAAAACATCAATTTTAACGAAAAAAACCTCAAAAAAGACGGGTTGAATTGCTTAAATTGGTCAAAACTTATATTTTCCTGCCGAGTTTTATGATTATTTTACTTCCATTACATCTGTGAGGGACTGGTTCGTATTCTACATTAAAAATTTGATTTAAAAAGTTGAAATTTGCGTTTAAAAACATTAATTTTGTCGAAAAAACCGCCCATAAAGAGGAAAAAAGCGTCTCCTTTCGGTCTCTTCAAACGGAAAAAGGAAAAGAAGAGTGCTCTCTTCAGAGCCTCCTTAGCTCAGCGGTAGAGCGTTGGACTTTTTAATCCAACGGTCAGGGGTTCGATCCCCCTAGGTGGCTTGGTTCATTTTTGCTTGTTTTTGGTACAAATTGATGTTTTTTATACATTTTAAGATCAAATCTGATTTAAAAATGTCTTAAAAATTGTTTTTTTATATAATTTTTACTATTTGTATTCGTTTTAAAGCCATTTTTTGCAGAAGCCGAGCGAGAATCGCAGCAAAGCCATCAAAACTTGGTTAGTCAGTCACGTCAACTGGACGAAAGTGGTGTTAGAGTAACAACAATCAGAACTCATACTGCGGAGTTTGTTCAGCATCAACACAGACATCATCAGAAGCCGTTCACAGTTCGACCGATCAGCAAAGAGGACTTGAAGTATTCGGAAAGCCCCGACAATGACAGGACTTTGGCTGGAAGTGGGGGACGAGGTAAAATACGCAATGCACCTTTTCCTTTTAAAATAGTTATAAAACAGGTTTAAAACATATTGTTTTTATCGTTTTTGTTCAAAAAATTTAAAAATTGGCAAAATATTTGAGTTGTGACATTTCGTGTTATTTTCCAATAATTTTTTTGACATTTTGCCTAAAACATAAAAATGGTTTATAATTGTTTAAAGTCTAATATTGATGCTTAAAAATATTAATTTTAACATTTTTTTGCATTTTTTTAATTTTCCAATACTTTTTGTGACATTTCGTTCAATTTTTCAAACTTTTCGTAGATGAATCTATAAAAAATGTAAAATACGTACTTTCGATGAAGCGTTTTCAATATGGAATAATATATTTAGGCACATCTCACGTTACGCAGCCCTCACGGAACATTTGCGAACGGCAGAATCCATGCCAGAACGATGGAACTTGTGTCTTTGACAAACTTAAACGGACCTACTTTTGTGAATGTAAAAATGGGTATCAAGGGCGGAATTGCGAGACTTTTGATGGTAGGAACTTTCTTTACAGGCTGTAATGGCAAGAACTTTCATTACAGAACAAAAAATTGCAAGAACTTCCTTTACAAACCATATAATGACAAATTTTTCATATTTGTCGTACAACGTGTCACTCGCAGGCTGCAAAACTCGAAATTGTCTGTTTTAGAAAAAATGGCGAGAACTTTCTTTACAGATGATAAAATGGCAAGAACTTTTTTTACAAACCATAACATGACCAAACTCTTTCAGATTCCGACCCATGTGCTACTGCACCGTGCAAAAATGGAGCTACTTGTAGCCCAAAGAAGAACAAATTGAAGGCAGATGACACACCTTATGAATGCTTCTGTGCTGTCGGTTATGGTGGACCAAATTGTGAAGAAAGTAAGATTTTTTGAAAAATGGCAAGAACTTTCTTTACAAGTCTTAAAATGATAAGAACTTTCTTTACAAATCAAAAAATGGCAAGAACTTTCTTTACAAAACTAAAAACTGCAAAAACTTTCTTTCCAAAACGAAAAATCGCAAGAACTTTCTTTACAAAACAAAAAATGGCAAGAACTTTCTTTACAAGTCAAAACATTGCAAAAACTTTCTTTACAAAACGAAAACGGCAAGAACTTTCTTTTCAGACCGAAAAATAACAAGAACTTTCTTTACAAAGCAAAAAATCGCAAGCACTTTCTTTCCAAGTCACAAAATGGCAAGAACTTTCATTCCAGAGCCCTGTGCCGCCTCCCCATGCAAGAACGGCGGTACCTGCCGTACCACCGTGACCAACCCGTACTATTTCTGCGAATGTGCCGAAGGCTATGCTGACAAGGAGTGTGGTACAAAGACCTTTACGAACACATCATCCACCCCCAAGTTCGGGAAAAATGTGAAACTGATCTCATCAGGCCAGCCTGAATGGATCGAGGAGCTGAAGAAGAACTACAAGAAGCAGAGTGGCAACTACACCGTGGAAGAAGATTCTGGCACGTCCGAAGCCAATGGAACATCACCGTTGAGGTCGAAGACTACCATCAGGCAGCTCAAGGGTACTGATGAGAATGCGACTGGGAATACTGTAGTTTCGTGGGTACTAGTGCTTGTATTATATTTTGGCCTTAGGGTTTTGGGGTAATTGCTTGTTTTAGCTGATTTTAGGCTTAAGCTTGTGTCAGCTGAGTTTAGGCTTTATTTTTTTGTTTTAATATGTCATTTTTAAGCCTAACTGTTATTCCTAAGCCTAAAACTATTTTTAAGCTTAAAGGTCAGTTGTTGTCTAAAAATGTCATTTTTAGGCCTAAAATTTCATTTTTAAGCCTAAAACTTTATTTATAAGCTTAAAATTATATTTTTTTGTGAAGAAAGTTTTTAGGTAACAAATTTTGTTTAAAAATCCGAGTTTTTTAGGACAATTTATATTTCTTTTCTCTTGTTGTACAAGCTTTTATTATATTACATTACTTACATTTGTTTACCTTGCCAATTCTGCCATATGAAGACTATTTTGATCACAATAAAGAATATTTTTTTATTTTTTGGTTAATTTTTAAGGTTTTTAATCCAAACTATTTGTAGTTGATATCTAAAATGATCCTTTTAAGCTCCTTTTGAAATTTTAAATCGCATTGTGCAACCATTTTTAACTGCACCGTGCAGTCATTTATTCGTTGCACCGTGCAACAGTGGAAATTACATAAGCTGCACAGTGCAACTTAAATAAGGCGCACTGTGCATTCGCTAAATGACTGCACGGTGCATTGAAAAAGCATTGCACTGTGCAATATAAAAGCTTTCAAAAGCATTTTAAAATGAAAATAGGCTATTAAAACTACCCTACCCTATCCTACCCTACCCTACCCTACTTTCCCTACCCAATTTAAAAATGTAGCGTCAAGCAGCATTATCAAGGTAATCGAGACCGTTGGATTTGCGAATTTTATTCGAATTTGTTTGTTTTTTGGTTTGCGAACTTCTTTACACGAATTGATTGTTTCCTAAAGAGATTAGGCGTGTATTTTTCCGATTTATCACAAATGTACTCAAACTTTTTTCTAAATTAGCTTCGCACGTTTTGTTCCGTATATTTATAACTAAGTTAGGTTATTGTAATTTAACTTAGGCTAAAGAAAGGATTAAGTTTTGTTATTGTAAAGAAAGTTCTTGCCATTTTTCATTTATAAAGAAAGTTCTTGCTATTTTTTATTTTTGAAAGAAAGTTCTTACCATTTTTGTCCGTTTTATTGATTAAGCTTTTTAATTAAAAAGGGTCTGCAGACTGCGGGTGACAAGTTATACGACGAATAGGTCTATAATTTTCCTAAAGGCTTATCTTTTCTCAAAGCAATTACAAAAATGACAAAAATTTTCTTTACAAAACAAAAAATAGCAAAAACTTTCTTTCCAAAATATAAAATGGCAAGAACTTTCTTTACAAAACAAAAAATGGCAAAAACTTTCTTTACAAAACAAAAAATGGCAAAAAATTTCTTTACAAATCAAAAAATGGCAAAAACTATCTTTACAAACTTTTTTTCTGCCACACAGTGATATATATCCGTTCCACAGCTATATCACAGTAATTTGGCTGAAACAATTTGGAATTTTAGCCGCGAATAGTTAGAGCACTCGAGAGTATTGTATTTGTGCAAACACTTCAGAACTCGACCTTCGGGTTGTTTTTTTATAATGGCCGCAGGTCATTTTCGGACCCGAATTTCTTGTTTTTCAATTAAATGCGCGTTTCGAATTCGGCTAATACGTCGCATACGATGGAACATGTTCTGTCTGTACATGTTCCGATGTTTATATGGTAAATATGTGATTCATATCTTGATATATCTTGTTATTATGATTGTAGGAGATGGGGGAGGGGGGGGTCGGCTAAAGAGGGTGAGGAGGGGTAAGGAAGAGCCATGCGTAACCATAACCGAATTGGCTGGGGTAGGGCATTGTTATATTTTTAAAGGGTAAGGTAGGTCTAGTACGTTAGAGTAGGACAGGGCAGTGAAGTAGAATAGATAAGCACAGTAGAGCAAAGATCCCGGTAGGGCAATTCACATTAGAGCATGGTAGGGTTGGGTAGTGTAAGATAGGATAGGATAGGGTATGGTAAAGTAGGGTAGGATAGGGTAGGGTAGGGTAGGGTGTGGCACAATATGGTAGGGCATGTTACCATAAAGAAAGTACAAGGTAACTTATTTAAAAAATAAAAATTTGTGCAATGTTACCTAATTTATTGATATAACTAGATAGCCTTAGAGAAATTACAAGAACTCGTGTTACGCAACTTTTTCTTATGTAATATTATGGTTTTATATAATACTTGCCTCGATGTAAAACGACCCAACAAATGACTGCGAGTCCTGGGATTTAGCTCCATTTTACTGCGAGTACTCTAATTTTACTTTACATTACCGCGAAGAATATGTTTTTTATCTGCCGGCGGCAGTGTTTTGCCGGACCGGTCATCATAAGGATTTCTTCGGTCCGGTCCGGAAGGTTTTTAAGAGGTCCGGTCCGGACCGGTCCTGCAAAACACTGGCCGGCGGTTATTAGCTTAAGAGTCAGTCCAAGCCTAAGCCTAAGACTGAGATTAAACCTAAGTCTTAGCCTAAGATTAAGCATAAGAGGCAGTCTAACACTGAGCCTAAGCCTAACCTTTAATAAAACCCTAAGCCTTGAATTGGGCGGGGTAGGACAGACCATGATAGAAAAAAAGAGTTGGGTCGAGCAGGGCTGGGTGAGGTATAACAAAAACAGTTGGATAAGGTTAGGCTTGCAAAGAACGGAAGGGGTAGTGATTCTTCAATTAGGAAATTTAACTTTTTTGAATTTTTTGAAATTACAGTTCAATTCAACCCCCTTTGACCACTGAGTGCTACTATTTTGAGTTTGTTTGAGTGTTAAACCACTTGAGAGTGGCCGAGAGTCCAAACTTTTTTATCGTTTAGCTTTCTTGACCGCAGGTCAAGAGCTATCGTTATTTAGCTGGCTTGAACTCATGCAACTCTTGTGGTTATTTTATGGTTTTGTCAAAAATCTTCAAAATACCTCGAGGCATTCTTCTAATTTTAAAATTTTGATTTAGTGTTTCTAGTGCTTCTGGTACTGATTTAAGGGCGTTTTTAGTACTGTCTTAGCCATATATGGCCATATAGTCTAATACTAGGACTGTGGGGGCAGGGTGTGGTAGGGTAAGGCATTTATTCATTATGAGAGGGCGAGCAAGGGGGGGGGACTCGATTTTGCCCGAGGATTAAAGGGTAAGGTAGAGGATGGAAGGGTATAGCAGGGAAGGGTAGGGTATGAATTCATGGCTTCGAATGCCGTATTTTACAATATTTTTCTTCGTGTGCTACTGGTGTATGGTTCCACGTTGAAAAGATCTAGTACTACGATATACTGTGTATTTCCTTTTAGTGCCTGTACTAAAATTTCAAAAAACTTTTTTCAGTTTCACAATGGGCCTAATAAGGATATCATGGGTACTAACATTAGCCTTGTCAACAACAGTTGTATCAGCCATGCCACCATCACTGCCCAGCTCACAGATGGCTTATCAGGCTCAAAATTATGGTGAGTTACTGTAGTTTTTAATTTTTTTTGCTTTGAAAGTAAATTTTTACCGTTTTTATCTAAAAAATAACTTTTTTGGTTTTGCAGCCTGCGGGTGACAAGTTATACGATAAATGATAAATTTTGTTGTTTTAAGCCTTGTAAAGCAAGTTCTTGCCATTTTTTGTTTTGTAAAGGAAGTTCTTGCTATTTTAAGTGTTGTAAAGAAATTTCTTTCCATTCTGTGTTTTGTAAAGAAAGTTCTTTCCATTCTGTGTTTTGTAAAGAAAGTTCTTTCCATTCTGTGTTTTGTAAAGAAAGTTCTTTCCATTCTGTGTTTTGTAAAGAAAGTTCTTGCCATTTTTTGTTTTGTAAAGGAAGTTCTTGCCATTTTTTCAAAAATTTCAAAAAAATTGTTTTTTAGAAAACGCAGCTCCAGCCTGGTACCAAATGCCAGAAAGACAACAAGAAAACACATTCACCAACAACCGGTCGCCCTATGGTCCGCAACCTGACAAACACACATTCATTCCAGTTCCATCACCTTTCGAACTGCCTCGACCCAAAACACCGCTGGAAATGGCCAATGGGCATATTGTGGACGCGGCTCAGGAGGTTGGTTTGGTTTCCAATATTATCTATATTCTTATTGTCTACATACTGTCTTTGCGGCTAAAAAAAAACAAAATTTGGCGCTTTGCGGCCTGCGGGTGACAAGTTATACGATAAATATAAAAAATGCGATTTTTTGCTATTTATGTAAAGAAAGTTCTTGCCGTTTTTGGGTTTGTAAATAAAGTCCTTGCCGTTTTTGGGTTTTATAAAGAAAGTTTTTGATATTTCGTTTTGTAAACAAAGTTTTTGGCATTTTTTTCATTTGTAAAGAAATTGTTTGCCATTTTGCGCTAATATCAACAATTTTGCGCTTGGCAGCCTGCGGATGAAAAGTTATACGATAAAACCAAATTTAGCTCATGTATTAAAAACTATTGCCATTTTTTGTTCTGTAATGAAAGTTCTTGCCATTTTATGATCTGTAAAGAAAATTATTGTCATTTTTGCGCCAAAATCAACAATTTTTGGGATTCGGCAGCCTGCGGGTGACAAGTTATACGATAAAACGTCAATTGGGTCTTTCTAATGAAAACTAATGTCATTTTTTGACGTGTAAAGAAAGTGCTTGCCATTTTTTGTTTTGTAAAGAAAGTTCTTGCTATTTTAATGTTTTGTAAAGAAAGTTCTTACCATTTTTCGTTTTGTAAAGAAAGTTCTTGCGTTTTATGATTTATCACCTATCTTTTGTTTTATAGTTTAAAAATTTAGTTTTATTTTGCTAATTTTTACCTTAATTTCTATTTTGTTACCTAATTTTCATTCCCAGACGCATTTATCCGGCTTTTTCCGCACGTTAAACGGCCAAGTCACCAACCTAGAACGTTATATGCCTTTGCTAGCCAAAAAGCTGGGCATAACCTCTCTGCCCATCCTACCCACCACCACCGATCGACCTTCACGTCCTTCCCAAAAGCCTACACAATCCCTACGCTCCTATCACACTCGACCCTCCCCACCGGAACGACCATTCACGGTGCGTGGTACCAAAATCTGTTGGGATTGTACCACCGTGACCATGCAGTTGGTCACACCCACGCCCATGAACAAACGCAAGACCAAGATTGTGAAGAAGAACAAGATACGAAGTAATCAGGTGACAAGACGTACTGGGGATTACAGTACGGAGGATTACGGTACCACACGCACCACTAAGGACGTTTGGGCCAGTATGCAAGTTACGACCAAAGACCATTGGAAGCAATTCACGGTGGGAACAAGGGCTACCACCGAGCGGTCGGACACACCGGATCGTATGAGGAAGAACGCCCGAGGGCTTGTTAAAATTGAAAATGGCGGCGAGATCAAAGAGAAACGGCCAAAAATTACGCAAAACGGTCGAATTTCCAAGCCCTATCGACCGGACCAAAACAATAATAACATTGACTCAACCAACAGTCAACTAGGCTCATCTACCAGCCAATTTGGTACTCATGTTACACCTGTGGAACCTCAAAATGGTCGTCAAATTTCAAAAACTGGCCAAATTTCATCGAAAAAGGACCGTTTTGTCCCACAAAATGGTCGCAATTCTCGTCCAAACAGTACCAAAAGTACCAAAATTGATAAACAGGTAACTGAAGATATGGACAACACCCCTATCAACACAAAAGTTGATATCAACAGCAATGAGTACACTAAATTGAGCATTTCCGGCCAAAGCCTCGGTACCGGACGGCCGGATATGGTACTAGAATCGATCAGATCCCAAAAAGGGCCACTAAACAAGAACAATATGAGAGAGATTATGTCACTAGGACCCATGGAGATGCTAAATAAGGCTAAGAACGGATGGACTCATAAAGAGAATCGACCGAAAATCGACTGCCCGGAAAGCAATGTCAGCCCTATTGAAGTCGCCATTGTTTGGGTAGGTTAAAGGTCATTTTAAGGTTTAAATTGAAATTAAAAAATGCGTTTTTGAATTAAAAATACTAATATTATGCTTGTTGTGCTGAGAATTCGTTGTAAAATACGTGTCTTGATCAAATAGTGCAAAAAATCAAAATTTTTTTAAAGGTCTATAACAATATTTCAAAAGCCGATTGAAAAAAATTAATGAAGATACAACTAAACGTTTTGACAAAACGATTGAATATGATGTGAACTAACATAAAAATACCCTTTTCAGTAAACTATGTGGTTTGAAGTGAAGTTATGAAGAAAAAACGACCTGAACACCTACTACAATATCATGGATAAGTTGTGTTAGACGTTTTGAATGTTTTTGGTGAAAACTTCGAGCTTTTGTTGTTACTAACGTTTGCTTATGATAATGTTTTCAATTTGGCACTAATTTTATGTTTTTTGCACTTTTCATTTTTGTAAAATACGAGCTGTATCAGTACAAAACCATGTTGTTGAGTTCAAAATAAAAAATGCCATTTCTTTTCATGTCTTTCCCCTTAATATCTGTCACAATCTGAATAGAAAACATCATGGTTACTAGGCGGTGAGTTTTGACCTGGGAGGCGGGGTAAAATCAAAAAAAATTTGAAAAATCGACAGGGGGGACAAAGTGCAAATTTTCAAAAAAAAATTTTTTTCTGAAAAAACAAGCCCTTTCCTACCGCCCGGCTATAATCATCTTGTCCTATGTCTGCTGTAATGCGTGCAGTTTAATAACAGTGTGATTTTAGATCGTTAACCAGTTCAAACACCGCAGTAATGTAAGTTTTTTGATGTGAAACGTGTGTTTTAACCGGAAAATAAGCAAAATATAGTCACATAAGACTCAATTATAAGTTTGAAATTGAGTCAAAAGTTCTTGGATACAATATTTTTTCAAAAATTAAAAAAAAAATTTTTTATTTTTAAAAAATTTTAAAATTTTGAAATTTGGTACTAATTTTACGGTACCATACTATAATAATACTAAAATCCAACATATTACTGCCCAAGGACTATAAAATGTATTTTAGGCCAGTACAGAGTTAATAGAAGCCATAAAAGAAGCCCTGGCCAAGTTCCGTAGCACCTTATCAGCACGCCAAATGGCTCCAGAGGAAGGTCACGCTGACATCGCGGACCTTGGCCGTGAATTGGAAAGCACTTGGACTCAACTTAAGGACAGTAAGTTATTTTATACATTGTAAAGAAAGTTCTTGCCATTTTTTGGTCTGTAAAGAAAATTCTTGCAATGTCTTGTTTTGTAAAGAAAGTTCTTGCCATTTTTAGTTTTGTAAAGAAAGTTCTTGCAACTTTTTGTTTTGTGAAGAAAGTTCTTGCCATTTTTTGTCAAACAAGCTAATTTTGACTCCTGCAGCCTGCGGGTGACAAGTTATACGCTACATTTGTTTCCAGGCGGATTCCTAGAACGAGCTGTAGCCGAACTTGCCCTCTCTGATAGTCAAGTCCCTGGTCATGATGGTACTGTTGATACTGACGCGGCGGCCAGAAAAATCGATGAGCTATGGCGTGAAGCCATGCTGGCTTCAGCTATTGGCTTCAGTGAGCCGGATCCTATGAATCGGCCAATGTATGATGATATTCGGGGCCATCAAAGGGGCAATGTGGTATGTTTGCGAAGGAATTAGTGGATTTTAATTTTTTTAATTTTTTTTTAATTTTGAAACTTTTTAAAATTAAATTTTTTTGAAAAATTTTCATGCCAAACCCTAAACTCTACCCCTTCAAGACCTTATTCATGCCAAGCCCCTTACAACCTCATTTCAGATGCCGGTAAACTGCCAAAAACTATCGTTACTCTGTAAACTCCTGCGGCCATTCACCAGTTAAACATGTCAGAATTATTATTTGTTATCTATTTATTCAAATATTTATCATTAAATTTACAAAATCTTATCAAACGACTAATTTATCAAAGAAAGAAGTAGTGTAACAACAGTTGAAATCACAGATTTAAGCAATTATGCAAATTTTAAGCAATTATGCAAATTTCAAAAAAATATGCAATTTATAAAAAATTTTTTAAAATTATGACAATGTCTTGATTCCATTACGATTAAAGTAGAGACAGTGAGTTTGAATAAATTATATTGGGGATGATTCAAGGCACTTTTTGATATTCCGCTACAATATCGGTTATAACTTTGCTGGTAATTGTTTGATTTAGACGTAGTTTAGATTTTCAAATACTTGAAAGTACGTAAAATGCTATTTGAACCAATAGAAATGTCTACTTCTTTCAATTTTATAAAAATCAGTCAGCAAAAAGACCTTATCCATGAAAGCTACCTCATGGAGAATATATTAACATAACTTTTGATAGAAATTATAAACATTCCTGATATCACACAAACAGGTGTACCATTTAATAGTCTTAGTTGCCCTAAAAACTCAAATTGATCTAAAAAGGAACCAAAAAGTTATAACCAACAAAATTATGTTATCCATGATCTGTACCTCATACAATAAAAATCAATAGCTCTCCGTACAAAAACCTGATAATTGCCTGATATGTTACCCAAATATAAACCGAACATCCATCATAAGTGATCTATAAAGTCCAAAAACATACCAAAAAAAACCAAAAAAGTTATAAGAAGAATCATCCCCTAGACCTATATTAACATAATAAATACTAGTCTCAAACCAACTTATGTTTCCTATTGTGTTGGCGGTGGTGTCTGCTGTTGTTGTTGCTGGTGCTGTTTGGCTTGTTCTTCACGTTGTTTTTGAGCTCGCAAAAACTCTCCATAATCAATATATCCATCATTATTGAAGTCATCTTCTTTTAAGATGGCGTCAATCATTTGCTCCAGCTCTTCTTCGGACGGAAGTGGTGGTGGAGCATGCTGATCGTGCTGTTGTTGCTGATTTGTTGGGTTTTCTAAAACATAATGGTTTAACCAGTTGAAACTGCCATTAGTTTAATTTTTTATTCATTTTAGTTCATAAGATCTACCATAGACAATATGAGCTGTTTGCAGCTAAACAAACATTCCATTTGATGTCTAAAACAATAAAAACTAATCAGAAAGCTTTTACATACCTTGGTGGAAGTGAGTGATAGCTTTTATGAGCTCAACTCCATCTAAACGTCCGTTTTTGTCCAAATCATGCATGTTAAAGTAGTGGAACTGAAGTTGTTCTGGTGTCATGTTCGCTGTTGGGTCCACTTTTCCTTCTAAATGCTCCTTAATGTGCCTAAAAGATGCACAAGATTATATTCTATCATAATATATTTATTTGCCATCATTTGAGCCTCTAAACCAAGAGCGAAGGATCAAAAACATTATCTTACCCTTCATCCTTGGCCTGCTCTCCTCCGAACGAAGCCTGTGAAGGCGCTTGTCCTTGGTGAGGTGGAGGTGGTGGTGGAGGTTGTTGGTGGTGAACTTCTGGAGGCTTGTGCGCATCCTGGCCCGGGAACGAGGGCTGTTGATGCGACAGAACCACAGGGATCAACAACAACACCCAAATCTGACCGATCATCTAAAACAATACGAATAAACACTATTCTTCTAAACAATTAAAGCAACATCATCTTAATGTTAAAAAACGATAATTTAAATCACGATCAAACCAGTTGGAGAATTATTAACATGAACTATTCTACCGCTTCCACGTGTTCCGAAAAACGCTTGTTAAAAGACGAATGCGCGACTTCCTTAAGGCACCCACAATATTTATACTCAAAATTTTTATGTAAAAAAAGGTTAACACCTTGTAAATTATTGTGAAAACAAGGATTATACCATAATTGAAGTTACGAACAGGTCAATCTCGAAATTGAGTATCAAAATCCCCAAATTTGTGAAAAATAATATTAATGAGTCAACTGTCGCGCCGGACGAAAATCTGTTTTGTGTCAGGTGTTTTCCTGTGTAGTTGTTATATTATTTTTGTTTATGTCAATGTTGAGCCAAGTGAGATCATGAATAACGTTTTAATGTTCTTTAATCGAAAACTTTTTATCGATTCTTCGTCAAATTGACATTAGTTTAGGCCGAATTGGTTTATATTGAAGATTAGTTTAATTACATGACGTCAGCGATGCGATATTGATCAGTTTTTTTTATACAAAAGGGTTTTTTAAAGAAATATCAACGTGCTAACTGTTTTCACATTAAGAATGGCGTTTTATCCATTTATGTTTTGTTTGAAATCCCAAAGTTCAAACCAATATTTCCGATATTATCCATGACGTCGCGCTGTCTAAAAGAATATCGTTTCTACATTATCTTTTCCCTTTTGCAGGTTATCACACCACACTTAATAAAGAAACCCGGAAAGCGGCACAAAGAACGCTTCTGGGTTGGTGCGAATAAACTTTTATGAATTTTGCGAATCAGCCCGGCATTGTCCGACGAAAACACCCTCAACAACCCGATTTACCACAATATCAGCAGCCGGTAGAGGAGCCAAAAGTACACGGAAACTTGCCTATTGCTTCACAGTTTACGCAGTTTACTCAAAACTTTTGGAACACTGCTCATGTGAGTTTAAAGTTTTGTGTTATATTGTTTTTGATGTTTAGGTGAAGTTTGGTTGAATACGATGTCAAAATGAAAGTATACGTCATGAAATTTTGGTATAAGTAGCATAAAATATCTGAGAGAGTATAGAAGAAACAAAACAGCCGAGACTTTTGAAAATTTGAAGGTATTGGGTTGCAAACTTGTTTTGCCTATAATACCTTCCTCATGGTGAAGATGCTAACATATCTTTTGTCATAACTGTCATAATGTTTTGAGGTTTTGCACAAACGTGCATCAGACATTTGCCTTAAACGTCTCAAAAATGCATTTGTATACCTTAAAAACTAAAAATGATATGGCACTTATAGTAATGACTATCTAGCACCAAAAATGGTTTTTTAAATAAAATCTGATAGACCTTTTTTTACTGTTTGTTATTATGTGGGAAACAAATGTGGTGGAAAATTGAGGTAAAAAAATGAGCGAAGTTCGAGAGATTTTTATCTTTTCTTTGCAAAAAAGGGAAAATTTATAAATACGTGGAATGCGAGGAGGAAAAACGAATAAATTTATTTTACTTTCTTTTTATTATTATCTTTTTTTATTTTAAATTTTAGTTTAAACTTTTGGATAAAAAATAAATAATATCTTACTTTAATTGCCATTTTAGAGCCATATCCAGTCGCTGACCACTGAGCCAGGTCATCTACATCTACCGCCAGCTCAATTGGAAGAAGTTGAGGTTATTCCGTTGGAGTGCGTCGAAATCATGCCTCACACTGATCGAACGGCCGAATTTCGAACTGTGGCCAAGAGCCGACAGGTACGTTTTACTTTTACTTAGTTTTTGAGTTTTTAGGTTTAGATATGAAGGGATGGTGAAGATTTTATCTTATACATGAGGTTAGATGTAAAAATTTGATGTAAAATAAGGTTTTTGGTGTTTTAAAGAAAGAAAGCAAATTTAAAATAACGATTTTATCAAATTATATTTAGATGCGGATACAAGCTCAGAATAAAAAGTCTGGAGACCGTGACAGACTGATCCAGAATCAAATTCAGTTCAACCAGCTATCAAAGTAAGGTGTTCTTTATGTTGGTTTGTTTTAATGTCTGACAGAGGCTTTCTATCGTTCTTAAAGACAAGCTAGAAGATAAATTAGGGTCGAAAGAGCTTTTTTCCAAACCATAGTATAGTTTTTTGAAATTTTACAAAAGGTTTCAATCAAAAAACAAAAACTATGTTACACTTGATGGATAACATAACGTATTACTTGATTTCTAAGAATTTGCTGTTAACAATTTTAAATCATTATAAAAAGTTGAAGAAGATAAAACAGCATGTAAAAAGTTATAATTCATGTTTGTTTACTACGTATACATATAAGTACACGTCGACTTACAAAAGGGGAATAGTGGTTAATATTATTGTTGTTTTTTACTTTACGTTTGCTGAAACTTAAAATAATAGCTCTCTTGTTTTATCGTCAGGTTAAATTACTTTCTAATGAATGTGTTTTTAGGAGAATTGGCCGTGATTTATGTCGAACATGCGCGAAAATGGAGAAATTAACCGAGTTGGCCAAGAAAAAGTCGTTATTTGATGATAGCGCGGCCGAAATCAATGAACTATCGCATATCATTAAACAAGTAGGTCTATTTTTTAGTTTGTGTTTTAATTTTAGATAATTGAATGTATGGTTATTGAGGTTTTAAGCTCTTAGGGCGTCAAAAATATATTATTTATTGCAATTTTTGAAAGGTAATACTTTTGGAAGCTATGGTAAAATACGTGAAAACTAGACACGCTTTTATAAAAAAGTTGGAATATATTATACAGCGTTTTTTTACAGGACATTCACGGCCTAAACGGTCAAATAGCAACGCTACAACAGCTGATGAAGAGTCGTCAACAATCCGCCGAGCAAAGTCAAAATCACTCGAAACTAGTGGTTGTTGGACTTCAATCCAAGCTGGCCAACCTTGGAAACAACTTCCAGTCAGTTCAGGAGATCAGGACTGAAAGCTTGAAACAGAAATCGAAACGTCGTGAGAAGTTTAGTCAGTCAAACAACGTTTCTTACGGGTTACCACCTAATGGAGGTAGGATAATATTACTTTGTTTTTTGAAAGCTGAAGTAGTAAGATTCATTGATAAAAAGGGTATAGCAATGCTTTTTCTGTCCCACAGTAAAAATTCACTACTAAAATTTTGGTTAAATAAACTATGCTAATCATTACATTGTTATAGGGTCATCACTATTGATGGAAGACGAACAACGAGCCCAAGGCGGAACAGTCGCGGTAGATATGGATAGAATACAAGCTCAAGACCAAATGCTTTTAATTGACGAGTCAGAACAGTATCATCAGAGTCGTTACAATGCCATGGAGAGTATAGAATCGTCGATTACGGAAATCGGTCAAATTTTCAATCAACTAAGTATGCTGGTGGCTGAACAAGGCGAAACTATTATAAGGTAAGGGATAATATATATTTAAAAGGTGGCTACAATTGTTGGCTTTGTTTTAAAAGTGGTTGGGGTTAGATTGAAGGGGATTAAGGTAGAGGAATGTCAAGTTTTGTTCAGTGTAATTTGGAAAAATTGGGTATGGGTTACGGAAATGGATGTTAAGGATGGTTTTTTTAATTTTAAATGGGTTGTAAATGATGTAGAAGATAATAAGCTGTCTTTTAAGGTATATAAAGTTTAATAATATTTTAGTTGAACTAATGTAACATTGAAAAATTGTAAAAAAATACAAAATTTTGATGAAAATTTTATTTTTAACCTTAATTTTCGCTAAATCATGATGTTATTTTAGCTGTTTTTGATAAGTCATACCTAATTAAAGCACTAACAAAGATAAAAATTTAATTTTCAGAATCGACGACAACGTAGAACAGGCTACAATGAACGTGGAAAGCGCTCATCTTGAGCTTCTCAAGTATTTCAACAACATTTCGAAGAATCGATGGCTGATGCTCAAAGTTTTTGGTGTTCTAATGGCCTTTTTTGTCTTCTTTGTAGTCTTCTTAACATAAAATGTTGTTTAGAATGTAAAATAAGGTATAGTTGGTGCAGTTATAGTGTAAGAATGCCTCATTTTGGGTGTTTTTAGCGGAAAAAATGAGTTTTTTGCTCAAAAAATGCCATTTTTTATATGATGTTGCACGGAAAGTGAAATTTTTGGATGAGCAAATTATGTTTGAGTATTAATTTAGTAAAGTACTAACCTGTACCAACTGTAAAATAGTGCTAAATTGTAAAAACAACTCAATAAAGCACAATAATCTTGTATCTGTACCTTGTGGATGACGTTAGAGACCCAAACTAAGACGGGTTGAAGCTAGTGTAACTTTTGGTATCTTATGTTGTTTGGCGGATCAACTGGTGATATAATTTATTTCATATTACGAATAAAGATATTTTAGCTGATTTTTACATTTTTTGCATTTTAAAGCCGTTTTTACGGTGGAATACTTTATTTTTTATTTGTTTGGTGTAAGGAAAGTTTTTGCAATTTTTATCTTAAAGTTTTCTTTGTAAAGAAAGTTTTTGCTATTTTTGCTATTTTTGGAGTTTTGTAGATTTTGATGTTGTTTGTAGCGATTTTTGACGTTATGCAGCCTGCGGGTGACATGTTATACGAAGAATTGCTTTTTTTGTTTTGTAAAGAAAGTTCTTGCATTTTTCATATTTGGCTTTTCCATGTAAACAAAGTTTTTGCAGCAAGGAAACGACGAACAACGACCAAAATTGGCTAACACAACATAGATCTCAGCGGAACGATGGCGCGCATCACGCCGACAATGGTCGTGGCGACGAGCCTCATTCTTACAATAGTCACGGTGACCAAAGCGTTCATGCTAAAGAAACAGTTTTATCCGTCGGTCGTACACTTGACCAAGGACGGCGGAAGTATGGCCGTTCTTTACTTTCAAGGTGCCGTTCTGGGTTACCTATTGTTCACATTTTTTAGATGGATCTTCTTCGGACAGCTACGGGTAGCTGAGACAGAGGTAAGATGAGTTTTAAGGATTCTGGAGCTAGAAATATTGGTTTGGAGAGGTTTTGAGGGTAGAAATTGAGATTTTAAGAGATTTTTAACTTAAAACAATATATACTTTGACGATTTTTAGAGCTAAAGCAATATATTTTGAATTTATTGTTAAAAATATTGAAGAACAGATTCAGAAGCATTAGAATATTAATAATTTTGATCTAATTTGTCCCATTTCAGCACGCATTAGATCGATTTTGGCACGCAATAGTAGAAACTTGTCTTGCCTTCACCGTTTTCAGAGACGATTTTTCCCCAAAATTCGTAATCCAATTCGTAGTCCTATTCTTCTTCAAAGGCTTCCACTGGCTAGCTGAAGATCGTGTCGACTTCATGGAACGATCTCCACTAATCACCTTCATTTTCCACGCTAGAATCATGGGAATCGTGGCGGTGTTGGCGGCGGTCGACTCGTATTTCATCTCAAATGCCTATTTTACCACCGTGTTAAGAGGCGCTTCAGTTCAAATTGTGTTTGGATTTGAGGTATGTGTTTGAGCTTTGATTTGATGTTTAGATAATGAAGATTGGTTGAGTTTGAGGAGAGTTATGACAAAAAGTTTGGTTGAATGCAGATTTGGTGGTCATGGATAATATAAATTGTTATAACTGATGGATTTGTGGTTTAAGATAAGATTTTTATGTTAAAATAGGTGTAAATGAGTATGGCTTGGCTTATAAAAAGAACATTTTGTAGGGGTGAAGAGGTTTTTACGAGTTATGATGAAAAGTTTTGTCATAGGGTAAAGTAGATGGGCATGGATAATATAAACGGTGATAAAATTAATTTTGATGCTTTAGATAAGGCTTTTTGATTAAAATAGATGTAGATAGGTTTATTGTTTCTTTCTGAAAGAAAAATTTTGTGTAGTTATTGGGTTTGGCAAAGTTATGATGAAGAGTTTTGGCGTAGATCCGATTACGTGATCATGAACAATATAAATGGCTATATTGGCCGATTTGATGACATTAAAAATAACTTTTGAATTAAGACTGGTTTAAAAATGTTTTATAGAGCTTTTGAAACGAAATGTTGAGATTTTAAAAGCTATTTTTGTCAAGGGTAATATCATGGTTAATATCGTGTTTGGCTGAAATTTGAGTTTTTTTATGGAAATAGTTAATGGGTTATGTTTTAAATAGGGATATAGGTTTAGAAATTAGTTTTTTAGCTAAATAAAGTTAGTCGAAGACATTTTTTGTCATGCACAATATAATAATTAGCATGGTTAATATCGTTTTTCATACAATTTTGGCATTCTTCGGGTAGAAAGTGCTTTGGTATTGTGAGAAATGATTTTTTTGTTAATATCTGATATGAAAAATTTAAAAAATGATCAAAATCTCATTTTAGTACGCGGTTTTGTTAACAATGATCTTCCACATAGCGATGAAGTACCTGTTACACATGCACGACCTCCGCTCCGTCCATCCGTGGGAAGCTAAAGCGGTCTACATGCTCTACACAGAGCTCGTAATCACGGCCTTAAGATTCATCTTATACTTTGCATTCTGTATGGTAATGATGCGACTTCACACGTTCCCATTATTTGCCATCAGACCTCTATACCTGACCTTAAGAAGTCTGAGAAAGGCCGGAAACGATGTGATTCAGTCCCGCAGAGCCATCCACGCCATGAACAATCTATACCCACTGGCGACGGAAAGAGAATTGACCGAAGGTGACAACATTTGCATCATCTGCCGAGAGGAAATGACACTTGATGCCAGTCCGAAGAAGCTACCCTGTGGCCATATCTTCCATCCAAACTGCCTCAGGTCCTGGTTCCAGAGACAACAAACGTGCCCAACTTGCAGAACTGACGTTTTGGGAGGTAAGGGAACGTTTGGGAAAGGGTTTTTGGAATTTGACGGAATGTAAATATGGTTATTGATTTTTCGAGACTAGGTGTCAAAATATTATTGGATTTTTATGTTTGGGTAATATTTGGTAATAGAGTGATAGTAACGTCTATTTACGGGTTTTTTTGAAAGTTGACGGAATGTAAATAGGATTATTGGTTTTTGAAACGAAGTGACAGAATGTTATTGGATTTTCAAATATGGGTAGAATTTGTGATAGAGTTTTAGTAACATTTATTTATGAGTTTTTTTGAAATTTGACGGAATGTAAATATGATTATTGGTTTTTATAACGAAGTGTCAAAAATTATTGGATTTTCGAAGGTGGTTTTTAAACGTAAAATACGGTCGCTTTAAAATTTTGTTTTTTTTTCAGCTGCGCCCGGACCCCAACAAGCCCCACTCCCAGGCCAACCCCCTATCGACGGCGGTTTGGCCGCTTTCCTAGCCAATATGGGCCTACCACAACTGCAACAAGCCCAACAACAACGTCAGCAACCTCAGGTCAACCTAGATGGCAATCAACTACGTGTCAATTTGGGCCAAATCTTTGGGAATGGCGGTCCACAAATGCAAATCATTGCCGGAATGGGCGGTCAACCTCACGTTCATCAACAACAACAACCTGTTAATGGGGTAAGGGTGTAGACTTTTTGTTTTTTTTGTGGTTTTGGGGATGATTTTGGGAAAAAAGAGGGCTTTTTTAGGGGAAATAAAAAAGTTTTGTCGTTATTTTTGGGGGATTTGCACTACGAAAAACGACAAGTCTTTTTTTAAGTTTATTTTAGTTAATAAAACATGGTTTTTTGGTCAAAAAATGATGTGTTAGATATTAGAAAGGTAAAATTTTGATTAAAAAGTTGGATTTTAGGTAATAAAAAGCAAATTTTTGGCTGGAATATGATGTTTTAGGTAACAAAAATGGAATTTTTGAAAAATTTTCAAAATTCGTATTTTCAACACTAAAATACGATTGTTTTCAGCCATTCGTCTTCCCCACCCCACACCCATTCCCAGCACCACCCAGCTACAGCGGCCTAAACGCCGTCGAGCTGGCCGAGCTTGAAGGTCAATCCAGAGCGGCGATGGAAGCCCGGCTCCAGGCCTTGTACAATATCAACACGTTGCTCGAGGCGGCGACTCTCCAATTCCAACAATATTTGTCTGTAGCACCTAACATTCCCATGCCCAACTTCCCACACGATGGTGGTAACAATACTGGTACTGATGGTACTAATGGTACCAATGAAAATTCGAATTTGGGAGGAAATGGAAGTAATAGCAGTAATAGAAGTACGGATGGTTCAAATGGTACCAATAATGGTACTAATGGTCTAACTGGTACTAATGGACCTGGTACCACTGGTACAGTTGATAACACAAATGCTCAAGCCAGTTCAAGTGGATCGTTCAGCACTAGTCAAGGAAACCTAAATGGTACTTTTGGTACTGGAACTCAGTCCGGTACTAGTGGAACTCAACCCGGTACTCATGGTACAGCATCGAATTCAGGTTCAAGGAGTAAATTGTTAGGAAACACATCGACCGGTCTGGAAACGTCAACGAGTAGTCAACAACGGACTAGCGGGTATGGGTTTGAAGGTTTTAAAATTTTTTTGAAATTTGTAAAATTTTGAAAAAAAATAATTTTTTTTAGTGTATGGTACATAAAATGCATTCTTTGCGATTTGTTGCCAAAAAATGTCATTTTCAAAAAATTTTTTAAATTTTGAAATTTTGAAAAAAAAATTATTTTTATCAGTTTATGGTACATAAAATGGCATTTATGGTCTAAAAGCGCTTTTAACATGCCTTTTTTCGCGGTTTGTTACCTAAAACTTTCATTTTAAAAAAAAATTTTTAAATTTTAAAATTTTGAAAAAAATAATTTTTTCTCAGTGTATGGTACATAAAATGGCATTTATGGTCTCAATGTTATTTTAAAATGCATTTTTTTTGCGATTTGTTACTTAAAAATGTCATTTAAAAAAATTTAAATTTAAAAATTTTGCAAAAATGAAAAAAATTTTTTATTTTTTTTTGTCAAATGCATATCGAAAAATGACATTTTTCGAATTTAGTTTGGACGCCGGCTCCACGGAGGACTCCCCCAACGCCGCGCACAACGAAGAACTCCGCCGTCGTCGGCTCGCCGCCTTCGATCGGCCGTAAAAACTTAAGAATCGAAAAGAGGTCACGTTGTAATTTATACTTGTCATATTAAATAATCTATTTATAGTAGGTTTTTTTTAAATTTTTGGTATTAAAGGGTCTAAAGTTAGCTTTCAGGGCATTTTAGGGGTGTTGAACTGAGGTTTTTGGGTCATTTTAGGCTTATAATGACAGTTTTTGAAGGTTTTTTAACGAAAATTTAGATTTTCTGCCCATATTTGTACTTGAAATGACGTTTTTCATCTGTTCTATAACTTACAATCAATTTTATACCTAATTTTGATCTAGAAATGGCAATTTTTTGGTTGATTTTGAGCCTAAAATAAGGTTTAGATAACTTGTGGTTAAAATTGTTTTTGAAAAGTTAAATTATAGGACGAAATACAAAAAGTCGTGATGGAATTAGGTATTTATAACTGGTTTGTTTTCTTCTTTTTTTTGTTTTTTAACTTTTAGTATAAGCACGAAGTGGCGGAGAAACAGGGCTTTTTAACTGTACTTATTAGTATCAGAGAAGTTTTTCATACGTTATTTATAAAAAATGAAATTATTTATCAATCTCTGACATTTTATATACTAGCCATATTTTAAAATGATCAAATAATGACATTTTGTTTTTTGCACCGTGCCGTTATTTAGCGATTGCACGGTGCAGCTTATGTAATTTGCACTGTTGCACGGTGCAATGAATAAATGTCTGCACGGTGCAGTAAAAAAACTCTGCTCAAAGTTGTTTAAAAATGAAAAAAAAATAGTTTTGAGCAGGGACGTCGTTTGGGGGAGGGGGGTAGGGGGGGGGTTACCCCCTCCCCCCAGAGCCAATCCGAAAAAAATTCCACAGGTAGTGAAAAAAAAACCACCTGTACGTGAAAAAACGAAAAATAAAAATTTTGAAAAATTGGTCCACAGGGACCTGTGGACGAAAAAAATTTTTTCGACCTCCCCCTCCCCCAGAGAAAATCCGTAGCGACGTCCCTGGTTTTGAGTAAATTTAGGTAACAAAAAATTATTTTTAAGATTAAAAAATAACCTTTCATTTTGAAAAATCATTTTTTTTTAAATTTTAAAAATTTGAAAACTAAGGATATGGACGCTTTATATTGTGTTGTTGTAATGAAGGTGTTTCGTGCTGTTTTATGGCTTTGTATCTGCCGTGACACAGTTATATGAGTGAAAAATACTATAAAATGGCATTTTGGATAAGGATTTTTAGCTTTGGATTAATTTAATTGCAATTTGAATCCTTATAACAGCTTTTTTGGCTTAAAATACGACACATTGTTATTGTAGGGAGCGGTTGTTCAGAGGCGGATGGCTTTTTTTATTTTTGACAATGCCTGGGTTGTCCAAGAGCAGGTAGTGTAGGGTAGGTTAGGGCGGGGTAGGGCATAATACGGTAGGGTAGGGTAGGGTAGAGGTGGGTAAGGTAGGGCAGGGTAGAGTAGAGTAGGGTAGGGTAAGGAAAGGCAGGTCAAGGATGAAAAATGCTGTTTTCTCCAGCAGTAAATTAGGCATACGATACCTTTTGGAAATGTATATAAGCCTGCATTTCCTAAGCCCAATATACTAATTGCGAACTTTGGGCTACGAAAACAAGACGTTAAACAAGTCGAAAAATACTTTTATATGCACATCGTTTTCGAATTTTATCTCGGTTTTTGGTACGCTAACTTTTTAAATTTTACGACAGTTTTATTTTTTAAAAATTTATATTGTAGTAGATCTTTGGTGTAAAATTGTAAAATACGAAGTTTCTACCAGGGACGCCGTTACGGATTTTCTCTGTCGAAAGAAAATTTAACCTGTAAATCGATTTTTCAAAATCTTTTTTTTGTTTTTATTTTTTTGCACTGTGCAACGTAAAACCCATTGCACAGTGCACGACAAACTGTTTGTCATAACTTTTAAACTTTTTGACAAACCTTTTTCAAAAATGCTTTTAAATTTAAAAAGATGGCATTATTTGACAATATATGACATTTTATAAACCATCCACATTTGAAATTAATCAAAAAATCACTTTTTATTTTTTGCACTGTGCAGTCATTTAGCGACTGCACTGTGCAGCTTATGTAATTTGCAGTGTTGCACGGTGCAATGAATAAATGAATGCACGGTGCAAATTTATAATAGCAAAAAAATGTTTAATAAGGTCATAAAAAATTATATTTGGGAGCGGTAATTTTTTTTTCAAAAAAATTTTTTTCTAATTTTTAATAGTTTTGTGTAAGGGTGGGGTCGGTAAAGTAGGGCAGGGTAGCAAAACAATATTATTTTTACGACCGTTTACTGGTAAACCACGTTATTGTGTGTGGTCAAAACAAGTATAATATACTCAAACTGTAACACTCCGTTTGTCTTTAATCCCCTCAGGCATTGCGGTTTGAAGGAATGACAAAACTTTATCAAAACAAAGTCGAGCTAACCAGTACGAAGTACAATTACTCTGTGCACTTCGAAAAAAGTTCGTACTTGGAAGAAAGCTGAGTATCTAACTTAATATAGGGCAAGTTTGAAGTTGTAAAAAAACTTTTGGGGGGAGGACGGAATTTTTGTTAGATAAGGGGGGGGAATGGTGATTCTTTTGGGCAGGGTTAAATTTTGGGCGTGGTAAAATTTTTGGACAAGGTAAAATTTTGGGCGTGGCAAAACTATTGGGCAGTGAAAATTTTTGGGTATTACAGTAGTTTCCTAGCGGGATACGGTAAAATAAACTTTGATTTTGTCAGGCTTTCGGCCGAATTTTAATGAAAAACGTTAATTTCCGACCTAAAACTTCAAAAAGATCTCTGGAAAAGCACGGTAATTGAAACCCGCCCATCCTTTTCACAACAACAGTTTACAATTTCAGCACTTTAAAGTGATTATTCTGTGTGAATCATTACAGACTGTTTTTTTGTAAACAAGTCTCCTAATTTTGTGTTTTTTTTCATTTTTTAAAGCTTTTTTAACATTTTTTAGACTTTTAAAATGCTTTTCTAAGCTGTGGTGACATTTTAATTTATTTTACAATTTTTTATTGCACTGTGCAAACATTTTTATTGCTCTGTGCAGTCATTTAGTGGTTGCACGGTGCGCCTTATGTATTTTGCACTGTTGCACGGTGCAATGGATACGTGACTGCACGGTGCAGTAAAAATGATTGCACAATGCAAATTTAAAATTGTAAAAAAATGTTAAAAAAGGTCATTTTATGTATCGACAACAAATCAAAAATTATTTTTGGGGGTGGTAAAAATATTTTTTATAATTTTTTGTTTTTTTTTATTTTTAAAAAATTTTGAGATTTTTGAAAAACCTACAGTAACTAATAGTTCAAACATAGAAACAGATACCTACTTTTATTTACCGGATGTTTTGAGAGTTCTACTTTCCGATTGTCATTCCAAACGTTGTTTTGTTTCCGACATGTATTCGTTACCATAATATAACTGAAACAGTAAATTGTTCTGACAATATATGTCATTTCAGATTGACATGGATTTAAATTGAAAACATGGAAAAATATTTTTTGGGTATGAATATGACCATAGTATCTTATTTTATAATATTTTTTTGTGTTTTTGGAATAGGCACGGGTAGGGTAGGGTAGGGTAGCGGATACACTAAAAATCAATGGTGGAAGGGGGAATGTCATTCCATGACAAATCCATTTCAAAAACAACAAAAAAGTTTTGGAAACGTTTGACTCGAGGGTATATTAACATATATGTGACCATATAAGCTTATATGTTTGTTCAAGCGAACGTTCCCAAGAACGGCGGCCGTGGAACGATTAAAACAAACTTTTTTGTGACATTTGAAAATTGTTTATGGCACAATTAAAACGTTTTGTCGCGCCGTTCCGGACCCATTGTTCCATCGTGAATTGATGTTTTACTTTTAATTGCACAGTGTTGAGAATGGACACGGTAGGCTACAGAGTTGTAAAATTGATGTTTAGACTTTTGGCTATTTGAAAAAGGGTTTGAAAAAGGCATTTTAGTGATAGGGCAACCATGGTAGTTTTAAAATAAAGCCAATTGCGCAGTACACTACAAACTTTTTGTCATAACATTTAAACTTTTTGACCAACTTTTGTAAGATTAACTGTACATCAAAAAGGGCATTTTTTATCAATCTATGACATTTTATATATCGTTCATATTTCAAAACCATCAAAAACTGGCGTTTTATTTTTTGCACAGTGCAGACATTTAGCGACTGCATCGTGCAGCTTATGTAATTTTCACTGTTGCACGGTGCAATGAATAAATGAGTGCACGGTGCAAGTAAAAACTTTAGCTCAAAGTTGTTTAAAATTGTAAAAAATGAAGTTAAAGATAATTTTAGGTAACAAATATTATGAAAAAATTGCTTTTTTGATGTTTTTCGTACTAAAAAATTTTAAAATCTAAATTTTTTTTTCAATTTTAAAATTTAATTTTTTACTGTACTATACGACTTTTTTAAAGTACAACTAAATTAAACACGTATGTAACAAATTTACCGTGTTTTATATTCCCAGTAAATGTAATTAAACAACTTTTAATTGACTTTACTACTTGATAACACAATTTTTTAAGTTTTTAAAAAAATAAATTACTTTAAATTGACTGTAATATTGTTTTTGTCTCTGTTCGTGTGTTTGACATTGTAAAATAAAGTTTTACTTTGAAAGTAAATAACAAGTTACATTTTTAGTAACATTTAAAAATAGCATGATGCAGGTCACGAAATGTTGTGGTACAGCTTGTATTTACTGTAAAATAGGTTGATTGAAAACTTTTTATAGATATTTAAACTTAAAATGGCGTACGTGTCATTTTTGAGGCTTATAAAGGGTCATGAACAGTAAAAATGGCAAATTTGTATCATTTTTGACTATTTTTATCAAACTGAGCTGTCATTTTTAATTGTACAGAATGTAAAAGCTCTCTAAAATGTTTAATTTCAAACTAAGTTAACTTTTACTAGCATTTAAAGGCTTTAAATCCACTATTTTTTTCTGCACTGTGCATCATATAGCTCTTTGCACAGTGAACTACAAACTTTTCTTCATAAATTTTAAACTTTTTGACCAACTTTTTTAAAAATCCTTTTAATTTTTAAAAAATGTCATTTTTTAACAATCTATGTCATTTTGTATACCACCCGTATTTGAAAATTATCAAACAATCACATTTTATTTTTTGCACCGTGCAGATATTTAGCGAGTGCACAGTGCGCCTTATGTAATTGCCACTGTTGCACTGTGCAATGAATAAATGACTGCATGGTGCAGTGAAAAAGTATTGTAAAGTGCGGTTTAGAAATGTAAAAAATGAGGTTTATGTTAATTTAAGTAACAAATTTTTGTAGAAAAATGGATTTAAAGATACGGAGATAAATTTTGTAAATTTTTTTTTGTTTTCTCGAAATTTATAATTTTATATCTAAAAAGAAACTTCCTAAATTTACAGTCCAACTGCTTTTTTGAATAGATTAAAACATCTGGCAATAAGGAACAAGAACTTTTGAATCGAGAACCGTCAAAAAACTGAAAAAAAATTTATTTGAAATGTTAAGCACCAGACTTTTGAGATTAGAACAGCTTCTTTAAGCCTTGATGAACCTTTTGAAACTTTAAAAAACTTAAAAAAAACTGTCATAACTTTTGTATTGCACTGGGAGAGGAAAATTTAAAATATTATATGAGGGCATGGCAGGGCTGAGGGGGGAAATAAAAAATTGAAAAAATATATTTTTGACTCCCCCCACCACTTCCAAAATTATTTTTTATTGGTAGTTGCTATTTAAAATGACATTTTTACACGTTTTTTCAATTTTTAATTGCACTGTTTAATCTTTTTTTTATTGCACTGTGCAGTAATTTAGCGACTGCACGGTGCGCCTTATGTAATTTCCACTGTTGCACGGTGCAGCGAATAAATGACTGCACGGTGCAGTTTAAAAATACACAGTGCAATTCAAAATTGCAAAAAAAAGTTACAAAATGTTATTTTAGGTATCAACTACAAATAAAAAGTAATTTTTTGGGAATGGTAATTTTTTTTCAAAAAATTTGAAATTTTTTTTTCTTTTTAAGTTTTTGAAAAATTTAATTTAAAAATTAAAAAAAATTGTGTTATGTGTCATTATATCGCACTAGTTAATATACAAACCCTTTTCATATTGTTTTTTTTTCGATTATTTGTTCATTTCCGGTTTCCGGATGTTAAGTGTCCTAAGGGCATGGCAACATGAAAAAACGTGTAAAAAATTATTCAGAATAAGAAACTATGAGAGTGGAGAGGGCTAAATTTATGCGAAAAGCCATCGAAACAAGTCCCACGTGAAAGTTGTTTTTATAAGTACTATAAGTTGGTCAAACATTTTTATTTGTTTATTATGTTATCTGTGTGCTATCTGAAAGGAAGTATCCCAGAGCCCTAGCTCAGAGCCCTAGCCCAGAGCCCTAGCCCAGAGCCCTAGCCCAGAGCCCTAGCCCAGAGCCCTAGCCCAGAGCCCTAGCCCAGAGCCCTAGCCCAGAGCCCTAGCCCAGAGCCCTAGCCCAGAGCCCTAGCTCAGAGCAGCTTTTACTTGGGCCACAATTTTTACTCCGCCCATAATTTATTTCTGTCTAAATTTTTTTGTACAAATTAAAATTTTGTCCAGCCCAAAATTTTACCTTGCTCAAAATTTTTATTATGTCTAAAATTTTTACCATGCCGAATATTTTTATCATATTCAACATTTTTAACATGCCCACAATTTTTTTTCATGCTTAAAATATACCCTGCCCAAAAATTTTACCATGCCTAAAATTTTTACCTCCTTCTCCCCCCCCTCCCCCCCCCCTCTTCTCTTGTCTAATTGACTTAAAAAGGGTTTTAATTAATCTTGTTTTTACACTTTAATGTTATTTGGCTTCCAACCACCACTCAAGGGCTTTATACCTATATATAGGCTATAAACAAGCTGTTCGTATGTTTCAGATTAACATTGATATAACACTTAGTATCAATTAGACTACTTCTTTAGTACATAAAATATTAATACGAGCTGGTTCATATAAATTTAATTACTGTGTATGTTAACGGGAATATGTTTACGTACATCAATATATGAACTCTCATGTTTTATTCACAACTGAACCCTAGGACATCGTGAAACGTAGTACTATATGTTTGTGTTATCTGATGTAATATATGTATATTGAGTGGGGCGTTGTAGTTTACTAAATATATTATAGACTATATACTGATTATACAATACGAGGTATAGCATGGAAAGTGGTTTCCTTTCCTTTTTTTACTACGTACAGTAGCTTTGATAGTACATACTGTACTCATAGTAGCAGGTGTAGTACGTTCGGTATTACGTACAGTAATCTTGGCTTTATATACGGTATCTTTTGGTTTGCGTACAGTAGAGTCACAGTAAGGCTAGATACTGTAGAATTAATAAATACAGTAAGATTAGATACAGTAACTTTGGCAGGTTACAGCAGGCTTATACAGTACGGTAAGTCTAGTTACAGTAGGATTGAAAGGTACAGCAAGGATGAGGGTTAGGACTCTGGGCTAGGGCCCTGGGCTAGGGCTCTGGGCTAGGGCTTTGGGCTAGGGCTCTGGGCTAGGGCTAGACTATATCATTACTAACTTGTACTTGCATATACTATTTTCTGACCCCACAAAGATGTCTATATACTATGGCATGTGAACCTCATACTTAAGTGCATACCCAATGATCGGATGTCTGCTGTTTTTTCCGTTCCAAAGTTTAAATACTTCTAGTTGATTAATACTCGATTTAGTAGCCAGAACTTCCGAAAAACATCCTCCCTCCTCTCCCTTGCCCTCACTTCTCTCCCCCCCCCCACTCTCGTCTTTTAAAGAATGCCAGTTTAGGAAAACTTTTTTTTGACTTTTTGATATTTAATTCTTTGTTATTTTATTGGTTTTAATAAGCGAAGATAGTTTTTTTTGCACTGTGTAAAATAAAGCCCATTGCACAATGCACTTCAAACCTTCTTCATAACTTTTAAATTTTCTTACCAACTTTTTCAAAAATAAGTTTAAGTTTTAAAAAATGACATTATTTATCAATATATGGCCTTTTATATACTACTTATCTTTCAAAATCATCAAAAAATTGCATTTCTTTTTTTGCACCGTGCATTCATTTAAAGACTGCACTGTGCAGCTTATGTAATTTGCACTGTTGCACGGTGCAATGAATAAATGACTGCACTGTGCAGTCCAAATCTTTGCTGAAAGTTGTTTTAAAATGTAAAATGAGGGGGTTAAAAACAATTTTAAGTTAGAAAATGACTTTGAAGTAGCTGTAAATTTAGCTTTTTAATATATTTTTCAAAGTTTTATTGTTTTTTGACTTTAAACTGGCTAGATGATAGGCTTTTTTAGGTAAAAATGACGTTTTGAGCTTATTATCTTCACTTTTCTTAAATTTATTGGATTTAATTTAGGGTTTAAATTGTAAAATACGAATTTTCGTTCTATGTGGTGTAAAATTTTTCAAAATTTTTTTGTTTTTTGCATTACTTTTTAAAATTTACCGTGCTTTTTTTTGATAATCTTGGCGTTTTTAACAATATATATACTCTATCACCTGAAACGTGGTTTATTTTGTGACATGTTTTATATATTATGGCGTGAATGTAAATATTTCTGGTTTTACAGCGGTTTTTTACATTTTTTTTAATTTTTAGGGACCTAGATGCCTACTACAATATCCAGCTCAAATTACAAGTGAAATAGCTATTTTTCACTGTAAAATTACATTACAAACGCCTTTCTATACCTTTACAAGCCTATTCACATCAATATGACTTCAAATATGTACCCATTCAACCAACAATCAATGCGCGCAGCCTGCGCCCAAGACGAGGGGGAGGATATTGAAAACAAATCGGAAGAGTCGTTGCCACTTGACATAACTTCGAATTCCTCGGATTCTGGATGTGTTCGAGCTGAAAATTGTCAGTCCAGTCAGTCGCAGCCACTGGAACAGCCCGAGGTCAATAATAATGCGGCCAAGAACAGTCTAGTCGACCAGTCGAGAAGCTTTCTGGCCGATTTGTTGGAAGTGTCACTGCCTGTTCAGAACGGACTGGACAAAGCTAGAGTGTAAGTTGATTTTTATGTAATTTAGGGTAAAGGCAGAGGCGAGGGGGGACAGAAAGGCAGCAAGGGGGGGGCATAAAAGCAGGGAGAAGAGGAAAGGCAGGAAGGGGGAGGGGGGGGTGCTGATCATATGGGGAATGGGTAAAATACGGTAGCGGTAGAGCTGTCACGATTACATATTTTTCATGTCACGATGACATATACTTCTTGTCATCATGGTGACATATTTTTTATGTTATGATGATACTTTTAACAGTCTTGGTGACAATATTTAAAAGCCTTATTGACATTTTATATTATCGTAGTGACATTGCTAAATTGTCATGATGACACATTTTTATGGTCACGATGACTATTTTTAAGTGTCACGTTGACAAGTCTATTTTGTAAAAACGGCATATAAATTGTGTCACTATGACATTTTTATATAATGTGATAACAATTTTACTTGTCATTATGACATATAAAAAGTGTCATTATGACATTTAAAAATTGTCACGATGACACTTTAAAAGTGTCTTGTTGACACTTAAAAATTGTCGTAATGACACTAATTATTGCTATATCAACAATTAAAGTTGTTCAAACAACAACTATAATTGTGATAATGACACTTTTTGTTGTCACGATGACACCTTTTTCTATCCGGAAGTACAATTTGTTTTAATGTTTATAGTACACCACTTTGTGTACGATGATCATTGGGAAATGTAAAGTAATTCCGAAGAACCGATGTGACACTTTGTAGTAACTTGTTGTGAACCCCCCCCCCTCCCCTTATTTATTGAATTTGGGATTCAATTTGGTTTCACACCACAAAATGTATTAGGAGGGGTAGATCCGCCGTTCGAGTTGTCTCAACAACTATAGGCTATGTTGGTATATGGGGGTTAGGATATATTATTGAGGCTTAGGCTTAGTATTATGTCTTAGGCTTATGCTTAAGCTTAGGCTTAGGCTTGGGCTTAAGTTTTGGCTTAGAATTGGGTTTAAACTAAGGCTTAGGCTTAGACATTGGCTTCGAATTAGGCTTAGGCTTAGAATTAGGCTTAAACTCAAGCTTATGCTTAGGCTTAGGCTTAAGCTTAGTGTTATGCTCAAGCTTGATCTTAAGCTTAGAGTTAAGCTTAGGCTTAGTATCATGTTTTATGCATAGACATAAGCATAAGCGTAGGCCAAGACTTAGGCTTCATGTGAGGTATTAATATGGTTAAAATAAAAAAAAAAGGCTTGGGCTAAGGCTAAATACATAAAGGATTGTCATATATTTATCTCTAATCTATGACAAAATTTCTTCAAAACAATAGCTGTCATTCTATTACCAGCTTATTTACTTTATGTTGATGTTATAGTATACCGGAAATTATCACGCATTTCCGCCCCCGACGAGCGCCAAAGTTGCTTGTTTATTTTAGGTATCGAAATTCAACAATTTATATTTGTTTGGCCTGAGGGCAATTTTTAATTTCCGCTTTTTGTTTGGACTTTTAAACAGTTTTAAATAGCCTATTTGGGAGGGCTTAACGAGCTGAGGCTTAAAGGAGGAGGAAGGGAGGAAATAGTGTGTGATTAAGGGAGGGTGACAGGTTTTTGAATGAGGAAGAGGGGGGGTGAATAGAGGATAGGAATTATAAATTTTTTAAAACGTCAGAAGTAAAAAAGTTTATGACTCTTAAAGATAGAGTAACATCGGGAATGGCTCTGGGTATGGTGGGGCAGGTCAGATTTAAGCCATTTTTAAAGTTTTAAAAATGATTTTTAGTTTAAATTTTAGGAATTTTTATTTTTTTGGCTTTATTTTTACAAACTTATGTCTAATTTAAGCTTAAAATTAAAATAGTGAGTTTTAAAATTAATTTTTAAACCCATTTTTTACTTTTTTTAATTTGCACTGTGCAACGTTTTTTGACTGCACCGTGCAGTCTTTTGTTTATTGCACCGTGCAACAGTCGAAATTACATGAGATGCACCGTGCAGTCAAAAAAGATTGCACAGTGCAAAAAATTAGTACTTTTAAAAAGGCGTGGGTAATTAAAAAATGATTTTTAGGGTATCTTGGGAGGGGTATATGTTAGTTTTTTAAATCTTTAGGGCTTCTCTAGACCATATTCTAAATTTTTTAAACTTTGATGTTTTTTGATAAGTTGAAGTACATATATAGACCATAAAACCCTAAATTCCTCACCAAAAGAAGGAGCAAAGGCCACGTGAAGGCGTGGAGGAACAAAGCCGTTTTTTACATTTTTTGTTTCAAATTTAGTTATAATGGCCGAAATCTGTTTAACACACAATTTAGGCCAATTTCCGGCGATTTCCTTCTTGTTTTATAATTAAAAACCCCGCCCTTAAGGGTTTGTTTTGGTTACTTTTCGAATTAAAATGTATCAATGTATCGCGTGACTTTGCCGGAAATTATGGTAGGAAATGAGTTTGGGGGAGGGGGAGTACTGTACTGTAGCTTAGTGGTACATATGGAAGAAGAGGGGGGGGGGGGGGCGACGGTGAGTAAAAGCATGATTAGAAGAGTCACAGTAAGCATGTCATGACAAATTAAAAAAAAATGTAAAAAATTGAAAAAAAAGTTGCGGCAACCAAAAAGTTGCCAAAAAACGCAACAAGTTGTAAGGCAGGGCAAATTGGTTTAATAGAAGGCAAGGTAGGGTAGGGTAGAGCTGAAATAGCAAATTCGAAGCAGGGTAAAGTAGGATAGGGCAGGATAGTATAGGGTAGGGTAAGGTAGAGCAGGGTAGGGTACGATAGAGTAGGGTAAAGTAGGGTAGGGTAGGGTAGGTCACGCGAGGGTTGGGTGTGGTAATGTAAGGTACGTTAAGCTACGGTTACTTAAAGTAAATAGCGTTAAAAATGTAAAAAAGTTGCCAAAGTTGCTGCAACTTTTTGCACAAAAAGCATTTTTTCTCGCAAATTTGCAACATTCTTACCCCGCCAAAGTTTAAAAATAACATTTTAAAGTGTAAAAGTTTCGTTTTCTGCTTAAACAAGCTTGTCCAACTAACACTGCGTGGGGTTATCATACATGATTTCACATTTTGCTTCAGGGCTTTTGAAAAAAAAGGTTTAAAAATGTTTTGAACTTGAAACTATAAGATCATATTTGTTGACATGTGGGTTGGGGTAGGGCTGGAAATGTCATTTTCATTTGTTTTGTCACGTTTTCTACTGGCTGTTGGCGATTTCGAAAAATGATGACTTTGGGTGGGAAAAGAGGGTATATCTACTGTAATATTAAGTGTAACAACCTAAATTTTTGGCATAATAAAAGAATATAATGCTGTATCAGCGTACCAAATTGTGTAATTTTTGGTGGTTTTTTTGTTACTGTAATCAATATTTTTTGTTCTAGCACTTATTTATGGATCGTAAAGTATATCGTAGTAAACATAGTATATCTACTGTAAGAATTGACAAAACTTAAACGTTTTTGATACACTAATAGCACAGTATGCACGCTTCAATTAAGTTAACTTTTATTTATATTGGTTTATTTGTGTTACAGTAACCGTAATTTTTAGACTTGAGAAGCGTTATAAGGCTTGAAATTATATCAAAGTAAATACAGTATATCTACCGTAAGATATGATTATATTTAATAATTGTTGGCACTGTTATAGCACAGTATCTAAGCTACAATTTTGCGAAATGTGGTATTGATTGGTCGGTTTTTGTTATAGTAATCGCTATTTTTCAATCGGGGAGCTTATGTTAAGACAAAGTTGTGTCATAGTACAGAATATCTACTGTCTCTTTTGATAAAATTGCGCAATTTTTGAGTATATTATAGTATTATACTAAGTATGTTGTACCAGTATACTAAATTTCAAAAATTTTGGATTTGTCATTTTACAGTAATCTATTTTTTATTAGTTGTAGTTATATGAAGTTTCATAGGGAATTTAAAAACGTTTAGGTTTATTAGTACTAATAGTACTATCAATTTTGGTGTAAATACGTATTCTTTGAACCCTATAGATTGTTTTGTTACAAGTGTAGTCAATTTACATTACTCAAAGAACGGTCATTTATATTATTTTTGTCTACAGTAATTAATAACCTTTTCCGTTTTTAAAATTTTTTTTCAAATTTAAAAAAAATGAAAAATGCTTGTCGAAAACACGCTAAAAACGTCAAAAAAGGGCATCTGAAGGCAGTGTTTTAGTGCATACATCAAAATATACGATTAGCGTAGTAAACATTTTTTACATTTTTGGGGTATTAGGGAAGACGTTTCAGTGGGTTTAATGCTTATTTTATTGGCTTTATTCTATGTTTTGTGAGATTTTTGAAAGATTAGGCTTGTTTTAGTGACTTCTACTTTTAACTTTAACCTTAATCTTGCGATAAGGATTAGGCTCTGGCTCGGAATCAACATAGGCTTAATCTCTTTCTTATGCTAAGGCTTAGGCTTGAGTTTGGCTTAGACGCAGGCTCAGGATTAGGCTTAGGCTTGAGTTAGGCTTTGACTTAGGCTTAGGATGGAGCTTAATTCTAAAGCATATTTTTAGGCTTAATCTTCCTTTATGCCTTAGCCTTAAGCAAACAGAGCATAGGCTTAGGCGTATGATTAATTTTAGTGTTAGGCTGAATCTTATTCTTAGGCTTATGTTTGAGCTTAGACTGGACTTTAGCTTTAGCCTGAGCATTATGTTTAGGCTTAAGGCTTTTGCTTAGCTTCAACCTTATTTTGAGACTTTGAACAAGGCTTAGACTCAAGTCTATGCTTAAGTCGAGGCTTAGTTTGAGGCTTTAAGCTTGGAAGTAAGCTCAGTCTTAAACGGATTTTAGCTTTAATTATCCTACTGATGGCAAATCTCAAACGTTTTGTAATTTTTGACTTCTTTTGTTACCTACCACATTTTAGAAATCTTTTAAAATACTGTAAGTTGTCTCTCATTAAAAACCCTTTTGGTGCGTTGGTGTGAACACGTATTTGAAACCGTTCCCTAGCAAATTCCGAGAAAATATGTTAGGAATTCAATTACTAAACGCCTCGGTAACAATGAACGTTAAGAAATAAGGCCCTAAGGTTTTTTTGAGGGGGGGGGGCAGAAAATTGTCCTTTTTGGTTTTAAAAGGGTAGGGTAGGGTAAGGCAGGGTAGGGTAGGGTAGGGTAGGGTGAGGCAGGGTAGGGTAGGGTAGGGTAGGTTAGGGTAGGGTAGGGTAGGGTAGGGTAGGGTAGGGTAGGGTAGGGCAGGGTAGGGTAGGGTAGGGTAGGGTAAGGGAGGGTAGGGTAGGGTAGGGTAGTGTAGGGTAGGGTAGGGTAGGGTAGGTTAGGGTAGGGTAGGGTAGGGTAGGGTAGGGTAGGGTAGGGTAGGGTAGGGTAGGGTAGGGTAGGGTAGGGTAGGGTAGGGTAGGGTAGGGCAAGGTAAAGTAGGGTAGGGTAGGGTAGGGTAGGGTAGGGCAAGGTAAAGTAGGGTAGGGTAGGGTAGGGTAGGGTAGGGTAGGGCAAGGTAAAGTAGGGTAGGGTCGAAAGTCCTACTGTACTTTACTGTGAACGCACAAAGTGGACTTTATCTCCATTTTTGGCTTTCACGGTAAGCGTTCTTGACAGGTTGACGCCAGGAAGGGTCATAAAGAACAATCTTTGTTTACGTACATGCTTTTCGTAAATAAGGTTTTTAAAGTTTAATGTGGGTTGAAAGTGCTTAGATTAAACCTTTTAGGGCTTATAGGGCAGACGGAACGGTTTGGTAGTTTTTTTTGTGCTGGGCGAGGTAAAACTTTAATAGGGGTGTAGAGATAAGGCTTATGTAATGGCTAGGGCTCTGGGCTAGTTCTCTGGGCTAGGGCTCTGGGCTAGGGCTCTGGGCTAGGGCTCTGGGCTGGGGCCTCTGCGCTAGGGCCTCTGGGCTAGTTCTCTGGGCTAGGGCTCTGGGCTCTGGGCTGGGGCCTCTGGGCTAGGGCTCTGGGCTAGGGCTCTGGGCTAGGGCTCTGGGCTAGGGCTCTGGGCTAGGGCTCTGGGCTAGGGCTCTGGGCTAGGGCTCTGGGCTAGGGCCTCTGGGCTGGGGGCCTCTGGGCTAGGGGCCTCTAGGCTAGTTCTCTGGGCTAGGGCTCTAGGCTAGTGCTTCTGGGCTAGTTCTCTGGGCTAGGGCTCTGGGCTAGTTCTCTGGGCTAGGGCTTTGGGCTAGGGCTCTGGGCTAGGGCGCTGGGCTAGGGCTCTGGGCTAGGGCTCTGGGCTAGGGCTCTGGGCTAGGGCTTTGGGCTAGGGCTGGGACTTTTTATTATAAAAACAACAATTAAAGGAAAATGTTTGCAAAGAACGGTAGAGCACAGTGGGGAACATTGAAACTTTTACATTTATGCTAACTTTAAAAAATAGTTTTTTCTTGTCTATTCATGATGATGTATGCTACAAACTTTGCAGTTTCTTGTCCTCAAAGTTTGAAAATTTCAAAAAAAAATTTTAAAAAAAATTTAAATTTCAAAAATAGTTGCCATATGTTTTGCTTTTTTTGTTACAAATATGCCATTTTTATAAAAATAGAAGCCTAAAGGTCAATCTTTTTTTAAAGCTCAAGGTCTAAGTCTTATATTTGAAAGATATGACCATTTGTGTTCGAATAGGCATGCAAGTCATGCTTCCGGCTACGTTTATAAATGAGCGGTTTCTTTGAAACTTCGACTTTTTAAATCGTTAGTAAAAAAATTGAATTTAAAAATCTTTCATGCTATGTGTGCAGTTTTTCTAAATTTTTTTTGTTGAGGGCGCAACTTGCCAAAAAGTTGGAGTTTTAAAGGGCGCAGTCTGCAAAAATTTTGCTTTACGAGGGCGCAGCTTGTTACAAAAGTGTATCTTGAAAAAACTGTGTTACTATAAGGCTCATGATTTAAAAACATGATTTGTAAAAATTAAAAAAATTGTATATTTTTTGGGCGCAGCTCGCCAAAAAGTTACAAAAAATAAATTTTCAGGTATTGTATTAGAACCTCAAAAAACATCTATAGAGTGACAATTTAATTTATATTTTATATTTTTTTATAATAATTTCATTACTTTTAAGATTAATTTTTAATTTATCGTAAACAACACAGAATTGCAAGTGTAATGTAATTTACATTACTCTGGTTTGAAAAAAAAGATAATTGGTGTAGAGGGTTTCATTTGATTGTTTAAAAAAACTATAACATTAAACTGAGTATAAGTGCTTTAGTTTTGACGGTTCTTTTACTATTTTATGCTTTTAAAGTGGGACGCAGACTGCGGGTGACATATTATACGCTGACGTAAATAACGTTATTTTATAGTTTACCAGTGTGGTAGTTTGACATTGCTGCAAGTTTAAGACTATTTTATGTGCTGCGAACTGCGGGTGACATGTTATACGATGAGTACTTTTTTGAATGTCTTTTTGTTGTTGCTGCGTGGTTATGGGAAAATACTTTTCAGTAGACGAAATTAGAAACAAAAACAACAAATTAGCAACATTTTTCATATCAAGGTTTATGGTATATGTAGCATGTAATTCTCACATATTGTCAGATTTTCTGTTTTTTATGTTTTTGTGTGAATTTTCTCATGTAAACACGATAAGCATAACAAGATTGCAATATCTAGACTATTTTGAGTTTTTTCTTATTTCAGGTAAAAAGTACTTTTTTTTGCTTACTCAAATTTAGTTTTGGGCTTAGACTTATATTTAGGCTTAGGTTCATGCTTAGGCTTAGGGCCACACTTAGGTTTAGGTTTAGGCTTAGGCTAAGGCTTAGGGCCGGCTTAGGTTTAGGTTTAGGTTTAAGCTTAGGCTTAGGCTTCTGACATAGGCTTAGACTTAGGCTTAGGATTAGGCTTAGGTTTAGATTTAAGCTTAAACGGAAGCGTAGATTTAGAAAAAGGCTTAACGATAAAATTGGGCTTAGACTTAGGCTTAATTTTAAGCTTAGAATTCGGACTAACTTATGATTAAGGTAAACGTCTATAACAGTTTTATCTTAATTTATTCTATCCTTACCTTAAATCTTACCGTGCTCCAAGTATTGTCGTACCCTGTGTTCTGGGGGGGGGGCACCCCCCCCAGAAAATTGAACGTGGTCCCTGTGGATTTTTGGAAAAAAAATTTTCGCAACAAATCGGCACAGTTTTTTTTCGACCCCCGCCCCCAGACCAAAAGTCCCCGCCCGGCACTGGCTGTATTCTAGCTCTACTCTTCTTCACCTTACTGTGCCTTACCTAACTCTACCTTACCTCACCATACTCTATCCTATCGTACTTTACCATAGCCCCCGCTTTCAACCTTAGTTCTATTCCACACTACAGTAGTCTTAAAGTTAAAAAAATTTGTCATGAACAGTATCCTAATTCTCAAATTACACAGTATTATTTTTTACATGTTTGTCAGACATATTTTAAGCCTAATTTCTCGGATTTCAGCAGCGCCTTCGGAGCTCACGGCCTGTTCATGGGCCTCGGCCGGATGGCCTTCCAGATCTCGAACAACATGCGGACGGTGCTCGTCTTCCTCAAATTTCTCGGCTTCTTCCCCGGCTTCGTAAGGGAGAGGAAGCGGACCGAGCACAGGTATATTGTGGTAGGTTGTTCTACTACTCCTGTGGTGGGGGAGGGGGTGCAACGTAGATGTGAGGGTTGGAAATGGTAGGGTAGAGTAAGTTAGAGTTGAAAAAGAGGAGGGAGGTGCAAAAAAGGGCAAGCAATTTTTGTTTAGTAAAATACGGTGTAGATGCAAAATTCTTTAAAAAAACGTTGCGGTAGTGCTAGTAAGTACCAAATGGTAAAAATCTGTTAGTATTTGATAAGCACTTGTATGAGCAACATATCTAATTAAAAATTGACAATTTTAAACTTTTTTCAGCTATTTTATACTAAAAAATGTTTTACATTACCTATGAGGACCGTTGAACCTACTGGTATAAAAAAGGTCATAACTTACTACCGTATATTATAAAAGGGTAAATTTTGATAAATCAACGTGAAATTTAAAATTTAAACGGAAAAATGAATGTCAAATTTAAATACAAATACAACTTTTTTAAAATAGTACACTTGGTACACTAAAATGCTTTTTGATTGCAAAAATACCGTATATTATCATTGACAACTTTTGGACCTTGTAATGAAGAAAAGCTCATAACTAATGTCAAATTTAGATTATCTGAATTGAAATTTTGGAGTTAGGTAGCTTTTTTAATGTCACACCACATGGAAAACCAATTTTTTAATAGTAGTACTTTTAATACCAAAAAATTGATTTTATGTAGCACCTCTAACTAACCCAAATATTATTCCAGCTCCGCCTAACTGCCTATGCCCTAACCCTATTCGGAATCCTGCTCAATCTCTACTTCTTCAAAGCCAATGTGGCAATGACGTTCCGTTATCACAAACATTTTGGTTTCCTTCATGCTACTACCGTATCAACCATTATCACAGGCATCAAGCCCTTCATTAACGCCATGTTACTATTCTTAATGGTACTGCGTCTCAAGTCACATATCAAAATGTTGCGAATGATGGATAATGTGGATCAGATCTTCAAGAAATCGTTTGGTAAATCACCTCCCATTCGCCGTTACAACAAGATTTTCGGCGGAATTGTTTTGTTTTTTGTTGTACTGCCATTGACATATCGGATATTTGAATCGATTTGGATGGATATTCATTCTAGACACAAGCGGTAGGTTTGAACTTTAAAATTTAGGTTCGGAAAACGTTTTTAGGTTATATAATATTAGTTAAAGTATTTTAAAAAGATTTTCGAGAAAGTTCCCTGATTTTCAGGGTTTTCGTGGTGGGACCCATAATAGTAAAAAAAATTTAAAAACTTTTAAAAATAATTTTTTGTAGTACTCGCTGTCATCATGTAAAATCAACTTTTAAAGCATTTTTCTTAATTCCCTTGGTTTTTAAAGTTTTCGTGGTGGGACCTAAAATTTGTAAAAAAATTTAAAAATGTTTTATATACGTTTAAACGTGTTGAATACACGCTGACAAACTTTTGTGAACTAGTATTAATGTCTTTTGCTAAGCTTCTTTGATTTTCAGGGTTTTCGTTCTGGGGCTCAAAATTACAAAAATCAAAATCATAAAATTTAATTAAAAAAAAATCTTCTGATCGTATTTTACAATATTTAATTTCCAGAACGCTATCAGAATGGTTGACGGATGTTTCGTTTATTTTGGTACCGCTTTTGACTGCCTGGAACATGATTCCTCTCTTTTACTATGTATTCTGCAATCGTGTCGTGTGTTACTGGTGTAAAACGCTGAAGAAGTGCATTCAAAAAGAGCATTTTAAACGTCAATTTAGTTTGAAGTTTTATTATGAACAGTTTTTGAGGATAACAGCACTTCAGGTAAGGGAGGAGGCGGAATGCCAAAGTTGGCGGGAAAATTTTAATTTAAATTTGTATGATATTTTTAATGTTTAAATGGTTTAAAAACATTAGAAAATGTTCTAAATGTAATTCTAACTTGTTTCTAACTTAATTTAAAGGCTGGAAACAGAATGCCAAATTTGGCGGGAAAATAATAATTTGAAATTTTTTGCTTTAAAAGTGCTTAAGAGTAGCATAGACTTATTACTACAAAGTTTATATTGTTTTTTAATTTATTTAAGGCCTTAAAACAGAATGCCAAAATTGGCGGGATTTTAAAAATTAAAACTTTAAAGCTTAAAAATAAGAGTTAAGTCACAACTTATAAAAAATTAAACAACTTTAATCTTTCGTATTTTAGAAAGCAATTGGCAGTGTTTTTAATCCAATTGTGTTCTTCTCGTTAGCATGGTCATTACTTATGCTCAGTCTCACTATCTACTTTATTACTCAACCGGCCTCAAGGTATGTTTGTAAAGAAAGTTCTTGCGGTTTTTTGATTTGTAAAAAAAGTTCTTGCCGTTTTTGTTTTGTAAAGAAAGTTTTTGCAATTTTTTGTTTTGTAAAGAAAGTTCTTGCTGTTTTTTGTTTTGTAAAAAAAGTTATTGCAAATTATGTTATATTAAATTTTAGGCTAGCCGAGCCTATAACAGTTCAACAAATTAGCAGTGAGCGTGCCAGAAAAGAGCTGACAGAACGAGTCTACATCAACCTTGGTTGGTCAGCTATTCAAATTACTGTAGCTATAATTCACATCATTTTCATATGTGCTACAGGCTTGAAGACGAATGAAGAAACGAGAAAAATCATCAATGCCGTTTTAGCCATCGTTCCAGATTCTAACGCGGATTTGGATCGGTTTCAGGTAAAATTTCAATTTTGAACTTTGAATTAAACCAGCTCATGTCTTCTACACGTATTTTACAAATTATTTTTAAAAAATAAAAAATGCTTTGCACTGTGCAATATAAATCTCATTGCACAGTGCACGATAAACTTTTCTTCATAATCTTTAAATTTTTTGTTGATCTTTTTTAAAAATAACTTTAAATTTAAATAAATGACATTATTTATCAATATATGACATTTTATACATCATCCATATTTCAAAATTACCAAAAAATCACATTTTATTTTTGCACCGTGCAGTAATTTAGCGGCTGCACTGTGCGCCTTATGTAATTTCCACTGTTGCACTGTGCAATGAATAAGTGTCTGCACAGTGCAAATTTTAAGGGCCTTGTTTTGGCAAATATGAGTTTAAAAGTGGCAGAAAATGATTTTTTAGGGTTGTGTAAAATTGTGTTTTATTAAAAAATTGTGTTTTAGATTTCCTGTTTTGTCCACAAAATGTCCACGCAGTACATGTGGGGAATGACCGTTTGGAGGGCGTTTCCACTGGAACGTACGACTTTTTTCACGGTAAGAATGGCCGGGGGAGGTAAAATACGGTGACTTGTTTATGTTATGTGATAGTTTAATATTTTTTCAAATTTTTAAAAATTTTGAAATTTCAAAATTTTTTTTTGATATTTAAGTTAAAACTAATTTTTACAGTAAATATGTTACTGTAATTGTACTAAAAATTGCCATTTTAGCTGGTCAGTGTTATGTTCACATATTCATTTCTATTGCTCAAACTTAAAGACAATCCGGCCGTCAGTCCCATCATCCGCCAAATCATTCAAATCAACGGCACTAATGTCAACGGGGTACTGTAATATACTGCAAAATTTAATTTAAATTGAGATTTTTTAAATTTTAAATTAAAAATTTTAATTTTTTTGATAAAAAATACCATTTTTGGTGTATTTTAAAGAAAAATGGGTATATTGTAGCGATCTCGAGTTTTTATACCATTTCTAATACGATATTATTGCGTGTATTGTACATAGTTTTATTGTTATTAAATGCTTGACACAGTAAAGGGGTTTTAATTGCTATTTTAATATTATAAATGATTTTATAAGCTCAAAAGTAATTGAAAACAATGCTCTATCTCGTATTTTACCAAAAAGCCTTTTAAAAGAACATAAATCATCTAATTTTAAAATTTACGATTAAAATTCAACCGTATTTTACTTTTTAAAACCTTTTTTATTTCTTGCACTGTGCATCCATTTTTTCTTGCGCCGTGCAGTCGTTAATGGGTTGCACTGTGCTGCTTATGTAAATTCCACTGTTGCACGGTGCACTGAATAAATGACTGCACGGTGCAGTCAAAAGTGGCTGCACAGTGGAATAAAAAATTTTGTAAAAATTGACTTTAAAGTTAAAGTTTAATTTTTGAGACAGAATTTGAATTACATTATGCACGTTTTATCACATATTTTTTAAAAATGTCGTATTTTTCATCAAAATGTTGGCTTTTTGCCTTTTTTTGCGGAAAAAATGGCTTTTTAGCTTTAAAAATGCAGTTTTCAAATGCTTTTTAGAACTGAAAATGCAATTTTAAAACACACTTAAGTTTTTAAATTGTTACAAGACCGCATCTTCATACTTTTCATTCAAAAACACCATTTGTCGATAAATTTGTTACCTAAAACAACATAAAACACAATCATTCAGTGCGATAAGGTTTGTTTTTTCAAGGCATAGATCCGCGAATGATATGACACAGATCTTGAAGGACGTTGTGATGATGAATCGAATGATATCAATGTATATATTATTGGGGTCAGACGCCGATCGCCAATTCAGGTCGTCAAGCTTTTTTTTGTCAAAAGTTTATCTTGTAGTAGGGGGGTTTCGGTGCGGTTTGCTGCTGGATACGGTTTTTTTGAGATTGGGATATTAATTTTAATAGGTCTGTGCCATTAATTTACAAACAAAAAAAAATTTTTAAAATAAAAATATTTTTAAAAGTGACTGTTTTTGCCTATTACAGTACCTAAAATACAGTGATAAATGATTAAAAAACATTTTACAGTAGTTATTAAAAAGCATTTTACAGTTTTACTGTTTTTACAACTGTTTTTATTGCACTGTGCAGTCATTTAGCGACTGCACTGTGCGCCGTACGTAATTTGCACTGTTGCACCGTGCAATAAATAAGTGACTGCACGGTGCAAAACCTCATTATTAAAGATTAACTAAAAAATGACTGGAAACCCAAAATAAAAATTTAAATATTATTATAGGTAATAATACGCTATTTAAGATCATTTTATACTTAAAAATTTTTAAAAAATTGTTTTTGACGTCAAAAAATTAAAAAAATTTTTTTATAACTAAAGTGACCTTACGATTCACTGACCAGTTGATTGTTTATATGACTAATTCGAAGACTGTGACGACGGATATGTTTCGCTAACGACATTCAGAAAAAACCAGAAATCTCCATGCGTCATCGAGTTTTCAAGGTCTATAAAAGATCACTGTGTCTATAAACATCTTCAGTTCAATATTCTAAAAGTCAGTTTTAACTATATTATTGTTGTCATATAAAAAAGAGTGGCGAAATTTGTAAATTTTGATATTTTTACTTTAAAAATAGAAAAAAAAATTTCGAAGTCTTACTTTGGACGTATTTTACAAATCCCACAATGTTTTTTCTAGTCTGTATTTTACTGTTACTATGGTTTTAAATTACTTTTTTACTCTTTTTAAGCTTTTTTTATTGCCCGCCCATTGCACTGTGTACTTACTTTCTTTTTTAACTTTAAAAATTTTTGACTTACTTTTTTAAAAATGACTTTGAATTTTAAAAATGCTATTTTTTATCAATAAATGACATTTTATATATTACCCATATTTCAAAATCATCAAAAAGTCACTTTTTATTTTTTGCACTGTGCAGATATTTAGCGACTGCACCGTGCAGCTTATGTAAGTTGCACTGTTGCATCGTGCAATGAATAATTGACTGCACGGTGCAGTAAAAAGTTATTTAAATTGGGTTTTAAAACTTACAAAAGTTTAACATAATTGACTTAAAATTAAATTTAGTGTAAAATACGGCATTTTGAAAACGTTAAAAAAATAAAAAAAAAGAATTTTTTTAAATTTTTAAATTTTAAGAATTTTAAAATCCTTCTGGCTAATAAAGTGTATTCTATTCCAATTTTCAATGTTCTGAATGTTCATATATACAAAATTCTGTTTGGATTTCTTTTTCGTCGCGCATCAGTGACAACTTTTCCATTATTTTTCTGGATTAACTATCGAAAAATGCATAAAAGCAGCTCGTTCCAACTGCTTTTTGTCATTTTTTGCTACTTTTTTGATTGACCACTAATTTCAGACTAGTTTTTTATGGCTTTAGAATATTTGCTTTAACCATATTTTATAAAAAATTACAATATTTGAGGTTTATTACCTAAAAATGCGCATTTATACTTTGGTTATGGCTGGTTTTTCAGCTTTTTTGTGACGTTTTGATACTTTTTTAGATAAGTGTCACTTTGAAATATATTTTTTATTGCTTTTCAGTGTCTGTTTTACGATATCCTTTTTTTATAAAAATATGCAATATCTTTACTTTAGCGATTAAAAAATGGCAGTTTTTCTTCATTTTTTGCTAAATTTTGAGCTTTTTCCAACTCTTTATTTATTTTTCCGTATTTTACATATCCCGAAATTTAAAAAAAAATAAAAAATATGATTTTTTAGACCCTTGGGGACCTACAAGACCAAAAATGGTTACTGTAATTCTGGCCGTTTTGGCTATTGTGGCTGTCAATGTCAATGCCCAATGTGATACTAGAGCTGCTATTGGTAACTATTTGAACTGTTTGAAAACCGATTTGGACGCCAAATACGATCCATTTGAAGATGAATTGAGAACTCACAGACGGTATGATCTATTCTTATTAATTTCTTGATTTTGAAATTAATTTTTTGAAATTTTTGACATTTCGTTATCTTTTTATTGGATTTTTAGACGTTTACGCAAATTTTGGATGTTAAAAGATTATTTTTTTACTATCTTTTACTAATATTTATGATAATATTGGTTTTTTGACATTTAGTCACCTTTAATCGAATTTGTAAAATTTGTTACATTTCGTCAACTTTGTATTGGCTTTTGAAAATTATTCAGAAACAGTGTTTTATGGCATTTATAAACGTTCTAAAGCTTATTAAAACCATTTTTAAATAATTTTTAATTTGTGACATTTCGTCAACTTTAAATTGATTTTTTCATTTTGCCCAAATCTGGAGTGCTATTTATAAAAATATAGAAACTAAGGGTTGAACATAACAAAAAACAGCTAAAAATGTAATTTTTCTAATTTTAGTCAAGCCGCCGATGCCTGTTTCGCCCACACCATCGCCGAAGCCAACGCCCAAGATCGTTGTGTGCTAGCCGGCGCCGACCTGGAAAGCAAAGCTTGGGACCGTAACGGTCCACTCAGAGACTGCTCCATCTGTCGTACTTTCGCTTCTGGTGCCATCAAGGCCGTTTTGAACACTCCACCAGAGGATCAGAAGTGTATTCGCACTCAAATCAGCAAAGCCATCGTGAAAGAAGCGGAATTCTGCATGAAGAAGAAGATTCCTGGCTTTCAAGGACTGCCCGAACTGCCAGATTTGGAAGAGGGTTCCTATGCTATCAAGGAGAAGGTGTAAGTTTGTATGGGAAAGGTTATTTTACGTTGATATTGGGTTAAAAATAGCAAAAAATGGGTTAAAAAGACCAAAAACGGAGAATTTTTAGTTGAGCGGAGTTGATAAAATTTGTCATAACTTTTGATTACAGTAATCCAAACGGCGGAAATTAGACTTTTTAGAAACTAGACATACCATAATATCTGGCAGTATTAAACATAGTTTAAAAATTTTATTTTGCTACTTAAAATTTGAAAAAGTTTTAAAAAATTATATCTTTCTGAGTTTGGGAGAGTGATAGAAAATTGGTCATAACTTTTGATTACAGTAACTCAAGCGGCTGAATTTAGACTTTTTAGAAGCTAAGCATTCTACTGATTAACCTCATATTAAAAATGTATTTTTGAAGCGCTTTTAATACCTAAAAATTAAGAAATAAATTTTGAAATCCAACTTTTTGAAAGCAAGTGGGTGATAGAAAATTGGTCGTAACTTTGGTTACAGTACCCCAGAAGGCTAAATTTGTACTTTTTGTAAAGGAGACAATCTAGTAATTCAGTTTATTGTAAAATACGGTTGTTTTCAGTGTCTATTTTATATGAAATTTTAAAAAATCTTTGAAAAATGCGAATAATTCTTCGAAAACTTTTTTTTCCACCCTTGCGACCCTGAAAAACCGAATAATTGTTACCCAAAATTTAACAATAAACAACTTTTAGTATTGACTCAATCTCCGACTACATCCTCATCCACTCTCGTTTGACGTTCTGTGCCGAAAGGAAGCCAGACCGTGCCGCTTCGACTCGCCAATGTCTTCAAACCCCATTTCCAGGCTACTTGAAACAACACTGTCAATGTGAGTATACTGTAACACAAAACATTTTTTTTGGCTTTATTTGGTGTTTTTTGCCTACTGTAACAGAAATCAAAAAAAAATTTTTTTTAAATTTTTTAGATTTTTTTAATAAAAATTAATACTTGACCTCCGCCTTATTTTACCAAATTCAAAACGTTTCAGCCATTGGTCAATGTGACACCCAAGCCATTGGAGCCGGTTGCCAAGCCGAGCTTAAGCAACACAAGGGCGCAACCTGCGAATGTATCGATGAGGCTCGGTCGGATTTGAAGCGCAGAATCGCTGGAATCGCTCAAGCCATCCAAGCGGCCGTTGACGGAGGCCGCGGAGCTCCACAAATCGGCGGAGGCACCAAGGTCGACGCTTGCGTTAACAACATCAAGCAACAACTGTACGTTTTTTTTAAGTTGAAGACTTGCTGGACGTATTTTACAACGAAAATTTTTAAATCAAAGCTAGATATATAGCACCTTTTATACCTAAAATCATTAAAAAACAGCTTGAACAATACAGCATTAAATTGGACATAGGTCAGGAAAACCTATTGTAACTTTTGATTACCGTAACCTAGAAATTTAAGTTTATGATTTTTGAAAAGTAGAAAGACTAGGCTTTTAGGTGATAGGCAATATTGCATTTGGCAACACGTTTTTTGTACCTAAAATCTACTTAAAAACAGCATGGACAATATATCAATAAGTTCGATCTGGCTCAGGAAAACTTGTTGTAACTTTTGTTTACCGTAACCGAAAAATCTAATCTTATGGTTTTTGAAAATCAAAAAGACTAGGCTTTTAGGTGATAAGCAGTATTAAATACTTCAGTACGTTTTTTATACCTAAATGCATCTAAAAACATCATGAACAATATATCATGAAATTTGACCTGGGTCGAGAAAAGTTGCTGTAACTTTTGGTTACCGTAACCCAGATGTTGCAAGTTAGACTTTTTGAAAACTAAAAAGATTACACCTTTAGGTGATATGCAATATTGCATTTGGCAGGACGTTTTTCATACCTAAATACATCTGAAAACATCATGAACAATATATTATGAAATTCTACCTGGGTCAGAAAAACTTACTGTAACTTTTGGCTACCATAACCTAAAAATTTATGTTTATGCTTTTTGAACACGCAAAAGCATGGGCTTTTCAATGATATATAACACAATATTAAATTTTTTCAAAAATCATGTTAAATTCATAAAAACGATGACATAACCCCAACATTTTCAGTGTCACCCCAACCAACGACTGGGGAGCCGTCATCGACCAAGCCCTGAACTCATGTATCAAGAACAAGCCATCAGCTCAATCACTAGGTATTGACTCGTTGTTGAACGTAGGATGTCGCAAAATCATTGCTGATAACACTGGCACAGCCACTGCTCAACTCAAGACAGGCTTTGACTTCGTGAACAACCTCATCGACGCCATGGTCGACCGCTCCAAGCGATTCTGTGGCGGCCCACACTGTGGAAACTAAGTTTCTTCCAAAAATTTTTAAATTGACATATGTCATTTTTGGTCAACGTAGATTGAAAGTGTCATTTCTCAAACTTTTTCAAAAAATTTTTTTTGGAAACAAAGTTTCTTCACATTTTTCAAAGGAATGACATTTCTTGTCAATATCAACGTTGGAAAGAAAGTCTTTGCCTATTTTGGAATGTTTGTATAACCGAATAATTTATTTTTACTCATATTAATGAATCTGAATAAATAGTTTGTAATAATTGGCGGTTTGACGAAATGTCACAAAAATTATTGGAAATGTGGACGAAGTGTCAAAAAATAATCGATAACGTTAACTATATGGCTTAAAATAAGTGTCAAACGTTTTGCATAGAGCTTACAATATGTCACAACCTTATTGGAAATTTGGACGAAGTGTCACAAAAATTATCGGCTTTTTAAAAACACAAAGTCCTTTATGTCAAATCAATTTATTACATTCAAAATGCTTTTTTATAAACAAAAAAAACCAGAAGTGATATTACTACAGGATTCAGCAATAGGTCTCCTAGTCATATGGGAGAACGATACTTGCTCAACGTGATCAATCTCAACATAAACCGAAGCTTTTTAGCATCGAAAGGAGGGTATCGGGCTCTAAAACAATTTTTTTTTATTACCCTACCTTATCCTACCCTACCCTAAACTACCCTACTCTGTCATGCCCTGCCCTGTCACGATCTGGCCGGCCCTGTCATACCTGTCATATCCTGGCTTGCCGTGCCTTGTCTTGCGTTGACCTGTCATGCTTTTCTCCGTCATGCCTTGCCCTGTCCAGTCATGCCCTCTCTGTCCTGCCCTGTCGTGACAAATGCCCTGCCCTACCACACCTTACTCTCCCATGCCCTACCCTATCCTACCCTCTCATGCCCTGCCCTGACATTTCATGCCCTGCTTTGTCCTGCCCAGCAATGCCATGCACTGATTTCTATTGCCGTACCTTACCCTACCCTACCTTTTATACCCACATACTGTAACCCTCCCCCCTCCCCAACTTACGATAACATGGATTCAAACCAAGAAGACCGGTGCAGAACACTTTTGAAATGCGAAAAAGTGTCAAAGCCAGCCTTGCCATGATATTTGCCCATGCCCGAGTTGCCCACCCCACCAAATGGCAGTGTTTCCACGGTGAAGTGCATGATAGTATCATTGATAGTCAGAGTACCGGACGATGTGTTCTCCTTCACCTGCTTTACCGTATCCTTACTGTCGGTGAAAAGGTACAGTACCAAGGGTTTTTCACGTCTATTAATCGACTTGATGGCCTCATCTACAGTTGGTACACTGAAGATGGGTAGAATGGGACCAAAGATTTCGTCGTCCATGGTGATGTCATCTTCTTCCACTGATATTAAGGTAGGCTCGATGAACTTCTCGGCACGTTCACGGCGACCACCGTACAGGATTTTGCCATCGGTCTTGTCGATTAGGTGACAAAGACGACTAAAATCAAAGTTTTGTTAGATCATTTATAATTTTTTGATTTGTAAAGAAAGTTCTTGCCATTTTGGTTTTGTAAAGAAAGTTCTTGCCATTTTGGTTTTGTAAAGAAAGTTCTTGCCATTTTGGTTTTGTAAAGAAAGTTCTTGCCATTTTTGATACTTTAAATGCACTTTTAGAGGTTTCAAGCAACTTGTAGACTGCGGGTGACAAGTTATACGATAAATAGCAAAATTGAACTGCTTTTTGTTTTGTAAAGAAAGTTCTTGCCATTTTTTGATTTGTAAAGAAAGTTCTTGCCATTTTAATTTTGACTTTTGTGTTTTGGAATCATTGATTGATCAAATTGTAAAAGAAACATTCTACAAACTTAATGACAGGTTACAAATCGAATCAACTACTAAATAAATAAATGTTGTAATCGATTCCGTTACAAATTTTGTTTTAACATTTCATGAAACATTACAAAAAGTCACTAATTGCTGATGAATTAACATTATAATAAGACATTTTTTCATTAAAAAAATATGTAAAGAAAGTTCCGGCCATTTCTTGTTTTGTAAAGAAAGTTATTTTTATTTTAAGCCTTGTAAACGAAGTTCCTGCCATTTTACGTTTTGTAAGAAAGTTTTTGCCATTTTTTAATGGCAAAAGTCATAATTCAAAAGCACTTTCTTAAATTAAAAACTAACTGCAAGCTGCGAGCGAAAAGTTATACGATGGGTATGTAAATCTTTCAACTTTTTGATGTGTAAAGAAAGTTCTTGCCATTTTGTGTTTTGTAGACAAAGTTCTTGCCAGTTTTTATTTTGTAAAGAAAGTTCTTGCCAGTTTTTATTTTGTAAAGAAAGTTCTTGCCAGTTTTTATTTTGTAAAGAAAGTTCTTGTCATTTTTACCTAAAAGACTAAATTTTTTCTCAAAAAATTTTAAAAAAAATTTTTAAAAAAAAACTCACTCAAAGTTCTTTTCATTGATAATCCTGCCATAATCCTTGCTGTCATGCACATTTTCGCCATAGTATTCCTTGATGCAGTTGATACACTCCACTACGAACTTGTTTTTCCTCTCGGTATTGCCAATTACCATGGCATAATCGGGTGATATGCACGCCTGGCCATTGTTTAATAACTTGCCCCACATGATTCGCCGTGCCGCAATTCTGATGTCAACATCTGGTGCTACGACTGCTGGATCTTTGCCGCCAAGTTCCAAGGTAACTGGGGTCAGATGCTCGGCCGCAGCTCGCATAATGATCTTGCCGACTGGAGATGAACCGGTGAAGAGAATGTGGTCGAAGGGGATTTTTAGAATCTCACTGTAAATTTAAAATTTCATCATTTGAAACTTTTAAACAAGATTTTTGACATTCTATAAAAGATTGTCATTTTGCACTGTGCAGTCTGCGGGTGAGATGTTATACGATGGATAATGAAATAATGTCATTTTTTAATTTGTAAAGAAAGTTCTTGCTATATTTTGATTTGTAAAGAAATTTCTTGCCATTTTTTGTTGTGTAAAGAAAGTTCTTGCCACTTTCGCCAATTTAAACTCTCATTTAAAGATTATAAGCTATTTTCAGGTTGCGAAGGACATTTTATACGATGGATAGTAAAATTACATAAGTTATTTTTGTTATGTAAAGAAAGTTTTTTACATTTTTTGTCTTGTAAAGAAAGTTTCGACCACTTTCGCCAACTTAAACTCATTTTTAAAGCTTAGAAGCTATTTGCAGGCTGCAAAGCACATGTTATACGATGGATAGTGAAACTAGGCCATTTTTTGATTTTTAAAGAAAGTTCTTGCCATTTTTCGTTTTGTAAAGAAAGTTCTTGCCATTTTTCGTTTTGTAAAGAAAGTTCTTGTCATTTTTAGTTTTGTAAAGAAAGTTCTTGCCATTTTTCGTTTTGTAAAGAAAGTTCTTGCCATTTTTAGTTTTGTAAAGAAAGTTCTTGCCATTTTTCGTTTTGTAAAGAAAGTTCTTGCCATTTTTCGTTTTTTAAAAAAAGTTCCTGCAATTTCAACTCACCCAGTTTGTTTAGCGTCAGCCTGTACCACCTTGACCACATCATCTCTAAAATATTTCGGGAAGATTTCCAAAAACAATCGTTCAGTCTCTGGTGCCAGCTCGGAAGGCTTCAAAAGTACAGTATTACCAGCGGCCAAAGCTCCAATGATTGGGGATACTGTAAGCAAGAATGGGAAGTTCCATGGGCCAATAATCAGTACCACTCCTAATGGTTCGGGATGGCGATAAGCACTGTCTAGGGCTTGAGTAATGGTTCGGTCGACCTTTTGTGGTACCATCCATTTACTGAGGTTGGCTATGGCGTGGTTGATTTTACCCAGAGTGAACGTGGTCTCATTGGATTTCGCTTCGAGTTCTGGCTAAAAATGGTAGAGTATTAAGTATAGTTGGCTATAGAGTAAGGTAAGACTATCGAGTAAAGTAAAATATAGTGCACAACGGTAAGGTCAAGAATACAGTAGGGACTTAAGTGTGGGACCAAGACACAGTAGAGCCTAGGGTACGGTAAGGCCTAAGGTACAGTAGAGCCTAAGGTACAGTAAAGCCTAAGGGACATTAGGGCCTTGGGTACAGTAAGGCCTAGGATACGGTAGGGCCTAGGGTACGTTAGAGTTTAGGGTACGTTAGGGCATAGCGTACAGTAAGACCTAGAGCACAGTAAAGCCTAGGACACAGTAGGGCCTAGGGTACGGTGAGGCCTAAGATACGGTGAAGCCTAGGGTAGGGTGACGCCTATGGTCTAGTAGGACCTGTTGTACGTTAGGACCTAGGATACGTTAGGGCCTAGGGTACGGTAGAATTTAAAATAGGTAAGGACTAGGGTACTGTAAGGCCTAGAGTAAGGTGGGGTATGGTAGGGCTTAAGGTAGGGCCGAGGGTGCGTTGGAGCCTAGGGTACGTTAAGGCCTAGGGTACAGTAGGGCATAAAGTACGATAGAGCCGAAGGTATGTTAAAGCCTAAAGAACGATAGAGCACTTACCTTTCTCAAATCCTGATACAGTGCCTTGACAAAACGTTCTTCATTTTCAGTCAAAAGGCGTGCCAATGTTTTCAAATGGGAAATTCTAGCTTCATAGCTCTTATTCACGCCGGCGTTGAAGCCCTGGCGAAGCTTGTCGACGTGCTAAAACAAAAGTTTTTTAATACTGGCTTAACAATCTGATTGCGTACTATACAGTACATACTAAATTACATGCTATACATTACTAACTTACTTTCGTACTCTATAGTACAAGATTTACTTACGTGCTATGCAGTATTAATTTACTTGTGAATATACAGTACTATCTTACTTACTATACAATAGAAAACTTAATTTTGTACTATACAGCACCTAGCTACTTGCATACTATACAGTACTAAGTTAGTTGTGTACTATACATTCGTACAATACAGTACCAAATCAATTGCTCAAAATACAGTACTGACGTTCTTGTATACTATACAGTACCAACTTACCTTTTGATAGTTGTGAAGCTCACCCATGCCTTCAACAAACCCTTCAACGAATCAAAAGCTCTTCCTAACTACTAATTTCAATTTAGTCCAGTCCAAGCTTCTTCGAATGGCGTTTACACGCTTAAAACGTCAGCTAAACGAAGCGTTTTGTATCAAGTGTTGCTCAATTAATGTTATTGTAAAGTGTCGTTAATCAAGTGGAATGAAGAGGGGGGGGATAATCAAGTAGTATGAAAAAGGGGAGGGCGAGGGGTAAGGAAATAAAAGTAGAATGAAGAGAGGGGGGAAGGGGGAAGGGGAAGGAGTAGGGGGGGGAGGGAAGAGGGGGGGGAGAAGAAGGGGGGGGATAATACTGAAGTAGTATGAAAAACAGGAGGTGGGGTGGTGAAATAAAAATAGAATCAAGGGGGGGGTGATGAAAAAATAATAAATTAGAAAGGGGGGGGGGAAGGGGGTAAACCACAAAAGGATAATCATGTAGAAGGGGTAGGGTGAGAAGAATAAGCATGTGGAAGAAGAGGGGGGGGGTAAGTGACGTGAAAGAATTTCGTGATTTTTTGCATATTTTTCTAATAAGATTAAGTTCATTTCAACACGATCAAACATGGAAGAGTTCCTCGTTCATCGAGTCTAAATCAACCATTTCACAAGCTATAACAAAAAAACCGTGAAGTAAGGTTAAGCCTATTAGGCTGGCTTTTCGCTGTTAAAGGTTTATAAAAAAAGTAGGTTAGCCTTGAAATTAAATTACAGTTTTTTAAATATTTATTGGGTAAGGAAAATATAAAGTATGTATACTAGAGTAAGGCTATTATAAGGTAAGGCTAGCGTAGAATAAGGCTAGAACAGGGTAAGGCCAAGGTAGGTAAAGCTAAATTAGAGTTAGGCTAGGGTAAGGGAAGGCCAGGGTAGGGTAAGGCTAGGGTAGGGTCAGGCTAGGATAGGGAAAGGCTAGGGTAGGGTAAGGCTAGGATAAGGGTAGGGTAGGGTAGGGCAGGGTAGGGTAGGGTAGAATAAGGCTAGAACAGGGTAAGGCCAAGGTAGGTAAAGCTAAATTAGAGTTAGGCTAGGGTAAGGGAAGGCCAGGGTAGGGTAAGGCTAGGGTAGGGTCAGGCTAGGATAGGGAAAGGCTAGGGTAGGGTAAGGCTAGGATAAGGGTAGGGTAGGGTAGGGCAGGGTAGGGTAGGGTAGGATAGGGTAGGGTAGGGTAGGGTAGGGTAGAGTAGGGTAGGGTAGGGTAAGGTACGGTACGGTACGGTAAGGTAGGGTAGGGTAGGGTAGGGTAGGGTAGGGTAGGGTACGGTAAGGTAGGGTAGGGTAGGGTAGGGTAGGGTAGAGTAGAGTAGGGTAGGGTAGGGTAGGGTAGGGTAGGGTAGGGTAGGGTAGGGTAGGGTAGGGTAGGGTAGGGTAGGGTAGGGTAGGGGTAGGGTAGGGTAGGGTAGGGTAGGGTAGGGTAGGGTAGGGTAGGGTAGGGTACGGTAAGGTAGGGTAGGGTAGGGTACGGTACGGTAAGGTAGGGTAGGGTAGGGTAGGGTAGGGTAGGGTAGGGTAGGGTAGGGTAGGGTAGGGTAGGGTAGGGTAGGGTAGGGTAGGGTAGGATAAGGGTAGGGTAAGGCTAAGGCAAGGAAAGGCTAGGGTAGGGAAAGCCTAGGGTAGGATAAGGCTAAGGTAAGGGTAAGGTAAGACTAGGGTAGGGTAAGGCAACTGTGAGGGTAGGGTAGAGTACGGTTAGAAAGGGCAGGGTAGAGTAAAGCTAGAGTAGAGCAGAGCAAAGCCAGGGTAAAGCTAAAATATGGTAATGCTAGAATACAGAAAGGCTATAGCATGGTAAGGCTGTCTGGTATCATAAGGTAAACATAGAGGTAGGAGTAATAGTAAACAAAAGAGTAAGGGTGAAGCTATGGGTGAAGCATCGTAAGGTTGGGATTGGGTAGGTAAGGCCAGCCGGGATACGGACTGGAGTAGGGGCTGGGTAGGGGTAAAGGTAGGGGTAGGGGCAAAGGTAGGGGTAAAGGTAGGGGTAGGGGTAAAGGTAGGGTAATTATCTTTTTTCAAATAAAAATCCCAACAAGGAAATAACTGCCATTTTTCATTGAATACCCGCGAATCGAAATGGCGGTAAATGGTTGTGTATTGTCATAACTAAAAGTAAACTCTTGATGTTATACAAACAGGATTTCTATTTAAGTTCAAAAAGGTCGGGAAGCCTTTCATTTACTCTTTTTACCTTTATATTTGCTTACAATTTAGAAGAGCATGAAGACTCAAAGAACCGCCATACATCAAAAAATGTTGTTATAGGACTTCCTATAGGTTTTTCGGATGCCCAGGGTCGTTTTTCTTTAGGGGGTGGTAAGGGAGAGGGTAGTACAAAACATATGAAAAGGTAGGGAAGGTGGGGTAGGGGTGGGGAGGGTTACCAGAGAGGACGATTGAAGGGAGTAATGTAAGGTATGGCAACAACAAAAAGGGGGAGGGAGGGTATGAAAAAAGAGAGGGTAAGGGATAGTGTAAGGTATGGCACAAAAAAAATTGGTAGAGAGAGGGGGGGGAGAGGAGAAACAGGGAACACGGGGGGGGACAGGGGGGGGTAAGAAAAAAGAAAAAGGGAGAGAGGGGGGAAACAGGGGGGGGAAGAGGGAAACAGGGGGAGGAACAGGGGAGGAAACAAGGAGGAGGGGTAAGAAAAAAGAAAAAGGGGATTGATAGGTAAGATATAGTGTAAGGTATGTCAGAGAAAAACGTGGTAGATCATAAAAAAAGAGGGTATATGACTTACCCCGCCTTACCTAACCTCAAAACTAAAAAAAAATTTCGTTTTGCCAAATTTTTTTTAAAAATTATCAGAATTTAATAAAAATCAAGTTATAAGCCAAATAACTACAGTAATAGTAATACAAGCAAAAGTAAAAGCAAATGTGTTAAAAAAAAGTCTTGTCGTCATTTTACATGCACTTTGACTATGAAAAACGTCAAGACTTTCTTAACACACAAAATATAAAAAAGATCGTTAATCTAATCATTTAATATCTAAAAGAAGATATACTACTAACATATAATAATATGTAAATACAACCTTAAGTCAAGTAAGAATTAAACCGAATTTCAAAAATATATATATGGACTAGTTAAGTATAGGTATGACAGGCTTTTTTGAAGGTATCTACTATAGTTATACTAGCTGTAGTAACGTATTGATAGTTAGATACCCATAGTACTATATTAATACCTTTAGTACCACTTAAATACCTATAGTAACAATTGAAAACCTATACTACTGTATAGATACCCATAGTACTATATCAGTACCTTTAGTGCCATATAAATATCTACAGTACCATTTAAATACCAATTGTACCATTAAAATAACAATAGTGCTATATAAATATATATAAATCTTTATAGTACCACTTAGTCACCTAGAGTACTCTTTAGATACCTATAGTACCATATTAATACACATAGTACCACATAGATACACATAATACTAAACATATACCTATAGTAACATACCTCCTCAAGACCTCAACATACCTTCCTGATACGACAATATTCGACAAAATAATAGAGAAATAAATATATTAACGTAGGCGAGTTAAATGTTTTCGATTTTCAGCGGTTTTCGGCGATTAAAATGGAAGTTTAATCTTCATGGTGAGGCGTCTGGCCCACGCGAGTTTGTCCGCACTGAAGGGTGGGTACCTCATCCTGAAACATGGGTAATATTAAAAATTGATAACGGTAAGAAATTTCTTTACAAAACGAAAAATGGAAAGAAATTTCTTTACAAAACACAAAATGGCAAGAACTTTCTTTACAAAATAAAAAATAGCAAGAACTTTCTTTACAAAATGAGAAACGGCAAGAACTTTCTTTACAAAACAAAAAATTAAGCCTTACCTATCCCATAAATTGTCCCCCTGACAAAGCGTAAAACAGCTAAAGACAATAAAAAAAATAAAAAAAAACGTAAAACGCCCTAATTATTTTTACAAATTAACCCCACCCTAATTTTTATTATTTACCACAACCGTAAAATATTTTAACAAATTTACCACGCCCCAAAATTTTCTTTTAATTTACCACACCCCCCAAAATTTTTGTTTTCCGATTTTACACCCCTCCAAAAACTATTTGTTATTTATAATACCACTCCTTCCCTCCTAAAAATAAATTTTAGAACTTTACCCTGCCCTCAAAAATTTTTTTATGATTTACCACGCCCTCAGAAAAACGTTTTTTCCGAGTTTACACCCCTCTAAAAATTATTTTATATTTATAATCCCGCCCCTTCCCTCCTAAAAAATAATTTTAAAAATTTATCCAGCCCTAAAAAAAAATTTTTATGATTTACCACGCCCAAAAAAAATTTTTTATTGACCCCCCTCCGGTAAAATCCTTTCTTAAATTTACCACCTCATCTACATTTTGTAAAAAATTAACACTCCCCCCCCGCAAAAAAAAATTTAAAAAAATTACCCCGCCCAAAAAACGTTTTATTAAAAAAACCGTAACTAAGACGACCTACAACATAACCCTACTCAATCAACTGCTTTACTTCGCCTGCCAGAAAATAAAACTACAGTAATCCACAACTTACCACAACAACTTTTCGAATCCAGCAGTTCGATGCATGACACTTTTCTTGTGCGAAAAGACATCGAAACTCGCTTTTCCATGATATTTCCCGCCCATGCCCGAGTGTCCCACGCCTCCAAACGGGAGGGTCTCCAAGGTCATGTGCATGATGGTGTCATTGATGGTCAGAGTACCAGACGAGGTCTCGTTTTGTACTCGTTCGACCGTATTCTTTCGACCAGAAAATAGGTATGCCACCAGAGGTTTTTCGTGCCGATTCACGTACTTAATAGCATCATCGAGAGCTGGTACTGTGAGGATGGGGAGAATGGGGCCAAAGAGTTCGTCTTGGAGAGTCGAGTCGTCTTCTAGGGCGTCGATTATTGTTGGTTCTATGTACTTTTCGTCCCGATCCGAGGCGCCGCCGTACAAAACCTTGCCTGTTGATGCCTCGAGGACTTTTGACAAGCGACTGGAATTTGAAAAGCAGTTATAATGTACTTAAAAAGCCCTACAATGAGTACAAATTACCTACTTTACCCTACCCTATCCTACATACTCTTCACTATCTTACCCTACCTTACTCTACCCTACCCTACCCTACCATACCCTACCCTACCCTACCCTACCCTACCTTACTCTACCCTACCCACTTTAACCTCTATAAGCTTAACATATGCTATACTCAGAGCCGGGCGCGAGGGGGGGGAAAGGGAAGGAACCCCCCCCCCAGAAAAAAATTGTCGAAAAAAGTTGAGCGTGGTCCCCCCCCCCTGTGGATTTTTTGGAAAAAAATTTTCGCAAAAAATCGGCACAGGTAGCAAGTGTGCCGATTTTTTGGACCCCTGCCCCCAGACCAAAAGTCCCCGCCCGGCCCTGGCTATACTTTACACTCTATCAAACCATATATCTTACTGAATACCCTAGCATATATCCTACCGTATACTGTACGCTATGCTGTAATATAAGCTTTACCGTACACAAGATAGTACCATACTATAAGTCTTATCGTACCCTACTGTACACCAGACAATGCACAGTTTAAGTCATTTTTTTTCTGGAGGGGGGGGGGGGAGTAAAGACCAAAAAAATTTTTTTCGTCCACAGGTAGCACCTGTGGACCGGTTTTTCAAAAAATTTTTTTTTCGATTGGTCCGTACAGGTGCTACCTGTGGAATTTTTTTCGGATCGTTTCTTTGGGGGGGGGGGAATGTCACCCCCCCCCCTTAGCGACGCCCCCGTTTACCGTGTCCTAAAGCCACTGTACCTTTAGGCCCTACAGTATCCTAACCCTTGTCGAAGCCTTACCCTTACCGTACCTCAAGCCCTACGTACTGTAAATTCTAGCTTTCACTACTCAACCCTACCTTAGCCTAGTCCTATCTTATACTCTATATGAAGCAGTATACCCTACTCTACTCTACCCTACTTTACCCCACTCTACTCTACCCTACATTACCCTACTCTACCCTATTCTATCCGACCTTAACCTACTCTACCCTACTTTATACTGCATGCTCTACCCTGTCCTATAGTTTATGCCCTGTTCTACCTCTATGCCTTACCGTATACTTTAATAGTCTAAAAACTTTTTAAAAATTGATTTTTTAATTTAGAAACAGATAACCCACTCAAAATGTCTAGTATTGATGATTCTTCCATAATCCTCGCTGTCCTTTGCGTTTTCCCCATAAAACTCTTTGATGTTCTTGACACACTCCTCGACGAACTTGTCCTTTCTCTCCTGATCTCCAATCAAAATCACATAGTCCGGTGCGACACAGACCTGGCCCACGTTCAGCAGTTTTCCCCACATTACTCTTCTTGCCGTGATATTCAGATCACAATCATTGTCGATTATGGCTGGTGATTTGCCGCCCAATTCGAGCGTGACTGGGGACAAGTGTTCCGCCGCCGATTTCATAACAATTTTGCCAATGGCGGTTGAACCGGTGAAGAAGATGTGGTCGAAACGAAGTTGGAGAATCTCACTGAAATTTAAAAAATGCTTTTAAATTAGGGTAAAATACGTTTAAAAAAGACGCAAAGCAAATTTTTTTTAATTTAAAAACTCTTTTTCAACTTATTGCTGCTATTTATTATGTTACATAAAAAAAAATCTAAATTTACATGCCACTTTTAATGTTACATCTTTTTAAAACGTTTTAATTTTTGAACTGTGCAATCATTTTTTATTGCACCGTGCAGTCGTTTAGTTATTGCACCGTGCAGCTTATGTAATTTTGACTGTTGCACGGTGCAGTGAATAAATGACTGCACGGTGCAGTCAAAAGCGTTTGCACAGTGCAGTTCAAAGATGTAAAAAATGGTTGCAAAAAGTCATTTTAGATATCAACTAGTAATAAAAAATTATTTTTGGGGGTGATAAAAATATTTTCCTTAGAAACAATTAAATTTTCAAAAAAATTTTTTTAAATTTGAAAATAGAATTCCAACCCCCTACCTCATTTGATCCTTGTCTGCACTAACCACTTTAACCACATCCTCCTTCAAGTACTTTGGAAACAGCTCTAAAAAGCACTTTTCGGTGGCTGGAGCCAAGTCTGATGGCTTCAAGAATACTGTATTGCCAGCGGCCAGAGCTCCGACTAATGGTGCCAATAGTAATTGAAGTGGGAAGTTCCAAGCACCAATGATCAAGCAGACTCCCAATGGCTCTGAGACAATGTAGGCTGAGTCTGCGGCTTGTAAAATGAAGCGTGCCACCTTTTCTGGCGCTGTCCATGCTTTTAGGTTGCTTAAGGCGGTGCTGATTTCTGAGATGGTGTGGCCGGTTTCGTGGGCGATGGATTCGAATTGGCTCTGCAATTGGAGTTATAAAAGGCTTCATCAGGCTTCTTTATCCAGGGACATCAGATTTTTTTAAAAAAAAAGTAAAGGTTAAAAATTTGTTTTCGTCCCCACCTCTTACCCTACCCATATTAATACTAATAGTAATACCTTTCTCAGATCTTCCCAAAGCGCCGAGCAAATGGCTTCTTCATTCTCGGTGATCAGGTTCTTCAGCGCCGTCAGATTGTTCTTTCGATTCTCCAATGAGCCATTGGCTCCGCTGACGAAGCCTTCGCGTAGGGTTGATAATATCTAAAAAAACTTAATGTAATACCTAATAAAGGTAAAAACTGAAGAATTTTTAAAATTTTTAAAAATTTCAATAAAATTTTTTTCAAAAAAAAATTTTTACCCCCGCCCACCCCCCCCAAAAAAAATACTCCACCCTACCTGTTTATAGTCAGAATCGCTGTTTCCTGCCATTTTGGGACCAATGCGACCTGGAAATTGAGTGTAATGTACTTTGATACGTTGAATTACCACCATTTCGGCAAGATATTACAGTATTCAAATCGTGAAAATTTTAAAAAATAGCTTGTAATGGTAGATTAGTTAATGGTAATGTCAAATCAATCACAAAATTATATTATTATAGAGTAATATTTTACTATATTCGCTTTTAAACAGAGTAATAGGCCAAAAATATTATAGTAGGTGTTTAAGCCAAAAATAGGCCTTCTAGCTCTAAATTTAGCCAAAAAATCCTAATCTATAGTAAAACAAAGCTTCAAAATTCAATTTACAAACAAAAAACTAGTAAAAAATCGTATGAATCGTAGTAAATCACCTCAATATACCAACAAAACAGCTGATAATACCATCAAATTAGGTATCAACAACACATATATAAATGTATTCCAATCGCGACAACGATTTTCAGTGCAAAACTGGCAATACAAAGCTGATTAAAACATGTAAAGTATATTTAATCACAACAACAAACCGTATTCGATAGGCAGCGATATTGTAGTAGACATCAAAAGTCGTATATCAACAGTAAATGAAATAATACTATAATATACCTACAAAACACTATATAATATCAATGAGCATCGACTGCCAAGTCTATTGTAACATCATATATATCAACAACAAGGCCTATCATAACAGCATCTAGTTAATAGAGATCAAACAGAATCATGATATAACAACAAAAAGAATAATTTAGGTATTAACATGTCGGACTGGTTAATCAACTAAAAATTATTAAAACAACTCAAAAATCGTCTAAATCTGATCATATAAACCTTAATAATAGTGTAAATTTTAAGAACTAAAAATCCAAACAATTAGTATAATTTTTTTTTCATAAGCCTAAACTTAAGCATACAAACCAAAAAAAATTTTTAATTTTAAGCTTTTAGATGACAAGATATACAATATATACATCACGAAAAAAATCATAAAATTAAAAAAAAAACAAAAAAATCAAAATTTCAAAAATTTTTAAATTTAAAAAAATTTCAATTTTCAAAAATTTCCAGAAATCTTTCCAAAACTAACTCTTATATAATTCATTCTTACCTCTCCCGAGTTAGAGTAGATCTAAGAGTAGAAGTAGGGTAAAGGTAAGAATAAGAATAAAAACAGAGGTGAAGGTAAGTGTATAAGTAACCATAACTGATATATAATCCATTTTTACCCCTCCCGGATAAATGCAAGGTCAATAAGTAAAGGTAAGAAAAAACGTAGGAGTGTAGGTAGAGACAAGAGTAAAGGTAAGCGTAGAGCTAGGTACCACTAACCTTTATATAACCTATTTAACTTCCTCCCCTCCCCAGCCCATCACCTTCTCTTTCCTTTAATCAAAAAAATAAATTTTAACCCCCCTCCCCCAAAAAAAATATCCGCCCCAACCCCACTTTATTCTCCAAAAAAAAACTACATCTCCACCCCCCCCCCACCCCCCCGCCCTTCATTCCCCAGAAATGCTAGCCAACAAGTCCTGTGGCTGAGCTGGTAGAACATCTTGCATATTAGGGTAGACTGAGGGTTGTTCTTGAACTGTTGGCTTCAACGTTGCAGCCAGAGCATCGTACTCTTTTTCAAATCTTTCTAAGCTGGACTGGCCTAGAAAGTTTGGTAACGTGTAGACAGATGGGTCTAGTGATGTTAGGGCTTCTGATACGTAGTCATCGTTGATTCGGCCTCGTAGAAGCGAGATGATACGAAGGAGGTAGAAGGCTATGTTTGAGTTGGACTGAAATTATATGTTTTTAGGCTTGGCATGGGTTTTTAAAAAACAGAAGAGTAGGGTAAGATAAGATACAGCATGGCAGTAAAATACAGAAAGGGGAGGGGAGAGGAAGGTAGTAAAAAAAGAGAACGAGGGAGGGGAGGGGGGAGGGGGTAGGGGGGGAGAAAGAGACAACACAGGAGCAGGGTAAATCCACCCCCAAACCAAACAAATTCAATATCTTGCCTCCCCCCCCCCAGAAAAACCATGCCTAGCAATGTCCCTGATATAAAGACCAACGAATGTTTCAAAAACACCTTGTTCTCACCTGTGAGGCCGGGATCAGTCCGTCGGTTATGATTAATTTGCAAAGTTCGGGCCTTTCCATCTCCTTACCAAAACAGTGACTCATGCGAAAAGCCATAACATGCGCCCATGGCTCTTCGAACACAATCTGAAACCCTCTTTTATTAGCAATTGTAAGCCTAAAATTAATTTTATAAGCCTAACCTTCAATTTATAAATCTAAAATTAAGTTTATAAGCCTAGATTTGATTTTATAACCGAAAAATAATTTTGTAAGCCTAAGCTTCATTTTATAAGCCTACAGTGCATTTTATAAACCTAAGTTTCATTTTATAAGCCTAAATTTCGTTTTATAAGCCTAAGATTCATTTTATAAGCCTAAGCTTCATTTTTTAAGCCTAAGCTTCATTTTATAAGCCTAACCTTCATTTTATAAGCCTAAGCTTCATTTTACAAGCCTAAACTTCAGTTAATAAGCCTAAGACTTCCTTTATAAGCCCAAATTTCATTCTATAAGCCGAAAGCTCACTTTGTAATACTAAAGTTTCTTTTATAAGCCTAAGACTCACTTTATAAGCCTAAGCTTCATTTTTTAAGCCTAAGCCCGAGTTACAAGCCTAAATTTCATTTTATAAGTTTAAACTTCATCAAACACGCCTAAGCTTTATTTTATAAGCCTAAATTTAAACTTATAAGCCTAAAGTTCTCTTTAAAAGCCGAAAATTCATTCTAAACCAAAAAATTAGGTTATAAGGCTAAGCTTTATTTTATAAGCCTAAATTTCAATTTAAGCCTAAAACACCAATATTTTTAGAAAATTCAGACTACAGAAAACCCATGCCCTCCCCAAACCCCTTGTTTTTACAAAACAAAACGTCGCTTTAGTCCAAAACCCTCAACTTTTATAGAATTCTAATGAATGGAAAAAGAATTCTTATCATTTCTCGTCTTTGTAGCGGTCAAATCACAAAACGTAAACACTTTCGCCCAAAAACTCCTTGATTTTATCGTTGTAAAAACAAACACAAACGAAATAACTATCAAATTTGTCACATGGTAAGTTGAAATTTCGAAAAAAATTTAAAAATTTCGAAAAACTTCCAAAAATTTCAAAAAACGCTAAAACATAAGCCTAAAAATTAAAAAATAAGCCAAAAATAAAAAAAACCATTAAAAATATTCAAAAATACCTCCTACTTTAAATCGTTGTAAACCAAAATTTAAAAAAATCGTTTAAATTTCAAAGATTATGTAAAGCTATATTTGATATTATCCATCACAAGGAATTGGCGGTTTTTGCAAAAACAACTATTATATTTCGACCAAACGCCCTTGAAACCCATTGAAAAACAAAAAAAAACGTAAAATCTTTACGTATCTTTCATCTACGTTTTTTTTATTTGCATTCATTTATTTTGTTAATGTCATTAATTATATAACAAATTCAAAAAAAATTTTTTTTACTCATAACAATTTTTTAGTTATACCAGGAACGTCTACAGCTTCTTTCTGGAAAAAGGAAAAACCAAAAAAAAACACCTTTAAACTTGATTTTATAAGCCTAAATATTATTTTATAAGCCTAGTTTCAGTTCATAAGCCTAAAGTTCATTTATAAGCCTAAATTTCAATTTCAAAGTTTAAACTTTATTGTTAAGCCTAAAATCCACTTTTAAGCCTAAATTTCATTTTATAAACCTAAAGTTCAAGTTATAAGCCTAAATTTCCTTTATAAGCCTAAATCTTACTTTATAAACCTAAATTTCATTTTATGAGCTTAACTTTCATTTTATAAACCTAAAATTCATTTTACAAGTCTATATTTCATTTTTAAGCCTAAAATTAATTTTATAAGCCTAAGCTTCATTTCATAAGCCTAACCTTAATTTGGTAAGCCTAAACATTTTGATGTAAGCCCAAAATTTGCTTTTAGCCCAGAGCACTAATTAAACATAATGTTTGTTAATACTAAGCCTAACTTTCAAAGAAACCTTCTAAAATTTTTTTTTGAAATTTAAAAAACTTACCTTCTCCTTTGCCTGCAGCACCACATCCAAATAGATGTGCAGCAACTTTTTGCTGTTGTTGCGTTTCTTGGCCGGCAACACCGTGAAGACATAGTGGAGGAAGAGGAGAGCGCAGACGTAGTCCTCTCTTACGAATGAGCAGAAGGCTTCCGACGGCCGCTGAATCTCGAATTCTGGCATGTGTTCGTCCGATATTTCATCTGAAAATGGTATTTTTGACGTGGTAAATTGTAATGACGGACATGTTACTAATGGTAATAACAGACAGACATCTACATGTTAATGTAACATCATGTTTCCGTTTAATTTATGGCTTTTTTTGTTAATTGACTTATGTTGCCTTTAGACTAAAAGTCATTTTAGAAAATTTACAGACAAAACGACAAATCAAGGTTTTCGTGGCGGGACCAAACAAGTAGGTTAAAGCTAGAGACACAGGTGATAGTAGGGGTAGGGATAGAGATAGGAAGTATGGTTCAAGGTATAGTAGGGGCAGAGTAGAGGAGGTTAATAAGGGTAGGCGTAAGGGCGGGTAGAAATTTACTTTCAAAGTTTAAAAATTTAAAAATTCAAAATTTTTTCAAATTTTAACAACAAAAATAGCCTGAAAGTACATATAAACACACAAAGATGCTTTCAAGCCCAAAAAATGACCTAAAACAACAAAAATTTCAACCAAAAACTTAGGTAACAAACTTCATTAGTCAGTCCAAAACTCAGTCAGCCCTACCCACTACTTGTTCTAATTACTCTTTTTTCAACTGCTTTCAACATTTATTTCCGTTTTGTTGTTTACTTTCTCTGTCAAAACACTTTTCTCTAACCTATTTCAGGGCTCTCTTATTTCCCAATACTCTCTCGTTTTTGCTCAAATTAATGCCATTTCTTATCGTAAGTGGTTACAAAACTCTAAATTTTTTTGATCTTATCTATTTTCGTTAGATTCTACGCATAAATGTTTTAAAATTAAGGTTTCTACCACCAAAAGAGGTGGTGTACATCAAGATATTGTTGTAGTTATAGCTATATAAAGGAACATTTTAAAAAGTTAATAAATATCAAAATTTTGACAACGGAAAAAAGCTGAGTCGTATTTTACCTACCTCCAGCTTTTAAAATTTCCATTCTAACTTGGTCTTTGGCCATGAGTTCAGTTAAAATTGGCAAAAATCGGACCAGCGAATCAGAATCGATCAGGTTTTTGAAATCAGTCTGTTCTTTGATTATTTCCTGTAAAGACAAATTGGTATATCAACCTTAGACACTTTTTAATGCTTACAAAACACTATTTGCCGTATTTTACAAAAAAATTCAAAAAAATTTAAAATCCACCCCCTAAAAAACCAACAACCAAAAATTTACCACGCCCAAATTTTTATCATTTACAATATCCTCTTTAACCTAGATAATCAAAAAAACTCGCAAAAATCTCTCACTTTAGCGTACAATCCAAAGTAGAGTAACCTGATGATCAAGTGTAATATCGGATGCTCTCTGGGTATCTGCGTACATGTCTTCGTACTGTCCGACAAAATCTTGATTATCATAGAGCAAAACAAGTGTATTACATGCGGATCCGCTGAGATTATGGCTACATTCTTTATGTTCTATAAAGTTCATATTGTAGTAGGTATACCTAAAATTTAGAAACAAATAACAATAAAAGCCTTACTTCTTCCAAAAATTTTCGTTTGTCAATAACATTCTTTAGCTTATTAACTTGTTGTGTATCCATATGTCGGTCACGTAGGGCAACATCCAATATCCAAGCGTAATCATGGATAACATCAGTTTTTTGAGCAAATTCGACGTGAAGATCGTGACATGCCATTAAGAGTTCGAACCTTAGTGCTGCATAATGACAACTTCCAGTTTCCAAAAAACGTTTCTCAACCAGATCAACTAATCCTTTGTAGAGTTCAGGGTTCTTTCCGACCATTTGAATTAAATCTGAATGTTTAAAGGTAATATAAGTGAATAAAAGCATATATTACATACAAAATAAGGCTTTTCGAACCCTGTATTTTAAAGCAAAATACATTACTTTACCTTTCCACATCTTTGATAATCAAAACCTAAACGTATAATCACTTTAACCACCCACCTTTGACCTGCTTCCACTGCCTTCTAGTCTTGGTTGTGTCCGATGTGAAAAAGTTGTTTTGTGACCGAACGATACTTGTTAATATCTTCTCTTTTTCATCAATATACTCATCGATAATTGGTTCAATCGCTTGTTGAAAGAGATTTTCATTCACCGTCCATATTTGTTGTTTTACTGACACATCACATTCATTATACAACGTTTTGTCCTCGGCTATCTTTTTTAGGTACCTATAATTGTACGCTCTAGAAAAAGAAGACTCTGTTCTACATTTTTATAGTAAACGCAAGGTGATTCATGTCGCTTTGTACCTAAAATTTAAAGAAACAAAGAAATTCTTACTTGCTGGATAACTTTGGAACACTTTTCAGCGCTTCCAATATAATTTTTCGAATGCTGTCAATTGGATACAGTCTAAAAACCTTGTCCAACAAGTCTTCCAGCTTTTTCACATCATTTGGAGCCTTTTTATGAGCTATATCTTTGATTTTGTCCAATAATTTACCACTCATCACATCGAGCACCTAAAACAATAAAAAAAACAAACATAACTCCTTACCTGCTCATTCAACTCGTTTCGTTTTACATTGTGAAGGTCGAGAATCTTCAGCACTGGCGTTATCGACGGAATCTGCAACAATCTACATAATACAGCAAAAGATATATCTTATATTATCCATGCCTCTTTAGATAAAACCACGCAAAAGAAGCCACTGCTCTTTCAACTCATGTGACTACAACCCCCTCTCATGGCTATATTAAAAAGTATTCAGTATGGAGCATATAAAAGTACACGACTAAAGTGCATGCAAATAATAGAGTAACTTTTTACCGGAATTTGGTTTTCGGCCTGAAACTTTCGAATTTCCTCTTTCAAATCGGGTGCATTCAAGAGTCTGTCGCGTAAATTAGATGGTGGCACGATGCCCAGCGAGTCCATCAGCTTCTCCGTCTTCTGTGGATAGCGTTTCGTACTCATCTCGGCCTTTTTGTGTTCTCAATTTGGCCAAATTTGGTCGAAAATAAGAATATTTTTTTGAAATTTTTACGAATATAAACAAACAAATAGCTGCGGCCTGGGATGCGCGGGCTGCAGCGGCTTGATAAAAAGGAATTGTTATACGAAAAGGTCAATTGAATATAAAACATGTAAAACGATACCAAACTAAAAGCTGTTCGGCAAAAATATTAACAATACATGCAAAAATAAAATTGTCAAGCCATTTTCAATAATAATCAAAAATGGCTTCATAATCATGTCCAAACTTTCACCCCACAAAAAACCGCGAAACGCGCCCAATTATTTCAAAATTTTGTTGTTTATGGCTATTTTTGCCGTGTTTTCTGGTTTTCACCTCTTAAAACCACAAATTCTTTATATGAAATCTTTAAATAGATATATTTAAACGTCTTTTTATTAATTTTACGATCTTTACTATCTGTTATACTATATAAATGTGGATTTAAACATAGATAACATCAAAAAATTGGAGGTTTTGGGATCAATGTTCGTGAGAAACGTAAAAATACCTGCCCAAATTATTATCAACAATGTTGTATTATTTGTAGTACAGTGGATTTTCTTTGGGATTTGCATAAATATTCGAGATTATGGGGTTGTTGTGGGCATGGGTAATATAATTTCGGGGATTCTATGCCAAAAACTTTGATTTTTGAGGCGTTTTTTGAACTTCCGTTAAGTGCCCTGTTATATGAGTATTTTGAGCGAATGCAGAAGCTATTTTAATATATATACCGCAATTTTGTGATATAGTAATCAAGCTTTTCATTGCAGAAACAATGAAACGAGCCCAGAAGCCCTTTTGGACCGTGAAGAAGGTGGTTCAATGTGGAGTAGCTGGAACTGGAGCCTTTGCCTTCTCGCAATTACTGTTTGGGTCCGAGTACTTTTACGCCAATGTTGTTATGCCCACTGTTCATGCGTTTGTGGATCCGGAAACGGCTCATAAGTTGGGAGTAAAGTCGGCCAAGTATGGGTTGATACCTCGATTTGGAGACAATGTAAGAGAATATGCGCAGCTACAGACCAAAGTCATGGGAATCGACTTTCAGAATCCTATTGGTAAGGTTTGGCATGAATTTGAATTTTTTTTAAAATTGAGCTTGGTCCCCCTTGTGGATTCACCCAACATGAATATGTATTGCTATGCCCGCTTATCATAACTGTTTTTACAGGAATAGCAGCTGGATTTGACAAGGATGGTGAAGCGATAGAAGGCCTACAAAAGTCTGGGCTAGGATTTGTGGAAATTGGATCGGTAACGCCTCGGCCGCAGCCTGGAAACGAGAAACCTCGGGTTTTTCGACTGCCAGAAGACAAAGCACTGATAAACAGATATGGATTCAACAGTAAAGGAGTTGGATATGTTAGTGACAAAGTGAAAGCGGTTTACAAGGGCGACGATCAGGATGTGTTCAGGAATAGGGTTCCAGTTGGAGTGAATTTGGGTAGGGTAATGATTTTTGGCTTGGGGGTGTTTTGATGTTTGAAGGAGGGGGGGGAGGGGTGATTAATTTTGAAAAAATAGGCTTATGGGGTCTGTATTAAAAAGTTTTGGCAGGATTTTCAATATTTAAAAAAAAACTTTTTTGCTGTAAAGAAAGTTATTGCAATTTTTGCCGAAATGCAGAAAAACATTATAAAAATGCAAATCTTAAAGGAAAAAAAGTAAAATACGACCTGTCGGGACATGACGTTTCTAAATTTTCAAATTTTTTCCCTGTAAACAAAGTTGTTGCATTTTTCATTAAAAGTCCTCAAAAATCATAGTTAATATGCAAATTTATAGGCAAAAACAAAGACACAGAATTCGCAGCGTTAGACTATGAAATTGGAGCCGACTACTTTGCCAACTTCTGTGACTATCTCGTCATCAACGTCTCATCACCCAACACGCCTGGCCTCAGGGCGTTACAGAGCAAAACCGAAATTGAAAATGTAAATTTTAAATTTTTCAAAACCAAAAAATTTTATATACCATCAGGCCTTGATCTGAACTCACCTGTTTTCATATTTTTTTTTAACTTTTGGGACATAGCGGATGTTATAATCAGTTGTTATAGATCCTATCAACCTTCAACCAAGCAGTCGACCGAATGACTCAAGAGAAGGGGAAACGACCAAAAGTGCTTTTAAAAATCACGTCAGACTTGAATTTGTTTGATCGAAGGGATATTGCTAATGTAAGTGGGAGAAAATTATATTATACAGGGACGTCACTACGGATTTTCTCTGGGGGAGGTCGAAAAAAAATTTTTTCGTCCACATTTTTTTCGTACCTGTGGACCGATTTTTCAAAATTTTTATTTTTCGTTTTTTCACGTACAGGTACCACCTACCTGTGGAATTTTTTTCGGATTGGCTCTGGGGAGGGGGGTACCCCCCCCTACCCCAAACGACGTCCCTGATATTATAGTAGGTATCCGTATACTATACTTGATGTTTTTTTTAACTGTTCGGATATAAATGAAAGGTTTTGGACTTGTTTTGGGTTAAGAATGCCATTTTAAGGATTGTTTGATATTAAAATGGCATTTTCTTCCTTCTCATATTGTTAAAATTGGCAAAAAGTATGTTTATTAGGCTTCAAAAAAGTCTTGTCGCTTTTACCCCCACAGGTCAACATAAATTAACGACAAGTCTTTTTTGACCTTTTAGATAATGAAATTTTGTCATTTTTTAATTTAGGCAAGATTACAAATGACCTTTTTAGGTAGCAGTAAACCCGAATAATCGAATTGACGGCCTGATCATTTCGAATACCACTATAGAGCGGCCAGACGACCTCAAGTGTTTATATAAACATGAAACTGGAGGTCTTTCTGGAGAGCCACTGAAGAAGGCAAGTACGGAATGCATCAAGGAAATGTACAAGTAGGTTTTACATGGCTATATGAGGTCAATTTGAAAATTTTAAAAAATGAAAAAAATTGTGCTACTGGTACAGTTTGGTACCACTGGTACTGCCTAAAAATAAATAGTTTGAAAAAAGTCGTTTTTTAGTAATTTAAAGTCGTTTTGTCGAAAAAAATTTTTTTTTGTAAAATGGTATTAATGGTACCACTGGTACTTAAGTACTATAAAAAATGTCTTTAATTGACCCTATTTGCACCATTTTTAAGCCAAAAAGTAGTCCAAACTAATATTAATTCAATTTCTCTAACCCAAACTAACATTAATACAATTCCAGGCTAACAGGTGGTGCAGTACCAATAATCGGCGTTGGCGGCGTATCAAACGGTACTGATGTGTACGAGAAAATCCGAGCCGGCGCATCCCTAGTACAATTCTACACGGCATTGGTGTACGAGGGCTGGCCAGTGATAGGGAAAATGAAAAAAGAGCTCCGAGAACATTTATTTCACGATGGTTTCGGAACGGTGAGTTCTGCTGTTGGAGCTGACGTGAGATTGGAGGAGCAACAGAAGATCATCGAGAAGCAGCAGAGATCGTGGTGGAAGTTTTGGTAGACATTTTGTGCTATTATTATAGATCTTTTCAGGTATTATCATAGTTGAAATTTTGAAAAAATTTGATTTTTGGCCGAATCTTCGGAAATTTTGAGTTTTTTTGGCCTGATATGACAATTTATAATAAAATCGAGTTTTTGTTATATTATTGATAAAATGGTGGAAAATGAATGTTCGCTGTGTAATCCAATATAAATGAGCTTTCATTTTTTATAAAACTCAAGCTCATTCACGTGCCATTCTTTTTTGCATCCAACAATTTTCGACCCAATTTCGGCCAAAAATCGGTTTTTTTTCTGTTTTTTGCCTTTTTTCGATTGTGTTTGCAATAAAAATGGGCAGAAAATGAAAAAAAAAATTCTTCATCTTGTTAGACTTTGTAGGTATTTTTATATTTTACTTCGTTATTGTTACAATAAACTTATTTTTAAATATTATAGAAAGAAACGTGGTTCTTCCGTATTTTACCACAAAACTATACCCTACGGTCTTTCCAAATAGTTTTAATGATAACAAGTAGGAATCAACAATAACAATATAAATTTCAACAATATTTTCAACTTTTTTAAAATTTTAACAAAAGGTTTGGGGGTATCGTGTCAAAACGTGCCAATTATTTTTGTTGTACCCATGAATCGATGGTAGAACAAACGTTTTTCGAACAGAATTTTATGTTTTTCTTCTGAAAATGGAAAAAAATAAAAATTTGTACCTAAAATTTCATTTTTAAGCCCTACAAGATGATACGTAAGCCTAAGTTTGAGCTTTAAGCCTAAGTTTCATTTTAAAAACCTAAAACATTTTTTAAGCCTAAAAAATGAATATATAAGCCTAATTTTGAATTTTAAACCTAGAATTAGGTTTTAAGCCTAAACTTCACTTTATGAGCATAGAACATTCTCTCTAAGCCTAACGGTCACTTTATAAGCTTACATTTCATTTCATAAGCCTAGAACAATATTTTAAAGCCTAAACTTCATTTATATAAGTCTAAGAAGTAAGAAAGAAGCCTAAGTTTGCGTTTTAAACTTATAACTTGTTTTTAAAACTAAAATCAGTTTTTAGGCCTATAGTTAACTTTTAAGCCTAAAAAAATAATATAAAGCATATAAGATAATATATAAGCCTAAAATTGGGTGTTAAAACTAATAAAGTAATATAAGCTATCTTTGATCCTTAAGCCTAAAATTACTGACCGAAACAAAACTTTTTGCGGACCGGACTCGAAAATCGCCGGACTGGACCGGTGAAAACGCTCCGGACCGGTCCGGGCAAAACACTGATTGTAGATTTACCCCCCCCCCGCTAAGTCCCTCATCTAACCCTACCTTAGCAAAGGTGTTGATGCTTTCTCTGAACGGAGGAGCGGTTTGTTTGACTTCTTCCTTATTCAACCATTCCCATGGCTTCATTGTGGACCATTGGCCGTTCAGTTTCTCTTGGCCTGAGGATGGGGCTTGTTGTAGGAGATGTTTCGCGTATTGGACGATGTAGCTGTTTGGGTACTATAATATAGAAATTTTTAGACATATTTGTGTATTCGTAAGCTTATGGTAGTACTATCTAAGCTTATTTTTCGCATAATGGTACCTTTTCGGCCGATTTTAAGAATAGAAACGGCCAAAAACTTCAAAAAATCTCCAAATTTTTCGACAATTTTTGTTTTTCTCTCTTGTAAAGAAAGTTTTTGATTGAATATGATAATAAAAAATTATGAAATTTAATTTAATTTCTCCTATTTCGTGTTACAGTACCTAATCAGTCTCTTTTCAGAAGAAAAACAGCCAAAATTCCGAATTTCTACCCCATTTTTCGCTTGTAAACAAAGTTTTTGCTATTATCCACCCCCAAAATCAATATCTACCATACCCTCAATCCTTCCCCTACCCATGCCCTCCAACATACCTTCAAGTATTTGTTCAATTCAGCCACAAAATCCGTGCTTTGGGCATTTGTATGGTCCGGATCCTCGAAATCTGGTCGATAAAGCCCCGCGGCACAGTAATCCTCATCGTCCTCGACCAATGTGCACAGTTTTGGATGTGTTATGAAGTGAGTTCTTATTGTGGCCAGAACGGCCAGTAATTGGCGTGGTGTGAGCATGAATCCGAGTTGGAGGAGGCGTTTTGTGTAGCTGACTACTCGAGAGAATGGCACTTGTTTTTTTCGTCGATTAATAAGAGAGTCCAGACATTGACAGAGCGCTCGGATTTCGGTGTTCTGCTTGTCTGAAATGGCACAAAATTATGAAAAACATAAAAAATGGCAAGAACTTTCTTCAAAAAACAAAAAATGGCAAAAACTTTCCTTACAAAACAAAACATGGCAAGAACTTTCTTTCCAAAACATTAAAAATTGCTATTTTTAAATCTTTTGTAGAAATTATCACCCGCAGGCTGCAGAACTCATAATTAACATTTGATACTGTAAAATGGCAGCAACTTTCTTTACAAAACAAAAAATGTCAAAAACTTTCTTTACAAAACAAAAAACGACAAAAATTTTCTTTACAAAACAAAAATGACAAAAACTTTCTTTACAAAACAAAAAATAGCAAAAACTTTCCTTCCACTCCCACCCCTTCCAAAAAAATTATTTTCTTACCCAAATCCTTTTGGAAAGCAATGTTCGGCATCAGCTTATACAGCTCCTTGTAAAACTTGATGGGATCAATGTTCAATGCCTGTCCTTCGGCCGACAAGATGACACACATTGTTTTGACACAGTTTAGGGAGTCGATCGTGCTCAAATGTTCCTCTCCGATTAGATCTTCCAGAGTTGATATTAAGTCGTCGAAGAAGTCGATGTTGATCAAATGAGCAAATTTGGATAGTCCAGCTAGGACGGGGCTGATCAGACGAGGCTCGGGCATTCGTTTTAGGACCCGGAAGTATAAGGCGAATAGGTGTTTCATTACTTCGGTTGACTGAAAATAGCAAAAAGTTAACAAATTTAGACCACCGCAGGGGTGGTGGAGGTTATCTAGGGGGGGGGGGCAGAAATAGAGCTAAAGGCATGGGTAGAAATAAAGGCAGGGGTAAAAATATGAGTGGAAACAGAGGTAGAAGTAAGGGTAAAACCATGAGTTTAAATAAAGGTAGGGATAAAGACATGGCTGAAAATAGAAGTAGGGGTAGAGGGAGGGGGTAGGGGTAGAGGGAGGGGGTAGGGTAGGGGGAGGGGTAGGGGTAGAGGGAGGGGTATGGGTAGGGGTAGAGGGAGGGGGTATGGGTAGGGGTAGAAGTAGGGGTAGGAGTAAGGGTAGAGGTAAGAATAGGTAGACATGAGAAACGGGCCGGGCTCATTTTTCAGGCCCGGCCCGATCGCAATTTTGCTCAAGGCCGGCCCGGCCCGTTTCTCATTTCTAAGAGTAGGGGTAATAGTAAAGGTAAGGATAATGGTACGTGTAGAAGAACAAGGTTAAGAGTAAAAGCAAAGGTAGGGATAAAAGCAAGAGTAAAGGTATGGAAAAAAGTTTAAAATCCTTACCGTTTTCAACTTGTTAGACAATGATTCCGAAGCCTCTATCTCTTTCAAATCCGCTTCAACTTTCTTCATTTGTTTGTCAAATTTCTTGGCCGTTTTTGACTTATGTTCTTTTAAAATCTTATGTTTCTTGTTTTTCAACGATTCCATTTCAGCTTCACGGTCTCGGCGGTCAATGTTCTAAAAGTCATTATTTTAAAATTAAAAAAAAATTTTTTTCCACCACCTAAAATTTTTTACCCGGCCCAATTTTTTTTTAATTTTCATAAATTTGGCGTGTTAAAACTAAAAAAACAAAAAAAATAATTCCCCCACCCCCGTTTCCAAAAAAAAATTTTTTACCCCTCCCAAAATTTTTTTCTCCAAAAAAAGACCCGCCTTACCTTAATCTTCAACCCCAGTAAGCAGTTCAACAATTCCTGGCTGATTTTGTACTTTTTCGACCCGACCAGCTGTCCAATCGACTTGACCACAAACAATGACAGCCTGAATGATGGGTCGGCTTCGAACATTTCCCGCAACGATGCTGATGCCACTTCTACTACCGGTTTGTAAGCACTAGTAGCGATTTTAACCATACAGTCAATGAGATTTACTGCAAAGTTGAAATGTGACAGTTTGGCTATCAAATTGGCAAGGGAGTTGACACTAAGTAGGCCGATCTCGGTGGTGAAGTTCTTTTCGTTGATTTGGGAGGCGGAGGGCTTTACCAGCTCTAAAATATCGATTTGTGAACTGTAAACAAAGTTTCTTCCAAATTTTTTAAAACTTTTCGAAAATTTTAATTTTCAAAATTTGTAAACAAAGTTTCTTCCAAAAAATAAAATTTTTACGAAATTCGAAATTTCTAGCCCTAAGAAAGTTCCCTCCAAAAAAACCCACTCATAGCGTTCTTCTCCAGCGACGTCAAGAATTTTAGGTAATTCTGAAGCAATCGTTCTTCGAATTCGACCAACTTTTTGGTTTCTTTCTTCATCGACTGTGCCTTTTCCTCTTCAGTCAGTGGTCGAATATGATAGCCTGGAGCAATATCAATGTAGACTTCCGTTAGACAAGCTATGGCCATCAGTTGAGCTGGTTCTCTTATAGCTGAATGAACTTTAAAACCTGAGGCTATTTTCATCAGTTCTGATAGGCAGTTCATCTGAAATGGTACACAATGAAAATTGGTACCTAAATTTGATAACAAAATATATAAATGTTACCTAAATCATTAAAACCTAACATAATATAGCAAGTTCCCAAAAAAATCTTTAGAATAAAAAAAAATAATATCCCTACCTGCCCCTGAGGATCAACTGACAAATTTTTGACATAATTTGTGATTTTGTTTTCAGTTTCCTTCATCAGCTCTTTGGTACGAACGAGTCGATCAACTGGCGTCAATTTGGACAAATCTTCTTCCCTTGGCTTTTCTGTAACTTCATTTTTATCCATACTTTTTAAAAATCAAAAAAATTGAGCTAATATCAAGCTCCCAAAAAATTATGTCGCCATTTTATATTGATTAGCAGGCGAAAAAACGACAAAACTTTTGAATTTCGAAAAAACCAAATTTTAATATTAGAAGCAGAATGCGTATTTTACGAAACCCTACCTTCATCACCCTCCTCGTCCACTTCCATATCATCTACATCTGTTTGAAGACCTTTTATCGTCGGTTTCTTCGAAGTTTCCGTCTCTTCATCAACATCAATATCTTCCTCAACCTTCTTCGTCTTCTTCTTCAATCGTCTGACAATTTCACCATTAACTTTTAGTGGCAGAAGCTCTTGATCAACCTCTTCGTCTTCTTTAAAATGCCTCAGTTCATCTAGATCTTCATCTAAAAATATTGTTTTAAGTAAGTTTTAACCAAGAATTTTACTTTATTACAACTAATACTCGGTTAATAACATATACACCTTCATTTAAAGCTTAAGCATCCATAAACAACTTTTCAACAGCTTTTAAAATAAAAAATATATTGTTTTAGACACCTATCAGTAACTAAATCTAATCTTAAGAGTTCTCACCTTTAATATCGTTGTTCTTACTCCTCCTTTCCTCAAAATCATTCACCATATCAAGAGGAACGTAATCATGGTTATCTTCATTCATATCATGAAACACTCGATCTGCTAGCCAGTCTTCTTCTATCTAAACCTTGATGGTAAGTAAGTCTATCATAACATAAGACATTATAACACAGCTCTTAAACCAAAATTAAACTTGAAGTTCGCTTTAGAAAGCTTAAAAATAAACTATTCTAGCTTTTAAATACAATTTCCATCCAAATTGCCACCTAAAAGTCGAAGAAGCAAATAAAAGTAACATACCCTATTAGCCAGATCTGCATGTTTATGTTGCCGTCTTTGTCTGTACTCTGTAAACTCTTCATCTAGTCCTCCACTAAGTTTCCCCTTCTTTTTTAGCTTCAGAATGCGTTGAGTAGCTTTCCGACGCTGTTTCGCGCTAACTGGAGGTTTGGATTTCTCTTTTTTGCCCATCTAAAACAATATTACCTTATAAAAACCAAATCAGTCAAAAAAAGACAAATACGAAAGAAATAGCAGATTACATTTCAACGTATTTTACAATAACATAAAGTGTTCTTAACCTAAATTCACAAAATAATAAATTATTTATTTTTCCTTTTCTCGGGCCGAGCGCAGCTGAAAAAGAAAGAGAAAGAGGGCCGTTGCAGGCTGCGAGATAATGTTATACTACGAAACATGTCTCTGTGTTCACCGAGTAATTGAAAATACTGCTGTTATTGTGCTGTAAATCAAAGGACATAATTTTAAAATTTATTTTTTGTTTTTTTATTTTTTTGTGAAATTGTGTTTAACCATAACTTGTAGTATATAGCTTTATGCTAATTTTAAAACTAAAAGATTAGTTTTTTGTAGTTTTATACCCACTATGAAATCTTTGCTTGTTTAAAGCCAATTTAGTAATAAATACAATAAAAACGAATACAATATCCCCTAATTAGAAATAGCATTTATACAAACAAGTTTGCATGCAGTTACAATTAGGTATGGTAAACAACTATAATTATACTGTTCCCAGTTAATCTGTCTTGTTTTTATGAATTGTGGTGGTATATTTTTATATTATAATTAGGAGTTTTACAGAAAGCTTTGAATTTTACTTCCTTTGTCTTTTTTACTTCCTATTTTGTGTTACAGTAGGTTCGCTTATGTTGAAGTTACAGTAACTTTTTTCATAGTGAAGTTACAGTTACCTTGCTTTTATTGAAGTAACCTTTCTTGTATTGACTTTACAGTAACTTTTCTTATTTTGAATCTTCAGAAATCTTGCTTATATTGAAGTTACAGTAATCTTCAGTATATTAAATTTACAGTAGGCATTATTCCTCTTCAACCAAATCAATGTTCAAATTTCAAACCCTCAAGCCCCAAATTGTAAATTTATGTTATGCAAAATTCAATTTTTTTTCAAATTTTTTGTGTACACAACCCCCCTTCCCCCTTCGAGGATATGTTAGCCCAATATGTCATAGAACAGTATCGGATATGCGGCCGCCGTGTTTCGTCCCTTACTTAATCGACTTTGAACCGTTTTTTTCTCTGATGTGGAAATCCGATGCCGTTTTTGGGAGAGTCAACCTGATACCGTGCCGATATCCGGCATGCTTTGCCAAGTATTTTATTATGTTTGAGTATAAAAGTTAAGCCGGTGAGTCAGGCGGATGTGCTGGGTTTTGGGAAGGTTTTTGGTTTTACCGTAGTATTTTTAGAAATTTTGGTACGAAAAATTAGTATGAGTGTTATAGGTTTAGCAGTAGGTAGTATATAAATAGATACGGCCTGTACCGGTCAGGTGGGGTTAAGGGTGGGAGGACTAGACGAGACTAGGTAATGGTAGGATAGATAGGCTCTACTAAGGTAAAGCAAAGTAGCCTAGAGCAGAGTGGGCACAGTAAGGTAAGCTAGACTAAGGTAGAGTAGTGTAGGCTAGAATAGGGTAGAGTATGATAGGTTAAGACAGGGTAGGGTAGGGTAGGGTAGGGTAGGGTAGACTAATGGGGGGGGGGGGAAGATGACAACAACACCCCTATTATCTTCATCGTCTAATCAAAACTGTTACAAATAACCATCTCTAACTGTTACCCTAACCACCAGTTAACTCGACTACCGTACCCAACAATTACGGACGGTTTTTTGTCTTCACACTTGTTAAAATTGACATGAACTTGAGGGCGTTTCCAAGGTACAACTATTTAAAAAACCTCAATATTCAGTTTCTACGTTTTCGTGTGTCGGCGCTTGCGGCGTTTATTCTTTTGTTGTTTTTGAAGAATTTTCACGCTTTGTTACAGAGTAGACAATTTGCAATGGCCTCCACTGAAAGAATCCGTAAGTTCAAGGGGTTACGAACGTTAATTTTGCAAATGCTTCAAGTATTGTCATTATTTTACAAGATATGCAAGGCTGAAAACCTTGTTAAGCCCATTAGGAAGATAATAGAATACATAACACTATCTGTTACTACCTAAAATTGTAATACCTAAAATCTTACAGTAGTAAAGCTTAAAATCTTGCAAGAGTAATGCATAGAACAATCATACAATAGTAATGCTTAAAATAAGATATTTTTGTATATAAAACCCGATGCTTTAAGGTCAAATCTACGATGCTCATGATTCGGACAAAAACGGCGTTTTGAGCGTCGACGAGGCCGAACTGGCCTACAAAGCGCTAGGATCACTGGCTAAACAAGTACCCTGTTTCAACTCGGAATTCCAAAAATTGGCGAATGCTGAAGGCGTCATCACTTTTGAACGTAAGTTACTCTATTATTGTTTCTTTAAAAAGAACTTGCTTGCATCGGCTACAAAAACGTCCAAATTTACATATTTTTTGAAACAAATTCTAGCAATGCACAGTGGAACTACTGTATAAGGAATCGCTCGGGGACTTGAAATTTGTCCGTTATAAAGGACTTTTTTTATACAGGAGTTTTAAATGCACTGCGTAGTGGTGGACGAGATTCAAAAGTTGTTTGTTATATGTACAGGATTTTCGTTATAGAGAAGTTCGTTATACAGAAGTTTCACTTTACTTTTCCTACCAAAACAAAAACTTTATAAAAATGTGAAAAATTGGCCGCCAGTTAACAGTTATCATTTTTTGTACCCTATTACAAACTATATGACAATATGACGTGAATCACAATATCAGAATTGGTTACGCATTTGTTATGTCCGAATAACATTTATTAAGCCTTTGAATCAGCCGCTTCCGACTTGAATATTTTAAATTTTCAGAATTCCAAACCTTTGTCAAAAGTGCATAAACACAATTAATGGATCTCAACAGCACTATCTCTTACTTTCTCAATTTTATCACGTAAATAAACTTTTTTCTTTTGAATGACTTTATAAAGGCTACTATTAAGATTTTTAGTTAAGGCTAAAACTAAGGCTAAAACTAGGGGAGAGCTAGGGTAAGTAAAGTAAAGTTTCACGGCTTGACAACTCATCATGTAAAATTTATTAAAGCTAACCACAAGTACTATGGCATAATATGCATATTGATTATCCAAATTTTAAATTTACAAGTCTGGTGTACCATCACAGAACACATTACAAGTCTCAGCGCTAGCACGTGATCCAGGATGAGTAGAACCGTCACATTCAGTGATTTCTTTTCCGTCTCCAGTACACTTTTTGTACTGGGATTCTCCGTTCACGGTCTTTGTTGAGCTAAAGCTAGATTGTGAAACAGCGCCAGAGCTTTTGGCTTTGTCTGAACCAGCAAACTCAAAATCGGCATCACCATTGCACCAGACTTCACAGTTTTCGGCATTCGCTTTTGGTCCGGAGTGGGTTGAGCCGTCACATTCGGTAATTGTGGTGCCCTAAAGGTCTTGTCGTATAGTATTAAGGTTAATAACTTAACAACATGTTTAGACTTTTTGTTGCAAAACGTGTTTTTAAAAATCAAAATACGCTAAAAATAAAATTTAAGCCTAACATAAGCCCACACCATCTCAGTTCAAAAAGTGCAAAAAATTCTGCAGGAAGTGGGATTCGAACCCACGCATCGATAACGATACTAGAAGGCTCCGAACCGTCGGTTTTCACAACGAAGCGTTTCGCTTGAGTCTAGCGCCTTAGACCACTCGGCCATCCCTGCACACCTTCCCTTTTTGTCAATTTCGTTCTATAACAACGCTGCTGAAGCAAAACTGAATTCAAAAGCTTTTTTTTTGTTAATTTTAGTTCTTTAACACACGTGGGCTATTATTTGAATGTTTTTTTATCTCAAAATTAGTTTTAAATTTTTTGAATTTTTATAAAAAAAAAACTAAAAGTCAACAAAAAATTAAAATATTACCGAAACTTACATCGCCTTCACATTTTTGATGTTCAGTCTCACCATTAGACATGCGAGTTTGACCAAAATTGCTCTGAGATTTCGAATATACAACCAAGATCACACAACACAACACTACAACCAACTTCATTGTTTCTACAATTGTAAAATAAGTAGTAGCAGATCTGCTAAAATCTGTAAGATAACCAACAATGTGTTATCAAAATCAAGACTGCAAAACTTTTCGTTTGTTATGGTTTTATATTAGGACGTTTTATATTATTGTTGGGGCCAAACATCCCGCCCATGTCGATTGTTCACACAGATCTATCGCTTCTTTCTAAAAATCAGTTTGTTTTTCCGGGGCCCATCGTAAACAAAATGAAGAAAAAATAAACAAAATTGTCGTTAAACACGACTGGCCATGATGAATTATCGAGTTTGTTAAAAGGGCGATGCCAGTGAAAACAATGAAGGCTGGGGTACTGTAACAGAAAATAAAACAGAAAAGTTTAGCTACTGATGAGAATAAAAAAGAACTACGTATATATTATAAGGATCCTTTAGTGTTATTAAGGATATATTAAAGCCCCTTCTAAAGTTAAAGACGGTCTATAAACAAATTTATCTGCAGCAGATGTTACTTGTACGATTTAAAATACAGTAGTATTATAAAAATATTAATAATAAAAAATTACAAATACAAGACCAATAAAATTATAAATGTTTGATTTGGTGATTAATGTAAATAGAAAATCACATTGTATAAATATTATGCGTTTTAGGTCTAAAGACTACAATCTCGTTAAAAATGATAAAACTTTGAGTCACAAAAGTTATAACTGCAATGATAAATTAACAAAAAAACTTTAAAAATTTTTGACATTAGGTTGAACGTTTGCTGAGGCTACAACCGAACCCTAGGGTTAGTACTCCGACTGGGCTAGGGCTAAGGTTATATTAAGGTTATGTTAATAACTTAGAGAGACATTTTTTTAAAATGATGTTGTTTTGAATAAAACTTATTCACAAACCGGCTGTGATCCTAATTGAGATTGCGCTTGAATGCGCCTTCAGGGTAATTATAAAATTACGGTTACAAAAACAAAAAACGAATAAATACAAAAGGAAATGTAGTAGTATAACAAATATTCAAACTTGACATGTGCTTTAAAAATGATTTTGAATGTGACAACAAAAAAAATAAAAAGCAATCAATGTTTCCCGTTGAATTGGCATTGTCTTTCAAGCTTATATCTAACTTTGTAATTTTTTTTACATTTAACCATTTTTTTCTTGATATACTGGTACAAAACCGTAAAATAGACCTACTTTTTTAAATTTGTAAGCATAGCTTGTCTGAAAAGTCAAAAAAGTGTTTGAAACTCAATGTCAAGTTTGCCAAATTGGCGGGAAATTCAAATATTTAAAAAATAAGACTCAAAAGCGCGAGCTAAAATTTTTTATGAGTACTATTGGTGGTACAAAGGATTCATATAAAAATTTTGAGCTGATTATAAAGGCGGGGGCAGGTTGGGTACTTTCCTTCTTCATGAGTTCCATTGCTTTTTATAAACATTCCGGTCAAAAACCGTACAGTTTTCTTGATTTGTCGCGTTATTCAATATCATTTATAATATTACTTTCGGTCCAATTAACCGGTCACTGGCTGAAGCGAGTTTTCGCACATCCACCGTTCATTCCATCCGAATTGGAATATCCAGTTCTGATTATGATCTTCACCTTACTCATTTTCATAAAGACGAGTTTTGCGCGTCGAAAACAAAACTCCTCCGGGCTCCCGCCTCCGACGTGCCGGCATTATATAAACCGAGGCGCGAGTAATTCGAATAACTCGGGCTTTTTGTCTTTACAGCCGGCTTTTGGGGTTGTAAAAGTTATTTTAAGAATAGTTGTGGTTGGATTTGATAGGACTAGCCTTTAGCTTTAGCTTTGTTTCTAGCTGTGGCTCTAGCTCTAGTTCTAGCTCTAGCTCTAGCTCTAGATCTATGTTTGGTCCTAGCTCTAATTCTAACTCAAGCTCTATGTTCATGTTCATGTTAATGTTCATGTTAATGTTCATTTTCATGGTTATGTTCATGTTTATTTTCATGTTCATTTTCAGTTTCGTTTTCATATTCTTGTTCTAGCTCTAGCTTTAGTCCTAGCTTTAGCTCTAGCTATAGCCCAAGCCCTAATTTTATCTTTTCAAGGATAAAAATGACCTTTTTAAGCCGATTTCAATGTGTTATACATACAAATTCAAATTACTTTACTTTATAAAGGTAAAATACCGACTTCAAACAAAAAAAAATGACTTAAAATTTTAAAAAATTTTAAATTTATAAACAATTTTAAAATCAAAAAAAAAATTGTTAAAATTAGCTAACCGTTCCTACCGCGGGTTCCACCGTAATTACCGTGCATGTTTAACTTCCTTTTCGCTCATGTCATTCATTGTAGGCGTTACCTTGTTATTACGCTGTTGAAGAGGGCTTTCTTTCTCCGATCCACTCGTAATACCTAATTTGGATACAAGTGAAACTACACGCAAAAAATGAACAACATATAGGCTTGTGGTTTTTGGATATCTTGTTATCGGCTTTAAAGGGGGGGGGGGGGGGAGGAGGGTTTGATGACAATTCTTGGGCAAGTTACGATACTTGTTCAAGAGTGAAGAAATTTGTCGTATTTTAGCGCAGTGCCATTTTTAATGACGTGGCTTTACTTTTTGACCAAAAAGTAGTACTCATAGTACTATAGATAGTACTCAAGATGATAAAATAATTTTTTTCAGTTATGAGTTGGGGACTCAAAGCCACAGTAACATCAGCCGCCTCATTGGCCGGTATCGCTCTTTTGGCTCTGTCCATTGGCATGCCAATCCTCATGAACGACATTGCTCTTCTTGAGATCGAGGCTCAGCTCGAACATCAAACCTACATGGACATGTCCAACACTATGTGGTCCGAACTCATGGAACAAGACAAAGTTATCCGCCACGCTCGTGCCGCTGCTCCAGTTGTTCAACGTGACAGAAGACAATGTAAGTAACTCAAAACGAAACATAAAATACCTTCTTCAGACGACTCCGCCGCCAGCAGTGGCCCCAGTGAACAAAAGTCCGAACAAAAACCAAACAGCTGCCCAGCCGGCCCCAAGGGGCCACCAGGACCAAAGGGTGAAGACGGTATGCCAGGTATGGACGGACAAGCCGGTCTTCCAGGCCTCGGTGTTGGAGCCGACGACAACCCATACGGCGTCACCCAATCCAGCTCATGCCAACCATGCCCCGCCGGACCACCTGGTCTGCCCGGCTACAAAGGAAAGCGCGGAGGCCGCGGAGAGAAGGGCGCCAAGGGAGAGCCAGGATTGGCCGGCCGCGACGGTATGGAAGGCGAAGAAGGACCAGAAGGTGAACTCGGCTACCAAGGCGACCAAGGACCACAAGGAGATAAGGGTACCCCAGGAGAGGACGGAATCGGCTACGCCAAGGGACCAGCCGGACCAAAGGGAGAGCCAGGTATGCCCGGTTTGGAAGGAGACGAAGGTCTACCAGGAGAACGTGGTGATGACATGCCACCAGGCTCACAAGGTCTTCCAGGACCTCAAGGTCCACCCGGTGAGCCAGGAAAGGACGGTGTTGCTGGACTTTCCGGAGCCGGTGGTACTCCAGGAGCTGACGCCGAGTACTGCCCATGCCCAGAACGCGGCTCTGGCGGAAACGCCGGCCCATCTGAGGCTGCCGCTAGCCACGGACCATCCGGAAATGCCGGTGGAGCCTACGATAATCCAGCCGCCGCCGCCGCTGCTCCAGAACAACCAGCCGCCAAGGAGCCTGCTGCTGCTGAACCAACTGCTCCAGCTGCCGCTTCACCACCCCCATCGGGTGAAGAGACTGCACCACCAGCCTCGTCATATGATGGTTCGGCTTCAGCCGCTCCAGCTGAGCCTGTCATCAGCACTCCACAGAACACTCCAGCTTCGGCTAACAACGCCGACTACCAACGCGCTGTCGCTTCGAGACGGTTCGCTGCCTACTCCAAGCTGGCTCATGCCGCTTCTCTTCGTCGTCGTCATCTTTAAGCGGAAGACAGATTAAAAATTGAAGGAAAGATGGATAATGTGAAGATTGAATAAATATTTGAGAGCATTTGAGTTTTGATTTTTTGTTTTAAAATTTTAAAATTAAAAAAAAAATTTTTTTAAATAATTGTTTTGAGATTTCCTTATATTGATGTTGACAAAATTATAACACTTATTTGTTTGATAGTAAGATTAAAAGCGTTTGGAAAACAATACAATCGCAGGAAATCTATCTATTTTTATGATGCACTTTTTTCGATTTCTTTGAACTTTTGTAAGGAAAAATCAGCCCTAGCCCAGAGCCCTAGCCCAGAGCCCTAGCCCAGAGCCCTAGCCCAGAGCCCTAGCCCAGAGCCCTAGCCCAGAGCCCTAGCCCAGAGCCCTAGCCCAGAGCCCAAGCCCCGAACCTTAGCACTAGTTTTAGCCCTAGCAAAGCCTTCTAGCCATATAGCCCCTTCGTTCTTTAGTCCTTAAGCCCTCTAGACCTATAGCCTTTTATTTCTTCAGCTTTTTAATTTTCTAGTTTTTTAGCGCTCTACCGCTCTATCCTTCTATCCCTCCAGTCCTTCAGCTCTGTAGCCTTTTAGCCTTCTTGCTGTCTAGCCTATTAACCCTAGCCCTAGTCTTAGTTTCTAGCCTTCTAGCATTCTAACTTTCTAACTATCTTTCTAGTCTTTTAGTCTTAACTTTATAAAAACTGTTTTTGCAATAACTTTTGACGTTAGCCATGGATTCTAAAGTTACAGTCTATGTTTACATCAAATGTCAGCTTTCGTCTTTAAACTCGGTAAAAACAAGCGGATTAAACGATAAAACCGGAGAAGATTTGGTCCCCTCCAATTATTATCAGTCGGCTGAGAAAGACGGAACTGATAACGGCCATCATCAAAACATTTCGAGTTTGGTGCCTGAGGCGCAGTGGTTTTACAATTTTTGTTTTTTCTCATTTGACTAAGCACTTTTCGTTCCTTTACATTGCAGTAACGTGTATTTTACTGTCTTACCTTACTATTAATATTAAAGTTTATGTACTGTAAGATCTGTGGTTTTAGGATGCTTTAAACGTTGTCAAGAAAAGCGATTTTTTAAAAATATTAACTTATTGGCTAATTTATTGTTCTACAACTATAATAACTAAATTATTTTTTGCTGTATTGTAAAATGTTGTACATAACCTTTATTTTGACTTGTGTCTTCAGAATTACTTCTATTCAAGCCTACACGTTCAAATCGGTAAGTCAAGTATGACGTTTGGAAAATGTGACAGTAGGGTAGCATAGAGCAACATAGAGTAGGGTCAAGCAAGGTTAGATAGAGTAAAGTATTATAGGATAGGATAAGGTATAATAGGACGGAATAGGACAAGGAAGAGTCTTATAAGGTAGGGTAGCTTGGAACAGGACAAGGTAGTGTAGGGTAACGTAGGGTTAGCTAAGAACAGGTTGGGGTACAGAAGGGGTAGTGTAGGTTTGGGTAAGATAGGGTACAATAGAACAAGGTAAGATATAGTAAAGTAAGATAGAGTAGAGTAGATTAGGGTAGGACAGGGTAGGGTAGGGTAGGGTAGGGGTAGGGGTAGGGTAGGGTACGGTGAGATAGGGGTACGATAGGGTACGGTAGAAGTCGTGTTGTATTTTATTGAAAAATGGTCATAAAGCAAAGGAATGCGAGTTTTTTTAATTGCTGAATAGAACTTTTTTATCAAATATTGCAAAAAACTATCATGTGATTGCTATGGAATTTATGACACGAGAAAACACAATTGTTACTTATAATTTTACAAAAAAATTACTGTAAATGCACTTTCTGTTATATTGTAGTAGGTTGTTCGAATAATTCTGAGCCCTCTTCAAAGAGAATTTGTTATGTTAGAAGGCACAGAAATATATGAACAACTTTAATAGTACACAGTAACAATTCTGAAAATACCTGAGAGCCATAAGCTGATGATAAGGTAACCTACTTCACAAGTAACAGTTTTGTGACGCAATGCTACAGAATTGTAACGAAATGTCACAAAATGCAAAATGTTGACGAGATGTCACAAAAATCAAAACTCTAAGAAAATTGCTCTAGGAAGAACCAATAGTTCCAAGACCTAACATACCTCATGATCTCCTGGAAGAAAAGTCGTGCAACTTATCACTGATGCATCGAAAGTGTGAATGCTACTACAAGATCGAAGACACAAGATGTTGTTGCCTTGATACTACAGATGTAACTGAAATACCTAAGAACTTGGCTTTGTCAATGAAGGCATTGTAAGATCAGCCACTTTATGATTACTATTCTGTAATATAATTGAATATACAGCGTTATTAGGCTTATATATACAAGTTGACTGAGGCTTATATACTCATTAAGCTGATATACAACTAAACTTAGACTGACATACTCGCTAGACGTATATGTATAATTCAGGCTCATATACAACACATCAATCAGCCATATCAACAGTGACTCGTTCTCTAACTACATGTACTTAAAAACAATGTAAGTAGTCGTATATACCAGAACGTCTCGAGTAATACGTATAATAACTTATATTAATAAAAAACGTTTTTAAGTCAAATTAGGAACAATGAAAACCTTACACACATAAACAAGTATGCATTTCATCGACTAAAACATATAATTCATCTGTAAGTTTATCTTGTTTAAAAAATAAAGTTAGGATAAAGAGTACGCTTGAGATGAAGGTTAAGCTTGGGTCAGGCTTGGTAATCCTTTGGCTTCAACTTAGATTTAGGCTTTGACTGAAATTTGGGTTTAGGTTTTGGTTTAGAATTGAGATTAGGATTGAGATTGGATTTGGACTTAAACATAGGCTGAAGCTTAAGCTTAGGCTTAAGCTCACACTTAGGCTTAGGCTTTAGCTTAGGCTTAAGTTTAGGCTTAGGCTTTGGCTTTGGCTTTGGCTTTGGCTTTGGCTTTGGCTTTGGCTTTGGCTTTGGCTTAGGCTTAGGCTTAGGCTTATGCTTAGGCTTAGATTTAAGCTTAACTTTGAGCTTAGGCTCGAACTTGTGCTTAATTTTAGGCTTAAGCTTGGGATTTGACTTTGGCTTAAACATACTGTCAAACTGCGGTTTAGGTCCAATCTTAGGCTTAATACTTAAGAATAAAAATTTACCGTCAACGGTTAAGTTAAGGTTATGCTTTACTTTAGGTTTATTATAAAACATAAATAAAGTAAAATCTTTTAGACGAATATCAGAATCACCAAAGCTAACAGAACTCTCAGAGCTTATATTCCATCCATCTCATCGACTACACGCTTTGTAAGACTTTTTCTAAATTTTTAATTGTAAAATACGATGTTGTATTACATATCAGTTTTTTAGGCTTGTCTAACAATTAAAAACTCAATTAATATTGCAGAGTAATCCGCCATACTGGTATAACACAAATTCCGAATTTTTTAATGGATCACAAGAGTTTGTTTGTGATGAAAGTGGTCGACTTTAGTTATAATGCTATCAAGTCGATACCATCCAACAGTATCAATTCTGTTTTGGCTAACAAAATGAGGCTGAACAAAAATAAAATCACGGAGATTGAAGAAAATGCCTTTGTTAATTGCCATTTTGGATCGTTGTAAGTTGAGATGAACAACTTTTTTGCTCTGCCTTGCCTTGGTTTAGCTTGCTTTGGTTGGGCTGGACTGCGTTCGGTTAGGCTAAGCTGGGCTTGGCTGGACTGGGCTGGGCTTGGATGGACTGGGATGGACTGTCTAGGTTGAACTGTGGTGAGCTTAGCTTGGATTCACTTAGCTTGGCTAAGCTTGCTTTGATTGGGCTCGGTTGAGCCTTGAATGGACTGTGATGAACCGTCTAGGCTGAACTGTGTTGAGCTTGGCTTGGCTGACTTTAAGTAGCCTTGCCTTGCCTTGCCTTGCCTTGCCTTGCCTTGCCTTGCCTTGCCTTGCATTGCCTTGCCTTGCCTTGCCTTGCCTTGCCTTGCCTTGCCTTGCCTTGCCTTGCCTTGCCTTGCCTTGCCTTGCCTTGCCTTGCCTTGCCTTGCCTTGCCTTGCCTTGCCTTGCCTTGCCTTGCCTTGCCTTGCCTTGCCTTGCCTTGCCTTGCCTTGCCTTGCCTTGCCTTGCCTTGCCTTGCCTTGCCTTGCCTTGCCTTGCCTTGCCTTGCCTTGCCTTGCCTTGCCTTGCCTTGCCTTGCCTTGCTTTGCCTTGGCTTGCCTTGCCTTGCCCTCTTCCTTTTTCTACTTTTCCCTACCGTACCGTAACTTATTATAACCTTTCTATCTTATCTTACTTTTAACCATACCCTATCCCACAGTAATCAGTTTAAACATTATTTTACAGAGACCTATCAAACAACTACGACCTAACCTCTCTATCATTAGAAGCCTTTATCGACCTAAAGCACATAACCGAGTTGGATCTCAGTAATACTCGTATCACTCAACTACCGTATCTAGGCCTAAAAACTCTCAAAAAGATCAGAATTCAAAAAGTGCCAACTCTAAAACAACTACCATCAGTGTTAGCCTTTAATCACCTAGTTGAAGCCGAGTTCACTTATCCTTATCACTGCTGCTTCTTCAAACATGCCACGAAGGAGAGTAACAAAGATGAAAACAGGAACTTCAGAAGTAATGTAAGAGAGATCCAAAGAAGAGAGTGTGCTATATTGGGAGAGGAGCAGAGTATTAGCAGGAAACGAAGAGGTACCATTAGGTCAAATGGTGGAGGAAATTTTGAGGAATGGATGTTGAATGAATTGAATAAAGATGTGGAAGTGAATAGAAATAGTGATGATGAGGTTGTTGATTCACGTAAGTTATTGGGGTTTGTAGGAGAAATAGGGTAGGATAGAGGTAGAGGCCGGGGGCTAAGGCTTAGGCTTAGGCTTAGGCTTAGGCTTAGCCTTAGGCTTAGGCTTAAGCTTAGGCGTAGGCTTAGGCTTATACTTAAACTTAAACTTAAACTTAAACTTAAACTTAAGTTCAAGCTCAAGCTCAAGTCTAAGTTCAAGCTTAAGTTTAGCTTAAGTTCAGTCTTACCTTTAAACTCAGGTTCAAGCTCAAGCTCACGCTAACGCTCAGTCTCAAACTCAGGTTTAAGCTCAAGCTCAAGCCCAATCTCAGGCTTAAGCTTAAGCAAACGCTCAAGCTCATACTCAGGCTAAGGCGCAGGCTCTAGCTTAGGCTAAGGCGAAGGCTCAGGCCGTTGTTAAAACAAGTTTTAAATGCAATACTTTTAGCTTCAAAAGACAACTACAAGATCCAACGTTGTGAAGAAGAAGCAGTAAAAGAATTCTACCTAAAAATCAACTGTACTCCACCATCTGACGCTTTGAACCCATGTGAAGACATTATTAGTTACCCGACTTTACGTATCTTCCTATGGCCAATGTGGATTATAGCGATTGTTGGTAATATATCAGTGTGGTTTATCATTGCGGCCGTCTGGCATCGACGGCTACGATTCCACTATTTTTTCATGTTAAACCTGTCGATCGCGGACTTTTTGACTGGTGGGTCAGTTGAGTGTTTGTGAAGTGATATAGGGCGTGGTGCAATAATATAACACTCTTTACTATACAGAATATGTTTGGTAGTGCTAGGAGGGCGTTGGTAGACAAGGCGATACGGTCTATGATACGTTAGTGTCTAGTATGTTGTAAGGCTTAAGGTACGGTAGAGCCTATGGTACGATAGGGCCTAGGGACAATGATGTCTTGGGTGTGGTAACGATTAGGGTAAGTAGGGTACAAGGTATGGTAGGACCTAGAGTACAATAAGGCTTAGAGTGCGGTAGAGCTAAACGTATAATAGAGTCAAGGTTACGATAGGGTTTAGCGTATGGTAGAGCTTAGGGTACAGTAGAGTATAAATTACGGTAAGGTTTAAGGTACGGTAGGGCTTACAAGGAAAGGTCCCCACCGTGAAATGGATTGGTGAAAAAGTGGTAAATAGAAGTTGTAGAGCATAGTCAAATCAGTAGAAAAACAAAAAAAATTTACCACCCCCCCGTGGGGGGGTTTTGAGGTACTTTTTTTGTGGTCAAAGTTTTACTTTCTTATTTCCGCTCTCTTGTCTCGGAAATCAAGAGGAAACTCCGTCGACCGGATAGTTCGGTGGTTGCGCGCCTGCTTTCGGCTCCGAAGGGCGCGGGTTCGATCCTGCGCCGTCGGAAGTATTTTTTGATCACTTTGTCTAAATAAAATTAAAAAAATAATAAATTTTGCATTTTCTTGTAAAAAAATATATCTTTTTCTATCTTAACACATTTTTACCTAATTTCTAGCGATTTATCTACTCGTTAATCATTTGTTCAATTAAATTATTCAAGTTTTCAACACTAGTACAATGTCTGCGCTATGTATTATTATATATTTTAATCTAAAAAATCTTGAGTAATTTAAAAAAAGAAGAAAAAAATGTTTTGCAAAAAAATGCAAATTTTTTAAAGTTTTTATTTATTCTATTTAGAAAAAACGATCAAAAATGCTTTCCGACGCCGCAGGATCGAACCCGCGCCCTTCGGAGCCGAAAGCAGACGCGCAACCGCCGAGCTAAACGATCAACGGCTTTCTCCTTTGTTTTCCGAGACAAGAGAGAAAGGGGAATTAATAAAAGTAAAACTTTGGCCAAATAAAAGTACCTCAAAACCCCCCACGGGGGGTAAATTTTTTTACGTTTTTCTACTAATTTGACTATGCTCTATAACTTGTATGTACCACTTTTTCACCAATCCATTTCACGGTGGGGACCTTTCCTTGTTAGGGTACGATAGAGCCTAGGGTACGGTAAGGCCTAGGGTACGGTAGGGCCTAGGGTACGGTAAGGCCTAGGGTACGGTAGAACCTAGGGTACGGTAGAACCTAGGGTACGGTAGGGCCTAGGGTACGGTAGGGCCTAAGGTACGGTAGGGCCTAGGGTACGGTAGGGCCTAGGATACGGCAGGGCTCAAGGTACGGTAGGGCCTAAAGTAAAGTATGGCATAGAGTACTGTATGATCTAGTACTGAGTAGGGTGACGTATATATATAAAATAAAGTATAATATTTTTATTTTTAGGAGTCTACTTGGCATTTCTAGCTTTTGCTGACCTAAAAACAGCTAGCGAGTACTACAACTATGCTGTGGAATGGCAAACTGGCTGGGGTTGCAGTGTAGTTGGCTTTATTACAGTATTCGCATCAGAGTTATCCATTGTATCCATGTTGATGATAGCGTTTGAGATCTACTACAACGCCCGTTACGCTTTTTATGGTAAATGGATGAGCTCCAAAACGGCTTATGTTACTATACTACTAGGCTATGCCTATGCCTTCTTAATAGCCGCTCTACCACTGTTTGGTATATCATCATACGAAGTGTCGAGTATATGCCTACCATTGTCTATAGCCAAGCCAGCGGATCAACTATACTTAGTAATAGGCCTAACTACTACAGCCATAGCCTTTGCAGGCATCATACTCAATTATCTTATGATCAACTGTATGATAAGAGGAGATGGAACGATGCCAGCACGCTCGGAAGATCGACAGATTTTGGTCAGAACGTTGGTACTGATTAGTACGGACTTACTGTGCTGGTTACCTACACTGTTCTTTGGTATTACTGCAGCCCTGGGTGTACCGTTGATAACGCTGACTAATGCCAAGATATGTTTGATCTTGTTTTATCCTATCAACTCATGTGCTAACCCATTGATCTATGTCTATACGACCAAGATTTGGAAGGAAGTAAAGAAAAAGGCACCGTTCTTGGAGTGCAAAAACTTGAAAACTGAGAAGAAGTACGTTTACACCTACTATAATATAATCTTCGATCAGAGCCTATAGGGCGGTATAGCTTAGATTACAATAGAGCCTAGGGTACATAGGTCTTGCAATACAAAAAGGTTTAATGTATGGTAGGGTTTAGCGTACCGTAGGGCTTATAATACAGTAGTAAGTACAGTAAGTACTACTAGGTTGACACGGAGAACGGGCACGGCCAAAAAAGGGGCCTGCCCGGCCCGTTTTTTATGTCTAACAGTAGGGAATATGGTACAATCGGGCTTAGGGCACTACAGGGCCTAGGCTACTATAGGGCCTAGGGTAGAATAAGGTTTAAGGTACGGTAAGGCCTAGGGTACGGTAGGGCCTAGGGTAAGGTAGGTCTAAGGTACGGTAGGCCCTAGGGTACAGTAGGGGCTAGGGTACGGTAGGGGCTAGGGTACGGTAGGGTGTAGAAAACGATAGAGGATAGATTACGGTAGGGCTTTGGGTACGGTAAGGCATTGGGAACGGTAGGGCATATATGGTACGGTAAGATTAAGCTACATCTAAGACTATGACTAAAACTATTAAAAAATTTTTTTTTTTATTTTTTCAGTAACGCTAATCGCTTCTACTACAACACTTCACCATCACCAGAAAAAATGCGGTCAACTTCATTGCAACATGATGATAATTATCATTCAAAAGAAAATCATGTAAATATTATAATTTATATTAAAAATTATTTTTTAAATTTTTAAATTTTTTTATTTTAGACAACCCAAACGACATCATTGAGCTCAACCCCACGAGGATCAGACTCATCAACATTATTTCGACATTCAGTAGCTGAGATTGAACCTCTACAGTATTTTTCGGATGAGCAGTAAGTTAACCTACCCTACCCTACCCTACCCTACCCTACCCTACCCTACCTTCCGAGCCCAAACCAGCTCAGCCCATCTCAGTTTGGCCCACCTCTGCTCAAATAATTCCAATCTAACCCCGTCGATCTTAGCCCAGCCCAGGCTAGTGCAGCTCATCTCATCCCAGTCCAGCTCAGCTTTGCCCAGCCCTGCCCCGCTCAAGTAATTACAGACCCGTCCTATGATATTTAATCCAGCCTAGCCCATCACAGCTCAAACAAACCCAGCCCTAACCATCTGACCATCTCTGACCTTAACCTACCTTACTGTAATTTAAAAAATAATTGTTTTAGTTTTAGCGAAGAACCAGACCGTTTGGAAATGATAAGACTTGAGCGAAAGAGAAAGTCGATTCCATCGATACCTACATTCAAATTTCGGGTTCAAGCAGTGCCTAACATGTCTGACATAAGTGAAAGCTCTTCCAATTCTCAAGAAGAATTCGAACGTCGAAGCTCAAAGAGAAGTCAAGATAAGAAAGTTTCTCAACTAGCATTGCAGGATACTAACTAGTACTATATTTAAATTGACAGGCACCACTACTTAGTACTGTACTTAAAATAAAGACATAAGATACTAACGAGTACTATCTCCTATCTAACTCGTACTCTTACTTAGTACTTCAAATAAAATGTAATGTACTATCTAGTACTTGTGGGTGATACTAAATAGTACTAAGGTCCGGTACTAAGTAGTACTCTTGTCTGGTGCTATTTAGTACTATTTTCTTATAACTAACTTTACTCTTAAAATACTAACTAGTACGTACTCCTGTGTGATACTACATAGTACCATTGTCTAATACATAATTTTACATTTTTGGTACTAACTAGTACTACTTCCTTGTAATAATTAGTATTAATGGTTGATACATAAGATCACAGTACTTTATTGTACTATTTAATATCAAGCACGTGGACGTACTACCTATTATAGTACGTACTCTTGTTTGATGCTAAAAAGTACAATTGTTTAATACTTAACTTTGAGTTTTAGAATACTATCTAATAGTACCACCTTTATAGTACTATTTATAAAAATATGTTACTTCCCCAACGAGTATATTTACTATAGTAAAAATACATATCTATTTGATGTTAACATGTACAAAAGTAAAAACTACACTGAAATTGTACATAATAAACCTATTAATAATACATGTCGTTCTTACTCAACTATGTAAAAACAAATATTTAATTTCCGCCAAAATACGAAAAAAAGTAATTCAAATCCTACCAGCTGTTTCTTTCTTGACACTAATTATAAACGGGAAAGTTGCTTTTATTTGAGCCTCGTAATTCAACATAAACTTATTTATTCTAGGTTTACTAAGCCTAAGCCTACTAAACCTAAGCCTACTAAGCCTAAACCTACTAAGCTTAAGCCTATTAAGCCTAAGCCTACTAAGCCTAAGCCTACTAAGCCTAAGCCTACTAAGCCTAAGCCTACTAAGCCTAAGCCTACTAAGCCTACGCCTATTAAGCCTAAGCCTACTAAGCCTAAGCCTACTAAGCCTAAGCCTACTAAGCCTAAGCCTACTAAGCCTAAGCCTACTAAGCCTAAGCCTACTAAGCCTAAGCCTACTAAGCCTAAGCCTACTAAGCCTAAGCCTACTAAGCCTAAGCCTACTAAGCCTAAGCCTACTACACCTAAGCCTACTAAGCCTAAGCCTACTAAGCCTAAGCCTACTAAGCTTAAGCCTGGGCCTAAGCATACTAAAGGTTAAGTTAAATCTTGAACCCAAGTCTAGCTTTAAACTCTGCCTAAGCCTAAGCCGAAGCACAAGTTAAACTGTAAAATCTTTTCGACAATTTAATATAGTACAATCTATGATGACTAATACTAGCTGTTACTCACATTCAATTATAGATGTTCTTAACGTAGATATTTGGTTAAATTACTCGTTACACCAAGTACGTCCTAAGAAATCTATTATTAAAAACGTCGGGCTTTCAACTTTTTTCGTACTTTAGGTAGAATAAATGAGTTTTTACGCACATACTATTTTTTATTGTTTTCAATGATGTGCTTGGTATATTAAACTTTTTATTTTATAAAAAAGTTTTATAGGACTCCTCAAGTGTTGTACTTGTATAAAGTTATTGTAGTCAAAAAACTGTATTTATAATCTTGTACTAATAAAGCAAGCAAGTTTCTTTTGTATTTTTACAACGATTTACGAAATATTCGTATCTATAAAGCATGTTTAACATGGCGCGACAACTACAAACATTAAAAAAACGTAGTTTAATTGTTTCGACACGAATCTCTTTAATAGGTTCATGATTTATGTATGTATTAATAATTAAGCTTACAAATGTATGTATAGGTAAGTGCAGTAGAAGTTTTGCACCACACCACAAATTGCTAGAGAATATTAAACTTGTTCGTTATGAAGAGGTTTTATTATACAAGAGTTTTAAATGCACTGCCTAGTGTTAGCCGGGGGTCAAAAGATGTTCGTTATATAGGATTGTTGTTATGCAGGAGTTCCTTATACAAAGGTTTCACTGTATGTAAAGTTACACGTGAAGGAGACATAGTTGTAGTTCGCTTTACTGAACAAAAAGACCGGTGTTATAGATGACACTTTTGTTTTTAAGACTCGTTTTTAACCTTTGAAGGTAGATTTGGTAAACGTTTTTTGTGTGATACCACGAGATATATTTGTGTAGTATTGTGTAACCATTGAAATTGCCAGAGCTAGACAAAGAGCTAAAGGTAGAGCTAGTGCTATAGCTAGTGCTAGAGCTAGAACTAGAGCTAGAGCTAGAGCTAGAGCGACACCTACTACTTAACCCCCAACTACCTAACATTGTAAGAATGTTCCGATTAGATTACGTTTATAATGTTCATAAAACAAGAAACACACGTAGTATATGTGTAGTGTAATGTATAAAAAAACTTTTGACTTTATTAAAATAAGTGAACAAAGTTAAGTCCACGTAATTAATTTTTAGTCCGGCCGGACATCGTGTGTCACTTCCTAGAAATTTAATAAAAGTTCCTTAAAAAATGAATTGAACTTAAGGTCTACATAACAATGAAGAAATGTCTCATAAGTTTGTTTTTTTTACATTTTTTGCCAATTTTTATTTTTTGTTTTATTACTCTACATTCTTTAAGCGTCTACAATTACAACTCGGGAGATATATATTAGATTAGATTATTGATGCCGTAGATTGTAACGTACAGTGCTAATGTGCAAGGACGTTCAAGGTTTAGATGAAGACTAACAGAGCTATCCTTGAGTCTGACGTTTCCCATAATTGGGCCCCTCCCCAGGTATTTCACTGTTCCTCGCGTCACTGAGTCGTGGGTGTGGTGATATATAAGAATCCGCGTTCGAACATATACTCGTGTAGGCCAAGTATAGATGTGCATAGTCCCCGTGCACTCAGCATATAAATGTGCCTAGTTTCCGTGCACTCAGCACTACTCATTCCTCAAGGCGCTTAGGTTGGGCGGTGCGCGGGGTCGAACGAAGGTCTTTCCGAATAGCGAGCAGCGCCACAGTCACTGCGCTACCAACGCACAAGAGTAAATAGTATTTAGAGTATTAAGTGCTGTATATTGACAGTACAAACTATAATGTTGACTTGATAACAAATTTATACTACATAGTTTTGTTTTTCCGCTTAAAACTTAATTTGTATATATATTATATATTAATTGAGTTTGCAAACTCCCACTAACGCTAAGACATTAACCTGAACGTTTGGCACCCTTCGCTACCTAATTAAATTGTTAATGTCCAAATATTATTAATGTGTTTTGTTACTTCTGTCTTAACATATTAGAGTTGGGTTTTGGAAGTAATGATTGGATTTTGTCTGGTTTCATTAAAAAAATAATTTTGATTTTTTGTACATCTATGTAGTACAAATTATGAATTGATTAACGTACTGTAAGTAAAGCTAACGTTAGAGTGAAGGTAGAACTAGAGAAGACTAGGAGTCTAGGGGTCTAAAGCAAAGCTCAGACTAAAGTAAAACTAAGTCGAGAGTTAGAGCAAAGGCTACGGTAGCTAGGACAAAGACTAGAGTAAAGTTAATACATCGAAAACTAAGGTTAGGCTAGAACTAAGATATGACTACAAATAAGACAAGACTAGGATTACAATTAAAAACTGAAAAGGCTAAGACTGGATGTACGTACGACTAGGGTAAGGTTAGAGCTAGAGCAAAGTTAGGACTCGGATAAGGCTAGAACTCATATAGAACTGGGGCAAAGGATAAAGCTAATATTGCTAGGAATAACGCAAGAATAATACTAGGGTAGAGCTAGGGAAAGGCTGGAACAAGGGTACAGATAATAATATACTTGGCTAGAACAAGAGTAAAGCTAATACGGCGAGGACTAAGACAAGGCTAGTGATGGGATAAAGCTATGAATAGGGCTAGGGTTAGGACTAGGGTAGGGCTAGGACAGCTAAAACTAATTTTACAAATTCTATGTTTTATTTGAATTGTTTTGATACCTATCCCATCATAATATTATGGGGTTATCCATATATTCTCACGTGGTTTTACTAATTAATTCTGTTCCTAGTATATATGCAACATTATAAACATAATCCGCGTAATTTAAAGCCCAAAAGCGTACTTCCTGGACTTATATATACGTAGCCAACTTTATATGCTCAAATGTTTGTTTGGAGTTCTAATTTTATACTTATTTTGATGTTTTACTGTTAACATTTTATGCTAAATTTAGTAATGTAGCTTTACGTTTTGATGCTACGATGTTATAACACTTTCAGTTTGTTTTAAATTTGTACACGGAATATATTATTGTAGATTATAATATCGAACGATTCTGCAGCTTAATGTTCCGTCTTCAAATGTAACAAAGTTTAGATTGTATGTAGCAAAAAGTACCTTGTAATGAGCTTAATGTACATAATGGAGATAACCATTGACACATTTGTCTTTCTGTTTACCATTACCTCAATTATCTCCACCACGTTTTTCTTATACTTTATGTATCGTACCAAGAACTTGCATGGTAATTTAAAATTCACCTTGGTAAGTGGGCCAAAAAATGCAAAAAAAGTGATGACAATTTTGATTTTTATACTGTTTTTTAAGTTTAAAACGTATTGTAAGAAAGGGGGGAGAGGGGGGGGTAAACAAGAGTAAATGTTTTTAAAGTTTTCAACTTAAAAATCACTATAACACACCATTACAGATTTTCTTATCAATAATTCTCCGACTAACCACAATAACTAGAGCAATACCAGACCTAGCTTACTACATCAAGCCGACCGCATTAATCACCTACTATACGTGTCGAATAATGAGTATATCCAACCTACTTATTGTTGGCTTTGTTCAACTTTGCTTTGCCATACTAGTGATTGAAAGAACATTTGCAACAATATACCATAGTAGTTATGAGCTATGGGGTAACAAACTTGCCAAAACATTAGTTGGTTTACTCACTATTAATGCTGTATTGTTTTGTACGATTGCGTTGGTGCTAAATAGTACGGAAATTGTTAAACCACAGCCGAATTTTAACACTTGTGTTATTTTTTACAGCACACCGCAGTTTTTCATGTATACGTAAGTTTTTTGAGAAGTTGAAGTTCAAACAGAGGTGGAAGTAATGCTAGTCGCTTCTTAAATTAATTTAGTGTAAGCTGAAGTAAAATAAACGATAAAATTGTAGTTCAACATCAGGGCTGGGCGAAAATTTCGTTTCGTGTTTCGTTTCGCGCGAAAGAGCCATTTTCGTTTCGTTTCGTGTTTCGCGAAACAATTTTTGTTTCGGAAACGAAACAAAAAAAAATATTTCTCAACCCGAAAACCAACAAATATTAAAAATGTTTGGCATTCTGTTTTATACTGTTGAAAATTGTTTTTATTTTAATTTTAAACATATTTTGGCATAAACAAATGTCGAAAAGGTCGAAGTACGATCCCTTTTTTAACGAAGGAGTCTGTATAACATGTAAGGCAAAAGTGCGAAACACAACAAATCATTCCTCAACTAGCTCTTTCCGGTACCATTAAATACAGAAACACCCGGACGTATGGAAAGAAATTGAAGCAGACGGTGCACCAGCAAAGAAAGAGCGTAATATTCTGGATAATGTAAGTCTTTCGAAACAAGTATTTCGGTTTATAGGAAAGATTACATTCTTTTTGTAATAAAGCAGATCAAAAAGATTTTTTAATTTATTTTTTGTTTGTTTTACAGTCTAAATTATTTAGTATGTATTTAGTGGGTCCAACTTCCGCAAATTCAAAAATCTTCATCTCAGCCCACAATTAAATCGGTTTTTCAAAGCTTGGCCGAATGGAGTAAAGAAGACCCTCGTTACAAGAAATGCGAAAAAGCAGTTGCCCAATACCTGATAGGAACCGCACAACCATTAAGCACCGTCGACAATGAGCTGTTTATCGAAATGTTAAACACGCTTAATCCTAATTTTACTATCAGGTAGATATTTAATTTCATTACCATTATGTTTTCAGAAAACAAAAACATTTTTCAAATGTTGTAATCCCAAAAATGGTTAGTGATACCACGACATACATTATAAACGAACTCAAAGACTCAACGAACATTACAATCGCTATTGATGAATGGACGGACAAATCTATAAAATACTCTTTGTTTGGGCTGGTTATCTACTACATGACAAAAGAATTTAAATTACAATATTTTGTCATAAGATGCTCGCCAATCAAAGCTAAAAAAGCGGTCGATATTTGCGTAAGTTTTTAAATTTGTTATAACCATTTAAAACTTAAATTTAATAATCACAAGATTACGAATGTAGTTTTAAAGCTTTAATGTTTTATAACAATATGATTCAGGACAGTATCACCGATGTTCTACAGATGTTTAAAATTGACGACACGAAAATCAAATTGATACTTCGCGACGGAGCATCAGCAGTAAAAAAGGCTTGCGACACAATGGGAAAACCATCGTTTCACTGCTTCGCGCACCGCCTAAACTTAGTGAGTTTTAGAAGTTAAAAATTACCAATTATTACAAATTAAACTACAAGACCTTTTTATCTACTTCAGGCATGCCAAAATGCCATCGAGAAAGCCGAGTTAAAGCCTTGTTTTGAGAAAATCAGACGTGCTGTTAAAAAAAATAAGGAAATCTTGCATCCTCCAAGAATTGTTTAGTCAAAGTCAAGCGTTGGTCGATTTACCTGAGATCTCATTAAAAAAGGACATGATTGTCAGATGGAACTCGTTGTACGTAATGGTTGAAAGTTTGTTTGTAAACAGAGGAGCATACAATGAACTTTTAATCAAAGACGATGCCGCAGCATATAATCTGCCAAATTTCACACCGAACGAATGGAAGGCATTGGAAAAAGTATTATTCACGTTAAAACCTTTGAAAGACGTGTCAGAAACAGTACAATCCCGGCTAGCTACGATTTCTATGGCTATTCCAGTAAAACAAGTTCTGGTAAACATGTACACAACAATGAAGAAGATTGATTGTCACAGTAAACTACGATCTTGCCTTCTTAGCCAACTTAACACATATTTTGGTAAAACGGAAGAAACTGAATTTTTGATCGTTGCGACCGCTTTAGACCCCCGCTTCAAATTAAAGTACTTTTCAGACCAAATGGCCGACTCAGTAAAAAAGATTACCATGGATCGCGTTGTAGAAACAGCTTTAATTGAAAATGATGAAAATTCAGAAGAATCCGAAAACAGCCAGGTAATTTTCAGTTTATCTTAGTTTTTTCGGCTTTTTCTTAAAGAGATAAAAAATCTAATTTAAGTTTTAAAAACAAAAAATTAACTGTCTGCTATCACAAAATTTATTTTCGTGCATTTCAGCTATCTATTGATGATCCCTTTCTGCAATTTGAAAAACAAGTTGTTTCTCAAGGAAGTCCCTCAAAAACAGAGCAGGGGATTTATTACCAAGTAGAATCAGAACTCGCAAAATTTTGGAAAGAACCTAATACAAAACGAAATGAAGATCCATCTGTGTATTTTAAAGGAAATTTGCATAGATATAACTACATTTGGAAAGCCTATATGAAATTCAACAGTGCGCCATTAACAACTGCTGAACCTGAAAAGCTATTTTCGACAGCAAGGACTGTTTTGACTGACTATCGAAGAAGTATGACAAGTGAGATGCTTCAGAACTTGTTATTCCTTAAGGTCAATACCCATTTACGGCATAAAATTTGATTTTTTTGAAGATTTTTAAATAAATTCGTAAATTTTGTTTCGTTTCGTGTTTCGTTTCGTTTCGCGCGAAAATAATTTACTTTCGTTTCGTGTTTCGCGAAACAAAATTTTTTTGTTTCGCCAAGCCCTGTTCAACGCGTTTTGCACAAAATTGAAGAACCCTTCAAGCTTTGCCATAATAGAAAACTATAACTATTTATAAGAAACTTTTGCTATTTTGCGGAGGCTGAGATAAAACTCTTTTTTTTGTTTTTGGCTGTCTACAAAATGCTTGTGGAAGCGTGCATAAACAGCTTAGAAATTAATGTTGTAGGTTGAGACAAGAGAATGTAGTATTCTGGCATAAATGTTTTGTAAAGTACAACATCGAGTACCGTAAATGTTTCATTAAGATTCCAATTGCAGTTTTCTAAAATCCATGTGGCAAATTTTGTTGTTTTTATAGCAAATGGAGGCAACAGACGAGCATTCTGAAAAAGGGGGAAAATAGTAGCAAAATCATAATTGAAGTCAAAAGACAAAAAATATGTAGAAAACACAACAAAACTTTCCGCAACAGTTGAAGAAGCAACCTTTCATTAAAGTCGAACAAAAACATAATAAAAAAAATAATTGTTAGAAAAATTTGGTGTGGCATAATGCTTCAAATCAATTTTTCCTTGTGAGACGTAAAATAATTGAAGGTGTAAACATAATAAATAAGGGGAAAGTTTAATATTGGTTAGAATAAAGTAAAGACAATGTTAAAGCGTAAATTAACACAGGGGTACAATCTTTTTGGCTGTAACTTCTTCTTAAAAAAATCTGTAGAGCGTCGGGGGTATTAAGTAGTAGAGCGTCGGGGTAATATTGAAAAAAAAAGAACTTGTTAATCATCTACAATTTTGAAAACTTTTAGTTGGTTTGTATTTGGAGCGACAATGCTAATTGGTGTGGGACCGAGCGTTTATTTATATTACTACAATCGCAGAATGTGTTATCGGCGTGGTTCGGGTACACTAACCACGCGCTATCAGTATCATGACAATGTTGTTGTACTCCGCATAATAGCACCTGTCATTGTAGTTGCTGTTTTTGGAATTGGCACAGTTTGTCTATTTATAGTGTTCATCATTGGTGTCAAGTTAATGAACAATCAAGTGTTGAGTGCTGACGATTACTTGCTTGTTAAAGTATGTTTTCTAGCTATTATGCTTATGTTAGGATAGGGTAGGACAGGGTAGATTATGATATGGTACGGTAGGGTATGGTATGGTAGGGTCAACCCCAAAAAACAAAATTCAAAAAAAATTTAATTTTTAGGTAACACACGTACTGATAGACATAGCAGCAACGATGATAGAGACAATATTACTACGGTTTCATCCAGCTTTATGGAGTAAAGTGACAAAACGTTTTCCATTTTTGTCTCACAGCCCAAAAGTTGGTAAAGTAAGAGTGGCATTAGTAGACGGAACTCATGTATACTTCCAACAACTTCAGGATTCTTGGAAATGATCTTTTACAACATTCTACCGGTATATTCATGCAAGTTTCAATAAACTAACTAAACTATTGTGTTACCTAAAATAATTTTTAATCTTATTTTGATGCTATTACAGGGTGCGCAAAATGTTGTGTTACAAAACTGTATAATAAGCAATCTTCTTTTAAAATAAGTTGGAAAACAACATTTTAGACCCTTTGATTCTTCTGCTCCTTAATTAAATTTGAATAAGAGTTTGAAAAACAAAATACTGCGCAATTTCCTTTTGATACTGTGTTGTTTTGCCCAGTATGCTCAATTGGAAGAATATGTTTGTAACACTTGTATGATTGACATACTTTAGCTTTATAATATATTTATTGTGAGCTTGCACGTGTGGCCCTGACTCTAACCTTGGCCTTGTCTCTGCTCTTGGCCTTGGCCTTGGCTCTGGCTCTAGATCTGCCTTGGGCCTTGACTTTAGCTTTAGCTCTAGCATTAGCTCTAGCTCTAGATCTGGTTTTGGCTCTGGCTTTGGTTTTGTTCTGGTTTTGATTCTGGTTCTAATTTTAACTCTGGTTAAAGCCTTGGCTTTGAAAGGGCTCTAGCTCTAGGTCATGTTCTAGCCTTGACCCTGGCTCTGGCTTTGGCTTGGGCTTGGGCTTTCGCTCTGGTTGTGGCTCTAGCTCTGGCTCTGTCACTGGCTCTGGATTTGGTTTTGGCTTTGGCTTTGACCCTGACCCTGGCCCTGACTCTGGCTCTGTTTCTGGCTCTATCTCTGGCTCTGGCTTTGGTTCTGACTCTGGCGTTGGTCCTAGTTTTAGCCCTGGCTTTGGCTTTGATACTAGCCTCGATTATAGCCCTAACTCTGGTTTTGGATCTTGCCTTAGTTCTGGCTCTGACTCTGGGGTAGCATTGATATTGGCTATAACGTTAACTCTGACTCTAGTTCTAACTATAGCCCTGATCTTGGCCATATCCTTAACTCTATCTGTGGCTGTTTTAACCTTAAACATAAACTACAATTGTAGATTGTATTGATGGTCGTTACCCTTGAATTAATGTTTTGACAATTCACTAGATGTTCTCTACAATTTGAAGAAAATTGACAATGGTGGTATTATCTGTACCATTAACAAATAATAGTTGTAGCAAGTATACCGAACGCAAAACTATAATTTTTAGCCATTGCCTCTCATTTTGTAGTTTCTTTGGAAATTGAATACAAAACAGCCGAACACCATTGAAATTGTCAAAAGTTGCTTTACAGCAGTTTGTAGGTTTTGTCATGCTCTAGTCGGTCTTTACTGCACCAACATTTAGTAAGTTTTGAAGCTTACTAGTGAAAATTGATTGAACAGTGTATGTCGAAACACCTCATAGTAGCCCATAGTAATATTAAGGATAAAAATTATTGACGGTAAAGGTTAGGAAGGACTACATTAAAGCAAAGATAGCGCTGCAGTATGGGTAAGGTATGGTAAGGTACAGATTGAGAAGAAGTAAATGGAGGCAACGGTGTAACTAAAACAATGGTAGTACAGGGCGGGGGTAGGGTAGTTTAAAATAAGGTGTGCCATGATAGTGCAAGGTAGGGTAGTGTATATAGGGTACAGTATGGTACGTTGGGGTACGGTAGAGTACGGCAGGGTACGGTAGGGGAGTGTAGTGTAAGGTAGAATATGATAGTGCAAAGTAAGGTACAGTAGGGTAGTTAGAGCACGGTAGGTTATGGTAGGGTAGGGTGCAGTAGAGTACGGTAGGGTACCGTAGGGTAGTCTAGGGTAGGGTAGCATTTTCGTCATTACGAAAGATGTCTCGTTTTTGGCAAATTGAGAGGTTTTTTGTGGAATGTTTTGAGCTACTTGGAATATTATATTACTACTTTACAATACGTAAATAACGTGGTATTTCAACAAGGTCTTTCTGTACCGGGAATACTGCAGGCAGTACTAATAAAGATTGTTGTTTCTATTGCATTAAGCCTTATCAGATTAGTAGTTTTTATTGCCTTATTAGTGTCATAATTAACAAACTGTTTGATTGTTTGGTACATTTGTTGCTTTTAATTAAAGTGTCACACTTTTAAAAGATTAGTGTGTTGTAGTATATAATATGTAGTTGCAATGCTGAATATTTGTGGTTTTTACAGTAATTACTGTTTTTTTGTCAGTTTTTGAGCATTATTTTACATTTGTAGTAAAAAACCAAGTCTTTTTGTTAATGAACAAACAAAAAAGTAACATTTAGTCGGTTTGTTCAACACTAAACCAGTTAAGAAAGTCCAGGCCTAATTTTGCGGCCCTGTGGTTTAGGCTTGGGTGTTTGGGTCAACGTGCGTTGGCTTTGTTTGTCCTTTGAAATTTGCTGTAGCCTGTATTAGCACGACCGGAGCTGAGATTAGAGGACTCATCTTTTAGGTTTACTGCTTACGTTTGTTAGAGAAAAAAAAATTTTTTTTAAAATTATTATTTTGAACCCAACTACATTTCCTGCAGAGTTTTGTAGTACAAACGTCTGCATCTTTTTGTACTGTCAGTCACGAAAAAAAAACATTTTTGTAGACAACCAGGAAACATTCGAACGGTTATAGTTCATAGAAAATGTTACTATTAGGTTGAACCAAAAATATCGGGACACTTTTTATTTATTTTTTAACCAAAAGTGTCCCGCTTCTTTTGGTTTAACCTAATATATTATAATTTTGTAAACGATTGGTGTGAGATAGGATGAAACACTTTTGGATTTATTGACTCCCATAAAGAAACATTGGCGTTTGATAGTTAATGTTACAACATATTAATTGTTTTTGTTGTTTGTTATTATAGCGAGTAAACTCAAAACACTGTTAATTGTTAATTTTCATCATATATACATTATAAATTAACCGAGTCTTACATCTCTCTGGAAAAACAGGCCAGCTCGATTTTCGAACATTTTTGACTGACCTGGGTCAGACTTGAAAAAAAAACGGCAGAGTAGTACAAAAACTTAGGTTTCGGATTTAGGCAGGGCGTAAAAAGAGGGTTGGGAGGATAGAGTAGGATAGCGTAGAGTAAGATAGAATAAAGTAATGTTAAGTTAACTAAAGTAAAGTTCAATCACCAGCCTTAATTGCACTTTCTGTCACTCAGTAAGGCCTCACTGTACTAACAAACAGTTATTTTTAGCTTTGTTGCACTCATTTCGCGACGTTTTTACACGTTAATATACAATAGATTAACTATTCTTGTAATTGTCATCAAGGTCAAGTAGTTAGGCTATAAAATTATAAGTTTAATATAATTAAAATAAGTTTAATATAAGTTTAATATAATTAAGAGAGTTATAAGTTTAATATAATTAAGAGAGTTTATGTACTTTGTAACGAGACACGTAAGCTGTTTATGTATCGTAACTTAGTTTTGCACATTTTTTTAGGCTAGGGCTAAGGCTTAAAACTAGGCTTAGGTTTAGACTTAGGCTTAGGCTTAGGCTTAGGCTTAGGTTTAGGCTTAGGCTTAGTTTTAGGTTTAGGCTTAGGCTTAGGCTTAAGCTTAGGCTTAGGCTTAGGCTTAAGCTTAGGCTTAGGCTTAGGCTTAAATGTTTGAAAATGTAAAATAATATTTTCTTTGTTTTTTGAACCTTGAGTACAAGTATAAAAAGTTAACGTTTGCCTACTTCTTAAGAACTAACTGCCTTAAATGAAGGAGAATGTGCTTGTTGAGTATGTGCTCATCAATCTTGAGTTAGTTTGAATACGTTTTCTACTATGCTTGTAACTTGTGGCTAGTTTTACATTATATACATCTTGACGTGTTTTATTCAATATTTCAAATTTTAAAATTTAATTAATAAATTTTAGGCTATGAACTACATAGTTATGGTGGACACAGTGTTGGACGTCTTTCTGTACCTATTTATTATAGTGTCGGCCATTTCTAGCGTATTCTTTTTGTACATAATGAATAAAACTAGGCGTTTACATGTGAACCTAAGGTTTACTTTGGTAAGTTTCCGCTAACCCAAGCCCTAGCTCTAGCACAGAACCTTAGTCCGAAGCCTTAGTCCAAAGCCTTAGCCCGAAGTTCTAACCCGAAGCCCTATCCCCAGCCCAAAAGACCTATCCCGAGAACCCTAGCCTAAAGCCCTAGCTCGAGAGCCGTAGCCCCATAGTCCTGGCCCAAAGCCCTAACTCAAGAACACAAGATCCCTAAGCTAAAGTGCAAGCTCAAGTTACAGCTCATGCTCATGCTAAAGCTTAAATTCAATTTTATGATCTAACCCTAGGTCTGGCATTGTTCTTGAACCTAGTCGTAGATCTAACCCTAATAATGCTACATTTACAGATGTTCCTATCAATAATACTACGCTCACTAACCTTTACCCGAGCAATAGCTGACATATCATACCAGATTAGTGAATCTTCTACCATAACCTACTGTATATGTTCTATTATGAGCTACCTAAACTTGATGATAGCCGGTTTTACCCAGCTATCATTCGCTACCTTAATAATTGAAAGAGCAATAGCCACAATATACCACGCTAGCTACGAGTTGTGGGGTTGGAAGCTGACTAGGATATCCATGTACTCTTATACTGTGTATGCTGTAGTATTTTGTGTTACATGTCGATTCTTAGACTCACAAGGTGTGATACGACCACAAGCTTACTGGCCAACATGTGTTATACTTGTCAGATCGCCGGAGATACTTATCTACACATGGATAATATTTGGCACAACAATGCTAATAGGTGCCATACCAAGTGTCTGGTTGTACTACTACAACCGTAAAATGTGCTTTCGACGGGGTTCAGGTACATTGACCACCAGGTATCAATACCATGACAATGTTCTTGTGTTACGAATATATGCGCCCGTAATAGTATTCTCCGTATTTGGTATTGGCAGCTTATGTCTATTCATTGTGGTTGCGATTGGAGTGCAGCTGATAAATCATGAAAACTTAAAGCATGATATGTATATGATGATCAAGGTGGGTTGTGATTAAAGAAATTCGATGGAGTTATAATTAAAAACAGGCTAGACTAAAAATAAGACTTAAGGCTAAGTCTGGAACAAAAGCTAGAGCTAGAGTTAAAGCCAGGAGTGAGCCTGGAACTGTAGTTGGGGCTGTGGCTATAATTCAAACTGGTGCTGAAACAGAAGTTAGAGCCGGAATTAGAGCTGGGGCTTGACTAGGGCTTGAACTTGGGCTTGAGGTTGAGCTGGTGTTTGAGCTTGAGCAGCTATGGGCTAAGGCTTTACGGCTAAGGCTCACGGGCTAGGACACTTGGGATAGGGCCGTCGGGCTAGGATTCTCGGGCTAGGACTCTCGGGCTAGGCCTCTTGAGTTGGGGCTCTCGGGCTAAGACTCTCGGGCTAGGGCTCTCGAGCTAGGGCTCTTGAGTTGGGGCTTTCTGGCTAAGACTCTCGGGCTAGGATTCTCGGGCTAGGTTTCTCGGGCTAGTCTTCTCGAGCTAGGCCTCTCGAGTTGGGGCTCTCGGGCTAGGGCTCACGAGCTAGGACACTCAGGCTAGGGCTCACGAGTTTGGGTTCTTGGTTTAGGGCTTACGGGCTAGAACTCTCGAGCTAGGCCCTTCGAGTTGGGGCTCTCGGGTTAGGGTTCTCGGGCTGAGGCCTTTGAGCTAGGGCTCTCGGGCTAGGCCCACGAGTTGGGGCTCTTGGGCTAGGGATTTGAACTAGGACTTAAAATTAAAAGTGTCATTTCAATTCACTAATATCCAAAACAAAAACTCTTTCGTTTCAGTGCACTTTCATGCTAACAGACATTGCCGCGACGACCATCGAAGTCGTCCTACTAAGATTCCATCCCGCTTTGTGGAGTAATGTGAAAAAGTGTTTTCCCGCCTCGTGCAAGACCAAAGACGAGCCGTTGAGAAAAAACCAATTACAGAATGAGATGGACGTTTACTTCACTCAGCTACAAACGGCGTGGAAGTAAAACTGGCAACTATCTTTTATTTACGTTATTTATTGTTAATGTTGATAGGGTGGTAAAGGCTTGCAGTGGGAGGCAGAGATGAGGCAAGGAATAACTGGTACAACGTCTATGGTAATCAAGGTGCCTTCAATTGTACATGATTTCAAGTTTCTGCAGCGTAACTGAAGTTTTGGTTTTAAATAAATCTTTCAAATGCACAACGGGTAGATGTACCTTAATTTATCTGTCCTATTCTTTGCTCCTAGCCTTCTCTTTGTCACATCTTAGGACTTTTTGTCGTGATCTTGACTTTACTTTGCCTTAGTCAATAGATTTTCGGGTCCGGTCCAAACTTTAAATTTTTGGGCCCAATCCTGTCCAAAGTTTACATTTTTGGGCCCGGTCCGGACCAAACACTAAATTTTTGGGCCCGGAACGATCCGCAAAATGTTTTGTTTTAGACCGTCCGGTCCGGCAAAACCCTGTTTATTACATAGAGTTTTGGTATAGTGAAGTTTGAAATACACTGCCTAGTGATGACAAGAGATTTGAAAGTTATTTGTTATACGGGAGTTTGTTATTGAAGAGACCGTTCCTCTGGTCAATCTGTATTAGGAAAATCTATATCACAAAACCACTGTATAAAGAACAACTTTTGAAACCACGGCTTACTACACAATGGGTCTAAATATGGTTGGAGACATATACTTCAAATTTTTTCCTCAAAAATAATTTTCTTCAGTGAAAAACAAAAAATGGCGCAAAAAAATACAAAATTCTGTGCCATTTTGACAAGAGAGCACTATAAAACGAGAGACACTAGAGAAAAGACTCTCTCACTTACAAACGATATTTTTTAAAGGGCGGATGGCATTGTACTTTTCTGCTTCATATCTTTTTCAAAATGAAAAAAAAATATTTAAAAAAAAATTGATGTACATAGTCACCAGCCATACATTTAAAAAAATATTTTGTGGTGTCTGCCCACCCGCCCCTCCTTCACGTTAAAATCAGTAGCGAAGTCGCTAGCCAGAGTGTGATTTTCGTAAAATTCAAAAGTTTTGTTTTCTCATAGCCGTTGTTTATCTTCCACGTCTACAGTAATGAATTATAAATGGGCTTAGCAATAAACATGTACTTATTTTATAAATGGCTACCAGTAAACTAATGTCACATAATATATGTATTATAGATCGTTGAACACAACAATTATAATTCAATTTTCTTTACTTTATAATGTTAAAAAATCGCTGTAAAGTATGTACATGCCAGACACAATATATTTTTTTTGTTTCTTCTTGTTTGTATACGCTTTATGGAAGGCATTGTGCCATTTCAAGGCTGTTAAGCTTTATGTAATAATATACATTAGTACATTAATTGTGTATAATAGTAAAGTAAAGGTGTAAAGAACAAAAAGAAAGAGGGTATGGTGATTTTAGAAAAGAGCTAAAAAGAGGGGCGGGGGGATACTAAGGTTGATTATGATTGGTTAGGCTGAGTAAAATAGAATGATATGGTGACAAAGTTAAGTTAGGATGGCTTTGAGTAAGGTACTGTTAGAGGTGGCTGTGAGCAGAAGCGGGCGGTGACTTTTGGTCTGGGGGCGGGGGTCGAAAACAAAAAATTCACAGGGGGACCACGTTCAACTTTTTTCGAAAAATTTTGGAGTCTCTAAGATCTGGGGTACAACGTAGTCTAACGTAGGATAGGGTAAACTAACGCAATTTAGGAACCCACAGTCAAGTATAATACACTTTTTGCTGATAGAATGGGGTAAAGTAAGGTTAGCTAGGATTAGCTTGAGTAAAGCAAGGTAAAGTATGGTAGGATCAGGTAGAATAGAATAAGAAAAGGTAGAGTAAGATGGGGTAGAGTGGGGTGGGGTAGGGTAGGGTAGGGTAGGGTAGGGTAGGGTAAGGTAGGGTAAGATTTTGTAAAACTTGTCTATTTTTAAAACGTACTGACTTGTTTTGTTCTAGAATTATAATATTTAGTATTGTTTTTGTATTTTTATGTAGGCAAAGACCGGGTAAAGTAACACCTGTCATTTGTCTCAAAAATCACTTCCAGTGTAACACATTTCAGTATAATATATATATACAAAAAAAACTGATATTCAAAATAGGCCGTGCCTAACAATTTGGCCCGTTCCAATCTAAACTTGGGTCAGAGCCGGTCCGATCAACGTTTTTCTCAAGGCCGGCCCGAGCTTTTTTTTTTACGTGCAAGCGGGCTGGGTTATTCGGACCGGGCCAAGCCTTCATTTTCTGGCCCGGCCCGACTTAAATTTGAGTCAAGGCCGTCCTGTTCCTAACTTTTATTCCTGCCCCTCTTCGGGCAGGTGTTTATCCCTGCCTCTCCGTACCGGGATAAACATGAGGAAGAGGCCGGCTCCTCTCCGTTGTTAGTACTAAAGCTTCAAAAATGTCCCTATACTACAATTTGTACCGATACCTCGAATTTCAAAAGCTAAGGTCATTAATGATCTTCATTATTTGCCGTTTGTAAGGTTATGTTTACTTCCTTACTTATGTCAACATCTTATAGTACAAGTTGTTTACTTACTATATATGGTAGTATAAATATAGTTTCTTCAGTCTTATGGGTGCATTGCTTATTTAATTATACACCACTAACATTCTTAACTAATCTATTTACTTAGTATAAAACATTATTTATACTACTCATACAGTACTAAATCTATTTATTATTACTCACGTAGTACTAAAACTTGAGAGTAGTAGTCATATAGTACTAAGTTTATAAGAAATACATAGGTAATACTAGATTCATGAAGTATTATTAATATAGTACCAGTTCATATTGTACTAGATCTTTACAGCACTAACTACATAGTATTAAATTTACGCAGTACTAAGCTTACATAGTACTAAGCTTTAATAGTACTAAATTTTTGTAGTACTAACCCTAAATAGTACTAAGTATATAGTACTACTTATATAGTACTAATCTTACAAAGTTTTGTTCGTATAGTATTGAACTTGTGTAGTACTACACCTAAGTAGTACTAATTTAATATAGTACTGTTTATATAGTATTACACATATATTGTACTACTTCTATAGTACTAAATTTATACAGTACCACGTACATAGTACTAAACTTTTATATCACTACTTTCATAATGCTAACTTTATATTCACTACTCCTATAGTACTACTCTTGTCTAGTACTGCTCATATGGTACTATTATTAAATTGCTAATTTTTTCTGCTAGTACACGATAGTACTAACAATATTTTCTTATCATCCTAGTACTATATTTTTGTGTTTTTAATGCTATAGCACCAAGTATAGTACTATACGTTTGTTTACCTAATGATATAGTACCAAGTTTTGTTTTTGTGACAGCCGGCTATAATTAGTCGTTGTCTATAACAATATTTTTTCAAAAATTTGAATATTTGTTATTCCTAATTAAGTTTTTCACGTCGGAAACTCACGTTTACTGCTTCTAGATGTCACTTAATACCAATGTATGTTGCTCTAAATGCTAATATGTTATTCATGCTGAAAATAACGTATTCTAGGGTTAATTGTGTCAAAATTTTAAATTTATGTTTTTCAGTTTATGGGTTGGCTTGACATGGGCCTAGACGTTTTGTTAACTACATTCATAATATTGTCAGCGTTATCGTCGGCCTTTTTTTTGTATATAATGCAGCTTACGAAAATACTTCATAGTAACTTGAAGTTTACTTTGGTAAGTCAGAAAATAATTTTATAACATACTAACTCTAAGCCTAGCTAGTTTTCTAAGTCTACTAAGCCTAAGCTTACGAAGTTTAAGCATACTAAGAAAAAACATTTAAACGCTAAGCCTACTAAGCCTAAGCCCACTAAGCCTAAGCCCACTAAGCCTAAGCCTATTAAGCCTAAGCCTACTGAGCCTAAGCCTACTAAGCCTAAGCCTACTAAGCCCAAGCCTACTAAGCCTAAGCCTACTAAGCCTAAGCCCACTAAGCCCAAGCCTACTAAGCCTAAGCCTACTGAGCCTAAGCCTACTAAGCCTAAGCCTACTAAGCCCAAGCCTACTAAGCCTAAGCCTACTAAGCCTAAGTCTACTATGCCTAAGTCTACTATGCCTAAGCCTACTAAGCCTAAGCCTACTAAGCCCAAGCCTACTAAGCCTAAGCCCACTAAGCCTAAGCCCACTAAGCCTAAGCCCACTAAGCCTAAGCCCACTAAGCCTAAGCCCAGTAAGCCTAAGCCCACTAAGTCTAAGCCCACTAAGCCTAAGCCTACTAACCCTAAGCCTACTAACCCTAAGCCTACTAAGCCTAAGCCTACTAACCCTAAGCCTACAAAGCCTAAGTCTACTAAGCCTTAGCATACTAAAATCATAATTTAATCAACCAGCTGTAATGTAGGATAAGATAGCATAAAGCATTGGGACACGTTTTACCTTGAAGAAACTAATCAAAATTTGTACGGCATTACCTAATATTGATGTTATAATAAGATAGCCTTAGAGAAATTGAAATAAATGATATTACGCAACTTTTTTTTATGTAATCTTATGGTTTTATATAATACTTGCCTCGATGTAAAACGACCCAAGAAATGACTGCGAGTGCTGGGATTTGGCTCTATTTTCCTGCGAGGGATCAATCTTTATGTGTTACTCGAGTATCCCTGATTTTGAAAAAATAGTACGCTTGAGACTTTTAAGCCTCAGCAAGCTGAGCTTAGAACTACTAAGTCTAAGCTTATTAAGCTGAAGCCTACTGCCCTTAAGTTCAAACTTAACAATCATAAGCTTTGTAAAGTTTAAAACAAGGCCTTACATAAACAAAGCCTTCCAAGCCCAAGAAATTTTTAAAAAATCCTATTAAGCTAACTAAGCTTAAGCCTAAGTACGCCGTGCCTAAGCTCACTAAGCTCAAGTCTACTTAACATAAGTTTACTATGCCCAGACCCAATCAGTCTAAGCCTACTGAAAGTAAGCCTACTATCCTAAACTTACAAATTGTGAGCTTACTATCTACAGGCTACAAAACAAAAACTTACTAATTTTAAGCCTACTAAGCATAAGCCTACTGAAGGTAAACTGATTTAGCCCAATTCTGCATATCTTAAACGCTCACCTAATATTACTAAGTCTAGTAAGCCAACAACTACTAAGTACAAACCCCTTGTGTCTAAGCCTACAGTGTCTTAGCTTATGTTTTATTCTAAACCTAAAATAAAGCCTACTACTTGAAAACTTAATTACAGATGTTCTTATCAATAATTCTACGCTGCCTAACCTTCACCAGAGCAATAGCAGATCTATTCTACACTGCCGTGAACTCATCAGCAACCACCTACTATATATGTCGCTGTATGAGTTTTCTAAACCTATTCTCCATGGGATTCGTTCAATTATCATTTGCAGCTTTGGTTATTGAACGAGCCATGGCCACAATATACCATTCTGACTATGAGAGTTGGGGTAATAAGTTGGCCAAGCTTTTAACAGCTTTATTCGCTGTCAATGCTTTCGTATTTTGTTTGGTATGCTTCTTGTTAGAGACTTATGGAGTTGTTAAGGAACAGACACAGTTTCCGACGTGTGTGGTGTTGTTCAAGGTTCCAGAGTTTTTAATTTACAGGTATAGTGCTTTAAAGAATTTTAGATAACAAAAAAAATTGTTATATACTTGTTTTTGTTAGTCAAACGTATTTTACATTAAGCCTACTAAGGCTAAGCCTACTAAGCTTATGTCTACTGAACCTATGCTTACTAAGCAAAAGCCTACTAAGTCTAAGCCGGCTAAGCCTAAGCCTACTAAGCTCAAGCCTACTAAGCCTAAGCCTACCAAGCCTAAGCCTACTAAGCCTAAGCTTACTAAGCCTAAACCTACTAAACCTAAGCCTACGAAGCCTAAGCCTACCAAGCCTAAGCCTACTAAGCCTAAACCTACTAAGCCTAAGCCTACTAAACATAAGTTTGCTAAGCTTAAGCTTAATAAGCCAAACCTTAGTAAGCCTAACCGTACTAAGCCTAGGCTTACTAAGCCTAAACCTAAGACTAAGCCTACTAAACCTAAACTTACTAATTTTAGTTACAAGAGCTTCACTGAACAAGTAAAACTATGTGCTTCCTCAAAATAAAAAAAATTTTCAGCTGGCTCATCTTCGGTACTACAATGTTAATAGGTGCCGGACCAAGCATATGGCTCTATTACTACAATAAAAAGATGTGTTATAGAAGAGCTTGTGGCACATTAACAACAAGGTTTACATATCATGACAATGTGGTTGTGCTGCGAATTTATGCGCCAGTTATTGTATTTGCAGTGTTTGGAATCGGGACAGTATGCATCGTCATTATATTCTTTACTGGCATACAGTTACTGCATAATGAAGTTTTGTCTAGGGATATTTATACGTTGTTTAAGGTAGGTTTGTTTGGAGTACACCTAAAAAGGGAACGCTAGGCCGAGCTGAATCAAAGTTTAAAAGTGTCAAATCGGCAAATTTCGCTCCGTGAGCCGAGGCCCATACCGAAGCATAGATGCCCAACTAGGTCTTGCAACGAATGACTTGACTTGCGATAAAACAAAAAAATTGAAACTGAGTTAAGTTGAAAAAAAAATTTAAAAAAGCGGAGCCAAGACGGTTGCGACGCCAACGTAGCGAGAGTATTGAGACGAAGTGAATAACCTTGTAGGGGCAAGGCGAGTGGGCCAAGAGGGCCCCGGATTCACTCATCTATGATCGGAAGGAATAATGTCTCTTTTGTAGCTCAAATGGTAGAGCAATCGCCTAATAAGCGAGAGGTTACGGGTTCGACTCCCGTCGAAGGTAGGCGTTTTTCCTCCCGGTCTTAGTATCGCACCGTAGTATGCCAGTTGCCACGCGCTGCGAATCTTTAAATAGGCCGGGCCGGCACATGAAGGCCGGAGAGCCAGAATGCAAACCATAGACTCCAGGTACCCAGCGTGGGTTCCAGAAGGTTAAAACTATTTACTTAAGACTACTTATTAAGACCAGACTTCTTTTTAAGGCTATACTGAAAAGAGGGCCACCCGGCCCCGGGCCGGGCTCAAGCGAATTTTAAAGGGACCGGGCCAAAAAAATTCTAAAGCTTGATCTTTATTATAACAATCCTAACCCACTTATACTTCACCTTTCAGTGCACCTTCCTACTAACAGACGTAGCAGCAATAAGTATCGAAATGGTGTTGGTACGATTTCATCCGAGTTTATGGAACAACGTTAAGAAGTCATTTCCATGCATATTTACACAACAACTTCAATCAACTGCACCTATTGATGTCGTGCATGAGACCAACGTTTACTTTGGACAGCTTCATGCTGCGTGGAAATGAATAATATTATACTATTAAGTGCCGACATAAAGAACCCGCCACTTTTTACAAGAAATTACAGGCAAAATATGGCGGGTTCTTTATGTCGGCACCTAATATTATACTTTACTTTACATTATTATGATATATAATTTATTTGCAGCAATAACACTTAAAAATAAGATAAAAAAAGTACAGTAAGATCAATATTTACAAAATTGTAAAGCGTGGTTAAATGACTTTGATATGATGTTTGTTTACCCGTAGACTCATAGACCAGTTGTATGACAAAAACATTAACATGTACATAGTAATTAGATGATATACAATAAGGTATCATAAATGAATGATAATTAGTTGATATACAATACTATTAGGCATTAGGTTGTTCAATTAATTCTGTAACTAATGCATATCTACCTAAAAAATATTTGTGTAAGCCTCTACAACGTAGTTACACTTCGATATAGTCATCATTCATCTTGATAAGTTTCCGAATAGGTAACGCTCGTTGCGACCGTGGTAACACACTATGGCATCCCACTGTAATCCAATGTACGCTCTTTTCGTAAACGTAGAAACCAGTGTTCGTATCACAATGAGTACGCTTTAGTACAGGCACTTGTCGTCTAATAGGCATACAATATGATCCTGAATTGCCTCTTGACCGACGACATTGACAGAAAGCTTCAGTCAAGGTCTTTGGCTCTCGGCTTTCATCGTACGATGACCGCCATGACCATGGACATAGAGATCGTTCCATAACCTGGAAAGGCTCAACGTTATTATCGTTATCAAAACTTGCGATATTAGATCTACCCTACTCTACCCTATCTTACTCTACTCTATGTTACTGTATCTATCTCACTCCGCTTTGTCTTAACTTACCTTATCTTACCGTACCCTATCTTCTCCATCCAGTCTTACACTACCTTGTCTTACCCTACTCTATCTTACTCTCTCTTTCCCTACGGATAGTCCCTACCCCACCTCACCCTGCCCTACCCTAGTCTGATCAAGGGCTTACCGTACAACAGTTTTCTACAGTATTCAATTTTCTACGTACCCTAAGTCTTATTACACTACCCTAATGTACATTATTTTACTCTACCCTACCATCTTCTATCCTACCTTACTCTACAACTCATACCCTAGAGTTAAAAAAGTACACTTTTCGTAAAAGCACTTACAGTAGAACTAGGATCAGTAGAAGGTGTTTGATCACAGATTTTGGTAGATTCAGTCTGCGGTGTAGCGATAAGTTCGTCGAAACTTTCAACAACTTTCGAAGGTTCGACGTCCAATTTCGATGATTCTTGATGCCATTCAAGTAACGTCAATTTCAAGTTTTCTGGCTCTTTACATACGCTTACTGTAATTCTGGGCTTGGCATGGGCTTTCATCATTATCACAGCTAGGACTAGTTGTACGGGTAAACGGTGCATTGTTGGTGCAGTGTGTAACCCTTAAATTTGGTTTTAGTTTTATATGTGTCCTGTTAGATGAAAGAATTGTCGCGGTAAATTAGGGTAGTATAATATTATAAAAACTATAATACAAAAAGATGTATCATACTGGTCAAATAGAGTAATGTTACACTACTAACAAGGAGAATTGCTCCAAATATCCCTCGGAACGAGACTTGTATATCTTAAAAGAGCATAAAAAGATATCAATTTATTTACTTTACATTCTTCAAGCGTCTACAATTACAACTCAGGAGATATAGATTAGATTAGTAGTTTTGATGCCATAGATTATAACGTACTATGCTGATGCAGAAAGACTTTCAAGGTTCAGATGAAGACCAACGGAGCTATCCTTAAGTCTGCCATTTCCCATAATGATTTTCAAAAACTGCTAAATAGACTTGGCTAGCGAGATAGTAACAATCCAAGAATTTACGTAAAGAAATGTATTTGGCCCTTCCTGATTACCTTGAGCAAAGGGAATAGATTGAAGCACAAAGTTTTTCAAAGTTTGAAAAACTTTGTGCGTTGGTAACGCAGTGGATGCGGCGCCACTCGCTATTCAGAAGAACCTTGTTTAGACCCCGCGCACCGCCCAACCCAGGAGCCCTAAGGAATGGGTACGCTGAGTGCACGGGGACTAGCCACATCTATACTTGGCCTACACGAGTATATGATTGAACGCCAGAAGTTTTTATGGAGCACCTCATCCACGACTCAGTGACGCAAGAAACAGTGAAATACCGGGGGAGAGGCCCAATTATGGGAAGTCGGACTCAAGGATAGCTCCGTTGGTCTTCATCTGAACCTTTAACATCTTTACACATCAACACTGTACGTTACAAACTACGGCATCAAAATATCATCTAATCTAATATATATCTCCCGAGTTGTAATTGTAGACGCTTGAAGAATGTAAAGTAAATAAAATTACATTTAGAAAAAAAATTATCAAAAATGACATTTTTCAAAGTTTAAAACTATAATTTTTGAACAAATAAAAATATTGAGCGTACTGTAACCCGATAGCCAAGACTTTTTAGCAGTTTTTAAAAATAGGTTTTTTGTAACTTTGTAAGATGTTTCATACTATATAAGACTTGTTTTAAAACCCAAGGGGTGTTTAGTGCAATTCCCTTGTATAACACAACAATCAGCGGGAACTTATGATCTGGAGGCGGGGGTTGAAAAAAGATCTTTTGTAGTCGGACATAACCACGTTTTTCGTATTTTACCAAGACGTAGTAAAACGTGAATCAGAATTTACAAAAAAAAATTTTCAGAAGTATCTAGTTTCATATCAATGTATACCAGAAGCTTCATAACGGCAACTATATTCCATATGCACGACAGAAGCTACATAACGGCAACTATCATCTCTATGCCTAAAAAAAGCTACAATACAACAACTATCATCACCACGAACAAGAGAAGCTCCATAACGGCAACAACCATCACCTCGAACAAAAGAAGCAACAAAAGCCGGCAGATGCAGCAGATTCACCTACGCCGAATGAATTCAGAAGCCGCTAATAATACGAAAAATCGAAAGCAATTAATTTGTTCCGCAGACAGGATACATCTTCGTGGCGCTTCAGATGCCCTTTGCGAGTAAAAACAGTGAAATCGAAGCGATTAAGAGGAATCTGCTGTAGCGGCTTTTGCACGGATGAGCTGCTTATGATCTTCTTGAATTTTAAAGGGCATCAAGCTGCGCATACATACATGAGATCTGGCATAGTAATAAAGCTACATATATGTAGAGAGTGTCATGGTGAAGAAGCTACTGATATGGGAAAGAAGTCACAGTAATGACGCTACCACATACTTAGGAGGGGGGAGAGGGGGGAGGGTGGCATAAAAACAAAGCAACATATAGGTGAAAGATAGCATAGTAAAGAAGCTACACATACATAGCATTAGTGTTTTTGAAGGGGGCGGAAGATGTTGGAAAAGCTTCTGGGGCTGAAGCCGGCGTCAGTAGACCCTCCTGCAGGTCTAGTCCCAAAGCGTATAAAACGCTAAGCCTTGCCCTGCAGATGGCGCGGGGCTGGGACAAACCAAGCTGAGCCTAGAGATGAAGCTAAGGTTCGGTATGCGCCTCAAGTTGAAGCTGCGGCTATAGCTATAGCTAGAGCTAGAGCTAGAGTTAAAGCTAGAGCTAGAGCCAGTTCAGTAGATCTTCTTTCAGGTTTGGTCTCAGCACATATAAATACCCAAGCTCTGCCCTGCCATACGTTAAAAGTTACAGAACCCCAAAGACTGTTTAAACCAGCCAGCTCGCCCACGTAAAACCATTTGCAGACGCGCTTCTGTAGCGAAAGCGGAACAATTTGCTTACATAAAAACAAAATACAACGATGAGTCATGGTGGGATGATCCGTTTTGTTGTTATAGGTTAGAAACACCGCTCATTTAAAAACTACCTTTTGTGACGTTGTTAAGACTGAATTGGGACTGAAAGGCAGTTCAAGTGGAGGTTAGGTAAAGCTTTGTTCCCTGCTGACCTACTGTAACAAAATTTTTAAAAAAAGAGGTAAAGTTGAAAATGGCAAGAACTTTCTTTACAAAACTAAAAACCGTATTTATCGTATAACTTGTCCCCTGCAACCTGCACAGCCATAAAATAACCGTTTTTGATAAAGATGGCAAGAACTTTCTTTACAAAACAAAAAATGGCAAGAACTTTCTTTACAAAACAAAAAATGGCAATAACTTTCTTTACAAGATACAAAATGACAAGAACTTTCTTTACAAGTTTAAAAAATGGCATTTTAACATACTTTGTAGATCAGTTACATCACTTTAAAAGCGTAACAGTTCAATTAAATGCTCGCGTATTGAACTCTGGCTACATCTTTTACAGACTTCTACACGCTTTTCTACTATGAGTCACGACACAAAAACCGTGTAGACAACACGGAAATACGTTGGGGTTTGTGTTGTTTATAATCTGCTACTATTGAAATTAATATGGTAAGCAGAGTATAGTAGAGCACGGAAACACTAAAAAGGCTAAATTGGACTAGACTGAGCTGAATTGGGTTTGGCTTGGCTTTTCTTACCTAGACTTTGCTAGGCAGAGCAAGGCAGGACAGAACAAAGCAAGGAAAAGCAAGGTTGGGCTAAGCTGACTGCGCTGGTATGAGTTGGGCTGAGCTGGGTTGGGCTGGGGTGGGCTGGTATATGCTGAGCTTGGCTGGGCTGGGCTAAGCTATGCTTGGTTAGGCTGAACTGGGTTGGGCTGGGCTATGCTGTGCTATGTTGGACAGGTCTGGGCTAGACGACTAAACTGAGTTAACTTATATAGGCTGGACTAAACTAGACTAGACTGGAGTGTGCTAGACTAGACTAGATTGGACTAGACTGGGTTGGACTAGACTGCGCTGAACTGGATTGGACTGGATTGGACTGCACTGAATTGGATAGACTGGACTAGATTGGACAAAACTGTACTGGACTGGACAGGACTGGACTGGACTGAAATGGACTAAACTGGACCTGGCTGGCTGGGTTGAATTTGTCATGGACATGTAGGGGCAAGGCAAGGCAAGGCAAGGCAAGGCAAGGCAAGGCAAGGCAAGGCAAGGCAAGGCAAGGCAAGGCAAGGCAAGGCAAGGCTAGGCAAGGCAAGACTAGCTGCATATTTTAAAATTTCAAAAGCAGTTCAATTTGAAAAAACGAAAACCCACAAACATATGTAATATTATAAGAGTGAAAGACGTGTTGAGTTACTGACCTTGTCCTTGACTGCCTTCCTTTAATATACTGCTTTTGACCTATTGACCGGGCGGATTTTAATTGTTTTACAAAATTTGGTGTGCCAGGGTTAAAATTTCAAAATTATTCAAAATGAAAAAAATTTTAACTTAAAAAAAAATTTTTTTTTAAATTTAAAAATTTTTTTTAAATTTAAAAAATTTCAAACTTTTGGTTCAAACAACACTTCGATCAAAAATTTATGCAAAAAATTTCCAAATTTTTATTTTGCCACTCTTTATCAGTGTGACGTCTCAGAAGGTGGTCGGTTGATTCTCCAACTTGGTAACGTGAACAATGGCGTCGAAACCGATTGATAATTTATTTGACAGTATGGGAAAGACACTCTTTGTAGGTTTTTATCGTTTTTTAACCTATCTGGGCCTATGCGATCATTTTTTTTTGGGGGTAGAGTTAGACATGGCAATCGGGCCGGACCGCGGGCCCGCGTCGGCCCGTTTTTTTGAGCTTTTTTTCCCGCCAAGTCGATATCTTAAAAACTATAGGAGATAGCAAAATTCTAAGACCATTTGGAGGGGGTAGCACCCAATAAAACCTAGGGGTAGAAAAAGCTTCAGACTGATTTGATAAGCAGAAAAAAAACGCGGGAAAAAAAATTTCAAAAAACGGGCCGACGCGGGCCCGCGGCCCAGCCCGATTGCCATGTGTAGGTAGAGTAGGGTAGGGTAGAGTAGGTGAGGAAAAATGAAGGTAAGGTAGGGTAGAACAGTTGATAAGAGATCAGGGTGAGGATAGGTGGGTGTAAATGAGGGCAGGTGAGGGTTGGGTAAAGTAAGCGGGGGCTTGATAAGGTAGGGTTGAGTAGAGTAAGGTAGGGTAGGGTAGGGTAGGGTAGTATTAAATTTTTTCATTTTCAGGGTCCACGCTACCACCCAAACGCAGTTTTCATCGTGGTTGCGGTTGTTTTATTCTGTGCATGTTGGCTTATCACCGGCTGGATCCTCTTTTTCTTTGCTTTTATCTGCAGAGAACCAAAACCAAAAGGACGACTAAACGATTTGGAATCAGGCCGTTCCAAGCGGTCCAAACGGTCCAGACGCTCTGCCAAGTCTCGTCGTTCCGGCCGTTCCAGCCGTCGCAGCGGCGCTCCTCGAAAGTCCAGTAGAGTCAAGGTAGGGTTTTAACGTTTTGAAGGAAAAAAGGGGTGAAATAAAGATTTCTGAACCTTTTTCAAAATTAAACATAGTCTATAACATGATTTTACACTAAGATAAAAGCAAAAAAAATTTTGAATTTATCGACCGGTCGATTTTTTTCTAAAAAATTTTGTACAAAATTTAAAGTTCAGAAGTCAAAACTGGTTAAGAACATAATTTTTTACTATTTCAATGTCCTAATTTTACCGTATTTCCAGGAATCGACCGACGACGAGTCTTGACCCATTCAACGATCCGCCATTATTTAATGCCATTGTTTATGATATGTTATGTTATTGGCCATAAATAAATGTTTTAGTTTTGATTTGTCTTGTTTTTTGGGTTTTTCAGCAGTAGTTGCAATGTTTGATGACATATTTTTTGGACGCTTTGTTGGTAAAATCGGTCATCTTAACAAAAACTTGTTGAAGGCTTTGGAGAAGATGTAAAATACGTTATTGATCTTTTTAGTTGTTAAAATTTATGTTTTATAAGTCTATCTTGTTATAACTTTTTCTGTTTGCTTTGAATTTGGTCAAAAAACAGTCATACATTTAATTTTTGACGTTAATATCAAGTGAGTTTTTCGTGTTTCTAGCTCTGTTTTTCCATAAATTTATTGTGCATTGTTTTCAGAGAGATAAGTAATAAACTCTTGTTTGGTTTAAAAGAGGTTTTAGAAGATATAAAATGCTCTAAGTTATCTATTTTTTTAATTTTTTTTTATTTTAGGACTTGAACCAAGTGCAATATCGCTTTTCGTCGATTTCATTGCAGATTAGCTTGTTTTTGATGCTATTGATGTGTCTAAACGATACTCTATGATATATGAACAATGTTTTATCTTATTTTATAAATTTTGAGCGTGATAAGTTGTTTTAATTCCGCATTGTTTTGATTTTAGGATATAACCTAGTGTAACATCGTTTTAAAACGCGTTTTTGGTCGATTTTGCTGCGATGAAGTTGGTTTTCAAGGTTCTTGCTATTTTTGGAGATGAACATGAGCTGTAGGAACGATTTGTTGTTTTACTTTTTGTATTTTTACCTTGGTAAGTTGTTTTATTTTGTTTTTTCCGAGTTTAGAATCTTAACCTAGTGTCATATCGTTTTTGGTGGATTTCGTTGCGAAATCGATGGCTTCTGTTGTTCTTTTTCATTCTGGAGATGAAAATATGATTTGTCAACGATATTCTACTTCCATTTTTTTGGATTTTAAGCGTGATAAGTTGTTTTACTTTATTTTTTTCTAATTTAGGCTTTAAGCTATGTGTAATATCTTGTAAAAATTGATGGAGTGCATACCGACACAAAATGTGAATGCGAGAAGATCAACAATGTCCACAAAGTGCTAATCGATCGAAAAATGGCAATTCATCTTTTCAGTCTACTTTGTAACCGGTCGGTTTTCCAGCGGTTTCTCAAACAAAACTTTTAAGTTTTTACCATGTCGAATTCTACAATAGTAAGTGTTTTATACTTGTGTTTTAGTGTTCTTTAGGCTTATCTGTTACTTATGGATCAAAGTTTTAAATTTTTGGTTTAAAATACGAAATTTAATCCTGGTCAATACGCTAACCATGTACAATATATTGATGAAGACAATGTTTTAGAAGGATCCAGAAGAAAAGAGCGACATATTTCTATATGGTGGTATTGGACTTGGCGCTATTGTGGTTCTTGCCTGTGTGGCTGTGGTAATTTATTCATTGTACAAACGGCGTAGATCAAGTGAGATGGCGACAGCGATGGTTTCGGCCGAAGAAGAGGAGGAAGAGGAAGTGGCGACTGTTGATGAGGTGAGACTTTGGAATAGGTATTGAAATTTGGTGGCCACGGCAGAGGTTTGGTTGTGGTAAAACTAGGGTAGGGTTAGTTAAGCGTAAGGGCATGTTAGGACTAGGGAAGGCCAGGTTGGGGGTAGGGCTCGGGTAAGGCCAGAGTTGGAGGTAGGGTAAATTGAACAGGGATAATGTAAGGCTGTTATGACTGTTATAAAGGTAAATAAGGCTAGAATAGCTTTATATTGGGGGTAGATTAACAGTAACTTTAAAGTTTTAAAAATTTTAAAAAAAGTTTAGTTTGAAACATTAAAAAAAATAAAAAAATAATTGTCATTTTACTACTTGTAACTTGAAAAGCGGTTGTTTTTGGCTAATTTTTTAAAAATTTTCCACTGAAATTTCAACTGATTTGAATTGATGAATTTGACTCGACTAAAGCTTGATTTTGATGATGATCTTGAGACTTCTGATACTGAAGTGATGTTTTATTTTGTTAACAAATGGTTTTTGATAGTTATTTTATTTAAAAAAGCGAAAAAAGGCATTTTTAAAATTTTTTGTTTGGACATGTTTTATCGTATAACATGGTCTGCGCAGGCTGCGGACCGCTTAATTGAGTTTTTCTTGTAAAAGATAATGAAAAGCATGATATTTACTGACATTTAAATTCTTTTTTCAATTAAATTTAAAAAAATTTTTTTTTAATTTCGAAATTTGTGAAATTTTTTCAAAAAATGCCAAAATATAACCTAACCTTACTCAAAAACTCGATTTTCCAGGCAAAACGAATGCGAGATGGCTACAACGGCGACGTGGTGGTGTATCATTTCATGTTCATCAAGACTTTGGATGGGTTCTCATTGACAATCCGCCTTCACGGCGTGGTAAACGCCACAATCATTACCGAACCAAACAAAAAGAACCTTTGCATGTTGTACTTTGAAGCAGCTGCCGCACCAGAGAAACGAATCAAAGTCGTGCATCAGCTGGTGCACAGACTTAACGATCGAAAGGAAACGGCGTTGGGAACGTTGGCGTGCAAGGTCATGATGCCGGAGAAGTACAATGTGAATGGTAAGGGGGAGGGGGGGGTTGTTGTAGGGCAACGGGAAGGCTAGGGTAAGGTTATGGTGAGGCTACAGTAGGACTAGGGGACTGGGTAAAGTCTACAGTACGACTATGGGAAGGGTCTACTATAAGACTATGGTGAGGCTAGGATAGGGCTATGTGGTGGCTAGGGTAGGGGCTACAGTAGAACTACGGGGAGACTAGGGTAGGGGCTACTATAAGACTATGGTCAGTCTAGGGTAGGGGCTATTGTAAGTAAGAATATATTGAGGCTACAGTAGGGCAGGGCTACGGCTAGCATAGTACTATTGGATACTGTAAGCCTTAGAGCATGCCTATATTTGTGATGGGACAGGCTAGCCTTTAGTAAATTCAGGATAAGCTTAAAATATTACCGCAAATCTAGATTAGGGTACCTTATCAGTGAGGCAGGGCTAATTTAAGGTTCTATAGTTTTGAGGCAGGGAAGGGCAAAATATTTAAAAATTTTTTTTTATTATGAGATATTTATTGTTTTAGGCAAAGAAGTAGGTGTAACTCACGAATGTCCACGCGGATCCATCTCTCATTCCAAACAAAAGCTCGACTTTATGATCTATGACTATGTAAGTCTTGTCATTTTTTGATCATTTTTGCAAAATTTTACATTTAAAAATTTTTTTAAAAAATTTTTAATTTTTTTTTTCAGGCCGGAATTCCCATCCCCCTATACGTAACAGCCCGACCAGCCTACGTATACGCCATTGAAATTGGCACCAAGATGCTACAATGCCTCTACGTACTTCACTCCGAGAGCTACTGTCACGGTCGTCTAACCCCATCGTGCTTCTACATTGACGAAGATCGGGCCCAAGTGACACTTTTGGATCTAGGTTTCCTGCATCCATTAAAAATCCCGACAGATCACACCAAATACTACAAACATGAGGAACACTACTTTAATGCCACGTATCAAAGCGCCGCCTCTCACAATATTACACCGCCCAGCATTTGCGGCGACTTGGAGAGCTGGTGCTTCATATTTGTGGAGATTTTCACCGGAAAGCCATTGCCCTGGGTATTGCTTCATGATAAGGTAAGGGGAGTTTCTTGGGAGGATATTAGGTTGGCTGGTATAAATTTTTTACTCTACCCTTAGCCTATCTTACTTTACCTTATTTTTACTATAACTCTACCTTCATTTTTTGAAAAAAAATTGAAAATCAGGCTTTTCGTGCTGGGACCAGAAGTAAAAAAAATCAGGCAGGCCTTTCGTGCCGGGACCGAACTAAAAGTTCAAACTTTAAGACCAAAATTAAAAAATCAGGCTTTTCGTGCCGGGAGCAGACTGAAAATTTAGGCTTTTTGTCTAGGACCAAAACTAAAAATTCAAACTTTTCGTGCCTGGATCAAAATAAAAAAATAAAGGTTTTCGTGTCGGGACCAAAAGTAAAAATTCAGACTTTTCGTGCCGGGACCAAACTAGAAATGTTGGCTTTTCGTGCCGGACCAGACTAAAAATCCTGATTTTAGCGTTCCATTCAAGACATGAAGAATTTGTTCAACCGCGACTACGAACTCTTCTACGACTACACCAAAGACATTCGCCCGGAAATGGTACGCTTTCTTCGCGAAATTGTTGTACATGTCACAACAAACCTTCAATCCGAACTCAACGACAACATTACCGTCAAATACCAGTCGATTCTGGATTCCCTGTCGCAGCTGGACCAGCTCAGCGAGAAACATCGCATCGGAGAGAATCACAACCCAACGTCGCCTGCTTGTAGCCCGTTTTCACGTTGATATGATCAGTGATATTGTGATTGGAAATAAAATTATATTGCGAATGGGCATGAATTTCGATTTTTTTTTAATTTTAAAATTTAAAAAATTTTTTTGAAATTTAAAAATTTTAAAAATTTAATTTTTTAAAATTAAAGGATGCAAAGTTCGTATTTTACACTACCAAGCCACGTGTATATGGTAAACGTATCGTGTCTTGTTCCCTGTTTCATTATTTTAAATTTTTTTCAAATTTGGATATTACACTTGAACTCAATGTTCAACAAGGGTTTACATTGATTTCTGCAGTAAAAAGCGACAAGACTTTTTTAAAGCCTTATATTTGAGTAAAAATATAAAATACGAATTAAACAAAACAAAAATATAAAATACGGGTATGAAAAAATTCTAATAGTGGTCGTGATGTTCTCCACCGTGATGTTCTAGTGCATGGTGGTCCAAACCATGATGCTCTAGTCCATGACCAAGTTCATGATGGTCCAGACCGTGATGTCCGTGTTCTAGACCGTAATGTTCTCGACCGTGATGACCGTGCTCTAACCCATGATGACCGTGTTCGAAGCCGTGCTCATCTCCGTGATGTTCCAGACCGTGAATTCCATGTTCGAGACCGTGATGACCGTGTCCTAGATCATGATGATCACCGTGATGGTCATCGTGATGAGTATATCCGCCATGCCCAGCATGACCATGTTCAGCACCGTGAGCATACCCGGCCTCGTGACCGTGGTCGTCGTCAGACTCGTGACCGTAGTTGGAGTGCCATTCGTCGCCGGAAGCCTGGGCCTTGTGGCCACCGTAGTCTAGCCGAGCCCAGTCCGACTCGTCGCCTTTGTTGAAGCCGTGCTTGCCCTGGTGGTCGTGATGATTGTCACCGTCCCAGCCGTGCGCGTTGTGATGATCGTTCGACCAGTCGGATCCGTGGCCGTGATGTTCGTCATGGTGATCATCGTGGTGGGGGTGCCAGCCGTGGAGGGCTGAAAATTTGAATTGGCTCAAAATAGATTAGGGAGGGTGGGTAGGGTAGATAGATTGAGAACATCGTATTTTACCTGAAGCAGCAGCAACGCCCAAGCACAAAATGGCCACGCAGATGGTCTTAGTAGAACACATATTTACAGTATACGGTAATTACTGTCACAATGACGTTGTAACATGTCACAATGACGTTGTAACATTCATGTAGTAATTTATATACATCTTACGGAAGAAGTCATAATGACTATTATGAGTCATTACAATATGTTTTACTATGCTTAATGAGGTCATAACGTCTTCAGCTACTGTTTCCAACAAAACTATGACATTATCGACCCCTAATTTCATCATTTCTTGACATTATGACTCTAATGGCATTATTTTTATTGACTATTGTTCTTGAACAACCCCTGGCCTTCCCTGCTCTAGCTAGCTAATAATATTTCTAAAATATTTCAACATAAACAATAGCAGTCTATGTTGTTGTAGACAAAAGTGTGACGTAGCGAATCGAATATGAAGAATCATATTCAAATATCGTAGACCAATTCATTTAATGAGCCGTAGTGAAACTTTTATGTGTTTTGCTAATATAAAAGTCGCAGCGATGATGTTGTAGTAGATTGATGAACATGTGTTCTACCAAGACCATCTTCGTGGCCATCTTGTGCTTGGGCGTTGCTGCTGCTTCAGGTAAAATACGAGGTTTTTAAACTATATACCATACCTTAACTTACCCAACCGTATTCTACCCTGACCTGCCCTACCGTACTCTACCGTACCCTACCCTACCTTACCCTGCCCTAACCTAAAAAATTCAAATTTTCAGCCCTCCACGGCTGGCACCCTCACCACGATGATCATCATGACGAACATCACGGCCACGGCTCCGACTGGTCGAACGATCATCACAACGCGCACGGCTGGGACGGTGACAATCATCACGACCACCAGGGCAAGCACGGTTTCAACAAAGGCGACGAGTCGGACTGGGCTCGGCTAGACTACGGTGGCCACAAGGCCCAAGCTTCCGGCGACGAATGGCACTCCAACTACGGTCATGAGTCTGGCGACGACCACGGTCACGAAGCCGGGTATGCTCACGGTGCTGAACATGGTCATGCTGGGCATGGCGGATATATTCATCATGATGGCCATCACGGTGATCATCATGATCTAGGTCATCACGGTCTAGAACATGGAATTCACGATCTGGGACATCACGGAGATGAGCACGGCTTCGAACACGGTCATCATGGGTTAGAGCACGGTCACCATGGTCTAGAACATCACGGTCTGGACCATCATGAACTTGGTCATGGACTAGACCATCATGGACTGGATCACCACGGACTAGAACATCACGGTGGAGAACATCACGACCACTATTAGAATTTTTTTCATACCCGTATTTTACACATTATTTGGTTTAAATTTGTATTTTATGATTTTAAAACTCAATATAGGCTTTAAAAAGTTTTGTCGTTTTTTACTGTGAAAATTAATGTAAACTGACGACAAGACTTTTTTACAGCTTGACATTTAAAAAATTGGCATTAAATTGATTATTTTTGTTACAGTATGACTTATTTTCAGTATGCCTTCTGTTTGAACTTTATATTTTGTGTTCAGAGCGCCTTGTTGAACATTGAGTTCAAGTGTAATATCCAAATTTGAAACAGTAAAAAATAATGCAACAGGGAACAGAATACAATAGAGTTCGGATAAAAAAACCGAAAACTTTATAGTTTTTTAAAAAATGTGAATTTTTAGGACATTTTAATATTAAGGATGGTCTTGAGACACACTTAAAAAACAAAATATGATACTAAACACTTGAGTATGCTCAAGAATTTCAAAAATACCTATACTTTGGTTAGCTACAACTCATACGCACCTATTACTTCATACGGAAGTAATTTGTACTAATGTAGTTATACCTTTTAGATGAACAGGTTCAAAAACATTTGTTCTTTTGTAAATGTTAGGCATCAGTGGGTGGTGGTGCTTTAAATAACAGTTTTGATAATATAGTAGGGTATTGTATTTTTAATTGAGTGGCAGTAAAGCTACGCTTAGATGGGTCGGTACGGTAAGGTACGGTCGAAAAAATTTAGGATAATGTAAGGTTTGTTACAGTAAAAGTAAGGGTAGGGATAAGATTAAGGACCTCTTAATTTTTGGCAGGGTAAAATTTTGGACGGTGTAAAATTTCGGGCAGGTTAAAATTTTAAAGAAGACGAAATTTTGGGCAGGGTAAAATTTAAGGCAGGGTAAAATCTTAGACAAGACAAATTTTGAATACAGTAAAATTTTAGGTAGAGTAATATTTTGAGCAGGGTAAAAATTGAGCAGAGAAAAATTTTAGGGGTAGGGGTAGGTGTAGGGGTAGGGATAGGGGTAGGTGTAGGGGTAAGGGTAGCGGTTGGGGTAGAATTATTGTAATCAAACTTTAAATACGCACCACCTTAATTGCATGCCAAATCTAATGTTAAGAAATAATCAGCCAGCAGGTGTTTTGCCTAATAATTGATTATGGTTCATTTTCTTGAGACTAGCGTTATATTACTCAATTACCGAGCCTTAAACTAGTTTTGCCTACAAATAATTTTCTAGGTACTCTATTTCTGGTCATTTCCTAGGCTAGCGTTACAACATTTTTTGGTTTGGGCAAACGGTTCATGTCATTAAAGTTTCATTAGACTTTTTAGTTTATAATGTTGTTTATGAACCTATGTAAGTAACGTATACGTCATGCTTTTGTCATTTATTATTATTTTTTTCATCATCAATAATTCTTAAATATTCCACGTTTAGTCTAGGCTTATAAATCTATTAAAATTAAAGTAAATCCCCTCTTTAGTCAATACAAAAACAAAAAAACTTCTTTTATAGACAACCCCCCCCCCTTTGGGTTCTCTAATTATACCCAACCCTGCTAAAACTAATTTTACAGTAACCATAATCCAGCTATAGTACCATAAAAAGCCGTGAGATATGTTCGAATGGTGCTGGAAACGGCTTGGGAGATAATCAAATTTGGATATGGACTGCCATTTTGGTTCATCTACCTTAAAGTAGTACAGATATTGCGCAAGCATCATGATAGAGACTTTAACACCGTATTTTACAGGATTGTGTATTATACTGGCGTTAGCGTGAGTTTAAAATTTTTTATTCTTTTTTAAAAAAATTTTTTAGGCATAATTATAAGTTTAAGCCTAAAGTGAAGTTTTTAAACCTAAGGTTATATGTACATAAAAGCTCAATGCCACGCTTTTAGGCCTAAAGTTTAGTTTTTAAACTTACGTTTAATTTGTTAAAATTACACTGAGCTTTTTAAGCCTAAAGCAAGGTTTTGAAGCCTAAGGTTATACACTAAAGCCGCCTGTCACAATTTTGATTCTAACGTTAAGATTTTAAGCCAAGGCTAAGGTTTGTAAGCCTAAAGCTATGTTTTTAAGTATAAGCATTGAAGCCGGCTGCCACAATTTTATGCTCAAAGCTAATTTTTTAAGCCTAAACTGAAGTTTATCAGCGTAAAGCTAATTTGTTAAGCCTAACGTTATGCATTAAAGCAAAATATCATAAGTTTAAGCCTAAAATTGACTTTTTTTAAGCCTAGCCTAGAATTTGTGAGCCTAAAGCGACGTTTTGAATTTTAAGCTTATGTGTTAAAACTGCGACAAATTTAAATCCCAAGTTTATAAGCCTAAAGTCACGTTTTTAAGCCAAAACGTAGGTGTGTAAGCCTAAAGTTACGCTTTCAAGCTGAAAACAACGTTTTTAAGGCTAAACCCACGCCTTAAAAAGTTGTCCTTTTATGATTCATATTTACAGGACTGCATCGGCTTCTGGGCCAATACCTTAATAAATCACTGGAACACCACTCCTATACTTACTGACCTCTACGCCACTTACATGACCAAAGAAACAAGACTAATTTCACCATTATATATGATGACATATTATACCTTATACATATCAGAATTTAGCGGGTTTTTGTTGGCTTTGAATCGCCTTTCAGCACTGTGTTACCCTACCAAGTCGGAAAAGGTGGGTCGTTTACTACGGTTGAATTGTCTCAAGTTTTTTTACAGTAATCAGTAATCATAACCTTTAAAAATAAAAGTTAATTCAATTAAAAAACTAAATTTCAGTTCTGGCGTCAACATTTCAACAAAATCTTATTCCTCTACATTACCGTGCCTTTAAGCGTCTGTATACATTTATTATTCTACCCCATAGAGCTCGAATGCCCCAGCTACCGCAACTGCTATTTTGATGCGGTGGAAATGTTCAAATTACCGGTAAGTGCACAAACATTAATTTTCATATACACCAATGCCATTTTTAGCCATTTTAGTGATTAAAAACCATCGCTTGAATTAAATTTGTCAGCTTGAATTTACATTAAAATTATATTACACTTGATGTGAAGTGACGTTTGGTGTTAAAAAATAATATTTTTCAGATAAAAATAGCACTAATGGGTATTGTAAATAGTAAAAGCTATATAGTAATTGTCAGATGGATCCATTAATTCATTCGCATTATCACTTTGACACATTTTTGCAAATGAAAATGCGAAAAAATTAATACATCCATCTTTAATATCAGTATATCAGCAATTCAACAGTCGATCCATTAATTCATTCGCACTCCCAAAATTCGAAAATTATTAAAAATGCGAAAGAATTAATGGATCCACCTCTAATATTACTAGCTCTTCATCATATCAAATATTTTACTGATACTCAAATTGACTTTTTCGTATTTTAGGGAAGAATGCGAGTACGATCAGCGCTATTCAGCATCACCTGCTCAGTATTAACCCTCATTTTAAACTCATTTTCTATTTTTATATTGGCCGTCTATCGAAAACATGACAAAGAAATGCAAGCTCAACGTAAACTACAACGTTATACTGTTTGTGTTTTCATTGTCATATTGGTTTTGAGTCTGGAACAGGTAGGTTAAAGGCTTATATTATCCTAGTTTTTGCCTCAAATTCATAACCTAACTTAATGTCTAACATACGACATTATGTTAGGTTAGGAACGAGTGATATTATAGGCCTTTTCATCGGTCAGTGCCGTTACCTAACCTAAAGTAATCTCCAATATACGGCATTATCAGGGACGCCGTTTGGGGGGAGGGGGGGGTTTCGGGGTGACTCCCCCCCCCCAGAGCCGATCAGGTACCTGTACGTAAAAAAACGAAAAAAAAATTTTTTTTGGGCCTCCACCCCCCCCCCTTCCCACATAAAAACCGTAGCGACGTCCCTGGGCATTACGTTAGGTTAGGAACGAATGTTGCTCCATTTTTTAAAAATATTGATATATCTTTGCTCTTTCTAATCTAACATACTGTCTAAAACACGACATTATATTAGACGAGAAAGGCCGTTTCGCTATGTCAAACCTCAATATTGTCCTAAAATCCCAAATTTACCCAAATTTCAGGTAGCCTATGTCTACAAAGGCCTGACAGACACCAAAAACCCCTTCATCGTGATCTTTATAAGCACCTACGCACATCTCTACAATGCAGCCTTACTAATGTCAGGCGTACTGCTACTTTTTACATCGACAAAGATACGACGATACTTTTTTCGACGCCAACCTCGAATTAAAACCCTCATTGTAGCTATATTCAAAGGCAAAAGTTCTGGAAAGCAAACAGTTGTTTGTGTTACTACAATACCACATTCAGCTATATCTAGGATTCAGTCCAGTTACTGAAGCCATTAACAATACCACAGCTACCTTTATCGTAAATCTAGAGCAAGTTCTTAACGAGTTTGGTCCGTAAAGGAAGTTCTACGCCAGTTTTCCCACATTTACCTAGTATAATATCGCTTCGAATGCCAATATCTATGCCAAAAATCAACTCAAACAAACCAAAAATTGTGATATATTAACCCACTATAACCTTAACTTTAAAATAAACTCATTCTCCACTCAATTAAATTCAGTTTTAACCAAAATTTTAAGTGAAACATGTTGCACTTGCCGATATTACCCATCATTACAGCTTTTCCTGCAAAAAACTCCACTTTTCCTTTACAAAACCAATGTGTTTTTGTTTACAACGTGTTGATAAGACTCTTCAACTATAAAAGGAACGTTCAGCACATTGTTTCCCAATCGTTTTTGGGCTTATTGGAACGTTTTTGATCAACCAAGCCATATTGTGACCGTTTTTATCAATTTTTTGGCTTTATCTTTATCTGCAAAAAAAATAATAGTTTATTGATTAGAAATTATTGATAAAAAATTTTTCAATAAATATACTTACATTTTTATCCATTATATGCGATTAAAACTGTCATTTTGGCCCAAAAACTGGCCAAATTAGGCCCTTTTGCGAGCAAAGACGTTGTGGGAAAAGAAACAGTTGGCCTTTTTGTTTGTTGGGCCATGTGTTGCACCAGATAAATAAACAAGTTATTTTTGCAAAAAGTTTCAAAGTACAAACCTTTTACAATAAAACCTTCCCAATGCGATTTATTTTTGCCTCCAGACGAGAAAGTCAGTTTAAACGATCACTTTTAAAGGTCAAAGTAAAAGTTTTTGATATCAGTTTGGTTGTAAAGAATTTCTACATAAAACAAATTAAGAAACAGCGATAAAAGTTGTTCATTCTTCTCTGATAACCTTTGTTGATGCTTAATTTTCTTGGTTTTGTTGTTATTTTGCGAATTTTGTCGTTTTTTTAAGTTTATATTGCTATAGCTAATTTTCAGTATTTCCTCTACTACAATATAATTTCAAATCTAAATCATGTCCGGAATCAAGAAGAAGTTTGTAAACGACCCAAAGAACGTTGTCAATGATTCTTTGTTGGGTTTGGTACAGTCTGACGATCGAATTCAGTTTCATCCGGTGAGAAAAGGAAGTTTTTTGTTTATATTTTTCTTGGTTTAGCAAAATCCTCGTGTCATCTTGCGCAAAGATTATGAAGACTTGAAGAATGGTGAAAAAGTTACATTGGGATGTGGTGGAGGTAGTGGTCATGAACCTTTTGCTGGAGGTGAGTTTTTTTTCATTGGGGTTTAGTTGGTTTACTTCTTCAGATCAAGTTTAATATCATATTCTTGCTGAAATTGAATTTTTGAAGAAAATAATGGGTTCAATGATAAACAATAGCAATAATAAGGCAATAAATCACCTTTTACAGGTCTGGTTGGCAAGAATTCGTTAACCGCTGCCATTGCTGGTGATGTTTTTGCATCTCCACCTTCATCTCATGTCAGTGATGCGTTGGAAGCGATTCAAGGTAAAGCCGGCTCTTTGATCTATGTTATCAACTACACTGGAGACCGTCTTCACTTTGGTATGGCTATTGAGAGATCAAAGGCCAGGCTGGGACCTGATTCAAAGGCTGATCTTGTATATATTGATGATGATGTTGCCTTGGAGAACAAATTGGGCGTTACAGTGGGTGGACGTGGTTTGGCTGGAGCTTTGTTGGTTCTACAGATTGCTGGAGCGTTGGCTGAAGATAAGAAGGCCAGCTTTGAGGAGGTTAGAGATGTCAGCAGAGATGTTATTTCAAATATGGGTGAGATTTAGCACAATTTGATGGTGTGGAAAATATAAATAATATTTTTTGGTGTTTTATGGTTTATTATATAAAAGATATTGTTATCATTTATAGAATTTATAGTCAATTATCTTGCGAAAATTTTATGAACAAAATATGTCAAATATTCTTTCAGGCACTTTTGGAGTATCACTTTATCCATGCGCACTCCCAGGCAAAGGCTTGATGTTCGACCTTCCAGAAGGCCAGATGGAGCTTGGCCTAGGAATTCATGGGGAGCCAGGGGTAGAAAGAACGAAACAAGTTAGTGCCAAGGAGATCGTGGCTACAGTTTTGGAAAAACTCACGGCTTCGAAGAGGCTGCAGCTCAAGAAGTCGGACAAGCTGGCTGTTTTGGTGAACAACTTGGGAGGAGTTAGTAATCTGGAGTTTGGATTGGTGCAAGGAGAAGTTGCTTCTTGGTTTGGTGGGTTATTTTGGATCTGGGGTTGCGATTTGATATGATATTAAAGATTGAAACTTTTATTTTTGACAAAATATTGATTTTTTTGATATTACACTAGGTTTTTTGATATAAAGCTGAATTTAATGCCTCATAACTTTTATTAACAAGTTTGCTTCAGTCCAAAACGGCTACACACTATCCAGATTCTTTGCCGGAACTCTCATGACTTCAGTCGACGGCCATGGTTTCAGTGTGACCGTGCTGAAGCTTAAGAACGATGATTGGGCATCACTTTTGGACGTTCCATCCCACATTTCATCGCTGTGGAAGGCGACTCGTCCTCAAACAGAAGTTGTAAAATCACCACAACATAGTCAATTCGATGACAACACTAAGGTAGAAATTGTGGGCGTCAAGGTTGAACAAGGTAAGGGATATTGGTTAAATTTTAGGATGTAGGTATAGGTATGGGAGGGTAATATCGGTTTTAATGTAAAATAAATGTAAATTATGACTGTGAGATTAAAAGATGGTTATCAAAGTTTATTCTAAGTACTTTTTGACCGAAATTGCTTGAAAAAGTTATGGAAAATTAGGGTATATTAAGGTTGATATAGGTATTAGTAGTGTAATATAAAAATTGATAAGCATTGGAAAAGAGATAATAATTTGTTGCTTTAGATACTGCTAGTACAATTGAAAAGGCTTTGAGGAAAGCATGTGAAGAATTGATCAAAAATGAAGATCTACTCAACGAGCTGGATTCAAGTTGTGGTGATGGTGACTGTGGTAACGCCTTGAAGTCTGCTTCTAAAGGTAAGTTGGATAATGGTAAAAGGGGATGAAAATTGATTTTTGGGGGTGTTGTAAAGCCTAAAAACAAAAAAAATTTTTTTTGAAAAAAAAATTTAATTTTGAAATTTTAAATTTCAGCCATTCTGGAAGCCGCCGACCAAAAAAGGCTAGCATTCCAAAACCCCAAGTCCTTGTGTCTTCAGCTTTCGAAATTATGCGAACATTCCGTTGGTGGTACCTCTGGTGCACTGTACGCCCTATTCTTCGGAGCCGGCTCCCGAGCCTTCGAAGACAATTTCAATTCGAACACATTGAGGAAGGCGATCCAAGAAGGTCTTCAAGCCATCTCCTATTATGGTCATGCCAAGCCTGGTCATAGAACATTGGTGGATCCTCTACATGCCGCTTCCGAAGCGGCCGAAAGCACTTCTTGGCCGGAGTTGATCAAGGTAGGATTTTTGAATTTGAAGGCGGTTTTTTTAATTAAAAAAATTTTTCAATTTACAAATGAAAAAAAAAATTATTTTGAAAGGGCAGGGTGGAAATAAAAAAAGGGGGGGGTGAAAAAAAGCCCCCAAATATTTTTTTAAAATACCCCCCCCCCCCCCCCCCCCCCACATTATGAAATGAAATCTAAGGAGGAAAGTTTTAGTCCGTAGAGAAAGCGTCCGAAGAAACGGCTAGCATGGAAGCCAAATCCGGCCGCGCCTCATACACAAACAAAGATCAGCAAAAGCAGCCCGATCCAGGCGCTAAAGCGGTTGCTCTCTGGTTCCGCGCCGCCTTCGAAGCCACTCAATAGGTCCAAAACTTTGTTTACAGTCTAAATATCTTGTTAAAAACTTTTGAATTTGTTTTCAATTTTTAGTCTGAATCAGGCTTTCAATAAATTTTGTCATTTTTTGTTTTGGGCGTGGTAAAAAGTTCTTAAAGAGAGGCTAAGGTTTTGGGTAGGGCTTTGACTAGGGTTTTGGCTTTGGTTTTAGCTACGGTTTTGGCTAGAGTTTTGACTAACATTATGGCTAGGGTTTGACTAGAGTTTTGGCTAGGGCTTTGGCTAGAGTTTTGGGTTTGGTTTTAACTAAGGTTTTGGCTAGGGCTTTGGCTAGGACGTTGGCTGGGGTTTTGCTATAGCTTTGACTAGAGTTTTAGCTAGGGCTTTGGCTAGGTCTTTAGCTAGAGTTTTGGCTAAATTTAGTTTTTACACCGGATTTATTTTTCAAGCCCGGCGCAGCTAGATCGTAAGACTAGTCCAAGTCGGGCCTACACGGCCCGTTCCTCATTCCTAACAGTAATATCGAAACAGGAGTATTAAAGTTTATTTATTATACAATATCTTCGTAATATGCGAATGATCTAAGTGATAATACATAGGATTGGTTGGATAATATCAAATTTCAAAATTAAAAAAAAAAATTTAAATTAAAATTTCAAAAAATTTTTAAATTTCAAAAAAAATTAAAATTTTAAAAAATTTAACAAAAATTTAAAAAAATCAATTTAAATCCAACAAATTCACTATTTATTCCTTGACGAACTGCACGATGTAGCCTTTTGATGCCATCAAGGAGCGTCGTCGTACCCAAACCGTGTATCGTGCCGCCCACGTGGGCTCGAAACAGACATTACAAACAGGAGCAGTCTCGGACAGATCACAGAACGTTCGGAACACATCCTTCAATGGGAATGGGTTGGGGTCGTTGTGGGTCAGGAGTTGAATGTCAAACTTTTTGGCAAATTCCGTGAGCTCTGGCGGGACCTGAAAGAAGATTTTAAAAAATTTTAGGTTTGTTATATTAGGCTTAGAAACGATGGTGGCCTACCACCCTAACCTACCCTACTCTAACTAAAAAACCGTAAATTACGAAAAAAGCCCCAAATTACCCCGCCCTACTCAAAAAATTAAAAAAAAACAAACTACCCCCCCAACACAAAAACCGAAAACAAAACTCTAAATTAGCCTGACCTATATAAAAAAACAGGAAAAACCCTAAATTACCCCGCCCTACTCAAAAAATTAAAAAAAAACAAACTACCCCCCCCCCAACACAAAAACCGAAAACAAAACTCTAAATTAGCCTGACCTATATAAAAAAACAGGAAAAACCCTAAATTACCCCGCCCTACTCAAAAAATTAAAAAAAAACAAACTACCCCCCCCCCAACACAAAAATCGAAAACAAAACTCTAAATTAGCCTGACCTATATAAAAAAACAGAAAAAAACCCTAAATTACCCCGCCCTACTCAAAAAATTAAAAAAAAACAAACTACCCCCCCCCCAACACAAAAATCGAAAACAAAACTCTAAATTAGCCTGACCTATATAAAAAAACAGAAAAAACCCTAAATTACCCCGCCCTACTCAAAAAATTAAAAAAAAACAAACTACCCTGCCCTACACAAAAATTCGAAAAAAACCACAAATTACCCTGCCTTATAAAGAAAACCGAATAAATCCTTAAATTACCCTGCCCTAACAAGAAAACCGAAAAAAAAACGATAAATTACCCTGCCCTGCACAAAAATCAAAAAAAAACCCTAAATTGCCCTGCCTCACATAAAAAAGTGAATAAGCCCTGACCTACCCCGCTCTACACAAAAACCAAAAAGAAACCGTAAATTACCCCGCCCTACACAAAAATCGAGAAAAAACCCTAAATTACCCCGCCCTTTACAAAAAAAACCGTAAAAAACCCTCCAAGTTACCCTGCCCTACACAAGAATCGAGAAAAAACTCTAATTTACCCTGCCCTACACAAAAACCGAAAAAACCCCTAAATTACCACGCCCTACATAAATAGCAAACCAACTTACTACACAACATCCTTCGATATTGTAATGGTTGACACATGGCTTATGTTCAGCAAACTCATAAAGCGCCTTCAACGCCGGCAATTCAAAGTCAGCCACGCCAACACTGACGACTTTGTTAGTCTGGACCAGCTCTTCATCAATCTTGTTCCATGCCTTTAGCACCTTGTCGAACCACTCCTTATCCAGCTCGACATGCTCATCCAATGTCGTATCTTCACTGGCTGGGAATGATACGATGAGTTGTTCGATATTGTCGGTATTCAACTGTGTTATCACACCATCCACAGCGTCGTTCAGTTGTTGGAGATCGAATTCGGAGAGGAACACCTTCAGCGTGATCTTGAGATCGTCCCGGTCGTAGACTGTGTCTTGTTTGGCACGGTTGGTCAGGAGGAGCATGTTGTTGTCGCTGAAAGAATGGGTTGAGATTTTTGGAAAAAGGGTAGGGTTTTACTATTAGGTGCCGACATAAAGAACCCGCCATTTTTTAAAGGAAATTACAGGCAAAGTATGACGGGTTCTTTATGTCATTACTATCGAACTTGGCCAGCTTTACAATCGGGCCTCCTCATCGTTACAGGACCGGCTCAGTCATACAATCGAGACGACCCGGCCTTTAGCCAATGTTAAAACGAACTGGGCCTAGAATTAAGGTCAGCCTGGCCTGTTTCTCCTCCCCCTGCCCCCGCTCCTATGTACCCGCCCTAAAATTCCAAAGGAAAATGACAAACAACTCACGTAACATCAATATCAGCCTTCAAATCAGCGAACTGCATGTCCAAGCAAGCCACCAGCTCTTCGGCCGAATTCTGAAACTTTTTCAACTTCAACTCCACGTAGTTGTTGATGTTGCCGGTGTGGATGCGGAAACTCTTCAACGCCTCGAGGCGTTTGATTAGCGCTTGCCAGGCCGGATTGCTGGCGATTGAGTTTTGGTTCGTCATCTGAGCGTTCAGGTAATCATGGGGGCAAAATCGACCACGAAATCGGTAAAATCGACCGGGAAAAAAGCGCGTAAATAGGGGTAGACTTGATTGAAAGCTCCACATGGATAAGATGATGAGGTTAGGTGGAGGTAGATTTGGAAATGGCAAGGGTAAGGCAAAGCCGACTGGAAGATGGCTATATTGAGGTAGGTAAAGATGAAAGAAAGTGATTTTAAAGACGCTTTAGACTGAAATAAAACAAAATATAAAGTCTATAGACTATAATAGCAATATTAATTTACTGTGCTACACAACGTTTCCCTACGATCTCAGTATAGTAACTTATAGTACTCTAGTACCAGCTCAATACCTACTATAATATACTAACCAAATTTAGTCCAAAAAATACAAAATTAAGTAAAAACTAACTTCAAAATTAGATTTACAATCTTGTTTCTTACCAACAGTAAGGTAAAACTAGCCTACAGTAAGATAAAGAATGGCACAAGTCAATATAAGTTGATGTCCAGACGTAGGTGGTTAATATATCTATAACAGCAATGACCAAAGTAAATAACCCAATATTAAAAATATAGATTCTAAGAACTTTGTAGCAGATTCTGAAGACAATCTTCACCTTTTAAAATCTGTAGAAGATTTTAAAATTAGGCTTAAAGGCTTAAAAATAGCCCAAAATCACTGTTTTTCAGCCAAAAGGTCCTTTAAAACTTGTTTTAGGCCTAAAACAAGCCTAAACAGTCGACTTAAAGCCAAAGAAAACTTGATATAGACACTAGGTAAAAGTAAAATACTGTAAACAATATTATGGTAGATGTAGACAATCAAATAGTCATTTAAAATAGCAAAAGATAGCAAAACGTCTGGTTATATTGCAATAGATCTGGGTTCGAAACGACCGGTTTTGGTATGAAAGTAAAAAAGTAATGAAGATTTAAAAATGGAGGGCTGGACAAAGGATAATTTGAGGATTTTGGAATAAAATAGGGTTTGAAATTGAAAATCTTGCCCTACCATAAATCAACCTACCCTACTCTACCCTACCCTACATCTAGATGAAACACATGGCCTAGCACGTTTTCCATACCATGATTACCTATTCTACCCCACCGACTTTTGATCTACTATGTCTCAAAAATCCACGCTACCATGAAAATCCACCCTACCCTAAATATTTACCATACCATCCACCCTAACCCAAAAATTTACCATGCCATGATAAGCCACCCTACCCTAACAAACCATCAGTTCCTCTGAAATTGATACTGTAAATGATTATCTTAGCTTCAAATCACAATCTTTTCAAAAAAATGTCATTTTCAACCTTACATTTGGCTCAAAAGTACAAAAATCGTAATTAAATGGAAATGTAAAATAATGGAAATGAAATAAATAGCGACCTTGTCATGAATCAAAACGACTCAAAAAACGGAATTTAGTTTAAAGTTTGGGGAAAGCGTGATATTTATTCAAAGATATTACTCTTAAAACAAAAACTTTGTAGTTTTGAGTTTGTAGCTTGAGGCGTTTTGAAGGTTTTTTGGCCTAAACTATAGGATGTGACTTTGGGGTGACAAAAACTATATTTATGGGACTGAGTCAATAAAATGCAAAGGGGAGGCCACGTTCTACTTTTTCCAAAAAAAAATTTTTTTTGGAGGAGGGGGGGGAGGAGAAGAGGAATACACTCCCCCCTGTTCCCCCTTGCCCCTGGCAGGTAAGGAGATGGCATGGCAAAAAGAAAAAAATTTTGAAAAGTTCGAAGTATGAACTATTGTGGAACTCTCTATATCGAACTTCTCTATGCAAAGCCGGGCGCGAGGGGGGAAGGATATGGGGGGGGGGTACCCCCAAAAAAAATTGAAAAAAGTTGGACGTGGTCCCCCCCCCCTGTAGATTTTTGGACAAAAAATTTTTTTTAAAAATCGGCCCAGGTAGCAGATGTGCCGATTTTTTTGACCCCCGGCCCCAGACCAAAAGTCCTCGCCCGCCCCTTATTGTCATAGAAAATCAAAAAATATTCTACATGTTACCTAAATTTATTTTAAGATAAGAAAAATTAGGGTAGATAAAATTATAATAAGCAGGTTCTGGGCTGGGCTTTTCCAAGACAAGGGCAGATGCTAGGGTTCGAACTACGGTTACGGCTAAACCTGGTGTTAGGGCCAAGACTAGGGCTAAAGTAATGTGTATAATATGACAAAATATTAATGTAAAAAACAAATGTTCTGTGTAACTATTAAAAAAAAGTTTTAAATTTTGAAAAACTTAAAACATTTTAAAAAGTCCGTAAAAACAAGAACAAAAAATATTTTTTTTAACCAATAAATACTATGTATATAAAGGAACAAAACTAGATAAATAACCACAAAAAAAAATAAAAAAACCCACGCCTCATAAAACAAGCCAATTTTACAAAATGGAAAGGTAATACAAAGCTATCTTTAACGAGGACAAACTTAAATATAAACTGACCAGACCTGGGACAACTCTTTTCTTTATTTTTTTGCGCTTTAACGACGCTCCCTCTAACCGCTCTCTTCGTTCTCCATACTCTATAGTCCTTTCTCGGTGTTTTTCTTATTTTTTCATATTATGTTAGACTTTTCTTGGCCTTTTGATATTGTAATAGTTTTGACACTGATTTTGCTTTCAAAATTTATAAAAAAAATTTAATGACACTTTTTAAATTTAAAATTTAAAAAAATGTTGGATTTTAGCAAGGTGTACGATAGTTAAGATTTTCCAACTGAATAGTTCCAAAGTCGTAGATAAGACCTTCAATATCTAAAAATAATAAAAAATTGGCAGGGCAGGGTAGGGATGGTAGGATAGAGTAGGCACGGCTTTTTTAATTAGCACGGGGCATGGGTTTTTTAAAATAATTTGAAAAGCGAGGAGAAGGGCATTCGCGGAATATTAGGGCAGGGCATGTTAATATTGGGTAGGACACGGTAAGGTATGGTGGAGCATGTTAGGGTAGGGCAAAGTTGGATTGGGCAGGGTTGGATTGGGTAGGGTTGGATTGGGCAGGGTTGGATTGGGTAGGGTTTGTTAAGGTAAGATACGGCATTTTAGGGTAAAGTAGGGTAAGGTAGGGTAGGGTAGGGTGGGGTAGGGTGGGGTAGGGTAGGGTAGGGTAGGGTAGGGTAGGGTGGGGTAGGGTAGGGTAGGGTAGGGTAGGGTAGGGTAGGGTAGGGTAGGGTAGGGTAGGGTAGGTTAGGGTAGGTTAGGGTAGGTTAGGGTAGGGTAGGGTAGGGTAGGGTAGGGTAGGGTAGGGTAGGGTAGGGTAGGGTAGGGTAGGGTAGGGTAGAGTAGGGTAGGGTAACAAAATTTAGCAACTAACCATTATTTTGTGCGTTTCTGATGCGATCATAACTTTCAAGCGTTGAATAATGCCGTCCTCGTACGCAATTACCAGCTGGAGTGCACTGGTGCTTTCTGTAATATTTAGTTTTGACTTTGACATGTCAGACGGCTTAAACTAACCTTAAAACCAGAGCTAGGGCCAAAGCTGGGCCTAGAACTAGAAATACGGCTAAAGCCAGGGCTAAGACTAGTGCTAGGGTTTGTTATAAAGCTTACATATCCAAATACACCATGGTCGGTCGGTCAAGAGAGAGAGCTTCGGCAATCTCTAAAATATATATAAACTTAAAAACACTTATGTAAATTAATTACTATTGTAAGTGAATGTGTTCTAATTTAATATAAACTCATTTCACATATTATACTTAAACTACTTTATTGACTAAACGAACTTACCACGATAAACACGACTATTGCGGATACGAACTTCGCAAAACTTAAGTTCCCCGCCACTTTCAAAGTCACCTCGTACTAATCGAGCAGACTAAAACAAAACTTTAATTTGTAACTGAATTTTTTAAAATTATAATAAGTTAAACAGCCTCAGCCTTAGCCTTAGCCTTAGCCTTTAGCCTTACCCTTAGCCTTAGCCTTAGCCTTAGCCTTAGCCTTTAGCCTTTAGCCTTAGCCTTAGCCTTAGCCTTAGCCTTAGCCTTAGCCTTTAGCCTTAGCCTTAGCCTTAGCCTTAGCCTTACCCTTAGCCTTAGCCTTAGCCTTAGCCTTTAGCCTTTAGCCTTAGCCTTAGCCTTAGCCTTAGCCTTAGCCTTAGCCTTAGCCTTTAGCCTTTAGCCTTAGCCTTAGTTTTAGCCTTAGCCTTAGCCGTAGACTTATCCTTAGCCTTAGTTTTAGCCTAAGCTTGAGCTTGATTCTGAACTTAAGTCTAAGCTTGACGGCGTTAGTCTGGCACTAATCTTGACCGTAGCCTTGCAATATCGTTAGCCTAGGGTTTATAAAACTTTAACTTACCACTTGCGCATCTTCAACATTTTTAATATCGCATCTGAATAGTGCGTTGTACCTTATGGTCCTAAACAAGGATATTAAAACGTTTGGGGCTATATATTAATAAATGTAAATTGTAATGAAAAAGCGTTATAATAACGTTAAATCTCTTTTGAAAATGATTTTTGCAACCTAAACCTACCCCCAATTATTCACTGCTTCAATGCTAAAAACTAAAACAAGAAATAGTATAACTAACTTCATATCAATTTGATGTATACTGTGACAAAATTAAAAACTAGGTTTCAAAAATGATTTTAAAATGTGTTGAATTTTAAACGGTGTTAACGTTAATGACCGTAAAAGTTTTATTACTATTGGTTGTTACATTGTATTGATATGGTTGTTACGTTTTATTGGTTTTTACATAAATTTATTCAAATAATTAACACTTTTAACGTAAAAAACAACGAAATTGCAATCAATTTTAATATTACTTTTTAGTTTAGGCTTACAAATAAGGTGCCCGACTTGCAACGCTTAGATTTTTTTCAAATTTTTAAATTGGAAAATCATGTTAATGTAAGAAGCTTTTAACTTTGTCATTATTTGACTTTTTACTATTTTTCTTTGATATAATGATAGAAAAGCTTCGAATAAGCCTGCAATTTTAAATTTGTAAGCCTATCTTATCGGGAACGTAAAAAAAGTGCTTGCAACACAATGCCAAATTTGCCAAATTGGCAGAGTTTAAATATATTTTAAAACTTATTAATGCGGGCTACAATTTTTTATGAATACCGAAAGCTTTTTTCGCGAAGCTTTTATGAGTTGGACCTAGCACGAGCGCACCATTATGGTCCCGCCACGACAACAAACAGCACTTGGCATTTCGCACTACGTACGATGGCCAGTACGATAAAAGAGAAAGAGGACATTCGGTAGGTGGTCAGCGGGCGCAGGACAGTTCGGACGTCGGAAGGACGTCACACTTTATATCAAGAATCTTTATTGTTATCGGTTTATATTATACTATTGTTGAAGGTTTTGAGAAAGGTAAATATTATAACCTTACATCGTGGGCTTATTTTTGTAGGTGTTTTATGTAATATCAATCCCTTTATTGATCCGAATTAAAAAACTAAAATTATGAAAAAAGTTTATTTGCTTAAAAACGAAAATTAGTATTTTATGCTTTTATAAAGCCAGTTGAAGAAGATTCAACCGACAAAATTATTTTAGGGCAAACACCATAAAGTGCGTAAGGTAAAGAAACAACCCACATAAAAATTGAAAATTCATGTCACATCAACCATGTGTAATAATGAATACTAAACACATCGTTTCCAAAATAAATCATTAAAGTTTCACAATTTTGGTATATGGTATTATGTTTCTAAACATGCATTGTACTATTATAGTACTCATTTTAGTTTCAACCTGCTGTTGTGTTAATTCAGTGTAAGTTTATTAGGTTAACAAGGTTATATAGCGAAGAAAGTAGTTAACTTCTAGCATGTAGATATTATACGTAAATATACTCTTAGTTTAAATGAGCGTAAGCAATTAAATTTGCTAAGCCTATATGTGATTTATTTTTAAAGAATGCTTTTTTTTGTATAACATTAGTATTTTTAGCAAAGTACACGTTATTGGAAATATAGTATGCGAAACTTGTCAAGCTGATGTGAAAGGGTTGAAAGTAAGTTTACAAGTATTCTACAATACCCTACACTACCCTATCCTACCCTGCCCTACCATACCCTACCCCGCGCTACCCTATTCTACCCTACCCCATAAATTAAAATCGTAACCGAATATTTTTAAGGTCGCCCTATATACAGTAAACAATAATGGATATTATCAGTTAAGCGCTAGCATAACTGCAGATAGCACGGCTTTTGACATTGCCGCTGAAGTAGGAATGAGTTCGTCTAATATATATGCGGTTGAATTGTAAGCATTTTTTTACGTTTTTGTTTTAAAAAAATGTCAAAACATTTTTATTAATCTATGTCTAAGTAAGCCTAACTCAACTTTCTTCAGCACCGGTACGTGTGAAAATAGATGTGTGCAGGGGTACGTGCAGGTGCCGCTCGTGGGCTCCAGATGGAAGCCGAATGAATACTTCGCTGATATGGGAATTGTCAATTTGCATTCATTGGCCGGTTATAGTGTATTAAAGTCCGGGGTATGCGATTAAATTTGTTTAAATTTTAAACTACATTGCAAAGTTAAAGTGATTGGCTTATAATAAATCTTTTTTTACCGTTTGATTTTACTTTTAGCCTTCATAATATAAAACGCGCCTAAATTGCATGGGTACAAGATAAAACTTCATACATAAATTTTAGATGATCGTGTTGTGTATATTAGATAACCGTGTTATACATAGAAACACTATGAACACAGTCTATTGTTAGTGCTTTAAAAAGAGCTTGCTTGCACCGGCTACAAAAACATCCAAATTTACTTATTTTTTGAAGCACATCTTAACAATGCACCTTGGAACTCCTGTACGAATCGCTCAGGAACTTGAAATGTTTATAAAGGAGTTTTGTTATACAGGAGTTTTAAATACACTGTGTAGTAATAGACGAGGATTCAAAAGTTGTTTGTTGTACAAGCTTTTTGTTATAGAGTAGTTCGTTATACAGAAATTCCACTGTTATGTATTTTGAATAAGTTGTGCTGGTATAATAAATTATTGGTTTTTCAATTGGTTGCAGCATGGGATTTTAATATACAGTAACAAGTCTTTATCTTCTTACGCCTGAAAGGGGCCTACTAGAGAACGGATCAACTACAGCGGAACTCTTGTATAACGAATCGCAGAGACTTAAAATGTGTTCGTTATAAAGAAGTTTCGTTATAGAGCAGTTTTAAACGCACTGTGTAGTGGTAAACAGGGATTTAGAAGTTGTTCATTAAAGAAATGCAGTGGAACTACTGTATAACGAATTCCTCTATAACGAGAATCACGTATAACGAACAAATTTCAGGTCCTCGAGCGATTTGTTATACAGGAGTTCCACTGTATGCCTTTAAACTAGTTTTTATTCTGATCACAACTTATTCACCATAAAACAGAAAACAATTTAGTCAGATAGACCGCACTGTGATAACATAAAAACGCATAAATTTAAGGGTTACACTATAAAATTACGAAACAAAATTTAAATGACCAGATTCACACAGCCAAATGAAAAGAAACTACGTAGTTTTAAAATTTTGGTTTTTTATTTTGACATCTTTGCAGTTTGCCAAAGCGTAAGGTTTTGATATTTGATATGCTAATAAGTGTTCATCGACTAGCTTACGCCGAAGCCCTAGCTTATAAGAGCTTATAATATATGATAACAAAAAGTTACGTTATCTAAAAACTTATTTTATTTTTAGCGATATGGCCACAATATATGTCCGAGGAAATTTGTTTTGTGAGGGTAGACCTGTAAGCAATGGGCGGATAAATGTGTATGTTGCCAAAGACAATTATGAGGATGGTGGTTTCAAGTACGATCTTCCTACAAATGACAATGGCTATTTTGAGTACAAAGAACGTGTCGATTTGGGAAATGACAAAACGGGAGTGTCGCTATGGACGTGCGTCATTTGTTTTAGTTCATTTTTTAAAACCAGTTTTTGATTTAGATGTTCGACATGTGGAGGACTGCCAGAAAACATTTCTAGGTCTGTTATTTCTTATCGGAATAACATTGTGCCATGTGAGAACGGCATATGCTATGACTTTGGAAGTATAGAATTTACGGCTATGCCGTTTACAGCACAGAATGCTAATTATATGTGCTGGATAGAATGACTGTTTTACTTTGTACGTCGTATAATAAAAATATTGATAACCACGCCAAGATGTTTAAGTTTATTTGCGAATTGCTCAAAATATATACATAAACAAAAATGTTTTTTTTAATGTGACAATGGTGATGGAGCTTTTAGTCGTACTGGCCGGAGAAACAAATTTGTAAATTAACTTTGGCGTCAATAACAAAAAATAAAGAAAGAAAAATAAGAATAATTGCACATCAGCACTGTACGTTACAACTAAGCAAATAAATGGTCACGACGGATACTGTATTTCAAATATGCTGTGCTGCTATTTTATTGGTTTTTTAATTAATACGGCGTAAGATTTTAATATACAGACCCATTTACTGTATTGATGAAGTTTATCTTTAGAAGGAGACAACTAGACATCGGGCTTGGCATTTGAGACTCAACTCAAAGGCTGGCCGTGCGCCGTGCCAAAAAGAAAATCATTTTTGTTTCGCTTATGTTTTTGCCTATTAGATTGTTCTCAAAAGTTAAAACCTGTAAATCTTGACAATGGTGTCTTAAGACAGTTTCCCAGTGATTTCAATGTATCAACCTTGAGTGAACGGCACACATACATAATAAAAACATTGATTTGTACAAAAGGCATTATGGTTTATTTTCTTAAAAAAATAAATTGGTATTTTATGTTTTATGATGCCGGTTTACGATGATTCAATTGACTAAGTTCAATAGCTCCAAAGTTGTAGCCTACAGAGGGAGCAACTTCTTGATCGCCACAAATATGAATATTGATTGGTTTTATGTTGTAGTGATCAGCAAAAGCAATGCCAGTAATTACTTCTCCATCTCCGTGTTCGTGACAGTTATGAGTGCTAAAGACTTTTTAGTATACATCAGTTGACAAAAAAAGGATAAGGCCCTAGAAGATTAATTTGTTAAATAAAGAAGTTGCTAACTTTTGTTTGTCAACAGATGTATATAAAATTCAATAAATTATTAAGTATAAAACAATCAGGTATGCCATTGTTTTTTTTTCAACTTACAATTTAATATAATGTGAATATTGTGTTTCATCGGTTGTTGTTGGCGCGTAACCTAAATACGTATATTACAATAGATACGAACTATGCTTATTCCAAGCTCTAGCCATCGTTAGCTCTAGCTATTTCAACCTCGTGTTACAGTAGTCTAATTTAACGTTACGCTACTTTATTTCATATTTACTGTAAAAAAATTATATGTAGCTCTAAAATAATTTAATCTAATTTAATTTACCGATTTCAAGCCCAGTAGGGATGGCTGCTTCTTTTACGCAACCTGCTCTTTTAAGGTCACGACCAATTGCAACGCAATAGTTCTGAAATAACGTTTAACTGACATTGAAATTTACAAAAAATAATGACTTACACCTGCATTGGATTTAACGGGCTCTCCTCGACATCTGGCAGCGAACATATACGTCATACTTCTGAAAAATAACATACTGGTAGGAGAGAAGGGCACAGGACAGGAAGGGCAGAGACCAGGGTAGGGCATAAACTTACTGTAATAAATAATCAACGCCGTCCACAATGTAAATCAACATAAATATGAAAAAAATTGATTTAAACGTAAGGTTCATGGCTTAGTCAAGTCAGATTACGAATAGTTAAAAGTAGTTAAGACAAACGGATTTTAGGGAAAATACCATAAGATGTCTAATATGAAGAATCGAACCACATAAAAATTGTAATTTCAAGTCACATTAACAATGCGTGATAGAGAATACTAAACACGTCGTTTTCAAAACACATAATAAAGTTTTAACAAATTTTAATAAAATTGTACGTCTATAAACATGGGTTGTACTAGCTCGGCATTTAGAAATGTAAATTTACTCTTGGCTTGAATCAGAGTACGCAACTTAAACCTAAGCCTAAAATTAAGCATGTTTTTTACAATATAAAACTTTTAATATAAATGTTAATGATATTGTGTCGTACAGGGGTCACAATAAATACAGTGGAGCTCCTGTATAACGAATCGCTCGGGAACAGTCTGCTTCAAAAAGAACTTGCTTGCACCGGCTACAAAAAAGTCAAAATTTACATATTTTTTGAAACACACCCTAACAATGCACAGTGGAACTCCTGTATAACGAAGCGTTCGGGAACTTGAAATTTATTTGTTATAAAGGAGTTTCGTTATAGAGGAGTTCGTTATACAGGAGATCCACTGTACGGAATTCCAAATAGAATTTTTAAGTCCCCGAGCGATTCGTTATACAGGAGTTCCACTGTATGCTGCTCTGCTGTTTATTGGTTTTTCATTGAGTTATGACGTAAGATTTTAATATACAGTAACTTTTATTGTTTTGCTAGAGTTTATCTATTTACATTAGAAGTGGGCCCACAATACACCAAGCCAAACATGTGAGCCAAAGAGACCGGACTCAACTTAATGCTTAAATTGTGGGCCGTGCCGCAAACTAGGACTCAGTCTCTTCGCAGTTGTAGGGCTACTTTAAGGTTGTCACAGTTTTTATTTAAGTGTAAGTTTCTACCTATTAAGTAATCTTAAAACTGTTAGACTCCCACTTGACGGAAAAAGTCGAAAACGGTCCGTATAAGCTATTAAGAAGCTAACGGCAATCCAATTTTTGTGGTTTACTTTGTGGTTTGTACAAAACGACATTATAACAAAGTTTCTTTGCTTAAAAACCAAACTGTTTTTTTATGAAGCCGGTTGACGATAATTCAATTGGCTAAGTTCAATAATTCCAAAATTGTAGCCTATTGAAGGTTCAAAGTTCTTATCGCCACAAATATGGTTATTGATTAGTTTTCTTTCGGAGTGATCAACAAAAGCAATGCCACTAATTCTTTCACCATCGCCGTGTTCGTGACAGGTATGGGTACTAAAGATCACAAATAAGATTTAAAAAACCGTTTAGTATGAAAATTAAAAAAAAATGAACAATTGATTTTTTAACTTACAATTTGATATAATGTGTATACTGTGTTAGATTGTCGTTTGATGTCGCGTAACCTAAATACGTAAATTAGAATAGGAGTGCGTTAGTAGTGCAGTGGCTGTGGCGCCGCTCGCTATTCAGAAGAACCTTGTTTCGACCCCGCGCACCGCCCAACCCAGGCGCCTTGAGGAATGGGTAGTGCTGAGTGCACGGGGACTAAGCACATCTATACTTGGCCTACACGAGTATATGATCAAACGCTCTCTTATGGAGAACCTCACCCACAACTCAGTGACGGAAAAGTGGCAACTGGGGGATGCCCAATTCATGGGAAACGTTAGACTCAAAGATAGATCCGTTTTTCTTCATCTGAACCTTGAACATCCATGCACAACAGCACTGTACCTTACAATCTACGGCATCAAAAATCATCTGGTCTAATATACATATCTCTCGAGTTGTAAGCGTAGACTCTTGAAGAATGTGAAATAAATAAACAAACGAAGTAGCCCTTGCCATAGTTTTAGCCCTAGCGTATCCTAACCTTACGTTACGGTAATTCAATTTGACATTACCGTCCTTTATCTTAAACCTTCTGTAAAAAAGTAATGCAATAAAATAAGTTAACATACCTGTTTCAACCCCAGTAGGGATGGCTGCTTCCTTTGTGCAAAAACTCTCACTTGTTCCTGTAATGTCACGAGCAAAGACAACACAATAGTTCTGAAAATATTGACAAAACGTTTAACTTAAATTAAAATTTACAAAAAATAAGACTTACACCTGGACTGGAACTAACCGGTTCTCCTCGACATCTTGCAGCGAACATATACGCCATATTTCTAAAAAATATCAAACAGGTGTGATGGCAGGACAGAGAGCTGGGCAACGCAGGGTATAAACTTACTGTACATGATAATCAACGCCGCCTATGATATAAATCAACATAAATAAGAAACAAATTGGTTTAAATTTAAGGTTCATAGCTTAATTAAGTCAGATTACCAATAGTTAATAGTAGCTAGATCAAACCTTTGAAATACCATAAAATGCGCAATGTAAAGAACCAAACGACATAAAATTGTAAATTCCAAATCACATTAACAATCTGTAATAAGGAATAATAAACACATCATATTCAAAACATACTATAAAATTTGCACAAGTTTAGTATATGGTAAATTGTATTTCTAAACATGTACCTTGTGGTACTCAATTTAGTCGGACCTCAAAAGTCGCCGTATCAAGCCTAAAAAAAGACCTGGTTAAAAACAAAAAATAAATTTTCCAAAAAAGTATAATGAATTTTTTAATCACGAATAGACAGTTTCTAACTTTCCCTTGACCGAAAACAATTCATGAAAAACTGTGGATTTCCAAATTTAGAGATTTTTTACTTCTTTGGGTTTTTGATGTCCTTAAACGTTGTTGCAAGCATTGTCAAAAAGCTACTGTATTGTTATTGTGTTAATAAATGTGTTGTTAGTATATATCTTTTACTTATTTTTTATGAAGTCTTTTGTATGGTTATTTTTTCGTTATTGTTTAAGCTTTTTTACAATTACAGACCTTGAAATACAGAATGAATTATGGTAAAGAGCTTGCAAGAGACTTTTTGTATAAAAAAGAATATTAATGGGAAAAGTGAAGAACGTGTACTAACATAGTGCGATTGTCATATAAAGATATGTCTGACACTGTGGTATATCCGCGTTGTTTAAAATATTTTGGTAAATTAGAATGTGAATTTTTTAAGTCATATTAACTGCCTGTGCGTTAGGTTAGGTACTCCTTTTGGCACTTTCATCAGTGAAGGAAGCAAAAAAATTTAAAAAATAATTTTTGCACCGTAAAATATTAAACAATTTATTCATATACACCTCACTGTGATGACAGAAAGAACGCATAAATTAGGTGGTTACAGTATAAAATTTCGACACAAAACTTGATCACATTCACACGGCCAAATGAAAAAAAACCTTTCAGTTTTAAAGTTGTGTTTTTTTATTCTGACAGCTTCGCAAATTGCAAAAGCGTAAGGACTTCGTATAATAAAATGCAGTGGAACTATTGTATAAAGAATCGCTCGGGGACTTAAAATTTGTTCGTTACAAAGTAGTTTCGTTATACCAGGAGGTTTAAATGCACTATGTAGTGTTAGACGGGGATTCAAAAGTTATTCGTTATAGAGGATTTTCGTTACAGAGGGGTTCGTTATAGAAGAGTTCCACTGTAAATGGTTGTCGTATACCCCTAGCCTCTACTTTAGCCTCGAATATAACATAAATAAAATTTTAATTAAAAGATTTTTAGCTATAACCTTTCAGTACAAATTCGAGGAAATCTTTATTGTAATGGTAAACCAGTAAATAACGGGTATATAAGCCTGTATGGTGATAAAACCAATTGTGAAGGCACTTATGTAAAGTGTGATATTCCTACAACTGACGGTGGCTATTTTGAGTACAACGAATTTGTTTTGTTGGATAACGACAGAACGGCAGTAAAGCTTTATACGTACGTCTTTTGTTTTAGTTTATTTTTAATGATATAATACAGAACGATAAAACAAGGCTGCACTAGGGTTTAAATAGTGTTGTCTTACGATTTTTAGGACTACGATAAGAACAATAATTTTTGTCGTTAAATTGTTAAAGGGGGGTAGGTCTTTTATTTTTAACAGTTTTGTTTTGGTGTTCAACATGTGGAGGATTGCCACTATCCGTTACTAGATCTGTTACTACTACTCACAATAACATTGTGCCATGTGAGCAGGGCGTGTGTTTTGACTTCGGCAGTTTGGAATTTACAGCTATGCAGTTTTCATCAAGGAATGGTCCTTTTTATAGTTGTTGGGAAGAGTGACTCCTTGTTCGTTGTATGTGTTGTAATAAACATATGTATAACCAACACAACATAAAAACGTTCAACGTGGTCCCCCTGGGGATTTTTGGAAAAAAATTTCGCAAAAAGTCGGCACAGTACCAGTACCTGTTCGGATTTTTTTGACTTCCGCCACCAGACCAAAAGTTCCCCCCTCCCCCCCGGGTATAGCTTATCGTTTCTTATTACGCCCCTTTCAGTATCATTGGGTTTTTAAAACAAGACCTACATAGGATGAAAGAGCATAAAAAGTTATTGAGAAACTGCTTTCAAAACTGCTAAATAATCTTTGGCTAGCAAGATATTAGCGGCCAAAGCATTTACATGGAAAACCCATTTTGTCCTTCTCTTTTTTCAAAAACGAATGAATTTGAGGATTCAACGCAGTGCGGTTGATTGAGTGAGTAAAAGCTGAGTTTGAGGTGCAGAAGACACGGCGGCAAGAAGTCGTTTGGAGCAAAAACGGCATGAAATGTTGTCATCGACTTTTAAATCATTCAAAAGCAAAGGTTTTCAGCTATCATTTGATCTACGTGTCGTGTTATTTTATTTTGTTTTTTTAAGTTTGGAGTTATTAAAACGGTTAGGAAATATCGATTTACGCGCCATTTTTTATACGATGCCAAACTTCGCCCCAAATCAAATGCGGCAACCCGGACCATTACCATGACATTTTGACATTGGTACAGCTACCCAACGCATTGTACAACGCTAATTCCAGCGATTCAAAACTGACGAAATTACCCTCGAAAATCGAGAACTTGACGATGGGATTCTGAAGTCAGCGTTAGAAGAAGAAACTTAAAAACGACACGAGAGCATGACAAAAGACTTAGTGTTAATTAATTTTAGCACCACGAAGATAACTACGTCACACATAAGGCATAGATTTTATTTAAAATAGCTTAAGCTTCACAATAAAAAAAGTTCAAGTTTTCAAAACCTTTACCATAATTATTGGATGAAAAAATTAGTGTTTACAATATCTGCTCGTAATTAAAGAGCGGCAGTGGTGGGTACCACTTATCACTTGCATCACCATCATCTGTATACAATAGCTCACTTAATTCGATCTCACCAACATCAAGGCAGACAATGAATGGGCAGCGATACCAACGTTTGCCATTGCCAGGATGAACTGGGAAAACTGAGTGACGCGCAACGAAACTTCCATCTGGGTTGCATTTGTGCTTACTAAATTTTCAAAAACAAAATTTTTTCAAATTTTATTTTTTTTATCAAAAAATTTTTTTTAAAATTATTTTTTTTATTTTTTTTATTTCATTTTTTTAATTTTATTTAAAAATAACCTTAAAACCTGAGTTCTAAGCCTAGCTTTAGGCATTTTAAAGCAACTTTAAAATCTAATTTGTATTCACAGTAAAAATGAAAAAACTTACAACACCATACGCGCAACTGTAGTTTTAGTAATATCACCAATCCGGGTCATCAAATCAATGTAACCAGTAGGATGTACAGCGCCCATATCTCTGTCTAGTGCCTCGTACGTCTGAAGTATAACCCGGTTTTTTAATATTTGAGTAAAATAATTCTATACACTAGTAATAAAACCTAAGAATACTTTAATGACAGGTTTACGGTAAGGTTAAGATAAGGCACTAAGACAGGTTTACGGTAAGGTTAAGATAAGGCGAAGACAAGAGTAGGCCCAAGTTGGGCTTTAGACCTCGGGTGACATTTTTTTTAGCGGTGAAGTATTATACAGGGTGTCCCAAGAAATTTGAAAATTGTAAACAATGTATGCTACAGTAAAACTGCAGTAACTCAAGCACAGAGTTCAAAAGAGTAAAAAACTTACTACTAATGGCTTGTCATATAACATCTCTCCACGGCATTTCACGATAGCTCGTAATGCGTACGATACACTTCTGCACAATATAAGTACGTTTTTAATAAAAAAAAGAAAAAGTTCGGGCTACATTTAAACTTAAGCTTAATTTGTAACTTAATCTTAGAATTATTAATATATTTGTTATTAAAATAAATGTTTGATTAAAAAAGGTGTAACAAAACTTTTGACGCGCCGTGCACAAGGAAAGTACCCTACCTGCCTCGCTCAGAATCAGCCCAAATTTTTTATATGAATTCCTTGTACCATAAATAGTACCCTTAAAAAAGTTTAGTCTGCGCTTTTTAGTTTTAAATTTGAATTTGTTTTGTTTCCCGCCAATTTTGCAACTTTGGCATTGTGTTTCAAGCACTTTTTTCAACTTTCCAATCAATCTACACTTACAAATTTAAAAATATAAGTTCATATAAAGGTATTCTACTAATATATCAAAGAAAAATTCCTAAAAGTCAAAAACTGACAGTGTTATAAGCTTGAAACACAATGCCAATTATCTAAATTTTCTCGAGATTTATTGGAAAGCGCGATTTAATACTTTGTATATGATCTTATATTTACATGCTCCTTCTATATAAAAAGTTTGAAGTAAATCAGAGCGGGACAGGTGGGGCACTTCCTTTGTAAGATAAACAACCCTTATAAAAGCTAACTTACCCAAAAGATACAGTAAACAAAAATGTAAGTATACAAAAAACCTTTAACATTGTATTTACAGTAAAAATGAATTCGAATTTAGATTTTTTGAATAAAATGTAGTTAATTACGTTGTGGAAATCTTATTTTACATATTTTATGCGTTTGAAATTCTGAATATTTATACGTTTTTAAATATAAATCTAAATCAAAAAATCACGTTTTGAAGTTTCCGCCAAGTTGGCATTGTGTTTCAAGCAACTTTATCATTTTTTGACTTTTTCGAATTTTTCTTTCATATACTAGTAGAATGCCTTTAAATGGACCTACATTTTTTAACTTGTAAGTGCAGCTTGTCCGGAATGTCGAAAAAATTGCTTAAAACACAATGCCAAATTTGCCAAATTGACGGGAAACTCAAATATTTTAAATTTAAAACGCAGAAAGCTAAAATTTTTTATGGGTACTATTGGTGGTACAAGGAATTCATATAAAAATTTTGAGCTGATTCTGAGCGAGGCAGGTAGGGTGCTTTCCCTGTAAGCTCTACCTACTAAGCCTATGCCTACTAAGTCTAAGCCTACAAAGCTTAAGCTTACTAAGTATAAACCTACTAAGCCTAAGTCTACTAAGCCTAAGCCTAAGAATACTAAGCCTAAGCCTAAGTCTAAGCCTAAGCCTACTAAGACTAAGCCTAAGCCTACTAAGCCTAAGCCTACTAAGCCTAAGCCTACTAAGCCTAAGCCTACTAAGCCTAAGCCTACTAAGCCTAACCCTACTAAGCTTAAGCCTACTAAGCCTAAGCCTACTAAGCCTAAGCCTACTAAGCCTTAGCCTACTAAGCCTAAGCCTACTAAACCTAAACCTTCAAAGTCTAAGTCTACTAAGCCTAAGCTTAAGCCTATGCCTAAGTCTAATCCTACTAAGCCTCAGCCTACCACACCTTATCTTGTAAGCCCAAGGTTACTAAACTTGAGAACTAATAAACTTATTTTTCTTTTTCTAGGTCTCAGCTTATTGAATTTTAAACATAAAATGAACTGTAGAATTTTTAATAAATTTTAAAATTATTTTTATTTGGCATTGTTTATCAAGTTTTTAAATATTCAAATAAAATGCGGATACTCTTGATACGTGTTATTGTCGTAGCAACCATGCGCTTCAAAACGAAAGCTGCCGCTCTGAGCCAAGTCGAGAACACCAAAATTGTAACAAGCGTAATGTGGACAACCTAACCATCTTTTACCGGTCAATGTTACCACTGTTCCAATACAAGGCCCTGTTGTCGTTTTCGTGGTACAGCGGTGTCTTCTATAATATGGGGAGTTAACTGTACGAAGAGTGTAGATATAGGGCGAAGCTAAAGCTCTGGGCTAGGGCTGTGGGCTAGGGTTCTGAGCTAGAGCTCTTGGCTAGGGTTCTGGGCTAGAGCTCTGGGCTAGGGCTCTGGGCTAGGGCTCTGGGCTAGGGCTCTGGGCTATGGCTTTGGGCTAGGGCTCTGGACTAAGGCTAGCTGATGTCACTTTTCTAATCTAGTCTAACAGTTATTGTAATGTAGCCTAAAAATAAATTTACACCAATAATTGTAAAACAACATACACTATCAATTGATGTCTCATTATCTCATCCGGAAATAACCGTGCAGTAATATCAACATGTCCAGACGGTTGGGCTTCTAAGCTGCGGGAATACTTTTCGTTTACAATAAATTTTAGTTGCTAAAAATGGCATAAAATCGTAAAACAATTAACATACCACTTTGTCTAATCCATATAAAGGGCGTCCATTGCACAATAACGTTCCGCGCACGGCGATACTCCTAAAAAAGTAATAACTGCAGAATAGCTTTTCATGGGCTACAGTAAAAATAAAACTAGACTAGGTCTAGCGCTAAAGCTAGGGAAAGAGCTTAAACTACTGTTAGCGCTATTTAGTGTAAGCTAAGGTATATTAACTTACTTTTGAGCATTAATGCATAATAAACATAAGAAAAGCATGCAAGTTTGTAATAACATTATCGAAATTTTTTACAACACAACACTTTACAAAAACAGTAATATTAAACTGTATAATCAATACACATTAATTTCATCATTATGCATTATGTGGTGTTTTATAAAATGTATTGGGATCATACGTACGACCGTATCTGAGGAGCATTTAAAATTTTATTTGCAGTGTAAAAACATATTACAATTTTAAAAACAAAAACAAAAAAATTATTGCGATCGGCCTCTCATCAAGATTGTTAACTTGATCACCTCTTTCTTCGTCTCCTCAGTAACTAACAAAGGGATGTTACAAACTACCTATTTACAATAAAAAATGAATAGTTGACTAAAAATTTATTTCTAAAAATTGCCATTTTTTTGGTTTTACAAGCCCGCTAGCGAGCTTTGTAAGTCGAAAAACTTGTAAATGTTTTCTTTCTTTCTTTGAAAGTATTAAATTTCGCTCTCTGCTTTCTCTCTTTCTCTCGACGTTTCGGGAAACCCAGTCAAAACGCAAGGTGCTTTATTATGACTTGAAATGTAATCTTTTCTTTCTTTCAAGTATTTACTTCCAAACACGTTAATTCAACTCGCATTCATGTGGCTATATATTTATAAATTGAAATGCATTGTTTTTGGAAGTAACCTTATAATTTTTAAAAGTGTGTGTGTTTTTGTTTTTTAATGTCGAAAGTTTAGACACTTGGCTAATGCTGTTGGACCTGCAGATAAGACGCTGAAATATATTAAAAATGTACATTTTTATTAGCCTTGAATATACGACAATCCGCCTTGCGTTCTAACAATGTCACAGAAAGCGTTCATAATGAGAAGTGACTTTAGTGATTTACATACACTCATACTTGTCTTCATACAGTTACAAAACGTGTCATCACAAGCAGCACGACCGGTTTGTTGACGGTAACAGTCGTCGTGGGAACGACAGCAGTTGTTGACATTAGCTGAAAAATTGTTACTGTAACTATCATACTCTACCCTGCCTTACACTATCCTACCCGTATATCTAATATATAATAAGATATAACGTTATACGTACTCAAAGCAGGTTCACAAGCATAAGCGATGGCTCGTCCAGCCCAAACACTATTGGTTGGATCACTACCACAGCTCCATTGATTTGGGTCTTGAAATGTGGCATCGTTTGGCGATAATAGTCCATTTTGAATAATCTGTCCGTAGCTTTCATAAATTAATATTACTAACAATAGTAAAGTTGACACTTGCATTAGTACTTAATATCCTCTTAATATATAGTAGTTGGTTTATCGGTATAATTTTACAAATATGGTAGTGATAATGAAGTTAGGTGATACCACGAGTAGAATTTTAGCACTAGTGGGTTGGCAACTTAAATATGTGATATATATAATACCTTTATAGTGATATATATAATATCTTTACCAAATTTTAAAAGTTTTAAAATTTCCAGCAATATTTTGAAAAACTTTGAAAAACGTTTAAACTTCCAAGAGCTTTTTACATTATTTTTGTGTTCGAGTAACGCTCGAGTAAATAGATCATGAGCGTGTTATGAAAGGATCAAGGGTTAAAATTTGAAATTTTGAGTGTTTTGACGTATGACAGGTTGTTCTAAGTGTTTCAAGTGAGCGCTTCTCACTAGAAGCGTCCGTTAGAAGACTTAGGTTAAGGCTAGGACTACGGCTGGAGCTAAGTTGCTAGGATAGGGTCATGGGCTAAGGCTCTGGGCTAGGGCACTGGGCTAGGGCTATGGCTATTCCTATTTTTGATAAAATTTCATACGTTTAGGTATAAAATGTTTTTTACTTTAAAACATGAATACTAATCTTTGTAATATCTAGGTTTATAGGCCAAACACTATATATTAACTATGATTATAATAATCATGAAAGTATTATTTAGAATATAAGAGTTTGTAAGAATGATTGTAATACACTTGGCTATACAAAAACATCCAAATATTTAATTGCCAAACCATTGAGAGTAATGTTTTTATTTTTTATGTAGCTCGAAAAGGGGCTCAGAAGGCGGAAATTTGAAATTTTTGTCTGAAAAAAAAGGAAATATTTTTTGGATTTCCTCAAAAACGGCCTTCTTTGCTTTAGTTCCTTTCGGTTGAAGACATAGGGGGTTGTTCTTTGAACTTCTGGATCTTTGAAATATAGTTAGTTTTTGAAAATTGTAACTTTATTTTTAATTTTGGTGTTAATATTGTTGTTTTTAGGAAGCTTTAGGCTTAGTTTTAGGGCCAAGGCTTTTTTAATTTGTTTTTTTTACTTGCATTTAGTTTTTTAATCTTATTTTAGGCTAACTTTATGGCTTTTTAAAATTTTATTTCAGGCTTGGTTCATTTTTTTAAATTTTTTAAAACTAGGATTTAGGCTTATTTTAGGTTTAATTTTCGGCTTTTTTAAGGTTTTTAGGGTTCTAAAGTTTTTTTAAAAATAGTTTACTCTTGTTTTAGGCTTAACGTTAAACTTTTTTTTATGGTTCTAAAACCTTTTTCTAGCTTAACTTTCAGGCTTATTTAGCCTTTATTTGAGGTTTTTTTAGGATTATAATCCTTTTTTAGATTAATGTTTAGGCTTATTTTAGTCATAACGTCATAGTTTTTTAAGGTTCTAAAGATTGTTTTAAATTAAATTAATGCTTATTTTCTGCTTGATTTTAGGCTTTTCTTAGGGTTTTAAAGTTTTTTTTCGGTTAACAATAAGCTTATTTTAGGCTATGCTTATCTAAGGTTCTAAAGCTTATTTATATTAAATTTTATGCTTATTTTCGGCGTTTTTAGGCATAGTTCTGACTTGATTTTCGGTTTATTTTCAGCTATACTTGCGGTTTACTTATAGCTTGGCATTAGGCTTAATTTTAACTATACTTTAGTTTTACGTATAACATGGCATTAAGCTTAATTTTAACTTTGTAAACTAAAAGATTTTATTTAAAAATTAAATTTTCACTCGTATTCAAACTTTATACACCCTCATTATTTACATTCTAACATATAAATTGTAAAAAATGACATGCCCTCATTATTTACAAGGTAAACCCACGATGTTTACAAAATTTGGAATGTGTAGGGTCTTTCCGAAGCGAAGCCGGTAAGCAGATTTCGCAGCTTAGCGTTGAAATTTAGCTGTTCAAAGATCACTCCGGAATGAATGAGCCGATTGAGGTTTACTATAACATTTCCCTTTGAGTGGTTATTACATGAGAGAGAAAAAGGAGAAGGGGGGGGGGGGGTATATGGAAGGGATGAGGGAGGAAGGAATAGAAGGTAGATGGGAAAGTAGTGTAACTTACTGTATAGCTTTGACAATTTTTAGAAACTTTGTTATATAGCTGTACTAATTGTTCCAGAAGGAATTCCTGTTCACGGTGCTTGAGGCTAGATATGGGAAAATCTTAAAATTTTAGAAATTTTTTAAAACGGGCCGGGCCTGACTAAAATTAAAAACGGGCCGGGCTTGAAAATTGGGCCCGGTCCGTTGCTCATGTCTGCCAGCATTGCCGTCTATCTTTAACAACAGTAAAAATTTTTTTTACAGGTAAAACTATTTAATTTGCTAAATATTTTTTTTGTAAAATACGCCGATTCCAATTTGCTTAGTCAACACAACGCTAAGTTTTCTTTTTTTCTCTCCCACTACACTTTGGTCTCTTCTATCTCGCTCTTTCGAGAAACCCAGTCAAAGAGCAAGTGTCCCTTTTATGGCTTGGGAGGAAATCTTTTTAGCGCTTGAAGTATCTACTTCCAAAAAGGTTAGTAGTTTATTCAGCCCACATTGGTGTGGCCGAACATTGGAAAATTTTGGAATGCTTTACCATTAGGTTGGGCTTATATTACTTGCCAATTAGGAGTAAATGTGTAGTATATTTTTCACGTTTATTATTTAAAAATTAAGATTTAGAAGTTAAAAAGTGTCACAAATAAGCTAGGATGGGCTCGGTAGCGATAAAAGGTTGTTGCTTTTTGGGTTTATAATAATAGGTGTAGCACACACAATTTGATATAGGAGACAATATAAGAATGTGTATAAGACAAAGGCAGGATAGGAAAAAGCAGAGTAAGGTAGGTAGAGTAAAACGTATGGATCGGGCCGGACCCACTTTTCAGGCCAGGTCCCATCAAAAAATTCTTAGGGTTGACCCGTTTTCCTATGTCTAGGGTAGGGTAGGGTAGGGTAGGGTAGGGTAGGGTAGGGTAGGGTAGGGTAGGGTAGGGTAGGGTAGGGTAGGGTAGGGTAGAGTAGGGTAGGAGCGAGTAAGGCAAAGTAAAATAAGATAAAGTGATACCTTTCTAAATGACATCATGCTTGTTATTGTACACAAACAATGTAAACATTAATGAATCTTGACCATGAATCTTCCTTTTTTAAAAATTTTAAAATTGTATCGTTTGCCATGTTTTGTCGTGTATAATTAACCTCTGATCATCGTGACTCAACTATGACATTACTTCTTTCAGCCCTCTATAAAATGCGTGTTTTCGAACTTTGAAAACAACACAAATCGTTGTATATTCAACTCAACTTCTATAAACTTCTACTATAATATAAAAATGTTATACCAACTCGACGTACAACTTAAGGTACTGGTAGTAGTCGGCCTTATAAGTAATGTTGTGGGCATGGAACTGACGGCTGAAATGTTTGAATGTGGCACGGGTATGTTCACTAATACATTGGCTTTCAAAACTGCTCATGAGGAATGTCCAACCAAAGTTGGTGAGTTTGAAATTTTTAAAAGTTTAAAATTAAAAAAAAAATCAAATTTTAAAAGTAAAAAAAAATTTCAAATAAAAAAATTTTTTTTTAATTTTTAAAATTTTCAGAATTAGTAAACGACTGCTGTCGAAAGCATGATAAATGCTACGACAACTACGGTGGTCCTCCTCAAGAAGAATGTGATACTCAATTCTGTGATTGTATAGCAGCTCAACAGTGCGGAAAAATAGTCGAGCTATGGTGTCCGATAGTAAAAGCAGCGGGTAAGAAGGCCTTCAATACTGGTCGATTAGAAGGTTGTTTGAATCAGACTAAGACCGAGCTTGAGGAACAAAAGTGTTACGTTGAGTTTGATGTTGAGGAAGAGCTGCAGAAACAACAAGAGACGTTGGGGGATATGATGGAAAAACATGGCATGGCTGGGCGGTGTATACACAATGAGACATGTAAGTTGGTCCATTCTACCCTACCCTACTTTACACAACCCTACCCCACCCTACACAGCCTTCACATGCCCTACCCTATTCTACCCTACCCTACCCTACACAGTCTTTCCATGCCCTACCCTACCCTACACAGCCTTCCCATGCCCTACTCTACCCTACCCTACCCTTCCCACCCCTACCTTACCCTACCCTACACAGCCTTCCCGTGCCCTACTCTACCCTACCCTACCCTTATCTCTACCCCTAACTCTACTACATCCCCTATCCCTGCCTCTACAAGTACCGTATTACTACCGTATCCTACACTGCTCCTGTCCTTTTTATTCCCTTTGCTCCTTTCCCTGTCACTGCCCCTACCGGTACCCTTAAAAGTACTTTTAGTGCTACCCTAATCTACCCTAACGTTACCGTATCATGCTTTAGTAGCCAGAGCCCTCCATCTCAACATGACCCAACCCTACTTTTACCATGGCATCAGCGACTAACCCTCACCTTACCCTACCTTAATTTCCTCAACCTTACTTTACCACCCTGCTCTCCCCCCCCCCCCTACCGTACCTACCCTACAAAGTATAAAAACTTTGGTATACTGTAACATAAAATTTTAATTTTAGTAGAAATGTGTACGATCGTATACGACGCCTATTTGGGCAAGATAGCCAACACCAAGCTGGAAGGTGTTTGTAGTTGTTTGGCTAGCGGGCTGAACAACGAAACGGACGGGTGTACCGACGGCTACAATAAGATTTGTACCAAACTGTAAATATTTTTTTTTCTAAATTTGTGTGTTGTGATTGTACTGTAACTTTGTTTGTTTTTGGTATTACTGTGGCTTTACTAACATAAATATTTACCTAAACTAACATTTATGTACTTATGTTACTGTAATGTACTATATTGTACTCTGCCCTACCATTTGCTTCACTACTCTACCGTACCTTGTCTTATCCTACATTACCGTACCCTACCCTACTCTTCCATACCCTACCTTACTCTATCATACCCTACCATACCCTACCCCACCCTGTCCTACCATACCACACCCTACCCTACCCAACCATTTAGGTAAGCCCGGGCTTGAAAATCAAGCCCGGCCCGTTTCTCATGTCTATCCTACTCTAGTCTATATTATCCCAATCTATCCTACCCTTCTCTATCCCACCGTGCCTTTGTCTGCCATACACTACCCTACCTTACCCTGCGTTGCTTTGCTTTACCATTCCTTTCTCTACCCTACTATACTCTACTATGCCCTACTTTGATATAAGCTTGCCTTCTTAAAATTTATTCAACCTCCTTAAGAAAACCCTGCCTTTCCTTTAACATGTCCTACTCTCTCCCTCTCTCATCATAATATACCTGCTCCTACTATAACATACAACTATACGTGCAGGAACAATGGTATTTTACAAAAAAAATTTTTTTAGCACAGAATCCGCGGCTTCGACATATCACAACATTTTGGTCATAACCGCCCTTATTACTGTAATCCAGACGTTTTTATGACCAGAAGACTAACGAAAGACTGCTGTAATGTCAGCAAGATCTCCGGCCAGACTCACTGCTGCTCATCGGATGCGAAGAAACTTTTTCAACGGTTATACAAACAAGCTTTAGTATTTTATATTATACTTGATGTAGTGTTTGCTTTCATACCTGAATTATTATTGTTTAGTGCCGGGCGGGGGTAAATTTGTTGAGGGGGGAAGGGGGGCGGTCAAAATTTTTTTTAAAAAAAATTTTATGCGAATATCAACAAAAATGACCTTTTTTTATAAAATTTTTTTATTTCACTACTTCCCCCTCCCCCCCCCCTTTGCTTTCCCCATCCCTGCCTCTTCCAGAAAAACCGCCCGGCCTAAAATTATTCCGAATTGGACTTCGGAGGTTAATTTGTATCCTTTAGTGCAATAAACTATTTATTTTTCATCCAAAAATTTACTGTAACATCTCTATAACATCAGTTAACCCAAAACTTTATGTTATCATACCTTGTTTTGATGGCCACTTCCCCTTTCTTCCAAAAAAATTAATAGACACCAGTCACTATATAATGTCCATTATGTTTATCCGCGACAAAAAAGCCTACAGAATCTTTTAAAAGCAGTTTCAACTCGAAAAACTTTGGATTCAGTTGATTTATGTGGCCCAAACGGCCAATACATTACAATAGCGATGAGCAATCATAGTTTTTTTCATTAATCATTCGCTCCTCGTTATTTAAAAAAAAAGATAGTTGGCAACTAAATTGACGCTTCAAATTCTGTCTTTTCTACGCACCTAAACTATTTTTAGAGCTTTATAAGATTGGGAAATCAAGTTACGATTTTTTGAATGAAAAATGGTCATGAATAATATAAGTTTGATCAAATAAAATAGTTATTGGAATTCTGTCGTCTAAAACTATGTTTAAAATAGTAAAAGCTTTATTCTTTAGGTACTAATAACAATCTTAAGCCGTACCATCAGATAATAAAATTATAATAACCTGAACACCAGGTAGCCATGGATAATATAATTTTAATCATAATTCGTGTTTCTTGGCCGAAATTTTAGTGACATAAATTAAAATGTATAGCCACATATCTGTTTTAATTACTAAAAGCATTTTTGAATTACCATAAACTTGAGGCAAATATTTATGACCTCTCGAACATCAAGTATTCATGCATGAGCTCATGGATAATATAGATTTCTTCACAGAACCTAAAAAAACAAATAGTTTTGCCTGAACATAGCTTAAATATACCAATTAGACGCTTCTGAACCTTTTGATGCCATTTTAGCTGTAATAAACTTTTTCAACTCGCACGCGGTTGCGCCCTAGTTGTTTGCGAAATTGATTTTTAAATTATAATTTTCGGTCGAAAATTATTCGAAATTTAAACCTAAACCAACTAAAATACAAGCTAATTTTCTTTAATTTTAGTGTAATGCTCAATAATGTCGAATACTCCATGGAGCACGGGTAACATCACGCCTGAAATGGCACCAAACAGCCGCCATTCTGGTTTTGTGGCGCCGGTTGTTGATAATCAGCCAAATCTTGATGAATATACCTCAAGGCAGCTTGGTAAGTGTTTTATTTTGGTGTTTTTGAATTTTTAGATTGTTTATGAGATGTTAAGAAGATGGAGGGATGAAAGAAAGGTTCGAAAAAGGGGTAAAATGAGCTAAACGATGTTGTTATACTTAAAATTTGATGTCTGTTGAAGAAGTTTGAAAATTTTAAAGGTTTTTAGATCTTTTTGATTCGAAGTTTACTTGAGTTTGTTAGGTCAATGTATTGGCCATCTTTTTCAATAATTTTTACTTAAATTAAGCTTTGGAATTAAAAGGAAACATGAGTTATATTGTTTTATGTGTACCACGTGCAATTTTTGAAATTTTCAGTAAAGAAAGATGTTATTAAATTAAAAAAAAGGTAGGATATTAAAACTTAAGGTTTTCTACACATTTTAAGCTTAAAAATTATTATTTTAACAAATGAATCCATTTTAGACATTCGAAGCAAGCTCCTCAACCTAATACAACAACAGAACTTGACCGCGCTGGAAGCGGAAAGTCTTCGAAACGTGCTGGACATTGTGACATTTTTTACTGACGATTGTGTTGATCAATATAAGGTAGGTTTCTGCTTTTAATTAAGCCGATATTTAAGTTTATTTAGCTTTTTCGGTATTTCACTAGACATTTGGTGGAAATATTGTTGAAACTCTGTGTTATAGCTTTATTTTTGAGTTTTTATGAGGAAATGCTATGTAAAAATAAAGTTAAATGTCTTTATTATGTTTTGTGAAGATTTGATAGCGCTGGGATATTGTTTTAGTGCTTCAAATTGATATTGTTTTAGACGTATGTTGATCCAGTGGAATATCCAGAACTACCTCATCTTAATCCAGTTTCTCAAGTAAACAGCGGGTCAAATGATTACCAGAGTATTACTGTAAGTTTTTCAGAACAAAATTTGTAAAATAATTTTGGTTTTTGGTAGAAACTTTCTTTACAGACATTTTCCAGGACTCAAGCTCAAATTTGCTGCCAAAGTGAAACAATGCCTTTTAAAATCTACTGATCCAAATAACAATAGTAATGGTACTAACAAAAATGGTACTGTCTTTGAAAATGGTGCCATTAGGGCTAGTGCTCACAACGATGGTACCATTAGGACCAGTTCTCGAACTCCATCGACTTCATTGTCGTACACTACAAGTCAGAAGGCTTCGGAAATGGAAAACTTTGATTAAATGTTCTCAGATGTCATCTCAAAGCACACTGGTACAACTGGTACGTACAATGGTACCAATGGGGCACAAGCTCAAAAATGGTCAATTTTGCGACGAAATTGAGGAAAACTAGCCAAAAAGAGGTTGAAAATGATGTTGTTGTAGACAAATCTGCTGATAACAATATAAAAAATGGAATTCAGAAGACTATTGATAGGATTCCGGAGACGGGAGCATCGAAACAAGAGAGTTGTGGGCCAGAAATACTAAAAGGAAGGGTAATATGTCCAATTTCTCTTGATGAAGATCTGGAAAGTGATTGTTTTGGGGTGAAATCGTTGAAAGAAGTGGAAGAGGAAAGACTAATGAAGCTTCAGAAGCTTGGTAATCAAGTTTCACTGTTTCAAGACGAAAATCAGAAGCTAAACGATGAGATTCTGAAGTTGAAAGATGACATTTTGAAAGCTAAGGATGAAGATGATGTTCAGAAGCTGAAAAATTATGTTTGGCGAAGGTACGGTGAGAATCTAGGAGGGAAGGATGAGATTCTGGACAGGGACGATGGAAATATTGAGAAGAAAGATGAGATTCTGAGCTTTCACGATGAGAAAGTTAAGGAAAATGATAAGATTCTGAAGTATCAAGATGAGAAACTTAAGGAGAATGATGAGATTCTGAGGTCTGTCGATGAGAAACTTAAGAAAAATGATGAGATTCTGAAGTTTGACGATGAGACAGTTGAGAAAAAAGATGAGATTCCGATGTTTGACGAGGAGAAAGTTGAGAAAAATGATGAGATTCTGAAGTATGACGATGAGAAAGTTGAGAAAAATGATGAGATTCTGAAGTATGACGATGAGAAAGTGCCCGAAGTCTATCAGATTCTGGATTTGCACGGTAAAAACATACCGATTCTGGGTGACAACATGGATTTGCACAGTGAAGCTTTATCTTCTACGAACGTGCACGGTGAAGCTTCATCTTCTACAAATTCTAATGACAAAGTCAAAGTTCACAGTGACAACACAGATGCCCTGATTGGTTACTTAAAGGAATGCCGAGCAAAGGACGATGAAATATTGGCTTCTGGAGCTTTAGCAACCATTAATGTAGCTACACAAACTTCAGATTTCAGAGATATGAAGAGAAGAAGCATTGGAGCTTGTAGCATTAGCACGGTACGGTCAGAAGTCAGTAGTAGACCAAGAACGGCAGAGCCAGAAGTCAGTATTAGCCCAAGAACGGTAAGGCCAGAAGTCAGCACCAAGTCAAGCACGGTACGACCAAAGGGTAGAAATACGAGTACAGTACGATCACGTCATGACAGTACCTCCAGTACGGTAAAATCAGGAGTCAGTAGGAAAGCATCAAGCGACTTCTACACTACTGATGCCACCGTGAGCTCATGGGCAAGTTATAGCACGGTGGATGGGCTTCATGGGACGAAGAATGATGGTACGATAGAAGATTCAGAAGAAGGTACGAAGATAGGGGTTGTTATGTTGGGTTCTACTGTGAAGTATAGCGAAGATACGATGATAAATGACAGTATGGTTGAAGATATGGAGCATGATAATGGTAGGATGGAAGATACGAAGCAAAGTTATAGTATAGTAGAAGATACGAAGGATAGTGATGGTACGGTAGAAGATACGAAGCATACCGATGGTGTAGTAGAAGATACGAAGCATAGTGATGTTACGGTAGAAGATACGAAGCATAGTGATGGTACGGTGAATTTTGACTTTTTTTAAAATATATTATGGTACATAGGTCTATTTGTGTAAGGTACGATACATTTATTTGACTTTTCGTATAAGATAGCACTATATAAAGGCCTATGTTCAAAGTAAAAGAAGGATGATATTTACATTTCAGAAGATACGATGAATCAAAATAATGATCTGAGCGATAGCATGAACACAACAGGCGATACGATTATTCATACGGAAGATACGATGACAAGTCATGGTATGTTAGTTAATTTTTAGAAGGAAAGGGTTTTTGTTTGAAAATACGATGTAAAATACGTCGTAGAGATCTTCTCAAGGTTTTTATTATGTTATATGACAGTAAAAGGTTATGTTTTAGGAGACACAATAGGAAAAAATTGGTTTTTTAGATGATACGATAGGGTAAGGCTTATGTTTTACAAGATACGATGGGAAAAAGTATCTTTTTTACAAGGTACGATAGGAAAAAGTTGATATATTAGAAGATACGATATGTAAAAGTTGATATTTTACAAGATACGCTATTAAAATGAGGATGTTTTAGAAGATACGATGGGGAAAAAGTAGCCTTTTTAAATGATACAATATGTAAAAGTTGATGTTTTAGAAGATACGATAGGAAAAAGTGTATGTTTTTCAAGATACGATGGGGGAAAAAGATTATATTATACAAGATACGATGGTAAAACAACTTGTTTTAGATGATCCGAATCAAGAAAATGGAGGAACGGTGAAGAACGATCAAGATAAGAAGCTATATGGTCAAGATACGAAGCAAGATAGCCAAGATACGGTGAAGAACGACCAAGATACGAAGGAATATGGCCAAGATACCAAGAATAATGGTCAAGATACGAAGCAATATAGTCAAGATACGAAGCAAGACAGCCAAGATACGAACCAAAATGACCAAGATACGAAACAGGATCATCAAGATACGAACCAATATGACCAAGATACGATGGAAAACCCTCAATCTATCGTAACAAAGCGCTGCACCCTGGAAGATACGATGAATGACCTGAACAACATGATGAAAGAAGCCGATCGTATCTGCGGAATCGATCACGATACTTCAGTTGAACAGCTTTATACCCAGCATTACCTTGGTAGATACAATGGGTTGCCTGAAGGGTTAACATCGACGGATATGACACACGATGATACGATAAGATATAGTAAAGAACAACTACATGATATAAGGAGAAGATACGATGATGATGAGCTACATACAGCCAAGCTGAAATATATCACAGTGGACTATCAAACAAAGAAGATATTCAAAGATACGACCATGTTTGAAGATACGACCATATATGAAGGTACGGTTGTGGCTGGTGGTAATCGAAGATACGATGATAACTTACCATGTCATAGTAACGCTAAATACGATGATACGAAGATAAGTTGGGGTAGTACATCGTCTGGTCAAGATACGAGACGGTATTTGAGTTACAGTACGTCCAGTGAAGATAAGAAGCGATCTGCAGCTTACTATGGTAATAATAAGCTCAATATCGACTACGGTAATGAAGATACGAAGCAAAGTGGTAGTAAAGTTCAAGATACGAAGCTAAGTGGTAGTACAACAGAAGATACGAGGTCAAGTGGTAGTAGAACAGAAGATACGAAGCCGAATTGTAGTAAAACTCAAGATACGAAGCAAAGTGGTAGTAAAGTTCAAGATACGAAGCTAAGTGGTAGTACAACAGAAGATACGAGGTCAAGTGGTAGTAGAACAGAAGATACGAAGCCGAATTGTAGTAAAACTCAAGATACGAAGCCAAGCTACAGTAAAGCCAAAGATACGAAGCCATGTTGTAGTAAATCACCAGAACCGAACATATCATGGGGTGATGAATCTTCAGATGAAGATACGAAGCTAAGTGACGATGGTTTTATTAAACATCATCAACATATGATGGAGACTAGCTACGACTACGATCCTACATCAATCTGTGAGGAGAATTCGAATGTAAGCCAAGATACGATGGGTTTTGACGATGATTTGGATGAAGATACGACGGATGATTGTAAATATGGATGTGTTAGGCAAGATGCTATGGTATATTATGGTGAAGAAGGTGGAGATATTATGGGAAGTGAAGGTAAAAGGCAAGTTACGATGAGAAGTGAAGTTAGAAGGCAAGATACGACGGCAAATGAAGGTAGAAAGCAAGATACGACGGGACATGAAGGTAGAAGGCAAGATACGAAGCAGAATTATGGTAGAAATGAAGATACGAAGCATTACCGTAGTAGAAACGAAGATACGAGATTTCACGATGACAGGAATGAAGATACGAACCCAGAAGATGATAAAGACGGACATACGACGCACAACTACAGTCGTCAAGTAACCAAGAAACAAGATACGATGAAAATCCATAGTAAAATGATTAATCCTTTCGAACATACGAATCAAGATGGATTTTTGTACAATACGAACATTGAGCAAGATACGATGTATGGTATTAGAGATGTGTACGGTCAAGATACGAAAAGCGAAATGAATAGGAATGGTAAAGAAGATACGGTGTACCAAGAAGATACGGAGGATGACTTCAATAATAATCCATTCGCAGATACGATGACTTGCCATGGTAAAAAGAGAGGTTTGCAGAGACGTACGATGAAGTATCATGGTGAAAACAGTAGTTCTGTTGAAGATACGAAGTCTTGCTATGGTAAAAACGAAAATTCGTTTGATGATAGGAAGCTGTACCGTGGTATAACAGAAAGTCCCTTCGATGATACGAAGCCTTACTGTAGTGAAAACATCAGCCCATTCGATGATACGAAGCTCAGTACCTCAGGCTACAAACATAAGAAACGTGTTCGTTATAGTACTGATGATACTAAGCATGGTGAATATCAGTATGAAGATGCGAAGCATGGTGTATATCAATATGAAGATACGAAGCATGGTGAACATTATTATGAAGATACGAAGCATGGTAAGTATCAATATGCAGATACGAAGCGGCCGAACACGACTCAGGGCGACTATGACTATGATGATATGAGGCCTAATACCTCTGGCTACTATGATACGAAGCCTAGTAGACATGGTACTGAAGATACGAACCTTCGTGGCTACTATGATGAAGATATGAAGCCTGGTATCACTAGCTACTATGACACGAAGCCTAGTAGGCACAGTAATGAAGATACGAAGCATAGTAGCTACCATGATGAAGATATGAAGCCTAGCTGCTACAGTAATGAGGATATAAAGCCAAGTACATCATATGAAGATACGATGTCTAACTATTATGATGAATATACCACTCATGGTGATTACCACTATGATGATACGAAGCATGGTACGTACTATGATGATGATACCGCCCATGAAGATTACCAGTATGACACGAAGCATAGTAGATCCGAGTACTGGAAAAACTACATGTTAAACACGTACGGCTACACGGTTGAGGACGATGAAGAGAAGAAGAAGCGATTCAAGGAGTACTTGAAGCAGAGAAGAGAAGGCAAGACATCGTTGGCCAAGAAATTGAAAAAATAAAGGTAGATAACATCTAGTTTGACATTTTTTGAATTGTAAAGAAAGTTTTTGCCATTTTTTGTTTTTTAAAGAAAGTTCTTGCCATTTTTTGTTTTGTAAAGAAAGTTCTTGCCATTTTGAGTTTTGTAAAGAAAGTTCTTGCCATTTTTCGTACTGTAAAGAAAGTTCTTGCCATTTTTGTTTTGGAAAGAACGTTTTTGCAATTTCTTGGTTTGTAAAGAAAGTTCTTGCCTTTTCTTGTCTTGTAAAGAAAGTTCTTGTCATTTTTCATCCTGTAAAGAAAGTTTTTGCCATTTCCGAAAAAAACAACTGATTTCGGTTTCTGCACCCTGCGGGTGACAATTTATACGATGAATATGAAAAATGTGTCATTTTTTGTTTTGTAAAGAAAGTTCTTGCCTTTTTTTTATCAGGAAATAAAGCCCTTGATGTTTTTCACTTTGTAAAGAAAGTTCTTGTCATATTTCAAGTTGTAAAGAAAGTTATTGCAATTTTTCGTTTTGTAAAGAAAGTTATTGCCATTTTTTACTCTGTAAAGAAAGTTTTTTCTCTTTTTTCATTTTGTAAAATTATTTGTCTTTCATTTACTACTGCCATATATACTTCTTTGATAATGCGAAGTAAACTGTGTATATACTATGTTTCTTACCTTTACTGTAATTTGTATATTACTGTGTAATATAAACCTAATTTGCTAGTTTGTAGAGGATTTTTGGTTTTGTAAAGAAAGTTCTTGCCATTTCTTGCTTTGTAAAGAAAGTTCTTGCTATTTTTTGTTTTGTAAAGAAAGTTCTTGCCATTTTTCATTTTTTAGCAATGTTCCTGCCCTATCAATCAACACAATCCCAATTTAAAAATATAACAACTAATTTATTTTAAAAATTTGAGTACAAAAACAAAAAAATATGATAATAAATTAAGAGAGTGAATAGAGAAAAAGTGGAAAACGAACAAAATACTTGGTATTTGTACTTGAATATTAATAAAACAACCAAAACACAGGGGATATGTATATGAAAAAGCGAAATGCTCTTGAAAAAAGTTGTAAAAGGGACAAAAATCACTCAACCGGTCCAAAAGTCCTTGGAAGTCCATAAAAACTCATAAAATCGGGGCGAAGAATCACCGGACTGATTCACAAAATTAAAAAAAGCCCTCTGAAATCCAAAAAAAGTTTTCTGACCGGTCTAAAAGTGCTTAGAAAGCCAAAAACCTGTTTAAATCGGCTCAAATATTTCCCGGACCGATTCACAAAATCTTCAAAAAGTCCTTTAAAACTTATCAAAAATTTTTCTGAACGGTCCAAAAGTCCGTAGAAACTCTTAAAACCCTCAAAGATTATTACAAAACAGCCAATATGGCCATTTTTCAATTCAAACTTCGAAAAAATGAAAAAAATCCAAAATTATTAATTTGTTCAAAAAATTCTACACCCTTAACCCTAAAATTTTACTTTGAGATGGGGCTCAAAACTTTTTGAACAACCTAATATACATTTAAAAACCCTAATACAATCAAAAAAGGCCGTAGTCACCGTACAATTCGACAAATATATAAACTGACATAGAAAATATGATGATATATCAACTAAACTAGAAAATATGATGATATATCAACTGAAATACAAAATATGATAAGATAACAACCGAAAATGGCACTGAAGAGGTACCACCGTTCTATACACAACTCAGATATACAATTTTTACACTCGGAAATAGAAAACCGACACAAAATATAGGCACATATGAACCATAATAACAAAAACAGAACCCAAAATAGGTTATGAAACATCGTTGAAAAATGAAAAAATTTCAAAAAATCGATCATTTTCTGATCAAAAACACCTCAAAATCTATAAACCAGTCATTATTGAGTCAAAAAGACCCAAAAATCTATAAAATCAGTGATTATTGAGTCAAAAAATACCTAAAATTCTACAAAATCGATCATTTTCAACTCAAAAAAGACCCAAAATCTATAAAATCAATCACTTTAAGACCAAAAATCTAGAAAACCAGTCATTTTAAACCAAAGCAGACCCAAAATTCTACAAAATCAGTCATTTTTCAAGCAAAAAAATCTCAAAAATGATCATAATCTGCCATTCTTTGTCGTCTACTTCTTGGACTTGGAGCCTTTTCGTTCTCTTTCGGCCGCCAATACGTCTTTCCTCCTTGATTCGTAGGCTTCGACTTCCAGGTCGTCCAAGTAATCGTCTGGACGCGCTCTCCAGTGAGTGAACGAACTGGAAATGATCGATTTAGACAAAATTTTAAAAAAACGCTAAATGAAAAAAAAAATTCAAAAAATTTCAAAAAAAAAAATTTTTTTTACCCCGCCCCACTTAAAAAACCCAATTTTAACCCACTTCCCCTAAAAAATAAGAAAAAACCAACATCCGTCCCCCATCATGTGGTATAATATATTGTTTATGATCATTAGCGTCTATGATGACCCAAATATATATTTTAGGTAACAAATTTTCAAAAACTTCTGCCATATTACCTAATATAATAACATAACAAGATCGCCTTAGAGAAACTGCAAGAAATCGTATTACGTAACGTCTTCTTATGTAATTTTATGGCCTTATACAATATTTGCCTCGGTGTAAAACGACCCAACAAATGACTGCGAGTGCTGGGATTTGGCTCTATTTTTCCGCGGGGGATCACACTTTATGTGTCATAACTTTTTTATATGAAATTAATCGCTTACAAGTCCCCTAGTACTACACTAGCTGCTAAGCCTAAGATTTCTAAGCCTAAGTCTACTAAGCATAAGCCTAAGCCTATTAAGCTTAACCTACTAAGCCTAAGCCTACAAAGCCTAATCCTACTAAGCATAAGACTATTAAGCCTACTAACCCTAAGCCTACTAAGCCTAAGTCTACTAAGCCTAAGACTATTAAGCCTAAAACTATTAAGCCTAAACCTACTAAGCCTAAGACTACTAAGCCTAAACCTACTAAGCCTAAATCTAATAAGCCTAAAAGCCCACTAAGCCTCAGCCTACTAAACCTCATCCTTGTCATAAATAACCCCCTCATTTGTTAAAAACTCTCTTACCTATACTTTTCTGGTTTCGTGAAGTTAGTGTGTAGCAATGACCAGGCCCTCTCCTCTTCCGATTCCAACGCTGCTTTCACGAATTCTGCCTTCATGAGTGGTGGGAACAGATAATCGACCGTTTCCATGGCCATTGATGAATACGACGAGACGTATCCAATCTTGTCGGCTCGTTTCAGCTTGCCTTCTGGATTGATGATAAGGATTCTTTCGAGTGGGATTCCAGCTGCTACGTACGACTTGACGTCGGTTTCACGGTTACCGAATCCAGCGTAGAATGGCTGTTTTACTGGGAATAAGTTCTTCAAATCAGTCAGACAGGCGATCTTGAACTCTTCCGGTTTACGTTCTATCACTTCTCTGGAAAAAATGAAATTATTTTTGAAATAAAAGGCGAAAACTAAAAACTCAATTTTTCGTGCCAGGACCTAATTTTTTTACTGTAAAAACAGAAATTATAATATTTTACCGAAACTTAAAAAAAATGCTTTCATGTGCATAATAAGCTCTATTTCAACAGAAAAAGCAAGGATTTCCCCAAAAAATCAAAAATCAAGTTTTCGTGTCGGGACCCATTTTCATTTTAAAATTAGTAAGTCGTACTAAAAATGAAAATCAGGCTTTAATTTGTACAATAAACCCCATATCAATATAAAAGGTAAAAATTCCCTCGAAAAATCAAGTTTTCGTGCCGGGACCCAACTCTCACTCCAAAACCAGTCATAAAACAGAAAAATCACCCCTGCCAAACTCATGACCACACACTGCTGTCCCTTTTCAACCTTATATTCAAACACAAAACCACCTACTTCCTAAAAGCCATCAGAACGCTAGTTGGCGACAAGAGGACTGGGCCATCCGGTAGCATTTTCGAGCCTTGGGCGATGCTTTGTAGGTATGTTTTGGTGTAATGTGATTGCCCGATGGCTCTTGATGACAAATAGACCATTCTGTAGCCGTTGGTCTTGATTCGTGTGTAGAGTTCGGCTACACCGGCGTGGGCCCAGGTTCCGCCGATGGCTGGGATGACATGGCCTAGGACGTCGGAGCGAGTGATTGTGCCGTCGATATCGGAGATGACGAGGCGTTCGGACCACTTTAGGAGGTAAATGTGACATGAACACCAGGCGGTGCCCTGGAAAATGGAGGGTAAAACGGAAAATAGAGGGTAAGTCCCTTGCCCCAAAAAACCACCCCTCCTCCCTCTAAAAAAGAGCCTTCCTCCCTTACCTGAAACTTCGTAGTAATTGAGAATCGAGCCTCATTCGATCCGTATTCCAGGCCAAACTTCTTCAACTTCTCCGACTCTAACCTCAACGTTCGTTTGAATCTGACCGGTCGGCCGTCAGCGTTGGGGGAGGTGCCATAAAAGTATTCGGCCACTTCCTCATCGCCCGAACTCATGTCACTGCCGATGGAGGTGCCACTAATGCTTCGTTGTTTCGTGGGCGTGGTTTCTAGGTCTTTGTGGTCCTTCTCTAGGTCTTGGGCTAGGGACTTTTGGGCTTGTTCGGCTTGGGGAGTGTCGGGCTCGGTGTTGGGGGTGGCTAGCAGCTCTTTTTCGATTATCTCCTCCTTTTTCAACGCTTTTTTGATTTCTTGGTTTGTCATTGTCTAAAAAATTCGAAAAAGTTAAAAAGTTTCAAAAAAATTTTCACAATTTAAAAATCAATAAAAAATGTGACATTTCGTCCTAATTAAACAAAAAACCATATAACTCATAAAAACACATTTAAAGCCCATAACTAATCATTTTTCATCAACAAACCCAAGAAAAACCAACAAATTTTAAAACTGACGAAATGTAAACTGATTGTGACATTTCGTCAACTTTTCAATTCCAACCCCAATCCTCACAAAATTAAAAACTACAAAAAAATGTCGACTCACATGCTTCTTTTTCGCCTCTTGACTAGTCGACGCCGTTGTTGGACAACCGTTTTCATCGACCAAGCTCTCCATCGACATTCCCATTGGGCTAGCTGGAGAAGTGGCGGTGCTCACACCTTGGCCTGAATCCACTCCTGAAGCTTGTGACGAAGCGCATGATGTACCAAAGTATTTTTCTAATTTAGATGGGTCCATCTGCGAGCCATTTTCGATTAGGGCGCTTAGTGGTACACCTTCTTCCTCTTTCTGGTCGTCTGGGGCTCTTGAGCGCCAACGGAACCAGCTCCAGCCTCCGGGTTTTTGCTAAAAAAATTATATTAGTAAAAAAATGTTTATATATCCAATTTTCAGTATTAAAAACAATATATTTTTCAAAATTTAGAAAAAATGTGACATTTCGTCTAATTTTTGAAAAATCAATAATTTTTGTGGCATTTCGTAAAATCTTCCAAAAATCAAATTTTTCATCATAGTAACTGTTTTAACCTCTAATTCACAAATATTTTTTTTATTTTTACAGTAAATCCCTTCAAAATGTGACATTTCGTTCTCTTTCCTCCAAAAAACCAATAAATTTTTTGACATTTTGTCAAAAATTGAAAACTCTCAAATCTAAAAACATACCTCTTCTTTATCCTTTTTTCGACCACTTTTTTCCTGTGACTTCTTCGTTTCCGGGTATTCTCCCCACTTCCATTCCGGATCGTTGTGGACATCGTAGCGTTGACGGTCGATTTCCGAGTCTGACAGTGCGCCATCCGCAATATCCGATATGGGGCGTTGTGAAGACGACATGTTAGTGTCGTCGCCGTCAGAATCGGAATCATCAATGTACATTTTAGTGCGTTCTAGTTGTTCTCTTCGGGCTTTTTCTTGTTCTTCTTCCGATTGAACTGGCAAAATAGCCGATTTGGAGTGGGAAATCGCTCTATAAATGATAGTTTAGGTAATATATTAATTAAAAAATCTATGTATATACGTTACCAAGACACTATTCTTTCTATTCCAACCTAAAAGACTATAAATTTGAGTTCTACCTCTTCTAGAACAAAAAACATATGTTACACTACCTATCTTGACCCCAACACCTAAACTGAATCAAAAACAATATTAAATGTCAAAAGTTTTAACCGTGATTAATATCACACATCCATAATACCCTACTCCTTCTATTAAAACACCCCCTCAAACCAAAAAACACCCCTAACCCTTCATCAACAATCAAAAACCTATATTACACTACCCAAACCTTACCGATTGTTCATTTCGACAGCATTTCGGTCGATATTGCCAAAAGTCAGCTTTCTCTTGTGGCCACTCTTCTTTGGCGATGATTTTTGACTTGATTCCTCTTCACGATTCTGGGCAATGAACGATAGATCCGGGAGAGATCGGTATTTTCGGCATGAGAAGATGGAGCTTGAGAAGGGAAGGCGCTTCTTTGGGTTGATATCTTCTTGGGCTGGGAAGAACTGTTTCTTTGGTGTTGAATCTTGTTTTTTGCTTCTGAAAAGTATTGTTTTAGGCTTTGAAGATTAGCTAAAACTTAGAAAATGAGAATTTTTTAAATTTTCGGCCTTTTAAAAAGTTTTGTCGTAATTTTATTAACTTTTTCAGCATAAAAAACGAAAAAAACTTTTAGCCAACCTAACAAATCATTTTCCTTACTTTTCCCCCTTCCCAGCTCGTTTCCTCGTCCTTCTTGGCTGTGGCTTCACCTCTCTTTGTTGTTTTACCTCTGCTCGACCGGTCGGTTTGTTTTCTGCCTCACTTTCACTCGTAACTGGCAATGGAGACGTGGCCAAGTATTCTGGAAGGTCTTCTGTGTCCTCAACTTCTTCCACGAAGAAACAAACCCCATTATCGCCCAACTTCATCTTGATGTTGGCTATGTCACTGCCATTGATTTGAATATCGACAAACTTCTCGTCGCTGTTGAACACTGACAGCTTACCAAATCTGACGTGAAACGGTGTAGATAGTAATGAGCCGTCTGGTTGTTCAACTACTATCACATCAATGGCTCCTAAAATGATTTTTTTATTGAAATATTTAAAAAATCTATTTTTCAAACCTCAAACCTAAACATATACCTAAAACAAGGTCTTTTTCACCAAAATAGCCCAAAAATCAAATATCAAAACCTTATAATACTAAAATGATATGCTTATCAATCAAAAAATACGTCATCATCAAGATTTTATAAAAATATCTCAAATTTTAATCGACCAAAGCCCAAGCCTTCAAAAGCTCTAATCCAGTACAATTTGATGTATAATATCGCACTGAAATAAAAATTTACAACCAAGTTACTTTTAAAACATTGGCTGTAATGTGTAGTCACCGTGCTTAATGTTTTAAAAGATTTCATTGACCTTTACTATTCAAAAGTTCAACTTTTCTTCATTTTTATATTGTACTTGGTATTTTTTTATCGTTTTAGGCCGTTAAAAATTTTTGAGCGGTCATTTTTATTTAAAATCATTTTTGAAACGTCAATTAGAATGCTAATTTAATGTTTTAAAAATGTCTTTGCTTTCCATAAGAATTGGCTTCAAAAACTTAAAAATTCAGCAAGATACCAAATCAAGTCATGTATAACATAAATTTTAGTCATTTCCCTCAACTTTTTAAAAATCTTATTATTTTAACAACCAAAAACAACATTCTAAGCCTACTCTTAATATTTAAAATCCAACATTTCGTCTTCAAACACCATGTTCAACCTAAAACTTGAAAAAACAAAGTAAAACACCTACCTGATAATGTAGCCGGGTTCATTGAATTGTAAAAGTACTTGAAGTTGTTGAATATCGTGTACACGTAATCCATTGTGCCTGTATTTTATGTGTTCAGTCAATAAATAATCCGAAACGCCTGAAATTCCAAAAAATAGTTACCTTAACATCAAAAAACCACGATAATCGCTCGAACAACATAAAATTTTAAAACTTCACATAATTTTTGAATATAAAACAATTGGAAATCAAAAATAAGTAACAAAATATAATATCAATAAGTAAAAAGCCCCGCTCCACATTAAAAACATAAACATCTTCTCTTCAAACGATTTTCCTCTCGAAGCAAGGAAGAATCCCCATGAATAATATCGGATATCCGTCTGAAAAACCTCATAAACACACTCGCCTCGATAATGATATTATTGTAAACGACAAACTTTGCGGATATGTTGTTCTCTTCGGATATTTTTCTCTTTTCGCAAATTTCGAAAGGAAAAATAAAAAAAAACTCGCGGAACTTTGACCTTTCAGCTGATTCCCCAGCTGTGATCCCGCCCGAAATTCATACTTCCAAGGTGTGTTGTTACAACATAAAACATTAGAGAACATCTTGCGATAGTTAATCTTGCTTTTTACAACGTTTTTCTAAGTTAAAAATTGTTTTATATTATCCATGAGGTTTTTAGCAGATATGATGCTCAAACTTTTTAATTTGCGAAGAACTTTAGGGCAAGACACTACAGGGTTATACACAACTAAAAAGTAAAGATTCTAAGCTACCTTTTGATATATAAATTAACCAGTTTTGATATCAAAAAGCATACGAAATAGCCAATATGACTCATAACACTAAACTATCGTCAAAACCTTTTCCTTCTAATGAAATTCCAAAAATTTCAAAACATTTTCAAATCTCAAAGCACGAAAAATGTTTGTTGTTCAAAACAAACAATAAATACGTCACATGGATCACATTTGCAGCGTTTTAATATCTAAAAACATAACAAAACAACAAAAAAGACATTACCAATTGAATATGAACGTCAATATTGTGAGAAGACCCTTTTGAACATCGAATAAAATATTTAGAACGCTGAAACCAGTTTTATGGAACCACAAAAAAGGAAATTGAGTCGGTTTACAGTGTAATAATATTGTTTTCTAATCCTTTGGAACAATTATTTGTCCATAAAAATAAGAGGGAGAGTTGGCCCATAAATAATAAATTTTTGAGCCAAGTTTTGCTTTTTGTCCGAATGTGAGTGAGGAGATTAGAGATGCATGTAACTTTTGACAGAACCGATGAAAATAAACAATTTTTGGGAAAAAGATGCCAAAGATACCATTTATTAAAACTGTCTTTTAAATTTTTAAAAATATTAAGTTTTTCATGAGTTATAAGCGAAAATATTGACCAAAACGCTAATTTTTAGTGTACTGATGTCATTTAAAATGTTATAACTTTTGAACCGCTAAGTAAAATAATGTAAAAACTTGGCGAAAGATGTAAAATACGTTGTGTAATTCCAATGGTAAGTATATTTTTTCGAAATTTTTAAATTTCAAAAGATATGGTTTAAAATAATATCAAAATTTGATTTTTTCGAACAAGATTTGTCAAAACAGATATCAAAACCAACCAACATTTATAAAAAAGGCTTTAAAATGTCAGCTAATCATCTATTCTTAACGTTATCAACAAAAAAGTCCAATATGAAACATTACTTTTCAAGATACGAAGCCCCAACCAACCCCTACAACAACATCAGAAGCAAAACTAAGCCTCTCCCGTTAACAACCCCAAAGAATCAGCCCTTTAAGGGAAGCGCTTTCAATTTATTTTTTGTTGAAAAAGCGGGGAAATTCCCTGGTTATACGATGATTATTATCGTATGTTTGACACAATATACAGATGATAACATAACTTAACATTCCACGAAAAACGCCTTGGATGGGTAAGATTGGGGAAGAATCGACCGGGAATTTCCGTCTATGGGTTGGTAATGTTTGTTTGTTACAACGTGACAGCAAAGAATATCGTATCTGGGAGAAACTTTGAGAGTAGTGATAAGATATTGGGGGTTTGTGCTTGGAAATAGGCTTAACGTTGTTTATAAAAGTGATTAATAGTTCAGTATAGCTTTAATGGATAATGGGTCTAGCAAGAAAAAGGTAACATATGTACTGTAGATCGTATAATTTGGTACTAAAAGTAGTCTAGATAGTACTAACTGGTAATAGAGGTACTGGAACTACAATTATAAAAAAGAGTACTAAAGATACTGTAGGTAGTATCAAGCAGTACAAGAGATACTGTAACTAGTATGAACTAGTACTACAGATACTGAAAATAGTATCAGATAGTACTATAGATACTATAAGTAGTATGAAGTAGTACAAGAGATACCGTAGCTACTAAAACATTGTATTGAAGATACTACGAGTAGTATCTAGTAGTACCGTAGATACTGTAACTAGTATCAAATAGTACTACCGATACTAAAGATAGTATCATATAGTACTACAGATACTGTGACTAGCATGAAGTAGTACTAAAAGCACTATAAGAAGTATCAAGTAGTACTAGAGATACCGTGACTAGTAGCATCTAGTACTACATATAGTGAAAATAGTATCAAATAGTACTATGTACTCCCCTACCCTCCATATCCCCCCCCCCCCTTAAAAAATTACAAAAAAAATTAATTTAAAAACCATTGATCAACTGATTGAATTAGCCTTAAGAGGTGTTCGGAAGAACTCACGTTCACGAGTCTTAAAACTCGACAGACTTTCAATTTGTTTTTCGAAATTCGAAAAAGCAGTCCATTCTTTGATGAAACAATAAGTGCACTTTGACCCCTGTTAACGTTCGAAAAGCCCCTATTATGAATTGTGTTTTCCAAAAACCGGAGTTCCTATCGGGCTTTTTGATAACAAATTCATAGTTTGAAATCACTGTGAATTTGCGAGGAAAGTCAGTGTAAAATTACGGTTAAGCTATGGCTGCGGCTACTGAAGCCTTAGTCTAACCCCAGCCTGTGCTTCATGACTAGCCCTACCTTTAGCCCTGACCTCGGACCATCTTAGGCCGCTAAAACATAACTAATAATAAAGTGTTATAACGTAACATTTCCAAAGGCATACATATACTATAAAATCAATGTCCCAGTCTACTCCTAACCCCCTCTAAAACATCTTATAAAGATCACCTGTCGCCCATCTGTGTCTTTCAATAAAAACAGCCCAATTTGACCTTGTCTTTGTCTAAAATACCCACAATATATGATGCTTGTTTATCCGAAGGGAAAACTTTGTCACGTTGAGTATTAAAAAATGTGTTGTTTTTTTGGTAAACAATCCGCTGGAAATCGTTTTAAACACCAAAGATCGATGTTACTGCAGCATGATTACTACGCAAAGCTAATGAGTTTGTTATCAGTGCGATTGCTTACAAATTAAGCTTAACGTTAGGGGGTTAATCAATTAGAAAAGCAATATATATGTAGACACGGTTTTTGAGGCTTAAACCTTAACTAAAAATGAGTAAAAAACATTTGTTGTAGATATGTAGTAACAGACAAGCTTAACGGTATTGTAAGTAGCGTATACTAAAACTAAAAAGGCGGTACGCAAAATAATACAGGTAGTATAGAACATTAATAAAAGTACTAAAAGTATTTTAAAGTCGTAGTCAAGATACTTAGGTAAAAAATAGCACTAAAAATGATAAGAGTAGTACAACATAATACTAGATAATATCAAGTATATTATACTTTTAGGCCTCAGGTTAAGCCTAGAGCTACAGTAAGCTCGGGCTAAGCATATACCTAGCGTTAAAAAAAAGCTTATAAGCCTATGCCTATGCCTAAGCCTAAGCCTCAGCCAAAAGTTAAGATTAATCCCAAGGCAAATTACAGCATAATCCCAATATCACCACCCTTCTAACATCATAGTTAAAATACCCTACCCCACTGTAAACATACGATACCACAAATTTTAATTAAATTAATGAATACAACTACACATCCCAAATTGCTAAACAAATATAACACACGATCGAACATCAAAAAAACAGCTTTAAATTGCAAATCCCGTGTTACACAGAGTAAATGGGTCAGTAGAAGGGATTATAATATTATGTTAGATCAGGCGGAAAGTTTTGTTTTTATAACAATATACTACTGGCAGGGTAGTAACTACTATTAGACCAAGAATAGGAGAATAAAGAGTGTAGAGGGTGGTAAACATTTTTTTTGTGGGGCGTGGTAAAAAATATTATTTTTCTTGTAGGGCGGGGTAAAAAATATAATTTTTCTTGTAGGGCGGGGTAAGAAATCTAATTTTTCTTATAGGACGGGGTAAAAAATATAATTTTTCTCATCGGGCGGGGTAAAAAACATAATTTTTCTTGTAGAACGGGGTAAAAAATATAATTTTTCTCATCGGGCGGGGTAAAAAACAATTTTTCTTGTAGGAAGGGGTAAAAAATATAATTTTTCTTATAGGGCGAGGTAAAAAATATAATTTTTCATGCAAGGCAGGGTAAAAAAATAAAAATTTTAAATTTTAAAATAAAAAAATTTTTAGGTTTAGAAATGTTCAAACTTCTGAAAACTAACATAAGAACCCCTTCCAGCTACTTTAAGAATCCGAGAAACCCCAAAAACATGGAGTTCTGAGTGCTTTTTTCTCGGTTTTAAGCGCTCGTCATGAGGTCGAGCCATTTCGAAAAGTGTCCTTTAGGCACCACAAAAAAACAAGAAAACAAACACCACAATCAGAAAAAGACATTCTCGGATGGCTTACAATTTTAACTTAAAATTTAACTCAAAAAAAATTTTAAGCTATAGCAATGGCTAAAGCCAATGTAATTCTACGGCTGAAGCTCAAAACCAAGGCTAAGCTTAGACTAGGCTAGAGCTTAATCTAAAACTTAAATTAACACCTAAACTAAGGCTAGAGTTAACGTTAGGACTAAAACTAAGGCTAACCCGAGAACTTAAGTAAGAGCAAACGCGGCTACAATTAAGCCTAATCCTAATCCTAAGCCTCAGCCCCAACCTAAAGCTAAGCCTAAGCCTCAGCCCCAACCTAAACCTAAGCCTAAGCCTAAACTTCAACTTAAGCCTAAGCCTATACCTAAGCCGAAACTTAAGCCTAAAAATAAGCCTAAAACTTAGACTAGACTTCAGACTAAAGCTAAACCAGAAATCAATTTTCAATTCCAAACTATTCTATATGAATCATAATGACGTCAAGAAGAGAAAGCGCGTGGATATCGAGTTCTCAAGTTGACCGTGAGTTCCTTTCGACAACGTGACAACTCAAAGGGCGTTGAGATCTAAGTAAAAAATTCGAAACAGCGACTTTTATGACAACTTGACATATTATCTTTAAAAAATTTCCTCCCACCTCTCCCCCTCTTAAGCTTAAAATAGCGCCTAATACTTACACGATTCATTGACATATACAAGCTAGTACTACCCTTTTCCTTAATATACAAGCTATTACTATCATATCCTCTCCCCTTGATATACAAGCTAGCAGGGACGTCGTTTGGGGGAAGGGGTGGTTCGGGGTGACTCCCCCCAGAGCCGATCCGAAAAAAAAATCCACAGGTACCTGTACGTGAAAAAAACAAAAAAAAATTTTTTCGAAAAATCGGTCCACAGGTCTCCTGGGGACCAAAACATTTTTTTGGGCCTCCACCCCCCCCTCAGAGAAAAATCGTAGCGACGTCCCTGCAAGCTAGTACTACCACGCCCACCCTGATATACAAGCTTGTACTACACTTCACCCTCTCCTTGATGATATACAAGCTAGTACTACCACCTTCCCCTAATTTACAAGCTAATACTACCGTGCCCACTACCCGATACATAAATTAGTAATACCATGCCCCCTCTTATTATTATACAAGCTAGTCCTACCATGCCCGCGACCTGTTCAAACAAGCCTTAAAACCTTGTTACGAATAAAAAGTCGCCTTCAAAACAAACTTAAATCCCATCCCAAAAAACGTTTCGAAAATTTTTTGTCTGGAAAGTATTTATTTGCGTAAAAAGTTCGGCGCCACGTGAGGAATTCCCCCTCCCTTTTCCGAATATTGTTATTGCCTCTCTTTCGGAACGACTTAAAAACCTCCTTGGCTGGTAACACGTGGTATGACAAAATAATTTCTTAGATTCTGACTTTTTCAATCGTCACGCCTTTTTTGACCTTACATTACGCTATTCTACCCTACCCTACTTTATCCTACCTTACCCTACCCGACCCTACCCTACCCTACCCTACTCTACCATACAATACCCTACCCTACCCTACCCTTCCCTACCCTTCCCTACCCTACCCTATAATATATAGTACTATAAGTACTGCAGGTACTATAATATGGTACTCAAAAGCTGAGAGTAATGCAAGGTAGTAGGAAAGATACTGTAAATCGTATCAGATAGCACTAGAATTACTGTAAGTATTATAAAATAGTACTACAGATAAGGTCAGAGAGGAGTGTAAGATAGTACTAGAGCCCCTATCCTATCTACAATACTCTACTCAATACCCTGCTTTGCCCTGCTCTATCCTACCCTATCTACCGTGTCATACCCTACCCTATCCTAACTTCAGTACTCTAACTGCTTTACCCTATTTTACCTACAATACCCTACCATACCCTCTTGCCGTACCAACCCTCTCTTACTTGTCCAAAAAAATTTTCTACACAGAAAAACGTGCCCAGCCCTAAAAAATTTTTTACCTGTCCTAAGAAACTTCACCGTCCTAAAAGCTCGCTACACCCTAACAATTTACCATACCGTAAAAAGTTATTTTGCTCGATTAAAAAAATTTAAAAACTTTCTAATCAATAACTCTTTACTACAGTTATCTTCCTTCTTTTACTCTGCAAAACCTTTTACTTTGTTCAGTAAAAAAGGTTATTGTGTTGAGTAAAAAGAACATTACAATCTTCGTAGTAAAGTAATGTTTTTTCGTGAAACTTCCAAAAGCAGAGAAAATCAAAGATTGCTTTCACAAACAAATAATAATGCTGCTAGGCTTATCATTTCAATGATAACACAAAACAAAATGTGTTATCGGTGTTCATTAATAAAACATATACAAATAGTGCTAGAGATGGTGTAGTGTGAGTAAATAAGTAGTAGTGGTACTGAAAGTAATATAACATAGTACTAAGAATACTGTAACTAGTAGAACATAGTACAAAGAATACTATAAGTAGTAAAACATAGTACTAAGAATACTGTAAGTAGTACATAGTACTAAGAATACTGTAACTAGTAGAACATAGTACAAAGAATACTATAAGTAGTACAACATAGTACTATAAATACTGTAAGTAGTACATAGTACTAAGAATACTGTAACTAGTAGCACATAGTACGAAGAATACTGTAAGTAGCACAACATTAGTACTAAAAATACTGTAAGTAATATAAAATAGTACTAAACATACCGGCAGTAGTATAAAATACTACTAATCATACCGTCAGTAGTATAAAATAGTATCAAAGGCAATGTAATATAGTACTATTGATAAGGTAAGTAGTATTCACTAATATTATACTGTAATTAGTAAAAAAAGTAATAATAAATACAGTAAGTACATCAAAATAGTGATAGTTATACTGTAAGTACTATAAAATGGTACCACAGATAATGAACCACCTATAATATAGTACTATGAATAATCTGAGTAGTATAAAGTGTACTAATAATATTGTATATTATAGTACTAGTAATACAGTATGTACTATAAAATAGCACTAATGATACCGACAGTATTATAAAGTAGTACTAAAAAGATTGCAAATAGTAAAAAATAGTATTAAAGCTACTGCATGTATATATTAACACATAGTACTAAAAAATACCATACTCCCCTCCCCCTTTCCTACAACATTAACATCAAAAACCGAACGCTTATTTACTCCCAGAAACAATTAAAAACCTCGTGGAGAATCATGCCATTAGCAAGTTAACTATTCAATGACTAAACTTGTTTCCAGCCGCTCGTTCTTCCGAATGGACTGATTAAAAGGAAATCAGACCATTTTTTAAATTAATGAAACAAATCAAAACACTGTCACAAAAGTAATGCACGATGAATACATGAGCAACGTAAAGACACAGAGCACAATGTTTTGTGACTTTGAGGACATAAAGTTAAAGGAATGACAATAACATAAGCTATAGTAAAGCAGGTTAAAGTAAGATTGGGTAGCGCATGACAAAGCAGAGTAGATTAGAGTACGGCAGACGGGTAGGGAAGGGCATGCCAGAACAGAATCGAGCAAGGCAGGATAGGGTTAGTAGGAAAGGGTAAAGTAGGGGTTGGTAAGATGGTACAGTGCAAGGCAAGGCGGGTAGAACAAAGAAAAACAAGGCAAGACACGACATGGCAGGGCAAGACATGGCAGGGCAAGACATGGCAGGGCAAGACAGAGCGAACCAGGGCAAGGCAAGGTAAGGTATGGCATGGTACGGTATAGTAGGGTAGGGTAAGGTGAAGTAGCGGTATGGTAGTGTAAGGTAGGGTAGAGGTAGGGGTAGGGGTAAGAGTAGGGGTAGGGTAAGGTAGGGTAGGGTAGTGTAAAGTAGGGTAGGGTTAAGATAGAGTAGGGTAGGGTAAAGTAGGGTAAAACAAGGTAGTTTAAAGGAAGGTAGTCCACCTCTTCCTCCCTCAAACCCCCCAAAAGTCCAAAAAAGAAAACGTTGTACCAGAGTTATACAGACGAGTACCAAATGACAAGTTAGTACAAGTCCGGTAAAATCTCCGCCAAGTCTTTCTTTGCACTTTCATTCAATCAACGACTCTCGTTTCCGAAGAATAAGTCGCCAAATAGACTAAAGTGCAATGATCGGAATCGAACCAACGGGCTTTCGCGCGAAAAGAAAGCCACTTCGCCACTGAACCAAAAGAACACATGGGAGAAAAGGGTGGTATAACGAAGAGATTCGTGTTTAACAAGGAAGGATTGGCTTGAGAATAAACTTTTTTTATTTTAAAATATTTTTCAAGAGTTTAAAATTGATTTTGAAGTCCTAATCTATAAATTCCACAAGAAAAGCTGAATTTGAAGACCCCAGAAGCGCAAAATTAAAGTTAAAAAAGTTACGGCGATAAATAATATACATAACAGAAAAAATACTAATTAAAATAACTACTTTTTAAGATTAAAAGCAATAAAATTTTGATATGCATCTATTTTCCACAGCCATTTTACAGTTGTAGTTAAAGAGATGGGGCAAGTTGATCGAAAACTAGCCATATCTTCTACAATCCTTTCAAATTGGCCAATTTACAGGTGCGCCACAAGTTCTGTTACACGGTTTACAATACCACATAGCGCTTTTTAATAAAAAAAATCTAAGCATGTCAACATAAAATTTAAATCTTATTTTTTGATCAACAAAATTGCGCCATAACATCCTGTCTCATCGGTAGAAAACTCTTGCGCCACTGGCACTCGTTTAAATTTAAAGATACCATTTATTAAACAAAACCCCTCGGGCTCGATTACGTACTGACCCACAAAGTTAGTATAGGCACATAAAAATACCACATAAATATCGGATCATGGCAAAGTAATCCTCACTTGACAACCTGTCAACCTGTGCTGCACTCGTACCACCAACCTTCTCCACGATTAATAAAAAATGTAAGTTTATAACAAAAATCATGTTATACTTGAATTTATATATACAAACAGCCCTGGTTTTGTTAAAATTTGTTAAAACAGTACTACTCTTACTAAAATAACATAAAAATCATTTTCTTTCTTTCTAGCTATTAAAATGGCCCCATCAATGAAGCCAGTCCGTCCAGCCGTTTCTGCCGGCAAGGGCAACATTATGCCACCAACGTGGGCGGTCCAAGCCTCCAAGACCAACACACCAGCCACATTTACCAGGCCAGTCCGGCCGGTACCAAGATCTGCCGGGAAGGGCATGCTAAGCCCACCAAACTGGGCCAAAACTCCGGAATCCCCAAAACCATTCACGTCTACAGAAGTGCCAGCCCAACCAACCGTTTTTGTAAGGCCAGTCCGGCCAGCCGTTTCTGCTGGCAAAGGCAACATTATGCCACCAACGTGGGCCGTCCCTACCTTCACAGCCGTTGCACCGGCCACCTTCACTAGGCTAGTACGGCCAGTACCACGATCGGCCGAAAAGGGCGTGCTAAGCCCGCCGAAATCAACCACAACTCCGGAATCCCCTCGACCATCCAAGTCAGAAGAGATGCCAGTCCAATCAATCGTCTTTACAAGGCCAGTCCGGCCAGTACCACGGTCAGCTGGCAAAGGAATGTTGCTACCGCCAACAGAAAACAACGAAACTGATAATGTAGCCAAGCCAGCCCAAGACAGGACATTACAAATAAAAGAAGAAGCTTCAGAAGAACCAAGCCAGCCTCGTCTTTTAATGAAGATTAAAAAACGGGACTGGAAGGCAGCTAAAAAAGCCGTTAAAAAAGAAAAGACAAAGCAGTCTAAACTGAAAGGCGTGGCGAAGAACAAGGTACAGAAGAAGACAAGACGGTCAAAGGCCTAAACAAAAAGCTCACAACATCTACAGGTTCAATAACAACAAAATCTTCAATTAAAACAACCAATTATTCATAATAATATTTAACATGGTCAATATTTAACCTATGTCACGAGAATAATCAATCTATTACCTTAATTGTACTAAATACCTCAACCATAAAGTTAAAATAAACAGAACAGTACAATAATCGGCAACTTCCTTTTTTAATAAACAAAGATCTCAGCAAAGACAATATCTTCATGTTAATATATCACGAAAATAAGTAAAGCAATGTGTAGCATCAACACATAGTTGAACATCAGCCAAAAAACAATCTTTAAAACTTTATTAGGTGAATGCAAATCAATAATCTCTTTATCCATCCAATCAGTAATCATTCCGAATCAAGAATCCTTGAAGTAGACATTCGAAGTCAGTTCCGACCGTTCCAACCCTATAAACTATCAGATATAACTTTAAATCCTCAAAAAGTTCGTGTCATGTCATATATAAACATATTTCAACTGTCCTGGCAAAAACCCGCTAAAAAAAGTGTAAAAATTTATGTTATCCAGAAATTATACCTAAAACTTATAAAAAATAACGTAAAACAACTTACTGAACTCAAATCGCCAAAATTAATATCGTCTGTCCGTTACTGTCTTCATATCCATCTTCAGAATCATAAGGGCCGTCAGAAACCAGCACCTCTGCAGTGAAATCAACCAAAAACGAAAAACCTAAAATCAGAAGAATTTGAAAGAATTAGATAACTCAAATTATTCCATATGTCGTGAACATTGTTTTAAATCCAAGAAGAGTTTATTGGGTATATCTGAAAATGATATATTATAATATTGTGTTAAAAAAGATTGAAAAACACGCAAAACTTTATATTACACTTGATATTGACGTTAAAAATAAAAAAACAATCGTTTTTCAAGAAAAATAACTAAGACGTAAAAAATTATAGTAAGATTAATATAAATTACATAGTTTTACCATTAAATAACATCTCAAACGTATTTTACATCTTCTCCAAGATTTTCGAAGAATTTTTGTTTAAATGGCTCATTTTTTGGACGAAACTGACGGAATTTTCAGAAAATTTATAAAATCTACCGCCAAAACTGCTTAAAACAGGTAATTTAGATAACATAATTTTAAAAACATGTTTTATTTAAGCTTTATGAACAATATAATGTAAAATACGATCTGTTTTTTAATATCTTTTTAAATTTTCTTTCCAAGAACTATATTATCCATGATTCATTTTTATTTGCCCGTAAGGTCAGTTACTTTCCATATTTTCAAAATGTGTTTTGGTATAAAATGATCTCGTCTTTTATTATATTTACTATTTTCTTTCCGTTATTATTATCTTATGTTATCCATGACATTGCAACTATAGGTAATGAAGGTTTTCATGTCCCAGAAGATGTTATACCTAATCTTGGTGGTTTAAATCGTTCTAAGAGATACAATGAGATCTACACTAGACGTAGGACGTATTCGGATGTTGTGAATGCTTCTAGCCGATATTATAGAGGCTTTACAGTGAGATGGTACTCAAAAGGTACTCAAGGAATGATAATAAGAGTTGGTATTGGTCGTCCTGGTAAGTTTTTATAGCCATATTTATACTCAAAATGAAGGTAATTTTATGGAGAATATAGTGACAGCCAGCTTTGGGAATTGTAAAGCGTTTTTACTAGAGTAATCAAGCGTTAAAGGCCTGAGATGTACGTTAATATTATAGTAAGGACATTTTCGATGCAAATACGTCTAGATACGAGATATATGTTTGTGTTTGATGTGAAATGCTTGGCAAGTACAAGATGTGGCAATGTTGAAAACCATCAACTTTACAATTCAAGGCTATCGTCCACAGCAAGGGACCTGAACTTACCCATGCAAGTATCTGATACTGCGATGGGTAACATTGTTGAGGATGAAGTTAGTGTAAGTTGAGGGTAGGGTATTTAATTTTCATTTCTTTTCCAGATAGAGCACTACCTAACCCTCAGGCATCAACTAGGCTCCGCCTTTAAATCGACCGAAGTAATCCATAGTGCTGAAGGCGTACTCGGTCTACAACAAGGTCCAAATCTTCAGAGCCCTTTTAACAATCTACTGCGACACGTTTCATCTCAACAATTTACTGTGTTAACTCAGAATGTAGGCTACTACAATGAAGTGATACGAAATTCAGGCAATATTGGTTATGTCAGTTTTGGTGAGACTGATGTTGTGAACTGTGGTAGAGACTATACTACTGTTCAAAGTGTGAATAGCAGTAGCTGGAATTTTAGAATTAACCGGTATATTGAAATTTTGCAGGTTTAATTATTTTTAAAATTTATTTTATCGATTCCGATATTTTCGTGACATTTCGTCACAAATCAATATTTTTTGTGGCATTTCGTTTAAATATTGAAAAACTTAAAAATTTGTAAAATACGATTTGTAACTTCTTAATTATGAAGTATCAAAAATAGTTTTAAAAATCCAATAATTTTTTTGGCATTTCGTTACAATTCAATATTTTTTGTGGCTTTTCGTCTAAAAATTAAAAAAACGTAAAATTGGTAAAATACGACGTTTATTAAAATAGCGTTCAATTGGTAACAAACTAATTTTACTAATCCAATAATTTGCGTGACACTCCATCAAAAAATCAATATTTTTTGTGACATTTCGTTGAAAGTGGAAAAATGATAATACTGCAAAGAATTATACCAAAAAAGTGATATTTTTTGTTATTTTTTACAATTTTTTTGGTTTTATTAAAGGTCGATAATTTTTGTGACATTTCGTCTCAAAATTCAATATAATTTGTGACATTTTGTCCAAATTTAAAAAATGGTAATTTTACAAACTTCTATGTTTAAAATTATGTTTATAATAAAATTTTCTCCAAAATTTTTTACCCGGTCAACAAGTTTTTTCCATTTCCAGCTTCCAAATGGCCGACTTCTATGACCAAAATGAGTATTTGGCTACAGTAGAGCCTTCAGAAGCGTATACACTGGTTCCACGCAAGATTCTGCTGCAAATTTTGAGCATAGTGAAAGCTAAGCCAGTGGCAAGTAATATTACAACATATACGGTGCATAGTACTGACAACTTGCCATTGATTCAGCTACAAGTTGGGTCATATGGGCTGGTTTGGGAGCCTAGGCATTACCTTATGGTAAGAAGCTAAAGTATAATTAAAAAAAATTTTTTTTGAAGTTGATTTTGAAATTTTAAATTGTGTTTTTGAAGTTTTAAGTCTAAGGTTTCCAGGGTAACCGGTTAGCGATGATGCTGAACCCCCATGATGGTGTTATGGGTTACCCCAGCTGGGTGTTTGGCAACAACTTTCTTAAGCAGTACTGTGTGGCGTTTCAGCCAAATCAACTGACATTTTCCAAAATATTTGGACTCCAAATACTATTCAAAATCAAAATTTCGAAAATTCAAATTTGGTACAAGTTGGTACTGTTTTATTGTTTTTTGCACTGTTGATGTTGTTTGAGTAAAGGATGACATTTTAGGTTTATGAGACATTTTTTATGGTCAAGTTGAAACTTATGAGCCCGAAGCCGTAGCCCAAAGCCTTAGCCCAGAACCCTAGCCTAGAGCCCTAGCCCGAAATCCTAGCCCTAGCTCAGAGCCCTAGCCCAGAGCCCTAACCCAGAGCCCTAGCCCAGAACCCTAGCCCAGAGCCCTAGCCCGAAATCCCAGCCCAGAGCCCTAGCCCAGAGCCCTAGCCCAGAGCATTAGTCCAGAGTCCTAGTACACATTCCTAGCCTAAAGCCCTCGCTCTACATAGCTGGAACAGGCCGGGCATTCTTTTCAGGCCCGGCCCAATCTAAATTTTGCTCAAGCCCGGCCCAAATTTTTTCTATGTGCAGGCGGGTTGGGCCCGTTCCTTATGTCTAGCCCTTGCCCAGAACTCCAGCTTAGAGCCCTCGCCCTAGCTTTAGCTTTACTTCTAAACCTAGCCTAGCTTTAAACTTATTTTCTTTTCCTAGCCTGGAGTCCTAATCTTTACTTATAAACCTAGCCTAGCTTGAGGCTTATTTTTAATACCTTTCTTTAGCCTTAATTCTGAACATAGCTACAGCTTTAGCTCCAGCCTTAATTCTAGACCTAGTTCTAGTTGTAAGGCTTATTTCTAATACCTAACTCTAGCCTAAACCCTAACTTTTTTAATTTTTACACATATTTTTAAAAATGTTTCTTATCCACCCCTCCTCCTTTCCCGCCCCGTTCCTCCCTTCCTGAAAAACATTGATAGCGAAATTCGAGGATCATTCCGGAAGCCGTACCTTCCTTCATCTGCATGTTTGTTTGAGTCGGTTGCGCGGAAAGTGGAAAAAAGTGAACAGACTGAAGAGACTGACCTCACCTCTGTTTCGGGCTCTCACCTCTGTTCTAACTGCACGCCTGCTATCTGTCGCACCAACTGCTCGTTCGGTTGGGTGCACTCTTTAAGCGCCTCGAGACATAGGTTTTGGTGATATGTTTCGTCAGCTCTAAGAGGTAATGTTCGCTATTCTGTTGGGCCAATGGATGGGTCGACGGAAACGGGCGGCCAACGAGGATGGGGCCATGGCCAACTCTATTTATAATACCCCGCCCTCGTCGCCGGAACCGCCAGATCGGGCCAAGTTGTCGTTGACGAATTCGTTCTCATCTGGGGACTTTTTTGATGCTAAGACGGTGTCGATTGAGGAGGTTGATGGTCGGGAGTTGAAGTCGGTTGAGGATGTTGATAGTGATAAGTTAGATTTGGTTGCTGAGCTTGGGAATGATAATCTGAAGCCAATTGATAAGGTTGGTAATGGTAACCTAGCTTCAGTTAAAGGTCTTGGTACTGATAACCTGAGTCCTATTGGAGATCTTGCTACTGATAACCTAAAGCCAATTAAAGAGCATGCTACTGGTAACCCAAGCCCAATTGAAGACCTTGATACTGATGACTTAACTTCAATTACAGACCTCTCTACTGATAACTTAGCTTCAGTTGAAGACCTCTCTACTGCTAACCTGAAGCCAATTGAAGGCCTTACTCATGATAACTTAACTTCAGTTACAGACCTTTCTATTGATAACTTAACTTCAGCTCACGACCTACCTACTGATAACTTAGCTACAGTTGAAGAAGTTGCCACTCATGAGCTGACTTCAATCGAAGACCTTACATCTGACAATTTACCTTCAATTAAAGACGAATTGCCGTCTGACTCATCTCTCTTACCATGTACTTTACACACACCTGACCCGACCCTTTCACTCGACTCGAATGAGCTGCTGGACCGTTCCTGCTCGATTACTTCCGAATTCCTAAAAACCGAAGATCTCAGTCTGTCGGCCATCGAGATGGCTCCAACTCTCCAGCTCTCGGTCACTGCTCTAATTAAAGATATTCTCCATCCCTTCGACAGCTTTTTGGAGGCTAATCCAGATGGACGGACTGTTTCGAATCCGTTCGGCGATTTTCAAAACGAACACACCGTTTTCGAAGTTTTGAATTCAATTTGTGAAAGAGTGGCACAAGTGGAGGAGTCGGGTCAAGTGGACGAAGCTAATAAGGAAGCGAATGGAGAAAGTAATGTAGAAGCTAATAGTGAAGCTAACAGAGACGCGCTTACAGAAGCTAATATAGAAGCTAATATGAATGGAAGTAGACGGGCTCCATCCAGCTTAGAGAGTGATATGACCGATATCAGCGAAAGTGATACCTCTGAGACGGTTTCGGATAGGTAAGGAGGGCAGGGTTTGTTTACTGATATGGCTTTTTCAGGTTTTTTAAAAATTTTGTTATATTTAAAAGGCAAAATAAAAAAAAATGTTTTTTTGAAAATTGAACGTTGAAATTTTAAAAACTTTTTTTTGTAAATCAACAGAAAGAAGAAAAGGGGGGGGGCCAAAATTAAATTTTCAAAAAAAAATTTTTTTTTTGGAAATTAACAGAGGGGACCACGTTCAAATTTTATGAAAATTACAAAAAAAAATTTTAAAGCGTGAAAAAAAGGGGGGGGGAGGACAATGAAATTTAAAAAATTTTTTTGTAATTTAACAGAAAGAGGAAAGGGGGGGGAGACAACTTTTCTATTCACTAACCACCAGAACCTAAAATAAATATTTTTTATCTTCAGCGAAGACTCAAGCGAGCTAGCCAAAAAACAACAAAAAAAGCGCCATTCAATAGGCGGTGCTGCTGATCGCTCAGCCTCACCAGTACGGCAGTTGGAACATGAAGTAGACCGACTGGACGACGATGGAAATTATATTCCAGAAGACGATCTGAACAGTGATCAAGATGAACTGTCCAGTCTGGACGAGCAGCAATCTTCAGTTGGCCGTGAATCATCGTTGGTGTGTGAGGAGCAAGAGTTTCCTGAGGTAAGCATTCAAAAATTTTTATTTGGTTCAGGTACTTAGCCGTAGTCTTACAAGGGACCTTTTCTTGTTAGCCCAGAGCCCTAGCTCAGAGCCCTAGCCCAGAGCCTTAGCTCAGAGCCCTAGCCCAGAGCCCTAGCCCAGAGCCCTAGCCCAGAGCCCTAGCCCAGAGCCCTAGCTCAGAGCCTTAGCCCAGAGCCCTAGCCCAGAGCCCTAGCTCAGAGCCCTAGCCCAGAGACCTAGTCCAGAGCCCTAGCAGTCCTAGCCCGAACCTTAAACTCACCCCTTGTCTTAGCTTTAGCACTATTCTTAGGTCTAGTCATGGCTAGCCTCAACCTTATCCATAGCCTTAGTCCTAATCATAGTTTTAGTTCTAGAATTTTGGCCTTAGACCTAGTCCTAGTCTTATTTTAGGTCTAGCTTTGTCTATGCCTTACCTTATTCCTAACCTTTGTTCTAGCCTTAGTTTTAGCTTAAAAGTCCGCACTACCCTTATCTCGAAACCTAGCCGTAGCCTTAGCTCGAACATTATATGACTTTTGTTCACTAGACTGACAACCCTCGCAGCACTAGTAATGACACTAATTCAAATATCACTTCAGGAACCCACCAATGAAGAAAATGCAGAAGAACAAGAAGACCCACATGACTACTGCAAAGGAGGGTATTATCCAGTTCAGATTGGCCAAGTGTTCAATGGAAGATACCATGTGATCAGGAAGGTCGGATGGGGCCATTTCTCGACAGTCTGGTTATGCTGGGACGTTAAGTCTTGCAGATTTGTGGCTTTAAAGATTGTCAAGTCAGCGGAAAACTACGCTGTATCAGCGGCTGATGAAATTACAGTAAGTCTTTGATTTTTTCGTTTGTTTTTTCAAATTTTAGGTAACAATAAAGATGGGTATAAAGTTATCATAAGAATATTGGTAGGGGAAAAGGTGGGATAGGAGGTCTAAGGCTGAAGCTAGGTCTAGGTCTAGGGCAAGCGCTAGAGAGCTGGGGCTGAAGGGGCAGCTGATGCTAAAGTTGGGACTGGAGCTGGAATTGGGGCTGGAGTTGAATCTGGGATTGATGCTGGGACTCGGACTGAGACTCCGGCTAAACTTGGGGTTGAAGCAGGGACTGAAACTAAGACTGGTCTAGGGCTAGGGCTGTGGTGGAAGCAGGTGCTAAAGCTGGGACTGAAGCTGGAACTGGGGCAGAAGTTGAAGCTGAAGCTGGGGCCGTATTTAACACTGGGCTGGGGATAAGGTTTGGGCTAGGACTGAAGCTGAGTCTCTCAAGGACTAAACTAAGACGCGGACGCGGCTGGATAGGACTGCCGCGGGAGCTTAAGCTAAAGCTGATGCTGAAGCTGACGTTGGAGCTGAAGCTGGGGCTAAAGTTGGGGCTGAAGCTAAGACTGGGCTAGGGCTTCGGGCTAAAGCTAGGGCTAGTAAAATGATAGGGGTAGGAATAAAAGAAATTTGTAATTTACTTTGCTTTTAGATATTAAGAGAATGTATGGACAAAGGCCCTCACCATGGCAAGAGTCGAGTGATCGAGTTTCTAGACAGCTTCAAAATCACCGGTGTGAACGGTGATCACACTTGTATGGTGTTCGAAGTGCTGGGCTGCACTCTACTCAAACTTATCATAGGCACAAATTACTCTGGCCTTATGTTGGAGCATGTCAGGGTAATCATCAAGCAAGTACTAGAAGGATTGTCATATCTACACGATGATTGCAACATTATTCACACTGACTTGAAACCGGAAAACGTTTTAGTCGAAATGACAGATTCAGAGATCCGCAAAATGGCTAGCGATACTATCGTCAAATTGAATTTAGGGCTAAAGCCTGATATTACTGAGGCTTGCAATATGGCTAAGGTAAGTAAAAGTGGCGTTTTGGGTTTCGTAAAGAAAGTTCTTGCTATTTTGTGTTTTGTAAAGAAAGTTATTGCCATTTTTTCCGTAAAGAAAGTTCTTGCCATTTTTTGAGTTGGAAAGTAAGTTCTTGCCAGTATTTATTCTTTAAAGAAAGTTCTTGCTATTCTTTGTTTTGTATAGAAAGTTTTTGCGATTTTTTGTTTTCTTAAGAAATCTCTTGCCATTTTTTATTTTGTAAAAAAATTTCTTGCCATTTTTTGTTTCGTAAAGAAAGTTTTTGCCAATTGAATTCTAATATTCTTGTTTTTAGCCGGTCGAGAAGAAAATGTCCAAAAACGCGAAGAAAAAGTTGAAAAAAAGGAAAAAGAAGCAACTTGAAAAGCAACAGAACGAGGATGAATGTCCAAACACTTCAAATAATGACGAATGTGAAGAGCTAGACGCATCTCCAAGTGAAGTCATCGAATCCTCAGCAATCTCAGATGACCTGATGAATGATGATCATTTGCCAATTCATACAACTGGAGACTGGTCCGACAATAAAAACGTAGAAAATGCAAATGAAAAAACAACAAAAAAGAAGAAAGTAAGCTTTTTTTAAACTGTAGGGCCGAAATTTCATTATTTTGATGTACTGAAAGGTTTAGAATATCGTAGAGAATACTTCAAAGTTTACGGTGCGGTAGAGCTTAAAGTACAGTAGGGCCTAATGTACGGTAGAGCCTAGGCTACGGCAAGGGCCTAAGGTACGGCAGGGGCTTAGGGTACGGCAAGGGCCTAAGGTACGGCAGGGGCCTAGGGCACGGCAGGGGCCTGGGGTAAGGTAGAGCCTAGGGTACGGCAGGGCTTAGGGTACCTGAGGGTCTAAGGTACTGTAGGGCCTAGAGTACGATAGGGCTTAGGGTACGGCAGGGCTTAAGATGCGGTAAAGCCTAGGGTTTGGTACGGCTTAGGGTACGGCAGGGCCTAGAGTACGGCAGAACGTAGGCTACGGTAGGCCTAGGGTACGGTAGGACCTAGGGTACGGCAGGGCTTAGGGTACGGCAGGGGCCTGGGGTAAGGTAGAGCCTAGGGTACGGCAGAGCTTAGGGTACAGCAAGGCTTAGGGTACGTGAAAGCATAGAGTACGGTACAGCTTAGCGTACAATAGAGTCTACTGTAAGGTAGGGATCAAAGCACTGTTAAGTCTAGCGTAGGGCAGTGGCTGGACTACGGTAGTGCTTAAAGCACTTGTGCCAATTTTTTAGCACTTACTTTCTTTTTCCATACTATGGCTCTCTTACTTCTGTGTGTTCTCTCTGAGCCCTGTGTATTGAATATAGCGTACTACTGTATAACATTTAGAAAAACAAAAGGAGTGGCAAAGACAAGGAACATGAAATAGAAAGCAATGAACAAAAAAGGAACGGGAAGCACCATCACGCTTTGTCTCATCTAATTGAAAACTGTTCATTTGATTTTACAAAAAGCGAAGAGCCAACGGAAGAGTTTGGAGACTTGCCTCCTCTCAAGGTGAAGATCGCCGACTTGGGAAATGCTTGTTGGACGGTAAGTTTGGGCAGGGTAAAGGGCGGAGTAATATCTTAAAAAGTTTTTTTGACATTTTTAAATGTAATCCTAACTAATTTGCATAAAAATTAAATTTTAAAAACTTTTCAGACTCAACACTTTACGTCAGAAATCCAAACAAGACAGTACCGTGCTCTTGAAGTCATCATTGGTGCAGGATACGATACGAGTGCTGACATCTGGAGTGTAGCTTGTATCGCTTTTGAATTGGCTACCGGTGATTACCTATTTGAGCCACATGGAGGAGAAACATATGGTAGAGATGAGGATCATCTTGCTCACATGATTGAACTCTTGGGTATCATACCACCTTCGATATTTAAGCGTGGAAAGTATTGGCAACAGTACTTTAACAAAGTAAGTGATTCTTAGCCGGACCTAATCCTAGATATAGCCCTAGCTCAGAGCTCTAGCCTAGAGCCCTAGCCGGAAGTCCTAGCCCGAAGCCCTAACTCTAGCCCAAAGTTCTAGCTCAGAGTCCTAGCCCCAGCCTAGAGCCCTAGCCCAGAGCCCTAGCCCAGAGCCCTAGCCCAGAGCCCTAGCCCAGAGCCCTAGCCCAGAGCCCTAGCCCAGAGCCCTAGCCCAGAGCCCTAGCCCGAAGCCCTAGCTCTAGCCCAGAGCTCTAGCCCAGAGCCCTAGCTCAGAGCCCTAGCTCAGAGGTCTAGCTCAGAGGTCTAGCTCGAAGCCTTGGTTCAGAGGTCTAGTCCTGAGCCCTAGCTTTAAGTCTAGCTGGGGGTGAGAAAGAAAGGGCCGGGCCCACTTTCAAGGCTTGGTTCAGATCCGAGGCTTAAAATTTAGGCCCGGCTCTCTTTCATTTTTTTTTCTCATGCCAGTCTAGCTCGCATAAAAAAATTCTAGGTTCGGTCCACACGGCTTGTTTTTCATCCTTAGACTTGGTCCTAGCTCTAGTTTTAGTCCTAGCTTTCAGTTTAAGTTCTAGTCCAGTCCTAGCTTTTGGCTCTAGTCTTATCCTAAGCTTATGCTCTATACTGCCCGCAAAAATTATTGACTATACCTATGACGTGACTAACGAGTTTTAGCAGTATTATTAATCTTAGCTTTACTAGCGCCCTTACTTCATGGCCCAGCTCTACATTTTCTCATGTCAGCCCTGGGCTGACTTTTGGCCCACCCGTTGCCCCTCGTTTGCTGTACCCATGCCCAACCTTTGTAATTATCAATATTGGATCAATTTTCAGTTTGGCGGTTTGTTGCACATCCCACACCTACGACCCTGGTCATTATACGAAGTTTTGGTCGAAAAGTATCAATGGCCTGAAAGACAAGCTCAAGGGTTTGCTGACTTTTTGCTGCCAATGTTGGAATTCGACCCAGCCAAGAGAATTCGAGCTACTGACGCTCTGAAACGTCCGTGGATTAACACACCGATCTCAGACGACGCCTCCTCTTATTCACCACAGGATAATGGCTTTTCGTCTCGGAAGTATTCGATCTAATATCATCGCGAGCAGTCGATAACCTTTATTTATTAATTGGCTTAAGTTGTACAAAGCAAATTGTAAATACAGAATTTTATTAGTTGTTTGGGTTCCTAATCGATTTATTTTAAAAGTAGCATGAACACTAGCAGGACCGGTCGGGGACTTTTGTTCTGGAGGCGGTGGTCGAAAAAATCGACACAGGTAGCTCCTGATCCACAGGGGGATCAAATTCAACTTTCATTGAAATTTTTTTTCTGCCCTAGCCCAGAGCCATTGCCCGAAACCCTAGTCAAAAGCCCGAAGCCCTAGCACAGAGCCCTAGCCCAGAGCCCTAGTACAGAGCCCAGAGCCTTAGCTCAGAGCCCAGAGCCCTAGCTCAGAGCCCAGCGCCCAAGTACAAAGCCCTAGCCCAGAGCCCTAGCCTACAGCCCTAGCCTTAGTGCTCCAGCCTAAAGCCCTACCTAAGAGTCTTAGCCAGAGCCATAGCTTTAGCTATAAATGGGAAACCGGCCGATTTATCTTTCGAGACCCGACTTGGGTCTGAGGTTCAAAGTATAGACTCGACCCGTTTTTATTTTTTTTTCAAGCCGGGCCGGCCCCAACAAAGGCTGTTGTTTGTACCAAATTGTTTAAAATTTTTAAATATTAGCCTAAATTAATTATAACATCAAGTCAATTACAGTTTTATTGCCAATTACATACAACAGAACGTTTCAAACTTTTTACACACACTTTAACAAAAAAAGGGGCTTTAAGTACAAGATAAACGATATTCTAACAAAATATACAACATGTGGTTTAAACAGTACTAAACACATTACTAGTACTAAAACATTTTAAATTTAACTTTAGTACAGTAATCCTTTTTAGTACTATTCAAAAAACAAAAATTTTAGTCCAAGCTATTATTAGTACTAGTAGTAGCAGAATCAGTACTATCATCTCGAAAAATAATATTAGTTTCACTAGGAATACTAGTGGTACCATTAACAATATCAGTGCTATTGGCTTTGGTAACGATAGAATTGATAGTACTATTGAAACCGTCAGAAGTACTTAGATCAGTATTTTCTGAAGTAACGGTAGTACCAGTAGTACTAGTTGTTAAGTTGGTACTGTTTTCTGTGGCATCAGTATTAAGTGTACTTAAATTTGTAGTATCAGTACTAAGGGCGGTTAGATTAGAGTTGTCGTTTGTAGTAGTAGTACTGTCATCAGTAGTACTAGTACTGTTGTCAGTAGTACTAGTACTGTCATCAGATGTATTAGTACTGTTGTCAGTAGAAAAATCAATAGTAGAGTTCCGTTCCGATTTCATTATTGAACTTGTATCGTTATCAACATCAATTACAGTAATATTAGTAATAGAGTTGAGAGTAAAATTTGATGCAGATTCCTCAACTAGTGCTTCTGGTACTGTTTCTGAGAAGGAGTTGGTAGAGTTCTCTAAATAACATGGTTATTTCACTTATAAGTAAGACTAGGGTAAGATAAAGAAAAAATTACTGTAACCTTTTTGTTACTGTATTAAATTAACTGAAATATGAGGGTACGATACTACTTTGTATGCTTAACACTTTCAGTAAATTTCATTGAAATAAAAGAAAAACGAAAAAAGTTATAGATCTTTGAAGCTCTTTGACCTAATGAACGTCTAGTGTAATATAATGAAGAATGCGTCATAACTTTTTTGCTAATCTACCAAATTTTGTAAAACTCTGCATTCTAGTACTCTATAGTACTGGTAAAACATCTGTCATTTTATTTTTTCAAAATTTTTTTCAAAATTGCAAAAACTCACTTTTAACCATGACAACATCCCCACTGATCCCATCAACAGTCTCATTAGTCTCTCGTCGTTTCTCTGGAACCTGAAGCAATTCTATGGTCTTTTCTACAGTAATCACATCTCTACCATCTTTATCTTTAGCTACTACAGAATTCTGCACATCTTTTGATTTTAGCTTGACGTCTTCCTTCAAAGTCTTCAGAAGCCTGGCTGTTGTCTCATCAATCACCTGATCTTTGCCAATTTCATTTTGTCTCGCCAGGCTAACCAATGTATCTTCTTCTTCAGTGACTTCAGAAGGCTTGTTGGTAGTGGTGTCATCTACTTTAGCGTTGATCTCAGCTGTTTTCTGTAGCTTATTACTCGATATCTTCACGTTTGCATCAGTTTCTCTGCCTCTTTCGCCTGATCTTTCACTCTCAGGGATTACGGTAGTTTCTGTAAAAGATTCTGTAACTTCCGCACTTTCAGTAGTGGCTAAATAAGTCAAAGAGGTAGTTTCAATATTAAGCTGATCTGACTGAGTGTCTCCGTCAACTTTATGCTTACTTGGCTTGATCACAGTAACGCTTTGGGGTAGGAGGGATTCGGTAGGAACTTCTTTTACGGTGGCTTGGCTTGTTGTGGATTCTGAGGTGTTCTGTAAAGAAATTATGTAAATATGTTACATTTTTAATTTTGTGTCAAAAAATAATTTTTGAAAAAAAAATTTAAAAAAAAATTTTTTGGTACTATTGGTACTGTGTGGTACAATTGATACTCCAAAATAAAAAAATGTAAAAAATTACCTTTTTTCCAAATATTTAAATTAAAAAAAAATTTTTTTTTGTAATTTGGTACAATTGGTACTGTATGGTACCACTGGTACCGCGCATATAAAAAAAATTTCATAAGTTTTTTGCTTTTATCTATTAAAAAACATTTTTTTTCAAATTAGTACTACTGGTACTGTTGGTACTGAAACCACTGGTACACTTCAAAACCTTATTTTTGTTCATAGCTTAACTATAATAGATTCTGTTTTTTTGTACAAAAAGTATTTTGTGACGTTTTTTAAATAGCATACTCTACTTACTGTATCATTCATGACTTGATCATTGAGTATGGTAGAGTTGGCCAACGTTTCATTCATAAAAAGAGCTTCAGATTCGGCGTCTTTATTGAAAACAACTTCATCGTAGCCTTGTGAAGCGGGAAGAGTGGTCGATTTTGAGTCCTTGTTATCTGAAATTGGCATTATATATAGTATAGAATAGGTTTAAGCTTTAATACGGTACTGTAAGTTCGATTAGAGTAAAATAGAGTAGAATAAGGCAGGGATGGTAAGATAGGGTAGTGTACGCTAAAGTAAGGTACGGTGACAAAAACATATATTACGGTAAAGGTAGGATAAGATAGAGTACGATACGGTAAGATACGGTCAGGTAGGGTAAAGTACGGTAGAAAACGATAGAGCTCTTTATACAACAGAGCCTTTGTTACAGTAAGACATACTGTATGAGGAAGCCTTGACAAGGGTAGCGTAGGGTAGGATAGGGTAGGGTAGGGTTGGGTAGGGTAGGGTAGGGTAGGGTAGGGTAGGGTAAGGTAGGGTAAGGTAGGGTAGGGTAGGGTAGGGTAGGGTAGGGCAGGGTAGGGTAGGGTAGGGTAAAGTAGGGTAGGGTAGAAAAAAACGAATGTATTCAAAATCACCATACCCAAAGTAAACTTGTTGTATTCTTCAATTCTACTCAGTTTCTCACGTAGCCTTCGTAGCTCTTCGTCTAGGCTTTGGCTGACATTCGTAGGCTTAGGGGCTTCGTAGGCGTTGTCAACTACAAATAAGGCTTTAGGAAGAGGGAATGGGTCTATACTTGGTTGGGCTCTAGCTGTGGTACGATCCATATTAATGTAGGGCAATGACGTCGATTCGTATGCAGAAGTTGGTCTTCTGTTTGGGTTTACTGTAGAGCTTCTGGTGTTGTAAGGGTCTACTGTAGAGCTTGCACTGTCATAAGGGTTTACTGTAGATCCTCTACGGTCATATAGATCTACAGTAGAGCTTCTGAAGCCAGCGTTGCCTGATGAAGTCGTAGCATCGTAAGGATCTACCGTAGAAGTCCTTCTGTCATACGGACTTTGGCTACTACTTGGTACTCTATAGTAATATCCAGTATTCTGAACCTGAGTACGAGTACGATACTGGTTAATATGATCTTCTGGTCGTGGGTTGTATGGTGAGTAGTTTGACCTGGGGTTACTGTATTGACCGGTTTGTAGTGGTCGATTCTGGCGAGGTATTGTGGTTTGACTTGAATCGTACGGGCTTACTGTAGTTTGGCTGTTGATATCGTAGGATGGTACTGTAGTTTGACTGCCGATTTCGTACGGGCTTACTGTGGTTTGGCTACCGACTTCATAAGGTCTTACTGTAGTCTGGCTACCGACTTCATATGTGCTTACTGTAGTTTCATCTCGTCGCCTTCCCGTACTAGTGTCAAGCTTGATATTGTAGCCATCGTACGTGGTATCACGGCTACTTTGAGTGGTATCGTATGATGGTGATGTAGCGTGCTTCTGACTACCGTACGATGTTGATGTAGCCAAATTCTGACCACCATCATATGATGAATCAGTAGCTTGAGCACGGTATTTATTGTAGTTTACCGTATTAGCTCTATCGATCTGTAGCCCAGCTTGATACCCAGAGCTTTCAACTTCGTACGGTGAGCTCCTGAAGCCGGTGGAGCTTGTAGGCTGATTTTGTTGGGTACTGGTGATACGTCGATCATCTTGTCCGTTATAGTCGCTTCTTTCTACTTCATTTACTCTGTTGATATTGGCCTGTTCTCTGTTGATATCAGCTCGTTCTCTGTTAATACCCTCTCGTTCTCTAGTCATATCACCTCTCTCCCTATTGATATTAGCCTGATTCTGTAGTAAAGACTTCTGTGTAGCCGGCTGTAGCGTGGTATCTGGTTTGGTACGGTATTCAGGTCCTGCAGAATGTGGCTTAGGCTTTCTGGCATTAACTGGGCTAACAGGTTCAGTCGAAAAGTCAGTGGTAGGTAACATGTTTTCGGTTGAAGAAGATCTGAATGATGTTGTTGTAGTAGTTAGCCGATTACCTAGACGACTATGGTCTTCACGATCATTTTTCGGATTCTGAAAGCCACGTTGAACTTTAGTTGGTCTTCTGGATGATACAGTAGGGTCTCTGTGGTTACTTCTTTGTGAGTCTACATTACTCCAGGGTCTTCTTGAAGTTACTGTAGTGTCAGGTTGTCTTGGTGTTACAGTAGTATCAAATCTACTACTTTGGTTTATAGTACCATCAGGTCTTCTGGAAGTTGCTGTAGCTTCTCTATCACCTGATTCTAGAAATCCTGGTAAGTTCTGACGATACAGGCTCGGATTCTGAAGTCTATTACCATACAACCCGTCATTAGCACTATACTGAGGTCGATCTCTACTATTGATTGGCTGGATTGGTCTGACACCATTGTACTCAGATGATAGTGGACTACCATCGTATGTTTGTTGCTTGTTACTATCGTATGTTCGAGTGTCAGTAATGTCATCGTTAGAAGCTGGAGCTTCATAAGCATCACGTGGTGCTTGATACTGGGTACGTCCTGGCAAGATACGACGATCTCTTTGTGGTATCCTGTTTTCGTACTGTGTAGCTGGGTCTTCTGAAGCCGAGTATCTCTGTACGGTAGGGTTGAAGGAGTCTTTTGAAGCTAAAAATTGTCTTCCATTAGCTCCGGGATTACTGTAGTAAGGTCCGTTCTTCAACCGGTCTTCAGGCACGTTGTACGGTGAATTACTGTCACGTTGAGGATAGAACGGTGGAGGTTCGGCTTGGTCAGAAGCGTACTGTAACGCTTGGCTTTGGAATTCTGCTCGACCAGCATGACCAGGTAGAGTAGAGGATTCTGAAGCATCGTATGTATTCTGAGTAGTAGTGATTGGGTTACTGTATGGATCTTGAGTTGTGGTTGATACTGAGTTACTGTATGGGTCTTGATTATAAGGTCTTGTAGCGTCTTCTTGAGCTCCAGGAGGCTTCGTCAACGATACTGGACCTTCAGAATAGGCATCAGTGCTAGATGGTGATGGGTTACTGTAGGGTGCTGATGGGTTACTGTAGGACGCTGATGGATCACGGTAGGCATTATTTGAAGGAGGGTTACGGTAAGGCGTTTGTGGGTTACTGAAGGATGCGGATGGATTACGGTAAGTTTCTGATGGATTACGGAAGGCCTGGCTAGGAATATTCGAACTACGGTAAGGCTGCTTTACACTACCATATGATTCTGAAGGATCACGTTGATTGAGACTGCGGTAGTTCTGGGCTCCATATTGATCTTGAGGATCTTGTGGATTATATTGACGACCAATTGATCTGTCTGTACCAAAGTTAGTACCAGTGTTACTGTCAACGTTAGTATCAAATCTAGTACCAAAGTTAGTACCAGTAGTACTAGAATTGGCAACTTTTGGAGTATTTTTTCTTAGGTATTCAATCGATTGTTTTGTCATCATAGCGTAGGGGTCGTTGCTTTCTAGGATCTTAACTTCACTGCTCTTTGATGCCTCAGGGCTTCTGGGTTCATCTGTGGATTCTGAAGTCAAAAGGTAATTACTTTTGTTATTAGAGTTATATTGAGGTATGTTTTCTTGGTTACTAGAGCCTAGAGCTATATAGAGGTAGATTACTTTGATTAAGAGAGGTATATAGATGTAAATCACTATAGTTACTAAGATTATATTGAGATATCCTAGCAGAATTCAACTTACCTTGAAGATTATATTGCCTTTGCCGATTCGAATCACGCTGAACAGTACCACTAGGACCATATGCACCATTAGCGCCAGATTGAGTCAAAGCTTCTTGATTTTTCTCATACCGACTGGTCGGGTTGAATTGAACTTGATTGACTTGGTTAGGCCGCTTATCAATAGGGCCTGCTTCGTACTGACTTCTAGGATCAGATTGGTACTGATTAGGACGAGTTGGCTGGCCTTGATTGAGACGAATTGACTGATACTGACTAGTAGCATCATCTTGGTACTGACTATTGCGGCCTGATTGATATTGAATTGTAGGATCAGATTGATACTGACTTGTGGGCATAGGCTGATGCAGAGCATCAGGTCCACTCTGGTACTGATTAGTAGGATTGAATTGTCTAGGAGTTGTACTGTACTCAGACGGGCTTACTGAGTTAAATTGACCATAGCTTGATGCAGGATTACGGTAACTTTGTGCAGGATTACGGTAACTTTGTGCAGGATTACGGTAACTTTGTGCAGGATTACGGTAACTTTGTGTAGGATTACGGTAGAAAGTTGAAGTAGCCGACGGCTGATTCTGAACTACTCTATTACCAACCAATCGGTCTTGTTGATTAAAGATTACGGGAAGAACGGTTGTTGTAGTAGGTAGAGTAGTAGTTGTAGTAGGCCGGTATGATGTTCTAGGCATAGAAGTTGTTGTTGGTACAGGAAAAATGGATGTCAACTCTGAATTTAAAAATTTTATTTTTAAGGTATCTTACTTTACCCTACCGTACCCTACCGGACGCAACCGTACGCTAATCTACCCTACTGTACTCTATCGTACCCTACTGTAGCTTACTGTACTCTACCGTACTCTACCTTACCCAACCTTAACCTACCGTACCCTACTCAAGGACCTACTATAAAATATGTTTTACTGTATCAAAAGCCCTACTTTATCAAAATCTCTATCTACTCAAAGCTTTATGTACTTTAAATTTTACAGTACTGTAGCTTATCCTTCAAATGTAAAACGTACCATCAAGACTAGGATGAAACTCAGGGAAGTTGGTATCAACCTTCTCGAAGCTCCTGGTCGTACTCTCAATTTTAGGCAAATTAGAAACTTTTTGACCACCAGAAACTTTGTTTACAACTCTTCTGCTACTGACAGCCGGTTTTTGAACTCCAATGTTGTTTTTGGTACTACTAGTACTAATGGTACTACTGGTAGTACTAACACTATTTCCACCGTAAAATTCATCAACACTCGATGGATCAAAGCTTTTTCGAACGTTTTGTTGATCAACCGGCCATTGATTGTTGTCCTCATAGCCTGAGGGCTGGACTGGTGATAACCGTTGGGAGAGTAATACTATTGGACATAGTATTAATAGTAGGGGTCTTAACATGACCTGAAATAATATTTTTTTAATTTTTAGGTATTATGGCAAGCCAAGTTTTGAAAATTTTGAAATTTAAAAAAAAAATTTTTTTGAATATGGCAGCCTGCGCCCTGCTTTATAGTGAAGAAAAGTAAAAAAAGTAGTTTAAGGGTTTAAAAAATATGATAAATGAAGAAAAGGTGATAAGAAAATGATAAAAAATTATTAAATTTTGATTTTTATCAAATTGGTGAACTTGGTACACTTGGTACAAAATTGACAAAAATTTTTTCAAAAAAAAATTACAAATTAATTAAAAAGTAAAAATAAAAAAAATATTAAAACTTTATAATTTTTTTACGTATTTTACCTAAAAAATTATTTAAAAAACCTCAAAAAATTAAAAAAAAATCGAAATATTTTAAAATACGTGACAAATGCCAAAAAATATTCAAAAAAGAGTAAAAAATACTGAAAAAATCTTTAAAATAACATGGACTTTGAAGCAAATACTTAGTAAATAAATTCAAGTCAAGCGGAAAGCTCAAACGACTTCAAATACTATCCGTCAGCACTTCCTGAAGGAGCTATGACGACCTTACACTTGCTTTTATTACTTGCAAAAAGACATTTTTTGCAAAATATAAAAAAAGGTAAGGTAAAAAAAACCCTACCCTACCCTACTCTACCCTACTCTACTCTACTTTACTCTACCTTACCCTACCCTACCCTACCCTACCCTACCCTACCCCACCCTGCCCTACCCTACCCTACCCTACCCTACCCTACCCTACCCTACCCTACCCTACCCTACCCTACCCTACCCTACCCTCCCCCTACCCTACCCTACCCTACCCTACCCTACCCTCCCCTACCCTACCCTACCCTACCCTACACTACCCTACCCTACCCTACCCTACCCTACCCTACCCTACCCTATCCTAGGCCCTACTATAACCTTGGCTCTACCGTACACTAGGCATCACTTCTCCTTAAGTCCTACCGTACCTCAAACCCTATCGTACTTTGTGACCTACTGTACATTAGACCATACCCTACCCTATGCTATACAGTGCCTGGGCTCTACCGTTCCTCGCCAACCAAAGCCTTCTTTATCTTACTTTGCTGTATAATAAGCTACTTGTCTTTGTGTCGTCATAGCTTACCTTTATTTTCTTTACTACGCTAAAATAAGCTATTCTACCATAAAGTACACTACACTGTTATAGTATCTCTTGATATGGTTTAGTATCTTAACAGCTTTATTTTGGTTTTGCCGTCGCAAAAATTATTTTCTTTATTATACTCAAATATACACGATACTATTAACAGTAAAACAAATAGTACTGATAATAAATTAAAATCCTAAAAATTTATATTCAAGTAAACAACAACAACCACAAACCCATTAATTCACGTTAACCTTCAAGACCATTTAACCCCAAAAGCACCGCAGAACTATCACATCACGTCAACAACCTTCTCGACTACAATATAAACATCCTCTTGATGCCTCTTTTATACGAATTCGTCAGATGCCCTATGACCGACCTTGAAGCCGGATTGTAACCGTTACGAAGCCGAGAGATGACAATGGGCTCCTTGACACAATGTCATCGTATCTTGAGTCATTGAGACATTTCATATACAATGTCATATCCAAAAACGATGTCTATATACTTACAAAGTAAGTCATAGAAAGTTACATGGTAAAAGTAAATTTTTTTTACTATAAAGAAAGTTACAGGGTAAGTTTTTACATAGCAAAGATGGTGACAAAAACCCAAGAGATAGCGCTACAAAATGCCATTTTTTGGTAGACAGAGAAGTCATAGATACAAAGTGATATGACAAAAAGATGACAAAAACACCTCTTTGTCATATAAAGATGACAGAGACAGCATTTTTACAGAGTAAAACGTCACAAAGCTCGATATTACGCAACAATATACAAATCTCCAACTGTTTTTCGAATCCTTGATTCCTTCACAAATCCGATTAAAGTCGATATTTTCATAGCTCGACAAAGCCAAAACTACTACAAACAATGACATTGTATACAAAAAAGTTCATTCTACAGAGTAGTTTCGGTAAAATATAGTAAGTTGTCAAGCATTTGTCAATTTGGCATATATAGTTAGATCTGAGGCTGTTCCGTAATGAGCAAAACATGTCAGGACAGGACAAAACAAGGCAAGGCAAAGCAAGGCAAGGCAAGGCACGGCAAGGCAAGGCAAGGCAAGGCAAGGCAAGGCAAGGCAAGGCAAGGCAAGGCAAGGCAAGGCAAGGCAAGGCAAGGCAAGGCAAGGCAAGGCAAGGCAAGGCAAGGCAAGGCAAGGCAAGGCAAGGCAAGGCAAGGCAAGGCAAGGCAAGGCAAGGCAAGGCAAGGCAAGGCGAGGCAAGGCGAGGCAAGGCGAGGCAAGGCAAGGCAAGGCAAGGCAAGGCAAGGCACGGCAAGGCAAGGCAAGGCAAGGCAAGGCAAGGCAAGGCAAGGCAAGGCAAGGCAAGGCAAGGCAAGGCACTACCTCTACTCTTCCGGCATCCAACCCGTTCAAAAGTTCATAAAATTTTTCATTTTTCATGACCAAAACATTCAAATTCTATTCCAAATTCATTCGCTCATTTTGCTTCCATCGAGACCAGTCGATTTTTGACATTCGTTTTCAAAATTTTTGGTTTTGGCATCTGAATACGGCTTCAAGTATGTTTTTACTATGGCAACTTGTTTTTTGAAAAAAAAATTGATCCACCCCACAATTTGTTACCCGCCCGAAAAGAATTATTTTACCCCTACCTCTCAATACCAAAATATAATAAAAATTTTAAAAAAAATTTTGTCATCTTTCCTCCCCCCATATAAAATTTTACCCCGCCCACAAAAAAAATAAAAAAAATGCCAAAACTATGACTTTTATTATAGGTTCTAATATTTTTTTTTCAATTTTAGTGACATCACCCGGTCGTTCCTACTTCGAAGATGGCAGTGGTTATGATTTGACAATGTCGGATTCAGAAGAATATCAACAAGCGCCACCAACTCGTCATCGACCGGATGGAGTTTGTATCACTTGTTGTGAACATGGACAACTTTGTCGGGTAAGAACTTTCTTTACAGGGCACAAAATAGCCAGAACTTTTTCTAAAAAACTTAAAATAGCAAGAACTTTGTTAACAAAGCAAGAAATTGCAAGAACTTCCTTTACGTAAAATAAAATGGCAAAAACTTTCTTTACAGAACATAAAGTGGCAAGAACTTTGTTTACAAAACCTAGAACTGCCAATTTTTTATAGACTATCTTATTTTTAGCTTGGAACTGAAAATGACGACAAGTTGAGAATCGAAGCTATCGACTCTAGCACTGCAGAGAGCTACGAACCTGTCATACTTCAAAGAGAACGTCAAGCGTTCAGTCTGCTTAATATGGGAGCTCAAGAACAGCAAAAGAAGTAAGTTATTGCCTTGCCTTGCCTTGCCTTGCCTTGCCTTGCCTTGCCTTGCCTTGCCTTGCCTTGCCTTGCCTTGCCTTGCCTTGCCTTGCCTCTGCCCTGCTATACCTCTAAAATCCATCCTTGTAGATACAACGTGAGCACCACTCCCACAAATATGATGAAAAACAAGCCCCATTTGGAGCCTCTCTACTACGATGATGACGACTATGAAAACTACTATCTAGGCCACATTACTCAACAAGAAGCGATGGAAAATTGTCCCGAACGCACTCAATTCAAGGTCTATCATAAGGTTTCTGATGTGAAGGATCTGGATGAACTAGAACCTTGCCTTCGTATGTTTGTAGTTTACCATACTAGCAAGGGCGGTTATTGGTACGTTTTTTGTTCTTTTTTATGTTTTGGGCGTGGTAGAGTTAAGAAATTTTGGAGTGGGGGTATAGTAGGGACATATTAGGTCAGCGTTCTATGATACGGTAAAGCTTAAAGTACTGCAGAGCATAGGGTAGAGTCTTGGGTGCGGACGGGCTTGGAGTACAAAAGAGCCTAGAGTACGGTAGAGCTTAAGGTACAGTAGAACCTGGGGTACAGTAAGGCCTAGGGTACAGTAAGAGCTAGGGTACGGTAGGGTCTAGGGTACAGTAGGGCCTAGGGTACGGTAGGGCCTAGGGTACGATAGGGCCTAGGGTACGATAGGGCCTAGGGTACGATAGGGCCTAGAGTACGGTACGGCCTAGGGTACGGTGAGGCCTAGGGTAAAGTAAAAAAATTTTTATAAAAATTAAAATTTGAATATTTTAGTCACTTCCCAATCAACTCTCTGAAATCCGAGAAGCAAAAGTACTACTACGTTGAATGTGGCGACCCTGATCCGCCCCGCTTCGCCGACATTGAATCCATCGTGCGCTTCTACACGGTCTACGTCCAACTTCATTACTCCAACGAGATGCAACAAGTGGATCCTGATGTCTTTCCATGGTGGAATCTGCCAGAAGATCAAATCATCTACCTCAACAATACTTCTTGATTGTTATATTGTAAATAGTTGGATGGTGATTATTGGCTTATATATTGACGTTATGGGTGTAGAATAAAGCTTTACTTTGTATGATTTTTGGTCAATTTTGCTTAGGTGGGGACATGTTTTGAACTAGGAAAAGGGCGAAAATATCTTAGGACCTAGAATACGGTAGCGCATATAAATTACTGTAGGGCTTAGGGTACGGCAGAGCTCAAAGTACAGTAGGGCTCAAATTATTGAAGTGGGTTGGGTACGGTAGGACATAGGATACAGTAAGGCTTAGAGGCAATAGGGCATAGAATATACGGTAAAACTTAAAGTACGAGCCTAAGGTACGGTTGGGCCTGTGGTACGTGTAGGTCTAGGGTACAATGGGGCTTAGGATAGGTAGTGCCTAGGATATGATAAAAACTAGGCTACGATAAGGCCTAGTGTACAATATAGCTTAGGGTGCGGTAAAGCCTAGGGTACGGTATGGCCTAGAGTACGGTAGAGCCTAGGGTACGGTAGGGCTTAGGGTACGGTAGGACCTGGGGTACGGTAGAGCCTAGGGTACGATAGAGCCCAGGGTACGGTAGGGCCTAGGGTACGGTAGGGCCTACGGTACGGTAGGGCCTAGGGTACGGAAGGGCCTAGGTTGCGATAGAGCCTAGAGTGCAGTAGAACTATAAAATCAAAGTTTATAGTTCAAAAATCATGTTAAGAATCGCTTTTGAAAGCCGTTAACTTTGAGATAATCTTGAGAAATGGCATGATTCTTCTTTCAAAAGACTCGCGACTTAATTTGCATATATAGCGTCGAAAAGGAGAAAATACCTTTAATTTGTACACGTAAAATAGCTATTTATCCGTCTCTTTTCACAGAAAATGGCATGGAATAACAAAGTTTTATTTGTTTTACTATTACTGTATGTTTTCTGTTATCATGGTAATTGTAAGGCCATCAAGAGGTAAGGTATTTTAAGTTTTTTTTAATTTTTTGGTGTTTTTTTTATTTTTTAACTGTTTAGATTGTTTTTTCTTAATATTTTAAATCATAATTTTTTTCAAAAAATATAAATTTAAAAATTTAATTTTTGTATACCGTATTTTACAACATTGTTTTAAAAATTATCTTAAAAACATTTAAAAAGTTTTTTTTGTTATTTATTTTCTACTATTTTTTGACCAAAATTGCCATTTTGGAACTAATTTGTATGCCATTTTGCAACTAAAAGTAAAAACTTACTAAAAAAATAAAAGATATAATATAATACATCTTTTTCCAATATGAAAACTATCATCATTTCTTTAAAAAACCAAAAATTCGATCTGGAGGTATGGGGAATTGAACCCCAGCCCTCTCGCATGCTAAGCGAGCGCTCTACCCCTGAGCTATACCCCCACACAAGCGTAATTGTTTCGGAAGTTGTTTTCATTCATTTCGATGGGTTTTTTACGAAATAAAAAGGCTTTTCAATGATATACGACATTCTTTTTTACTTCTATTCTTAGAAAAAGGTCAAGTTGTGAGAGATAAGATTATTTTTCTATACTTTTTACTAAAAAGCCTAATTCCATTGATATTTTTGATAATTTTTGACTATTCAGGTCCTCCATATCAGCAGAAAATGATGAATTTACAATTGATCATGATTTTACATTGCGAAAAGTAACACCATCAAAACAACAGACTATAACTACGTCTACTGCAACAGCTTTTTTAAAAACATCTACTTTGGAAGTTGAAGCTACTGATTCTTTATTGAATTGGGAAGAACTTTCAACCGAGGCTACAAAGTCAAGAACTGAAAATTCTGAGGTATCAGAGTTTGAAATCAAAGATTCAAACACAGCTTTGAAAAGTGAAGATTCTCAAGGCAAAGAATCAGAAGGCAAAAATGAAATCTCGGATCTTGGGGATGAGGATTCAGAAGACAAAGCGTCAGATTCAGATTTTCAAGACAAAGATTCTGAAGTAACTGAATCTATTTCTGAAGAAACTACAGAATTTACTCCTGGAACTAAATTTATCATTTCTAAGAAGCTAACTGTAGATTCACCAAAGAATGCTTTAGTTTCTTCTACAGAGGCCCAAAGCGTTCTACTGTCATCTACAGAAGTACAGCCTGTTATAAAGTCCTCTACTGAGGCACAGAGCACTACACAGTCATTTACAGAAGAACAAAACGTTATATCGACATCTACAGAAGCATATAATGTTCAACAGTCATCTACAGACGCTACTACAACTAGAACTACTTTTGAAACTTCGACACGTTTTCCCTACAATTCCGAAGTTCAAGCTTCGACTGATGATTCAGTTAACTTAGAGACAACAGAAGTCGTTTCAAAAGCTTCTACAGTTTCTTTAATGCCTGTTGTTAAACCAACAGTCTCTTCAGAAGCTGCCAATACTTTAACAATCAATTCAAAATCTTCTACTCCACTTTCTGGTCTACCAAAGCCAAAAAGCCCACTAACAAACGCTAAAATATCTTCTCAACAATCTCAAAATCAATATATTGACATATCGCTAATAACCAACAACAAGCCAACTTCTATTGATCAATATGAAATACCATCAACTTTGGAATACAATGAGTTATTAGCTAAAACATTAGCATCAACAGAAGCCTACAGTATACAAAATGGTGATATTTTAGCATTAGAGACCAAAATTGATGACATTGAGCTGCTCGACTTTCCAGTAGCTGTAAAAGAAGTTTGGAATAGTGATTCTGATGTGAATGTGGATGATATGCCAGCTGCGTTTCCTCCTAGCAAGTTCATTTTGACTAGTGGTGGTTTTTGAATGTAATAAACTGTAATTCAATGTAACGTTTTTGATGTCTAGGGCCAAGCTGGGCTAGGCTGTGCTGGGCTAAGCTAGGCTAGGCTGGGCTTTGGGCCAGGGCCAGAGCTGCGACTAAGGCTCTGAGCTAAGGCTCTGGGCTAGGACTCTGGACTAGAGCTTTAGGCTAGGGCTCTGGGCTAGGGCTCTGGGCTAACAAGAAAAGGTCCCTTGTAAGACTACGGCTAAGTACCTAAACCAAATAAAAATTTTTGAATGCTTACCTAGCCCAGAGCCCTAGCCTAAAGCTCTAGTCCAGAGTCCTAGCCCAGAGCCTTAGCTCAGAGCCTTAGTCGCAGCTCTGGCCCTGGCCCAAAGCCCAGCCTAGCCTAGCTTAGCCCAGCACAGCCTAGCCCAGCTTGGCCCTAGGCTCTAAGCAAGTATTGTGGGCTAAAGCCTTGGGTTAGGGCTACAAACTGCAAACTGTCATATGCTACTTAATGTATTCATGTCAACATTGAACACTTTTTTAATTATGAGTGCAAAAACATATTTACTATACGATTTTTTTGTAAGATTATGATCACACCGTATACACTTTGCAGTAAAGTTCAATGTTTGCAATAAACCCTGAACAAATACCATTAAGATCACGTGTAAGGTCGCAAATAGCTAACAGTTTACAACTGTGGCGTGATTGACACGTTGATTACTAATACAGAGACTTTGTACCGTGAACACTGTGTATAAAGGATGGTAAATACTACTGTATTTTCTCGGGAAATAAATATTTACTTATTGACTTATTGTAGCTATAAAAAGTATACGGTATGTAAGATTCAGAGAAATTTACACTATTTGCAGATTGTTTTGTAAAAGTGTTACTTTAATGTTTGATTTCTGAGAAAACAGCACATTGACCTTGATGTTTCATTTTGAAATTAAAATGCAATAATATTTACTATATTCATACATCTTCTACATAGAAAATGACATAGTTTGTGCTTGCAAAAATAAAAATAAATTTGTACTCACAACGTAACACACTGGTTACAAAGGTTACAAATTGATGAAGGTTTGTGTTATAAAGTAGGCTAATATATTATAAAATCATAGTAAAATGTCAGCATATTAGCTGAATAGACATTTACTTTACATTTTGTCAAAATCAGTAAAAAAACAAAAGAAATTGCGAAATATGTACGGCGTTACCTAATGCTTGATATAACATTATAGCCTTAGAGAAATTGCCAGAAATCGTGTTACGTAACTTTTCCTTATGTAATTTTATGGCCTCATACAATAGTTGCCTCGATGTAAAACGACCCAACAAATTACTGCGAGTGCCTGCTGCATTTTACTGCGAAAAATCAAATTTTGTGTCACAACTTTTTTTACAAGTCACTTATTACTACTTTAGCAACTAAACCTAAGCTTTCTAAGCTGAAATTTAAGCCTACTAACTCTAAGCCTACTGAGTCTAAGCCGTAAGACAAAGCTTACTAAGCCTAAGTATACTAAGTTTATGCCTACTGACCCTAAGCATACTATACGGGCTTAAATTGCGTAAGCCTACTAAGCCTAAACTTAATTAGTCAAAGTCTACTAAGACAAAGCCTTCCAAGCCCAAGCCTACTATGCAAAAGCTTCTAAGCGTATGCGCGCTAATTCTATGTTTGATAAGCCTAACCCTACAAAAAGACCTACTAAGTCTAAGCTTATTGAGTAGAATTCTAATAAGACAAAGCTTACTAAGCCTAAGTCTACTAAGCTTAATCCTAAAAAGTATCCATATTTAAATACCATTCAACTAACAAACTTCAAAACTTTAAAATTTACATTTTTTATTATATTTTAAGGCTTTACAAAAGCTGGATAATGAAATATGAAACATGAGTGAGATCATGAAGATTGAGAGCTGAGGTAGTTAAGGTCAAGGAATCTATTGGTAATCGTGTCTTCTTCTGTACTTATCAGCGTAGAAACCAACTGGCATTCGGTTTGGAACATACGTCAAGGTCTTCTTACTGTCTACCATCGTTTCTAAAAATTTTTTTTTGATTTTAAAATTTTAATTTAAATTTTTTTTGTTGGTTAATTTAATTTAAACTTCTAATAGAGCCTATTATAGCTATATTACTTTTTATAATACTGAGCCTATTATAGCCACGTTACCCTGCCTTTACTAGTTGTTTATGCACTAATACCCAACCTATTACACATGGTCCACATCAGACACTGATATTACACTAACTATTATTGTTTCTCGTAATTGACCCAAGTTGGGCTTTTTTGTAAAGTTACTACTCCATAGAAACTGTTATGGAGTTTTTTATGGATAGCCTTTTGTGTAATATTATTGATGATTTTACAGCAATTGGGAACGCTGGGAAAAAGCAAAAGGTTCGTTAATGTAAAGAATAGATTTTTAGGAGAAATAGACAAAAAACTTTAAGATTTTTAAACATTTGTCATATCACCCCCTTAAAAACGTTTTTTTTTAACCTTGACTTCGGTTTTCGCCTCATCTTTAGCCTTAAACAGCCTTACCCTTTATTTATCCATATTTTTACCCTTAATGTTATCTTAGCCTAGCCAAGACTGAGGTTAAGCCTGCGCCTGAGCCAGAGACAGAAGCTGAGCTTGTACATGTGCCTAAGCCAGGGTCTGAGCGTAAGGTAAGCCTAAGCTTAATTTTAAGCCTAATCCTAAGACAGGCCTGAGCCTAAGCCTAAGCCTAAGCCTAAGCCTAAGCCTAAACCTAAGCCTAAGCCTAAACCTAATTCTAATCTTAATCCTAAGCCTAACCGTAAGCCTAAGCTTAAGCCTAAGCGGAAGCCTTAGTTTTAGCCTTAGCTTTAGTCTTAGCTTTAACTTTAGCTCTAGTCGACTACCCTAATTCACAAAGTAAAAATATACTTACCGACAGCCTTAGGATACCAGAAGAACTTTTCGTGTTCCCAGTCAGTGTTATAGACAACTTCTTCGCTTTTCGTCAATGGAGCTTCAGTTGTAGCTTCTTCGGATTCAATTTCATTTTCACTCTTGAATGAGTCTGATTTTAAGTCGCGTTTCACTTCTCTCACAATCTCGGCTTTCATTTTGTAATAAGGAAAAACAACGTCGATTGGAACGATGAGTTTCACTGGCTCGATCAGTTTAGATTCTTCTGGATTTGAAGCCAATTCTAATGACTTTTGGGCTGGTAAAGCGGTTTCTGAGTTGAACGATGGTTCTGCGGGGTTAACGATGCATGATGAGGCTTCTGGAGAACTGACGGAGTCTGGTGAAGATTCTGGAGTACTGACGATGCTTGTTGTAGCTTCTGAAAGCTTTTCAACGTTTGAGGTAGCTTGTGAAGCTGTGTCTACATCGGAATCGGATGGCTCGTCTGGATCTGTTAAGCTGTCGGGTGATTCTTCTGCTGACTTTACTGGTTCTTCAGATTCACCAGAGTCAGAGGCATCCTTCTTTAAGTCTTCTGGAGCTTCCATGGTCTTCAACGAGCCTTCTGGAGCTTCCATGGTCTTCAAGGAGCCTTCTGAATCTTCAGCAGTTTTTAGTGAGCCTTCTGAATCTTTCAAGTCGCTTTCAGAAGCAACAGCAGTTTTCACAGCATCTACTTGAACATCAGAGGTCTTTTTGTCATCAGCTGGAGCTTCAGAAGCAGTTTTATCGTTTAAAGAAGCTTCTGAATCCTTCTTCTCTAAATATCCTTCAGAATCCTTTCCATCATCAACAGGTTCATCAGTATCCTTGATAACAATTGGAGTATTTTCTGCCACTTTACGAAGAACAAAGTCATTCGTATTTAATAGTACCGGCTTTTCTAGTATCTGAGATTTGGCATCAACAGGCTCTACGATAATGTCATCTTTGTTCAAGCTTTTAGCAGCTGTACTAAGCACTAATAGGGATAGTAGTTGAATCGCAAAAATCATTTTGATTTTACTTGATGGTTAATATCTGAAAGTAAAGGAACATATTTTTAAGTACTTTTAGTGTAGTGATACAGCAATATTAAGCTGAAAACGAAGCCTGTATTTTACATTGACTTTAATGCTTCAAAAAAGTGTTGTCGTTTTTCACCGTGCAAATGTATATAAATTAACGACAAAACTTTTTTAACCTTAAAATTCAAAAACAAAACATTGCGAATGGTAAAAATATACAATTTAAAAACCCTACTACAACATTTGAGCCACAATGTTACACACCCTCTTCAAAACAAGAGACTCCTACTAACCTCACAGAAAGTAACACAAAAGGTCAAACAGAGAAACTATCTAAAATAATATTGTTGTCTACTGCCGTCTTAAATAGGTCTTGCTACATGATTTTCCAACTTACTTCCTCCCCCTTCTTTTTTACTTTCATCTCATTATTTCTCCCCCCCCTACTTCCTTGTGGCCCCTTACTTTACCCCCCCCCCTTTTACTTTCTTATTTCTTGAGTAGTCCACTCCTTTGACAACCCTACCCTACCCTACCCTACCCTACCCTACCCTACCCTACCCTACCCTACCCTACCTTACCTACCCTACTCTACCCTACCCTACCCTACCCGATTCTACCCTACCCTATCGTGTCATACCATGTCCTACCGTGCTTTACCCTACCCTATAATACGTTACCCTATCCTTACTTTCGCGTTCATTTCTTCCACCCCCCCCCTGTTTTAGCTATCTAATTAAACCCCTCTCCGTCTTTTATACCCTTTCACCCATCAACTATAAAAACACATTACAATTACTTGTTTTTTTTTCGAAATTGACCACTCAAAGTCTGTTTTCAACGTATTACTTAATAAAACCTTATTGAGAAAGCTATCAGTCTAGCTAAAGAAATTTACAAACCCGTACGCTGACCTTTGATATAAGTTAAGAAAGTTACGAATAGTATAAAGAGATGATTCATGCTATTTATAGACATGTTATGATAGTTTTTTGTAATTCAAAAAGTTTTAAAACTTTTAAAGATTCAAAAAAAAATTGTCTGAAGAGACTGATTAATAGCTGTCTATAAAAAATGTGTTTTTGTTAACTAAAAATAAAAAATTCAACCTGTATAGCTACCTATATAAACATAACATTTAGCTTTGCGACTGAACAACTTTTATTGGAAAAACAATGACAATAACAACTTTTTTTACTTTCAATAGAAATTTTATACGAACCAGTATATTACTCATGGTTACCTATATTATCCTCTCTTTTTCGGCAAGCCTATTGTGACAATATAAGTAATGTCACATGGCATTTTCTTCATTTTAACAACAAAGCTAAACCTATTAAGTAAGTTTACTAAGCCTAAGCCGGCTAAGCTTAACACTACTAAGACTACGCCTAGTAATTCTGAACTTACTAAGCGTAAGCCTACTGAACTTTAGCCTGCTTAGCTTAAACTTATAAGCCTAAGCCTAGTAAGGCTAAACCTACTACACGTAACCTTTCCAAGCCTAAGCCTAAGCCTAATAAGCCTAAACCTACTAAGCCCAAGCATACTAAGCCCAAGCCTACCAAGCATAAGCCTACTAAGCCTAATCCTCCAAAGCCTAAGCTTACTAAGCCTAATCCTATTAAACCTAAGCCTACTAAGTCTAAGCCAATTAAGCCTAAGCCAACAAATTCTAGGCTTATTAAGCCTAAGCCTACTAAGTCTAAGCCTACTAAGTCTAAGCCTACTAAACCAAAGTCTACTAAGCCTAAACCTCCTAAGCCTAAGCCTACTAAGCCTAAGCTTGATAAGCCCTTCCTAAAAAGAAACCATGAAATTTCAACAAACAAAATTACGCGGTACCTCTAAACAATACAATAACAAAAATTTTTTTTCATATCATACCCATTCTACCATCCAAATCATTGCCTTTATATACCCCCAATATTTGACTTACCCACCCCCAATGAGCTCTTCATAAGCTCGCTGAATGAGTTCGCTGACCCAACCCGTCCACTTTAATTTCGAAAAACAAACACCCCTACAAGAGGGCTCCACCCCGCCGTGTTCGTGCCTTTTCCAACCAAACGCGCGCATTCCATCGACGACTGATCTATGTGTAATCGACTCGACTTCTCATAACACACGTTGAAAGCAGGAAGCGATAGTAGAGACGGAACGTCAAAAGTGCAAATTTGTTAGCCGCTTACAAAACTGTAGCAGACTAACGTCACGTTCTTTTGGGGCATTGAAAGATTTCTACATAGATACGTTGGCGTTTGATTGATTTGCGAACATACGACATTTTAAAAGTTTTTAAAAATGACGTTTTATACTGTGAAGTTTCTTAAACGAGAGGGCTGGTCAAGATTTAAGCTAGGGGTAAGAAACTGGGCCCCGCGCGGTCGTACAATCCGGCCGGGCTGGCTTTGAGCTAAAGTTAAAAAGCCGAACAAGCCAAACCCGAAAGTTGAGCCCGGCCCACAGACCAAGCGTAAAAAGTAAGCCCTTGCCCAAAAACATTTTTTTATTATATTTTATAACCGAACGGCCCAGACCAAGAAAAAAAAACGGGCCGGGTCCAAACGTTGGGCTTCGGGCCTAAGCCAAGCCTCAAAAGTGGGACCGGTTCGGCCAGTTTCTGACACTTGGTGTAAGCCAGGGTGAAACTGTAGAAAAGATTTACCCTACCCTACCCTAACCTACTCTACCCTACCCTACCCTACCCTACCCTACCCTACCCTACCCTACTCTACGAAAGCAATACTATTAGTACTATTCATCTTTATATCAAAAAATAGTGCATGCTTTAATGAGGTTATTACTATGTCATAGTCAATTTAAATTACAATCGACACAATTACAACAAAATGACGCGTAAAGAATAACATGAATGAACTTTGCCATTCAATGTGTAACATTACTGCGGCGGTAATTCCTTGCTTGAGTTTTACCGACTATTTTGGTCAAAAAGCATGTGATGTGAAATTATTTTGCAATCTGCAAATCGCACATTTGGGCATATTATAGTAATTCTGGTTTGACAGTAAACTAACCATGTTTTTGACACTTTTAAAATTTTTTTATAGCTATGTTAATGTGCAGCAAAGAACGTTTTTGTCAACCGTAAAGCAAAGGTTTTGACAACAGTTTAGCGAATTGATCCGTACGTTTTCAAATAGCATTTGTGGAATTGGCTGATTGTGAAAAATTTAGCGAAAACCGTAGGTACGGTAAACAAACTGTACTGTATTTTAAAACGTATTTGGCGGTTTTAGCGGAGGCTGGTTTTTGCTCAAATAAACAATTGTTAAAAAACCAACAAGTGCAGCAAAAGCAATTACGATATGCCTACTTTTTATGTCTTAAACTAACATTATTGTCATACACAAGCTTTTACTACTGCCATTTTACATTTCTGGATCAAAGGCCCATTTTGTCAAAAATTGACTGAGATAGAGATATCACTAGACCTGTAAGGGACTGAAGTAGGGCCCAATTGTTGAACACGGCCCTTTCAAAATTGCTTCGGCCTGGCCTCTTGTGTAAATTTATTAAAATCTGATTCATTTTACACTTTTCTCAAATCAAATCTTTCGTTGCGGGACCTAAGCTAGGCCCCTAAAGCCTTGATTTAGGCCCCAGCAGGCCGACTCAATCCTTTTCAAATTTGCTTCAACCCGGCCCGTACCACCATGCCGAGGAATGACCTATTGGACCCCTTTCAAATATACTGTTATTAGCGTTAGGCCAACACACCATTCTTTTCAATAAGATTTAAAAAAAAGCAAAAAATTTTATTAACCGACCATCAAACAATACTTAAAAACATCATCACAATACCCATAACATTATTATATTATATTATACATCACATGAGAACTTTTAAGTTTTTATACTAAAAACTTAAATTTTCAAAAAAAACAAAGCATAAAAACCATAAAACAACAATAATACATATCATACCTACAAAAAAACGTGAATAAGATAAAACCCAATATACAAAAGAACAGGAGCCACAGTTCATAAAAAAGATAGATTCCATAGCTTATACAACAAGTAGATGCCATAGCTCATACAAAAAGAAGATGCCATAAAATTGTTGTTTTAGAAGTGTTTATCTTAGACATTATAGTACAATAGTTATTTTTATAAAAATAAATAAAAAGATACAGCTTTTAAAAAGTACAGTTTACAAAAGTTTAAACAAGATATGAAGATTGTTGAGTTTAAGGGATCGATGAGAGATTGAGGAACACCTTTTCCAAGCCGATGTCCAGTTTTACGCCGTTGAAGTTCTTCCTGAAATTTTAAATGCTTTTATATATTACATTACAGTAAATTATTACTGTATCATCATGAAATAGTCTGACTTTCATATCCCAAAACTTAAAATTAAAACTACAGTAGAAATTATGTATAACAAATCGCTAAATTTTAAATTGTCATTGAAAAAGATTCTTTATACAGGAGTCCTATTATATATTCAAAATTTTTAAAATCCAAAATAACCCATTAAACCACAATTTAAAACTTACATATGATACTGCAACATGAACGTCTTCGCGTTCTCGTGACTTTCGAAAATAACCGAAACCGAATCATCTGATGTTTGCCATACTTTCTGAAATTTATTTCGATTAAATTAATTTTATTTCAATTTTTCGTTGTTATTAAATTTAAAAAAATTTTAAATCATATTTTCCATTATTTTTCTTTTTCGTTGCCGACCTTTTGAAGTTGGTTTAATAAGTTCAACAATAATTTGAGAAGGTTTTGAGGATACACAAGCCACCTGGTAAAATTTAATCAATAGTGTCGTTTATTAAACCATAACACTTTTTATCAACAGTTAAAAAATATTAAAATTAGTTTAAATATTATATTATCATAGTGATAAAAGCCTTGGCGCATTCAAACGTAATCTCAAAAAATGAATTAGCGCCAAGACTTTAGCGCCATCAAACAAAATAAAAAATTTAGATTTTATCAAATAGTATAGACAATAGAGTTTCAATAGTAAGATTGAGAACATTAAAATTTTCCGCTTTATAACATAAAAGCTAAATAACATCAAGTATGTGTCCAATACCGGAAGAAAAAGATTTGTGAGACCCGTATAGTAACAAAATAATACCCGTAAAACAATAACACGACCCGTAAGAAACAATATATTGCTATTACAGTAGCCTAGTACTGTGAGCTTTCATAGTTACATATCATAATTTTAAAAATCAATATATAATAGTCAATAAATAATTTTTTAATAAGGAATATAACGTAAGTAATAGGTAATAAATATTATTATACGAACCATCTTTCATGGTAATATGATACTATAAAATATTTTTTTACAAAACACTAAGCAAATTCAATGTATTTCCTTGAAAAATTTTAAAAAATCGGTTTATATGTACAAGAGATTTGTCGAAGTTCTACATAACTTTGACCAAGTACTACTGAGAAACAAAATTTTAATTGTATGAAATTTTTTAGCAAAATTTTGTTTCTACATTATACAAAAACGCAAAATAAAAAAAACTTGTGTTATAAACATGCCATTTTAAGCCATTTCAAAAACTCTTCAAGAACAGCACTATAAAACTTGTATTTTCCAAATATGTGAGAACATTTAAAACGGCCTAATAAAAAATGTATATTTTGAGTACTTATGAACTGTAAAATATAAAATAACAAAAATTTACAAAGTTCATTCATAAGTACACAAAAATCAAAACTAAAATATACGTAATAAAAATAAATTTAAAAAACTCCAAAAACTGATTCCATTACTAACCTTGGTCGGTCCCACCGCATTTGCCACTGATTTCATATTTTTGTACGCATCAGTCAGGTCCGAGACGTTGTGAATGACCACAGCCAGATAGGGTTTTAGCTTTTGATCGGCCGAACCCTTGCGCTTCGGTTCTTGTTTCATTTCTATTTTCACTCTTGTGTCTTCCTTTTCCTCTTTTGATTTTATTCTTCCATCTTCAGTTCTTTTCCTGTCTTCTCTGCTCTTCTTGGTATCATCTCGAGCTTTGTAGGTTTCGTTTTTGCTCTTGGAAGTAGCGTCACGACTTCTGAGGTTATTTTCTCGACCTTTGGCGTCTCTGCTTTTAAACGCGTCTTCTTTGTAGTCATTTCTAACTTTGGTTTGATTCCTAGCTGCTTCTCGATCTCTAGCTTCTTTCTTTACTCTATCTTCATCCACCTTGATTGTACGACCTTCATCCCGACGATACTTCTTTTTGGCCATTTCTTCTCTCAATCGCTTTTGTTCTTCCAGCTTTTTCACATAAGCTTGATCCAATCCAATCGCTTCCGCACATTCAATAGTGTTCTTGAGTTCATCTGTCTTTGAATCTCTTCGTCGTCGCTCAAACTTCGGCCGACTCCGGTCTTGACCACGATTTGGCCTTCTATCATCTCTAGACCTATCCTCTCTTCCTTTTTTATGATCTTCTCTGCCTTTTCCATAGTTTTCTCTACGTTTTCCATAATCTTCTCGACTCTTTCCTGTCTCATTCCTCCTCGTATCCCAGCTTTTGACATCCTTATCATTTCGGGTATCCCTTCTACCATCATTTGACTTTTTGTATTTCCTTTTAGGTGAATATCTTCGTGTTCTTTTTGGAGATTTTAATCGTTTTGGTGATTTACTTTTAGATTTGGTACGTTTAGGTGATTTACTTCTAGATTTGGAACGGCTTAGTGATTTACTTCGAGATTTGGAATGTCTTGAAGAACTGCTTCTGGATTTAGAAATTGATCTAGAATCAGATCGGCTTCGAGATGAAGATCTTGAACTTGAACTGTAGGACGACCTTGAGCTGTATGAAGAAGACCGGCTTCTTGATGAATAGGTCGATACTGACGGGCTTCTGGACCTTCGTTTTTTAGCTGAAAACAAAAAGTTCAGGCTTATTTTAGTTTAAAAATACAAAATATATTAAATTTGTTACCTAAAAAATATTTTTAATTAACAATATCAAATTTTTAAATAAAATGTCAAATTAAATACCTAAATTTAACTAAAAAATGTATTTTTAATCCCAAAAAACCAACAAAATGTAAATTAAAATACAAAAAGTCAATATTAACCTACCTAGCGTTCTCTTCAAGAAATTCTCCACGCTGTCAGCCCAATTATTCTTCTGGCCACCATGACCACGTTGTTGATGTGGTTGTTCATTATGCCCAGCACGAGCAATAATAACCTTTGGCTGTGGTGCTACAGCGGGTATCATGGCTCTAAACCGAATAGTACCATCTTGATCCTGAAGAACTTGAGCTACTGGTCCACTTGTTGGTACTGGGGGTACATATTGATTGACTAAAGTTTGTCCTGGAGCTACTAGAAGTGGCGGCATAGAAGGACGAAATGGTGGTCCAACTGCCACTGAAGGTACAAATGGTTGAATTCGCACAGGTGGTACCACGTTTAAAGGAATTGGTGGTGGAAAAGTGTTCATTTGAAGAGGTCGAGGTGGTCCTGGTCGTGGACCTGCTACGTTAACTAAAATATAATTTTTAAAGTTTGTAAATAGTATCATATGCTGAGCTTATACCTAATAATCAAACAAAAATGTATTTTTGACAAAAAAACTTTACAACTACTAATATTTTAGTCAAACGCATTTAAATCGATTGTTCAATCAAAATAAAATTGCAAATCCTAACTACATCTGTCTTCTTCACATTCCACAATCATTGTGTTACCTAAATATCAAGAAGCTAAAAAGAAAGTCAACTTACAAGGCAATCGTCCCTGGAACTTCGGGTTAACATAACATTTTGTCGTTGTTGGCTTTGTAGGTGTCTGTGCAATAGGTTTACTTTGCACAACCTTACTCTGCGCATCCTTATCCCCTTTCACCGACGTGTTCGCCGGTTTCTGTTCCTGTGTCTCTGTAGTCGGCTTTTTGTCCTGATTCTGCGTCGAAGAAGTTACAGGCTTTTCTGAAGCTGGTTTTCGTTCACTTTCAAATTTATCTCGCTTTTCCTCCTCCTCATCTTCGTCATAGTCAAGCTGTTCGTCCAAGTCAAGGTCTTGTGTTGTGTTAAACGATTGTTCTGGATTTTCGTCCAATCCGAGTAAAACATCTTCATCTAGCTCGTCGTTCCCTTCAAAAGTACCAGCATTGTCCAAAATATCGTCCAACTCTGTGTCTAACGTGCTCATTCTACTGAAATTGATCGATTTAGTAAGGTTTGATGTGCTAGCGCTCTCGGATCATAAATCGCCAAGATAACACGATTTAAAAAGTTCAAGAAACAAAAACTAAAAACACAAAAAAATACAAAATATCATTAACTATAAAAAACTCAAAATTAGTACATTAAACATATTTTCAAATTTTAAAACCGATCACGTAAATTTTAGGTAACAAAAAATATAATAACATTAAAAATTATAAAAATATGTGTACCTCCTAATGTAAATCTTAAAATCAAACAGCTAAACATTTCTCTATCCTTTACAATATACAAAAGGGAAAAAAGCGCCGCTAAGCCCTATTTTAACATAATCTCAAACTAAAATCTCCAGCTCTTCTAAAAACTCTCAATATACTATATTCAGCACACAAAAGCTAAATCATTGACAATATTGAATGTTTTTCGTATTTGAAGAAAATAAAAACGCTATTCATCTTCTTCTCCATGCTTTCGGAAGATATTTTTTCTTGTTTCCAAACTTTTCTTCGTTTTTTCTATATATTGGCCTTCTGTCGCTTTCGTGGTGGGACCAAACGGGCCGCACAGTGTAAATGGAAAATGCAGGTTATTTTCGAATATTAAAAAAATTTTGAAGTAAAAGTAGTATTTTATCTTGATGTTTAGATAATTATTGTTATTTTGCAATATTTCCTGATGCCTTAGAGTGGCAATTTTACTTTTAAGCCTTCATTTTTATTATAACCACCTAAAACAATACATGTGAAGAGTTCCAACTCAAAATAACAATAAAATTTATTCGAAGTAATAGAAAAAATATTCAGAATCGCAGTTATTACATATTTACAATACTAAAAACACAACAAACTATTAAAAACTTTCGATAAAAGGTTAGAAAATACGAAATTAAGAATGTATGGTAAAGAAAATGGCAGAATTAAGGCAGCACCAAGAAAGGACTAGAATTATTGTCATAGATTATGTTTTTTGGACGGTTGGCACAAATAATGGACGGCTAAACAATTGTAATCAGGCTGTCGATTAAAAATGGTATTAGTCACTTAAAAATGGCATTAATCAGTTTATCGACCGTTTTTTTGGTTAATCGACCATTTTTTTGTTCAAAAGTATTGGACATTATTTTTGTTCATGTTTTTGATCGTTATTTAAAACGGCCTTAGGCCCATCCACCAGTGAGTTTGTGGAACTTCTCCTCGTCCAACTTTTGGCTTTGTTCTTTGGAGCGGAGCGATACGAAGATGTAGCCGCCAATGAATTCGTGGACAACCTTGCAGTCGGCTGACAGGGGTTTGAACTCGATTTCTTCGTTGTCCAGTTGAATCTGAAGGGATTTTCGATTAATTTTGATAGTTTAGGTAAAGTAAAGTTCACCGAGAAAGGTTGATTTTTTGTTTTGTAAAGAAAGTTCTTGCTATATTTTACTTTGTAAAGAAAGTTCTTGCCATATTTTGCTTTGTAAAGAAAGTTCTTGTCATTTTTTGTTTTGTAAAGAAAATTATTGCGACTTTCTGTTATAAAATTTCATTTTTTTAATTCGTCCTTCTCCTACCTTAATATGTCTGATCTCCCAGTTCACATGCCATTTCTGCATTTGATTGAAAGGCCAGGTCTTCAAGATCTCGCCGTTATCGGGGTTAACCCTCATTAATCTATTATAAGTAATGGCGATCAAATCATTCTTTTTGGCACCTTGGAACCGCACAATAAAGTAATGTAGACCATGTTCAGGTAGAGCTTCCCATGTCCGAATGTACTGTAACTTCGCTTCTGTTGATGACAACGATTTAACATTGTTATGGGCATCAGCAATCTTTTGTTGAAGACCTTGTTTCGATCGCGACTTCTTAACATAACGCTGTGCTACGTAGTCTTCGACGTTGAAGTCGTTTGGAAGTTGAACTGATGGAGCACGTTTTTGACGTGCCTGGCCGTTCTGTTCTTTTGGCGTCGCTTGCATTTGAAGGACTTTGCGAATGTTCTCGACTTCAGTCGAATATGTCGCGTCGGCCATGGTTTTTCCGCGCGAGGCTAGGCGACAGGCTGCCATCCATTTGGAGAAGTGGTGCTCCTGGAAAGGTTGGGTAAATTTCGGATTAGGACTATTATTTTAAATTTTTGAACTTCAAATAGAAAAAGGTTTTAAAAATGCCTTTATTATTAATCTTCGGTCTATCTATACCAACTTTCAAAAAAAAATTCACAATATATCCCTTATCACTTACATTATCGCATTTAAGCACGAGATCAGTCATGCCTTCAGCCGTGGGGACTTGAATCTTAATGTGGTATATCGACTTGGAAACATTGACCTCCTGACCGACTTCACAGCCCTTCAAACAGTAATCAGCTTGAGGACGAGCATTAGTCTCCTGAGCATTGTTATACATGTAAAGGTACAGATCTCTGAACACAAAGTAAGCACGTTTGAAGGTTTTAAACATTCTCTTAGGCTTGCAATACCGTAGATAGTCAGCAATCTCTGGAACTTGAGTCAAGTCACGTCTTTGGAGTGTAGCATTTGCATCCAGTGATCTTTCCAGCTCATCTAACATAATATCGACCGCATCTCTCTCTGGCGTCTCTCGTTCTGGAGATTCACGTTGTAGCGTGGCTTGAAGCTGAAGGGCCGCGAAAAGATTGGCTTCTTCTTCTGTCGTCTCAGTTTCCTCAAGTAGAACTGAATGTTTTGCTTGTTCATAAATCTGGTTGATTCGTACTAGATCGTACTTGGTGTTCAGATCGTAAAAGGTGAGGAATTTGAAGCGTAAAACAACCAAATCTCCTTCCTGAATACCTTGTTCCATCAACGAGCGAGATGAATCGAGCCATCCGCGGTTTAGGGCTGCTTTTTCGACCAAGTTTTGTGGTCGGAAGCTGTCTTTAGTCGGTCGGTTTTGTGGTGAATGTACGAAACGAGGATCGAACTCTTCATTATCCAATGGTTCAGTAAATCCGGGTTCTGGAGTTCGGCCAACAGCTTCACGGTAAGCAGCGGGACCTGGACTCATACCTCGAGGCAAAGTTCCGGCTCTGGGCATGGTACCAATTTCCGAGGCGTTAAAAGCGTGTCCAGGACCAATAGTACCAGCAATCGATGGAGATTGTTGTCTCATTGTATTATTGATGGTACCGGCTCGGATTGGCTTTAACGTGCGCATCGTTCCAGGACCAATCGATTCTTCTCCAGGCTTTGCGGCCGAAATTGAGACAGGTTTGTCAGATTCAATGTTGGCTCCTTTCTTGAGGACATCGGCCGGGATGTCACGCTTGAGTGAGAGCTCAACTGGATGACGGATTCCGAGTTCTGAAGCCAGTTTGGTCACTACTTGAAGGACTGGGACGGAGAAGTCAAGATGGGCTGGGATTACTTGGCCATCTGGTATTTCAACGCTGAAAATGAAGTTTTATAACATTTTTTTAAGTAAAAAGTAAAAATTATTCTTAAAAAGTTTTGTCGTTTTTTAAGGTAAAAATACATATAAATATATATCAAATAACGACAAGACTTTAAAAGGTTTTGAGAAATTCATTTTGCCATTTCCACCACTTACCGAACTTCCTTGTGCATAGGAGTGAACTCCAAATAATGCTGAGAAGTCACGCCAACCTGATCCAACGTGCTTCTGGTGTGTTTCAGCCATCGTCGGAGCACAGGCCACCAGAGAGCGTGATCAGACCAATCTCGAGTGTCATTTACTTCGCCCACCAGTTGTGACATAACCTGGCCTACAGCACGATCTCCTCGAACTTCGATCTCACGAGATAGTTGTAGATCCGTGACGTAGACGCCAAGTTTCCAGCCGGCATCACTGGACTGGAACCCATCTTGGATAAGATGGGACATTTTAAGGCCTGAAAAGGATATTTTGAGAAAATAGCAAGTTTAGATTAACGTTTGCGCGTTTGTTAAAAAACAGTCATGTAAAATACGGACACTGGAAGAAACACTCATTAACGAAGCACGTTCTTTCAGACAAAGCATTGAAGATATTAAAAAGTAGCACAGTATCTAGCTTTTAAGCCAAAAAAATTAAGGAATTAATATCGGCCAAACCCAGAAGCCGAGCTCAGATACAACCCAATACCAAGGAACGGCCAATAATTACATAAACATCTACATATATTAAAAAACTGAAGCACCTTTAAAAATTCTTAAAATTATAGTATTCGTCACATAGTTTAAACTTTAATTTAATTTAACCCCCCCCCCCCTTTTTTCGACTGGACCTAAAAATTTTAATTTGTAACCACCCCCTCTATAAAACTCCCTTTCTGTTTAGCCATAAAAGTACATAAAAGTCCAAGTATGAAAAAATAATCAAAAGGTTAAAAAGTAAATAAAAGCCGGTTGAAAATCGACAGGAGACATTCGGCTAACCAGCTTAATGGCCCAAAGTCCGAAACGGCTGTTCCTAAACAACAAATTTTATCAATCAAACGCAAAAAAAGTGTAGGAGGAAAATATTTTAGAGATTTTGAAGGAATTTTAAATACAGTGGAACTTGTAGTTAAAATTCTTTTGAACCCCTAAAATATAACTAATCGCTTAGAAATTTTAAATTTTCTCGTTATAAAGCAGTTCCGGTATAGAAGAGGTTTAAATGCTCTGTGTAGTGATAGCTAAAGATTTAAAAATGGTTCGTTATACGAGATTTTTGTTGTAGAGGAGTTCTACTGTAACTTAATAAAAGATCATGTATTTTTTGAACAGCCATAATCTGAAATAAGGATAAAATAAGCCTTTAAGCGGCCGAAAAAAACCTAAACTAGCAAAAACATGCCATATAAAACAATTTTTAATTCGGGGATAACTAACAGAATAAAAATTATAACCACAAGATATTAAAAAATCCACAAAATTTAAAATTTCAAAACCAGTATAATTTAAAATTTTAAAAATTGAGTTGAACGAGAAGTAACAATGTATAAGGCCATAATTGTAATAAGAGACCAAACATGTTTTTCTTCAAAAAATTTGTTTTTCTTTTCGATTCTTACAAAACAGCTTATGAGTCAGATTGAAAAAGAAGGGTTTTGTGCTAGGCTAGCTTAAAATCTTTAAAATAAGAAAGATGTTTTGGTCTACACACCTACCGGCCTAACAAAACTCGACCCAAAAGCCAAGCCCTGTTTAGAACTATAACCCAACCCCAACTAGAAATATCAACCTCACTTTAAAATTTTAAAATCCTCCCGATTCATTCGAACTCCAAAAACAAACAAAATTGCGCGTGCCAAAAACCGCAAGATTCAGGTAGCGTTTAAGAGTCATTAAACGGATGCAAACGCAAAAGAAACCCCCTTTTTCCTCCAAAATCAAATGCCAATACCTCCGCCGCTCGCCTCCTCGCCCACTCAAAAAGCCTGTGAAGATCGAGAAAAGACGGAGAGAGATCTTTTCGTGTGACGGCCACAACCTGGCCATTCCGAATGCAAAGTTCAATCGGATTATGCGAAAATGGCTTCAAAATTGGGTCAAGCGAGAAAAGTTTGGTTTCATTCAAATATCAGAAATGAATTAAATTTTAGGTGTTTTGTAATTTTTTAAATTTTGAGACTAAAATTTGGTAATATTTTGAAACTAATCAAGGTCAAGGGATAGAGGAAGCAAAAAAAATGTTTAAAAAATATAAATGTAGTCCTCCCCGCCTTCCCTTATTGATCTAGAAAAATATTTTTGACAAAAAAAATCAAAACAAAAATCAATTCAAAATTTAGACGATGAAATAAAAAAACCACAAAAAATCTTTTCGTACAATGAAGCAACTATGAATAGGCCTACAAAAAAACTCCCCTTATAAAAAAGCAAAAATAAATTAAATTTGCAAAAAACACAGAAAAACCCTTTAAAAACCTGCACTGTGCAGTCTAGAAAGGAGACAAAACAAGGTCTGCACCGTGCAGTCTTATTGCGCAAAAACTCACTCTTCCACTTTCTCAATTTTTTCTCGATTTTGGAAGGCTCGAATTTGGCCAAGAATTGATCAAAACCAAATCCTGTACCGTGCAATCAAAATCAAGTCCAATGTCGCGACAAAACTCTGTGGTTTCTTGCCTTCGCACACTCTCTCGCATTTCGCAATAAGGCATGCAACGACTTCTTTACCGTGCAGTCACAAAAGAAGCCAAAAGAAGGTTTGCACCGTGCAGTCTCATTACGCAACCCATCGGTCTACCCTTTTCTCAACTTTTTCTCGATTTTGGAAGGCTCAAATTTGACCGAAAATGAACCAAAAAAACAGTCATGCACAGTGCAATCAAAATTCGCAACGAAACTCTGTGGTCTCTTGTTTTCGCACGCTCTCTCGCTTTCAGCGATAAGGCAATTGACAATCCTGCGACAAAGACTGCACCGTGCAATCAAAATCAAGCTTATTATCGCGACAAAACTCTGCACTCTCCGTCTTTCGCACACTCTCTCGCTTTCAGCGACAAGGCAATCGACAATCCTGCGACAAATTCTGCACCGTGCAGTCAAGAAAGAAGCAAAACAAGGTCTGCACCGCGCAGTCTCATTACGCATCCCATCGGCGTTCCCCTTTCTCAATTTTTTCTCGATTTTGGATGGCTCGAATTTGGCCAACAATGAATCAAAAGCAAATCCTACACTGTGCAATGAAAATCAAATCAATTGTCGCGACAAACCTCTGTGGTCTCTTGCTTTCGCACACTCTTTCACATCCCGCGACAAGGCAATTGACAATCCTGCGACAAATTCTGCACCGTGCAATCAAAATCAAGTCCAATTGTCGCGACAAAACTCTGTGGTTTCTTGCTTTCGCACACTCTCTCGCATTTCGCGACAAGGGAATTGACAATCCTGCGACAAATCCTGCAAATCGCAGGCCGCGGCAAAACTCTGTGGTCTCTTGTTTACACACACTCTCTCGCTTTCTGCAATAAAGACGATGCAAACTCTGCTCAGTGCAATCAGGGAAAGCAATTTTTCTCCATTTTTTCGAGATTTTGGAGAGCCAAATTTTGGCTCCAAAATGGACTTGAGAAAAAGCGTTGCACCGTGCAGTCAGATCAAAAGGCTTTGCACCGTGCAGTCGGTATAAAAAGAGCCTTGCTCGGTGCATTTGAATTTTTTTTAAAGATTATTGTTCTAAAAATTAAATAAAAAATAAATTTATTTTTGACTCACAAATAAGTGAAATTTTTCAAATTTTTATGTTTTAAAAAAGCGAAAATTTTAATGGATTCACAGTAAATTCATTAAACAATCTTAAAAACTGCACTTTTAAATTTAAAAAGCTTTAAAATCTAACCAATATTGAATAGACATATATACATATTCTTTTTGACTTACACACCCCAAAATTAAAGATAATAAAACAGTTTAACACCAAAAACATTTCGATAACAAGCCCAGATCTTGACCCATTCGCTCCCAAAACACTCGTCAAACCTTGTCCAAACGCAAAACGACTTGAAATTTGTTCGCAATAAGGTAGATGGAATAAAAAATGTCATTCAATACCCCAATGACCGGAAACCAAGCCCGATTTCACACCGGATTTATTCGATTTCCAAGTTAATGGATTGTTCGAAATTTTAAATTTTCCGTTTTTTGACATGATCTTTTTATGACAAGTACGCCTTAAAATTTTGTATAGGCTTTTGGGATCATACTTTAAAGTTACTGAATCACAAAATTTCACAATAACATTGAAACTTCTTGTCGGCCAGTTTTCAGTAATCTACTACAATGTTAAAATTCAAAGCATAAAAAAATTAATCCAATAACTTAAAAATAAAATTTAAGCTCCAACTTTAATTGCAAAACTTTAATTAAACTCCGGATTTACGATCCAAAAGTTTACTCTGTAAAAATAAAAAAGCATCCGGCTATTTTCTCTCTCCCACCACGAAAACAAAGCCCGCCAATTTATTGGCCTTTCGTCCCAAGCCAATTGTGCGTCGAATTTTCGCCGAAATGTCAAAAGTCAAGCGGAAAATAGTTATCTAGTAATTTTGGTTAATTAAAACTCACTAATTTGATTTTTACTTGTTTCACAATGTTTATGGGTTCTTTTGCTCGCGAACTACATTATCCATGAGATGGACGGGGTTTCATTTCAAAGCTCACTTCGTTTTTATGCGTCTTTCTTTTCAGCTACAGTTGAGGTCTTTGTGTGTTCGAAATCGATCGTTTTTTTCTTTGTGATTCATTGCGGATTTCGAATTTATGATACAAAACAAATTTGGAGCCGATTTTTAAAACAAAAATGGATATTTTTACGGATTTTTGTTTTTTAACCTTGGGCAATTATTTAGAAAAGAAACGTCTGACGAGAGGATAGTATTATTCTGTCTAGAAAAGCGCATATTCGAGGTTATTAAAAAAGCTTTTAGATTTTATTGAATATTCGTTATGATTTTTTTCTGTAAAGAAAGTTTTTGCGATTTAATGAATTTTTGAAAGGAATTTTTATGCGTTGTTTAACAGGCAGTTATATGAATGTATATTTATGGTCTATCTATTGGAATGAAGGGTCATGTGAGTGGTTTTTGAGGCCAATTTGTAAATTTTTGTTTATATTGTTGGAATTCAAATTGGTTTTTTAATTTTTTTTATAAAAAATTTAAAAAAGTTTGAAGTAAGAAGAAAAACAGATGGCGAAGTGTTCTAGCTTTTGAGATATTATGCTATGACTAAAGCTTGTTTTCTATAGTGAAACATGGAAGGAATGCCTTTGTACCTAAAGTAACATAATGTAACTACAATGCTACGAATAGAGACTTCAATACGAAACTTCTTCAACACTATACACTAGCTCAAATACGAAAACGCATTACAACGCTGGTTGTTGTTTTGAATGCAAACGATTATGATTGATTGCAGCTTCGGGGTCTGGTTTTAATTCTTCGGGACAACCGGTTTTATGGGACTTGAATCAGCCGGCTACAAATTCGTGTGATTAACACGCGACGCTTACTGTGCTTTTTTTGCATTTTATAGTCATGAATACAATTTACGGGAGGGTTTTAAGCTGAAATGGCTTTCTATGTTGTTATAGAGATTATATTGTTTTACATTGTGTTGAATATGATGTGTTTACATTCTAAAAAGGTTATTTTTCTTTAACTTATTAATGTCAGATGTTAGTTTTAAAATATTTTACGTTATGTATAATTTTAACATTAAAAACAATCTTTGCGCTGTTTACATTACCTCAATATTAAGTTAACTTTTTTGATATCTAAACCTATCTATTTTCAGGCATTTTATGCATTTGGTGCTGTCGTAACATTTAGCTTGCTTTTTGTTAAACTCTGGAATTAAAAATGCCGGTTCCAGTAAGAATGAACGTGTACGATATGTACTGGCTGAATGACTACGCTTCGCCTATTGGATTTGGGATTTTTCACTCTGGAGTTGAAGTGTATGGTGTTGGTATGTTTTTATACCTTTTTTAGTTTGTTTTTTAGATGGAATTATAGGGTCTGGACTAACTTAAAGCTTTATATTACCTAAAAACCATTTTGGGGTTAACTTTGATGAGATTAATGTCGATATTTTTATGTGATGGCCATGTGGAAGGTTTTAACTAATATTTTTTGTGTTTTGTAGAGTACGCCTACGGTGGACATCAATTTCCATTCTCGGGCATTTTTACGAATCAACCACAAGATGCTGAAGAGCTAGGAGAAAACTTCAAGTTTCGAGAGAGTATCGTGGTGGGCGAGACGGATTTGACTGAAAAAGCGGTCGAAAAGCTGGTAAAGAGCTGGGGAGAAGAATTTAGAGGTGACAGGTAAGATTTTCTATATAATTTGTATTGGTTTTTAGGAGTTTGGCAGATTTGAGATCTTTTATTACCAAATTTATATTGTAATAGATATTTGGTTAAATTTAATTGAGAAAATTTGGTTTCAATGGGATAAAATTTTTAATTATCACCCAAATTTGAAGTCCAAACTTCAAGGAATATGATTTGAACCTATCTATGGCATAACTTTTTAGGTATCACTTGATAACAAAGAACTGCAATCATTTTACGGCCAACTTTGCCCGAGAATTGACTGGAAAAGACGCGCCCGGCTGGGTAAACAGGCTAGCAAATGTGTCGAATTCGATTCCGTTTTTGGACAAAATGCTCCCAATGGAATGGCTAACACCTACGGCTCTCGCTGACACTTTGGATCGGGAAACAAAGGACAAGAAAACATTGAACTATCCAGTGGAAAAGGCAGAAGAAGCTATTTTTGAATGTGGAAGCCCGAATTCCAGGAGAAAGATTTCTATCGGCAAGTATAATATTTGAATGTTATTTTACTATTGTGAATTCAGCTTTATATGCTTTATGTTATTGGTTTTAATGGTTTGAAGGCCAAAATCTTCGTCTTTTATGACAATTTAAAAATTTTATAACCTTCAGATCAATCTCCAACGAATCCAGGCACCAGAAGATCATTTTTTGTTCGCCGAGTATCAGAAATCACAGGCGGATCAGCACCAAACACATCACGGTCTAGTGCAACAACAACAAATCAAGTATTTTCTCGCTTCTGGAATTCGATCAGGAGTTTGGCATCAGATGACAGTCCCACAACGTCCAACGGCTTCAGATCACCCCCCTAAAAAAGGGACCAATGGAAATTGACTAATTCATCGATGATTTAGTTGATTGGGCGTTGACTAATCAATCGGCTAACGCTTCGACTAACGAACTAAATAATCAACCTTCTAATGCCATTTACCAAACTACAGGTTCATAAATTGTATTATCAAATATATATCACCGTCATTGTGAATACGTTGTAATTCTTCAATCTTTCTGTAAATTTCATCGATTAAAGGCTATCAGTTGGATTTGTTTAAAGACGTATCAATCTGTTCCTTGTCTTTGGTACTGCTTTATATTGTCTGTAAAATTGAGCTTGAAAAAGGCTTGTTTCAACGATAAAATGTTATGTTTGTTATAGTATCTTAAGCTTTTCCGAACTTTTAATATTGTTTATAGTAGAATAGGCTTTTTTGGAGTAAAACAACATCAAACTTCAGTTTTTTTACTTTGTTTTAGAGTAAAAACGTTTTAATTGATTAAACTTATTATTGTTTATTAACGTAGTTTCACGATAGATTAACTTTCCTTCATGTTGATATTCAAGTGCCTGTTTTAAACGTAAGATTTAATGTTGTATACGAAATGTTTGAGTGTATGGTAATCTTGTCTCTAAACCTCTGTTCTTCCATGTTCACACTTTCCTAGACTACTTTGTGAATTTTCTTGTACATAAACTAAAAATTGTCAAATGGTGTCGATTTTATAATGGATCCAGTTAAAATCTCGATATTGAGTAATGTTCTTTTTTATTTTTCGTAAAAGGCTTACTTTCCGCTTAAAAAATGTTGAGGATTTATTTTTATCGTTTTTTACAACTCAGTGATTTTTGTGACACTTCGTTGCAATCGATAAAATTTGTGAAATTTCGTTTTATCTTTGGAAATTAATTTTTTGCAGGTCTTTTCTAAGACTCTTTCGGAGTAAAGTTTGTTATAATTGGCAAAACTTACTTTTTCGTTCTTTCCATTTTTAAATTAAAAATATCCCACTAAAACTATGTTTTCATGAAGAATGGCGTCTATTCTTTCCGTGTTACCTGAGCGGATACATTTCAAGTTTGGAAGTGAGCAAAGGGATGTGCTCATAACAAATAACAGCCAAAGGACTATAAGATGCTACGTATACTTTACAAGTGATGCGTGTATTGCTCCCAATGTAAAAGAAGAAATTATTATCAACATCGGCTGTACACATCGTCTCGTGGTGAAACTGAATAAGTAAGTTATTTATTTTAGTATTATTTACGATTTTTAGGTCTTATATGGATTAATAACAATCATGATCTAAATTATAAAAGATTTAAAGGGTTTTTTTTGTAAATTGACAGATTTTATTAATATGATCGGCGTGTTTTACTAAAAAACGTCTTTTAGATATCCGGTTAATTCTAAATTATACATTCGGTATACAACAACGGACAAAAAGGTATTTGGAATGGAGGAAGTTGTAATGTAAGATACAGTTTTTTAAACGTATATTAGGTATTTAGATATTCAAAATATGACGAACTCCACGTTTGCCAGACAAAGGAATATGTGGTGGATACATCGCGATTCATCAACAAAGATCCATACACCGATTTTTTAATAGTATGTGAAGGTGGAGAGCTAAATGTAAGATTGCTTTTATTTATGTAAAAACCTCTGTATTTGAACAGTTTGGTATTTTTAGGTAACAACAGAACATTTATCTTTTTTTGACTAAACTTTTTTGTTTATTAAACAATCTTGCATTTTTTCTAATTTTTTCGTTTTTAGGTTTCGAAACTAAAACTGGCCTCTTCGTCTTTTTTCTTCGAAATACTTTTTAGAACGAATTATTTCTGGAGGGAGAATACTACAGGGGAAATCGTATTGCCTTATGATTACCAGAATATGAAGGCTTTGATAGAATTTACATATGGGAACCGGAGGCCGTTTCACGGGCGAGAAGCCATGTCGATCATACATATTGCGAAGTACTTCGACATGAATCCACTAGTAGTAAGTTGAGTATTCTTTCGCATAACTGTTTAATATTTAATTTGGCTTTATTTATTATTTAAGGACTTCTGTATACCATACATCGTCGCATTTATCAACACAGAAACAATCGATGAAATAGCAACGGTTTCTCACAAATACAACATTTACGAGCTGCATCATGAATGCGTTAGGTTTCAGCAGTCTCTGCGACTATGAGAACAATTTTCATATGTTGTAGGTATGTCTTCATAATCTTCTTTAGTTTGATTTTTAGGTGAATTTCTAGTTTTTCGACAAACTTATAAGTTTATATTAATATTTGCGCTATTTACGTCAATATAAATTTAACTTTTTTGATATCTAAACCTATCTATTTTCAGGCATTTTATGCATTTGTTGCTGTCGTAACATTTAGCTTGCTTTTTGTTAAACTCTGGAATTAAAAATGCCGGTTTCAGTAAGAATGAACGTGTACGATATGTATTGGCTGAATGACTACGCTTCGCCTATTGGATTTGGGATTTTTCACTCTGGAGTTGAAGTGTATGGTTGGTATGTCTTTATAGCTTTTTTAGTTTGTTTTTTAGATGGAATTATAGGGTCTGGACTAACTTAAAGCTTTATATTACCTAAAAAGATGTTGTGGCAAACGTTGATGAGATTAATATCAATATTTTTATGTTATGTCGTTGTGAAAGGTTTTAACTAATATTTTTGCAGAGTACACTTACGGTGAACATCAATTTCCATTTTCGGGCATTTTCACGAACCAACCACAATATGCTGAAGAGTTGGGAGAAAACTTCAAGTTTCGAGAGAGTATCGTGGTGGGCGAGACGGATTTGACTGAAAAAGCGGTCGAAAAGCTGGTAAAGAGCTGGGGAGAAGAATTTAGAGGTGACAGGTAAGATTTTCTATATAATTTGTATTGGTTTTTAGGAGTTTGGCAGATTTGAGATCTTTTATTACCAAATTTATATTGTAATAGATATTTGGTTAAATTTAATTGAGAAAATTTGGTTTCAATGGGATAAAATTTTAAATTATTACCCTAATTTGAAGTCCAAACTTCAAGGAATATGGTTTGAACCTATCTATAGCATAACTTTTTAGGTATCACTTGATAACAAAGAACTGCAATCACTTTACGGCCAACTTTGCCCGAGAATTGACTGGAAAAGACGCGCCCGGCTGGGTAAACAGGCTAGCAAATGTGTCAAATTCGATTTCGTTTTTGGACAAAATGCTCCCAATGGAATGGCTAACACCTATGGCTCTCGCTGACACTTTGGATCGGGAAACAAATGACAAGAAAACGTTGAACTATCCAGTGGAAAAGGCCGAAGAAGCTATTTTTGAATGTGGAAGCCTGAATTCCAAGAGAAAGATTTCTATCGGTAAGTATAATATTTGAATGTTATGAAGGTGTTTTACCGTTGTGGACTTGGCTTAATATTTTTATGCAATTTTAATGTTTTGAGGGCCAAAATTTTCGTTTTTTATGATAATTTTAAAGTTTCATGACTTCCAGATCAATCTCCAACGAATCCAGGTACCAGAAGATCATTTTTTGTTTTTCTCCTATTTTCAAAGCATATAATATTTACCCCGCCCGGCGGGCCTGCCGTTCTCTGGACACTACCGTGCTCCAGGCCCTATTGTATCTTAAGCTTTACCGTACCTTAGGTTTTACCGTACCCTAGGCTCTTCTGTAATAGGTCTTTTTGTGGTAAAATGACGTCAAATTACGTGGTTTTGGAATAAAACACCATCATTGGTTAAACTTCTTACTGTTTATAAACGTAGTTTCACGATAGACTAACTTTCCTTCATGTTGATATTCGAGTGCCTATTTTAAACGTAATATTTAATGTTGAATACGAAATGTTTACGTGTATGGTAATCTTGTCTCTAAACCTCTGTTCTTCCATGTTCACGCTTTCCTAAACTACTTTGTGAATTTTCTTGTACATAAACTAAAAGTTGTCAATTGTTGTGGATTTTTATTTTACAAATTTTTAACTTTCGTTTGGTTTTTGCAATTAATAACATTAAAACAAATGGTATAGGTAAACATTCCATAAAAAATTTCTAATATGAAAAGATTACGTTTGAACATTTGTGGTACATCTATTTCGAAGGTTTTAACTCGTTTTTCGTTCGCGTAGTTATCATTAATGAGCTCAATTGGCTTAACCCAGTTTAGTTTACCATGGTACTCGGACTTTTGTTCGCAGATGTTGGAGAACAATTCAAAACGATAAGCGGTAAAATACAGATTGGTTTCAAAAATAAATTCGAATGAATCCGTATTTGTTAAATAGACATCATCAATCATGCTATACTTTGGTAGTTCTTTTTCAAATTTAATGTAAACTGATGGGGGTTTCGGCTTGTTGAGCATGCTTTTGCCGATTCCAAAAAACATCAGTTTTGAGCAGTTGAGTTGGAGGTAATTGAGGTTTAAAGCAAGTGCCATGTCTAAGCAATCAAAAGCGTTTTTAAATGTTAGATTTTCTAATAGGAAGAGTTCACATTGATTCTGCAAATTAGAGAACATAAATTTGGTTTTATTTTACACTCTACTCTAAAGTGCCTTACCTTGCATTACTATACTCTATTTTAAAACACCCTACTCTACTTTATCTTAGCTTACAGTATCTTTTCACGAGTTACCTTATTCGACCCAGCCCTCCCACATAACATTGTAAAATTTAAAAAAAGCTATAATATTCCTGATACTGTCCTTATAAACTCATTAATAAAAACTAATTCTGTAAAAACGTACCAATAAAACATCCACGGCATATTTGTCAGCAACCATACAAACTTTAATAGCTAGGTCAACGTCCTCGACTCTTTTATGGCTATACATAAAGGCCAACATGGCTTCGAAAGCCTCAGCATCATCAGTAACTTCTAATTCATCGGCCTTGCTTTCTAGCATTTTCGAACTAAACATGCTTTTAAACACGGGTGACTTTGAGATCAGAACGGACTTTTGTACCTAAACACAGAGACCATGACTGGCTTTCCTTTCGAACAATGAAAAAACAAAAAAGAATTTTAAAATTATATAAATTTACTTTAAATTTCCTGTTACATGCTGCAATAGTAACGTCGTAGTTGCTATTTTGTCCTGTTTTGGTTGGGAGCTCATCATCAATATTTTTTACAATTTCTAAAAAGTTGTTTTTTATAGTATCCCATGCTATAAGTTGTTGAATATAGAAAAAAACTACCCCTATAATATTTCAAACTAACAATAAAAGTACACGGAATGCCGCGGTCTGACTGACTTCAAACTTTTAACATAGAAAGGGTATGTAAATAAGATCTTCAGCAGTGTACTAAATCGCGCTTTCTAGGAAAACTCGAAAAAATCGAGATCAAAAAATTACGTTTTGCATTTTCCGCAAAATTGACACTGTGTTTTAAGCTCATAACTTTGTCGTTTTTTGAATTTTAACAGTTTTTCTTTGACATACTAGTAGAAAACCGTTTAAGGCTTGTAACAAAATGCCAAGTTTGCAAAATTGGCGCGACTTTCAAATATTTTAACTTTGAAACTCAAAAACGCGAGCTAAAATTCTTTATGGGTACTATTGGTGATACAAAACATACATATAAACATTTTGATCTAATTCTGAGCGGGGCAATTTGACCACTTTTCTTATAAGTTTTTTGTATTACAGTGCTCTTACTATATGGTGAACCATCTTTATAAGCAACTCTCCTAATAGTAAATAAGAAATTTAACTCCGCCACGTCAATTTGCACTAAAACTCACTCTGTAGAGATAATGCTCTCTAAAGTAGACACAAAATGTCGGTCCCTTTGAGATGCTTATATAGAGAAAATACTGAATATAAAACATAGTGAAACTTTATGATTCTTGACAGCCTTAAAATAAAAAAAAAATAAAAAATACTTACCTTTAAGCTTTTCTATCCTATTAACAATTAAAGTCTGGTTTGATTTTAAGAAATAACTATCTTTTCCAAAAGAAGACATTTCGTAACCAAAAATCTGTTGTTAGTACCTTATAACATTAAACCAGTGTTTTAATCACAAGCTATAAACCATACAATAATTTAAAAAACCAATATTTTTGTCGTCGGATTTACTATCAATAATTACACTATAAAAACAGCAGTAATAAATTTTAAGATCAAGCACAAAAACTTGTGTTAGATTTTTTAAAAAAAGAAAATTGCGACTTAAGTCAGAGCAAAAAAAAAGAAAAATAAAGCTATTAACCTTTACTTTGACACTTCGTCGAAATCAATATTTACAAGAAAAAACATGTATAACGAGTTTCTCTCTAATAAAATTTCCGTATAACAAACAAAGTTTTATATCAGTACTCAGTGGATTGAAAACTCTTCTTCAACAAAACTCTTTATGAAACAAAATTAAAATCCTTGAGACATTCGTGGTAAAATAGTTTATAAATACAGCCGTTATCAAAAAAACAGGAAACCTATTTGTTGCAAGCATAACTTTTTTTAAAAAGATTTTAGAAACAAACAATATTTTGTGATTTTGGATTGGTTTTTCATACAACAAACGCACAAAAAATAGTTTTTGAATTTGTTCAGCTTGAAAAGTTACAGTAATTCTACCGTACCCCTATTTACAAATATGTGTATAAATTTTTCTTTCAAAAATCGAAGATATACGTTTTGTAAAGAATAAAAATTTCATATTCTGTAAGTTTCAATATTATCTAGTCAACGAGCTACGTTTTTTTTTATTTTACAATTTTTCAATTTTGGTTTTTGCAATTAATAACATTAAAACAAATGGTATAGGTAAACATTCCATAAAAAATTTCTAATATGAAAAGATTACGTTTGAACATTTGTGGTACATCTATTTCGAAGGTTTTAACTCGTTTTTCGTTCGCGTAGTTATCATTAATGAGCTCAATTGGCTTAACCCAGTTTAGTTTACCATGGTACTCGGACTTTTGTTCGCAGATGTTGGAGAACAATTCAAAACGATAAGCGGTAAAATACAGATTGGTTTCAAAAATAAATTCGAATGAATCCGTATTTGTTAAATAGACATCATCAATCATGCTATACTTTGGTAGTTCTTTTTCAAATTTAATGTAAACTGATGGGGGTTTCGGCTTGTTGAGCATGCTTTTGCCGATTCCAAAAAACATCAGTTTTGAGCAGTTGAGTTGGAGGTAATTGAGGTTTAAAGCAAGTGCCATGTCTAAGCAATCAAAAGCGTTTTTAAATGTTAGATTTTCTAATAGGAAGAGTTCACATTGATTCTGCAAATTAGAGAACATAAATTTGGTTTTATTTTACACTCTACTCTAAAGTGCCTTACCTTGCATTACTATACTCTATTTTAAAACACCCTACTCTACTTTATCTTAGCTTACAGTATCTTTTCACGAGTTACCTTATTCGACCCAGCCCTCCCACATACCATTACAAAAAGTAAAAGTTATGAGATTCCTCGTTCTGTACTCATAAACTCAATCTACAAACTAATCCAGTAAAAAACGTACCAGTAAAACATCCACGGCATATTTGTCAGCAACTATACAAACTTTAATAGCTAGCTCAACGTCCTCGACTCTTTTATAGCTATACATAAAGGCCAACATGGCTTCGAAAGCTTCAGCATCATCAGTAACTTCTAATTCATCGGTCTTGCTTTCTACCATCTCGGATGCAAACATACCTTTAAACACGGGTGATTTTGACATTAAAATGCTTTTTTGGACCTGAAATTTGAGGTGAGAAAGTTACTTGATGAAAAAATAGCTTGAAAAGATGAAAAATAAAAAAACTACATAAACTTACTTTAAATTTCCGACCACATGTCGAAATAACCAAGTCAAAGTCAGTGTTGCTGTTCTGATCCAATTCGGTTGGGAGTTCACAGTCAACAGTTTTTACAATTTCTAGAAAGTCTTACTGTATCTTTTAAGTTTTGCGGTCTAGTGCAATACCTTACAATACCTACCCTACCCTATCCTACCCTGCCTTACTATACCATACCTTACCCTAGTATATCACGTCTTATATTTACCTTAAATCGCCTGCCCGGATGCAAAAACTATTATATACTTTGCTTTTAACTTATCATTACTAAAATAATACGCTTTCTTACTATATGATCTACAGCTTACCATACAGCGTGTTATATCGTATATTATGCTTTATAACCTACTAGCTTTCTTTACTACCTTACCCTACATTGTTGTACCCAGCCATGCTATACAATCTTCTAAGAAATTTTTTTGTAAATTTTGAAAATGTTTTCACTTCTTTTTAAAAAATACAATAAAAAATCAAAAACAAAAATACCTACCTTTAAGCTCTTTTATTCGATCAACAATCAACCTGCTGTTTTCCTTTAACAGATAGTCTTGTTCTTCAAAAGCTGCCATTTTAGAACTACCTAAAATTATATATTATGCTTTTGAAGCTACATCAAGCCATAATAAGAGAAAAACGAAGCTATTAGTTTGCTATGGGACGCTTTTTTAAAGATCCGTTGACGATCTTATTACGGTCGATAAATTTTGTGGCTTTTCGTCCATCTTTTGTTCACTAAAAGTTCTGGCTATTTTCTAGTTTTGTAAAGGCAGTTCTTGCTATTTTTTGTTTTGTAAAGAAAGTTCTTGCCATTTCTCACTTTGTAAAAAAAAGTTTTTGCCATTTTCGCTTTTCAAAGATTTTTTTTGCTAAAACAATTAAAAAAACCAAGATAAAACAAAATCCATTCAACAACCATACGAAATAAAACTTTATTCTCAACTCATAACGCCAATATATAGGCGAGTAATCACTATCCAACTACAATATAACAATCAAGAAGTTTGGTTGAGGTAGATAATTTGATCCTCTGGCAGATTCCACCATGAAAACACATCCGGATCCACTTGTTGCATCTCGTTGGAGTAGTGAAGTTGGACGTAGACCGTGTAGAAGCGCACGATGGATTCAATGTCGGCGAAGCGGAGCGGATCAGGATCGCCACATTCAACGTAGTAGTACTTTTGCTTCTCGGCTTTCAGAGAGTTGATTGGGAAGTGACTAATATACCCAAGTTTTAATTTTTATAATCACTTTTTGACCCCTCCCCTACGTTCAAAGCATATAAGATTTACCTTGCCCGGCTCAAGAGTGGTTACGATAATTGGCATTAAAGGTCTCTACTGTACATGCCCTATTCTAAGAGTTACAGCATCTTGAGCCCTACTATACCCTAAGTCCTACCGTACCCTAAGCCCTACCGTACCCTAGACTGTACCGTGTCCTAAGCCTTACTGTATTTCAGGCCCTATCGTACCCTAGGCCCTATCGTACCATAAGTCCTACCGTACCCTAGGCCCTACTGTACCTTAGGCCCTACCTTTCTCTAAGCCGTTCCGCATCCTAAGCTTTATCCTATGCTCTACGGTACTCTAGGCCCTGCCGTACCATAGAACGCTGCCTTAATATGTCCCTACCATACCCTACTCTAAAATTTCTTAACTTTATTATGCCCAATATATAAAAACAAACAAAAAACGTACCAATATCCGCCCTTGCTAGTATGGTACACCACAAACATACGAAGACAAGGCTCTAGTTCATCCAAGTCCTTCACATCAGAAACCTTATGATAGACCTTGAATTGAGTGCGTTCGGGACAATTTTCCATCGCTTCTTGTTGAGTAATTTGTCCCAAATAGTAGTTTTCAAAGTCACCGTCTTCGTAGAAAAGGGGCTGATGACGTGTTTTATCAACAAAGTATTTACTGCCGGTAGTGCTGGATTAAGGCCTAGACAATTATAGATTAAAAAAAAGAGAGTAGGATAAGGTAGTGTAGGATAGGGTAGGGTAAGATAGGATAGGGTAGGCTAGAGTAGGATAGGGTGAAGTGAAGTAGGGTAGAGTAGGGAAAAGAAAGGTAAGGCAGGTAAGACAACTTACTGCGTTTGAGGTCCCATATTGTGCAAGGTGAACCCGTGACGTTCTCTTTGAAGTACGACGGGTTCGTAGCCATCCGAGAGGTTTGACTCGATCTCTTGGATTCTCAACTTGTCGTCATTCTCAGTTCCCAGCTAAAAATGAGAAAATTAATAAAAAAAACGGTCGTTTTTTGGCCTGTAAAGAAAGTTCTTGCCATTTTTTGCTTTGTAAAGAAAGTACTTGCCGTTTTTTGTTTTGTAAAGAAAGTTCTTGCCATTTTTTGCTTTGTAAAAAAAGTTCTTGTCATTTTTTGCTTTGTAAAGAAAGTTCTTACCATTTTTTATTTTGTAAAGAAAGTTCTTGCCATTTCCCACTTTGTAAAGAAAGTTCTTACCCGACAAAGTTGTCCATGTTCACAACAGGTGATACAAACTCTGTCCGGTCTGTCGCGAGCGGGCGGCGCTTGTTGATATTCTTCTGAATCAGAAATCGTCAGATCACGACCACTGCCATCCTCGTAGTATGAGCGGCCAGGGGATGTCACTGAATTAAAAAATTTATAATATTTGAGCATATAATAAATGTCATGTTTTTGGCATTTTTTAAACTTTTTTTTGGGCGGGGTAAATTTAGGGCGGGGGGGGAGGGAGGGGGGGGAAGGGTGGCTAGCGAACGAAATTTCTTTCGAATTTAAACAAAATTTTTTTTATCAAATTGAAAAAGAAAAAAATAAATTTAAAATTTTTTATAGAAAGGGAGGGATACATTTTGGGGTGGATAAAAAAATTGTTTACTCAAAAGAATGGAAACTTACTTGAAGTAGTATTCAGATGCCAAAATCAAAATTCAACGACAAAAAACAGGGTAGACCGACTAGTCGCGACTGTTTTCAATAGCGCAAAAATGGACGAATCAATTTGCAATTTTTTTCATTTTTAAGTTTTTTCGAAAAAATCAAAATTTTTTAAAAAACATGTTAAAATTTTATTGGATCATTGTTAATGAATGTTTTTTGGTTTACACGTAATTTATTGCCTTTTTCATTAAAAAAAATAAAAAAATTATTGTTAACAAACTGAAGAAGCTGTTTTGTTATCAGTGTCTTAAAAAGTTGTTAAAAGTCACGTTGTTTGGTTTTGTTACTTTGTTTTCTAAAGTATATAATACAAATTGTTGTTTTTTCGTTGTTGATATTTTTGTTTGTTTCTATCGCCCATTTCCGTTACATTAACGTCATTTTTTATTATATTGAATTTAAAAGCTAGAGTGGTTTTATATTATATTATTATATACTGGCTGCAAAGTTTTAATATAATAGTTTAATGAATATGAGCGAGGCCAATAGTAACATGCAGAATCAATATTATGAGCAAGAATTAGCAGAAGAAGATGTTAAAGTAAGTATTTTTCACATTTTTTACAATGTTATATATGATTTTAAAATGTATAGTAGGATAGGGCAGGGTAGGGTAGGGTACAATAGGGTAGGGTAGAATAGGGTAGGGCAGGGTATTAAACAACTTTAGAAATTGCTTTAGCACACCAAAACTCTTAAAACAAGGCTAAAAACCCTCTGGAAAATTATCAAGTCTTACCAAATCAGAATGGAAATTGTTATACTGGCTATTTCAATATGCGATACTGCTCGAATTGTCATCACGCCAACCTTAATGGACGAAAAAGTACGACGAGTGTACGAAGTGCCAGACGTTGTTGACAATAGTACTGACTCCATAAACAAGTTCTTCAATCAAAAAATTGTGTTATGGGATCAGAATTACAATTATGTCAATTTACCATTGACAATAGCTGCTACCATCTTTTTTGGTAGGAATTTTCTTTACAAAAGTAAAAACCGTATTTTAGGTTCCTTTAGTGACCAAAATGGGCGCAAAATCCCAATGATATTCGGCTTAATCGGCATGCTAATGGGTAATATGGTCTATATTTCTGTTTGGTGGTACAAAACTGACTTTGCTTTACAATGGCTATTTTTGGCTGCAGTTTTAAATGGCATTACTGGAGGCTTTCGAATGGTGACATCTTCTGTCAACGCTTATTTGAGTGATCAGTTCGAAATCAAAACTGTGGTGGGTCTAGAATATTTTGAAGTTTTTAAAATTATTTTTTGATCATAAAATAGCAAGAACTTTCTTTACAAAGCAAAAAATGGCAAGAACTTTCTTTACAAAACAGAAAATGGCAAGAACTTTCTTTACAAAGCAAAAAATGACAAGAACTTTGTTTACAAGATGAATAATAATTAGAATTTTCTTTACAAAACATACAATAGCAAGAACTTTCTTTACAAAACAAAGAATGTAAAAAACTTTCTTTACAAAACATACAATGGCAAGAACTTTTCTTACAACCACATTTTTTCTAAATTTTGAAAAATTTTTTATCTTTAGTACGTTTAACTTAAAATTTTAAAATTTTGGCTTTATAGCTCTCGATTCGAATGTTAATAACCTACACAATACTAAACGTGGGGGACCTAATTGGTTCTCAGCTGACAAAACTAATAACTCATCATTTTGACGAACTTTGGGCCGCCTTTTTTATGCAAATTGTCAATATTCTAATATTGGTTTATGTCATTTTCGTGGTAAAAGACATCAATCGACCTTATCATGAATACGATTTGGTAAAGATTGCCAAAGATGGTGTATATTCTCTGTGGTCTTCGATTAAACTGGTACTGCGGAAACGAAAAGGCAATTTCAGGCTGTTACTATGGTTGACATTTGTTTGTGTACTGATTAATCGAAGTGCATTTAATGAGGAAAAAGATTTGATTGGAGTTTACACCAAGCTTGGGCCGTTTCACTGGACCACTGAAGACTTTGCTGTCTACAAGTCTTATCGACCGTTTGTTCGTAAGGCTTGATTTTTAAGGGTGGGGTTGAATAGGGTTGGGTAGGGTGAATAAGGCGGAATAGGGTAGGTTAGTGTAGGGTAGGAAAATCTATAATTTAGTTTTATAAAATACGCTTTACCTTCTTTTCATTACCCACATACGCTAAATTTTCTTTGTTTTCCTCCCGGTATTTTTTGGTCTCTTCTCTCTCCCTCTTTTCTGTTTCGGGAAACCCAGTCAAAACCCAAGTTCTCTTTTTATAACTTGGAATTAGGTCTTCTAAGTCTTCGAAGTTTCTACTTCCAAAAAAGGTTGGTAGTTTATCCAGCTCGCTTTGGCGTGGCTGAATATTACAAATTTTGGAACGCTTGACTATTAGGTTAAGCTTATATTTTCACTAAAAAATTTTAAAAAATATTTTTTTATTTGGAAATGAAAAAAATGCAAATTAGACACACAATGTAATTACTATGAAGGTTAAACGCATCTTTTTTAAAAATTTCACATCAGGGTAGGATGGGTATAACAGAGTAAAGTACGAAAATCTAAAATATAGTTTTATAAAATACGATTTGTATACTTTTGCTCATCAACACCACGATAAATGTTATCTTTTTCTCTCCCACTATGCTTTGGTCTCTAATCTCTCGCTCTTTCGAGGGACCCAGTCAAAACGCAAGTTTCGCTTTTATGACTTAGAATAAGGTCTGTTGAGACTTCGAAGTTTCTACTTCCAAAAAGGTTAGTAGTTTAACCAGCTCACGTTGGTGTGGCTGAATATTACAAATTTTGGAATGCTTGACCAGAAGGTTGGGCTTATATTGTAGGTAAAGATTAACAAAAAATTGTTTTTTATACTTTTTATTTATAAACTGGTATGTGAAAATGAAAAATAACCAAATAGTTAAGGGTAAAAAAGTGTTGCTTTTAGGCTTAACACACGCAATTTTATAGAATTTAAAAATGTGCTTTAAAGGACTGGGCGTATTGTATGAACATTAAACTAATTTTAAAAAATTTTTTTATAGGGTATAAAATACGATTTGTATACTTTTGCTCATCAACACCACGCTAAATGTTATCTTTTTCTCTCCCACTATGCTTTGATCTCTAATCTCTCGCCCTTTCGGGGAACCCAGTCAAAACGCAAGTTTCCCTTTTATGACTTGGAGTAATATTCTCTGAGTCTTCGAAGTTTCTACTTCCAAAAAGGTTAGTAGTTTAACCAGCTCGCTTTGGCGTGGCTGAATATCAAGAATTTTGGAACGCTTGACCAGAAGGTTGGGCTTATATTTTTAGAAAAAGAAAAAAAATTGAATTGTTTATTTAGAACAGGCATGGTATGATGATAGGGTACGTTACGGTAAGGTACAATAAGTTCTAGTGCAACCTTAGTTTTATGTTTCAGAAATACTTGGCCTACTAATTGGACTGTTCGTCTTCAAAAACTGGCTAAAGTTGAAAGATACCACAGTAATAATTCTGGCTACCTTATCTATGGGATTGGATTCTTTGCTAATTGGATTGGCTCAAAGCTCCACATTGATCTACATTTCTCTTGTAGCTGGAATATTACATGCTTTGACAAATCCGTTGATTTTTACGCTTTATAGCTGTTTGGTTAGTCCTAGTGAGGTGTGTTTGTTATTATGTTGTAGTAAAATTGAGGGCAGGACTGGGCGGGTGGCTTCTACTTTTTATTTTTATTGTGGGTGGGGGGGGCGTGGGGAAGAAGAAGCTGGGGGTAAAAAACCAAAAAAAAAATTAACGGGCAGGGTAACTTTTAAATAAATTGAAGGGGTGTTAAAATACGTTTCTTTAAAAAGTCATTTTCAGACTGGTCGAGTGTTTGCGGTCGATTCAGTTATTCAAAACGTGTCAACACTGATTAAAGTAGTAGTATTGCAAAACTTATATGTGGCAACTATTAATTGGTACCAAGGCTTTATATGGCTACTGTTATCATCCATGGCTTTAATTTCTATGAGTATTATGACGGTGATACATGTTTTATATAATAGAGATGTAGACGGTCGATAAAGTTGTAATTTTGTTATTTGAAAAGAAAGTTCTTGCCATTTTTAGTTTTGTAAACAAAGTTCTTGTCATTTTGTGATTTGTAAAGAAAGTTCTTGCCATTTTTCGTTGTAAAGAAAGTTCTTGCTATTTTTTGATTTGTAAAGAAAGTTTTTGACATTTTAAGTTTTGTAAAGAAAGTTCTTATTATCTTCTGTCTTGTAAAGAAAGTTCGGGGCCGATGAACAATCATTCCCCCAGCTACAATCATTCCCCCAAGCGCAAAATCATTCCCCACAAAGTTAAGTTGAACTTAACTTGTACTAGTCCATAAGGTTGGCACAGGTGAAGGTTGGCACAGGTGAAGGTTGGCAACGACCCAAGTGTTGGAGCTGATGAGACCATCGCGTGATGAGGGGCTGGAGAGAGAACCGGCAGACAACCTCGGAACTCGGCTCGAATGACGATTTCTGGGGAAATCGGTTGCTTTTATAGGGATTTTTTGCATAAACTTTGAAAGTGTAAACCAAGTTTTGAATAATTAATACACTTTCAAAGTGCAATGGGAAAGTGAATAAGGGTTTCCTAAGTGTGGGGCATGATAGTAATACAGGTGGGGCATGATAGTAATACAGATGGGACATGATAGTAATACAGGTGGGGCATGATAGTAAAACAGGTGGGGCATGATAGTAATACAGGTGGGGCATGATAGTAAAACAGGTGGGGCATGATAGTAATACAGGTGGGGAATGATAGTAATACAGGTGGGGCATGATAGTAATACCGAGTGGGACACAACGGTTGTTTTTTTTTTACTTTTGGCAATTTCATCAGTGATTTCTTCGTAAGTTCGCGGTCCGACCATAATTCAGCAAACAAAATGAAAGAATGAGAAATTGAAAAAAAATCTTAAAATTTGAATAAGTGGGGAATGATTGTAGCTCATTTCCATGGGGCATTATTATTCACCTGCTGGGGAGTTATTCTTCATGAGAACCGAAAGTTCTTACCATTTCGAGTTTTGTAAGGAACGTTTTTGACATTTTTTGTTTTGTAAAGAAAGTTTTTGTCTTTGTACATTTTTTGCCTTTGTAAATTGTATCATAATTATTTTAAAAACAGTCTATATATTAAAGTGGTTTCCACTATTACAAGTGACAAAACTTTCAAAAAATGGCCTTAATAAATTGCATTTCTATTTGTTTACTACATACACTTCAAGTGGTGTGCGTTTAAACAATTTTTCTAACTTTATTGTAGTATCAAGAACAATAGAACACAAGCTTTTTATTATACATGTTTTCATACAAGTAGTTACAAAGCTTAATACATTCTCAAGTACTAGGAAAGAAGTGGCATTTTACAGTACGTAGGTTTCACATGACACTATTTTAAATTGGCTGCTAAAGTTTTTCAAGTTGCTACTTATTTATACTTTAGAGCACATACTATCGTTTTAGTATGCGTTTCATAGGTTCATGCTAATATTGCTGTAGATATAGGTTTAATATAGACCGTTAAGCTTTTTTCAAATATTTTTGATTTTAGGCTTAAATTTTAAAAATTTTCAATTAAATGGCTATTTCGTGCTAATTCTGGGCGTACGACTTCAATTGAAATTCAAAATTTCAAAAAAAAAAATAATTTTTAAAAATTTTAAAAAATTTTAAAAATTACTTAAAAGAACAGTATTACGACGCCCTTCAAAAAATGTGGTCTACCATACCCTACACAATAGTACTATTGATATTTGTCATCTTTTTCTACACTGTAGCATCATTGATCATTAGAGATATTAACCATGACATTTATGATGCTACCCCCGCCCAATGTGAAGAAGCCAGAGCTATTGGCCAAGATAATAATGTGACAATTTTAATGGCTATTGAAGTTACTTTTTGTTTTTTCACATTGATACAGGTGTCTAGATGTGTAGTGCTGGTGAGAAGAAAGAAGCTACAGCTGCATAGAAATTTGAAGGTAGGGTAAATTTAATGTTAGATTGAGGAAAGTTATTCCTATGTTAGGGTACTGTAGGTTACTGTATTGTAAAGCAAGGGTAAGAGTAGAAGTAGAAGTAAGCGTAGGTCCAGGGCTAAAGCTAGCTCCTTGGGCTAGGGCTCTGAGCAAGGGCTCTGGGCTAGGGCTCTGGACTAAGGCTTTGAGCTAGGGCTTTGGGCTAGGGCTCTGGGCTAGGGCTCTGGGCTAGGGCACTGGGCTAGGACTCTGGGCTAGAGCTCTAGGCTAGGGCTTTGGGCTAGGGCTAGGGCTCTGGGCTAGGCCTCTGGGCTAGGGATAGGGCTCTGGGCGAGGGCTCTGGGCGAGGGCTCTGGGCGAGGGCTCTGGGCTAGGGCTCTGGGCTAGGGCACTGGGCTAGGACTCTGGGCTAGGGCTCTGGGCTAGGGCTCTGGGCTAGGGCTTTGGGCTAGGGCTCTGGGCTAGGGCTCTGGGCTAGGGCTCTGGGCTAGGGCTCTGGGCTAGGGCTTTGGGCTAGGGCTCTGGGCTAGGGCTCTGGGCTAAGGCTTTGGGCTAGGGCACTGGGCTAGGTCTCTGGGCTAGGGCTAGGGCTCTGGGCGAGGGCTCTGGGCGAGGGCTCTGGGCTAGGGCTCTGGGCTAGGGCTCTGGGCTAGGGCTCTGGGCTAGGGCTCTGGGCTAGGGCTCTGGGCTAGGGCTCTGGGCTAGGGCTCTGGGCGAGGGCTCTGGGCGAGGGCTCTGGGCTAGGGCTCTGGGCTAGGGCTCTGGGCTAGGGCTCTGGGCTAGGGCTCTGGGCTAGGGCTTTGGGCTAGGGCTCTGGGCTAGGGCTCTGGGCTAAGGCAATAAAATTTCAAACTGAAATTGAATTTTAGCTACTAATGACTTGTGCCATGTTGGGTTACATCTTCAATTCGGTTCAATCAGCTTTATACCCAGTATTTTACTTATGGCGTCGTGTTCGTCATGAAGTGGCGTGTGATTTTGTCTATGAAAAACTTACTTGTTACATTCTACGGTGGCCTGTTTACTATGGTGTTGTTTATCAAAGCTTTTTACATTTTGCTATATCTTGTGAACGTACGATGGCTACAAGATTTATGCATTCATACGATCAGGGGTTTAAGTGGTGGGGACGAGGTGTTGCTGCTTGTTTGGTATGTTGGTTATAAATTAAAATGTCGTCCTTTGTATTGTAAAGAAAGTTCTTGCTATTTGTTGTTTTCTAAAGAAAGTTGTTGCCATTTTTTGTTTTGTAAAGAAAATTTTTGCTGTTTTTACTTTGATGTCCAAAAAATTCATTTTCAGACGACAGCACCACTAATAATGGCGTTAGGTATAATTAAACCTGACAATACAAGAAATTACATGGCTTTTTGCAACACAACTAATAAAACCAACGCCGTTTATATGCAGATAGGCTTATGTATCATGTTGTCAATTGACTTTATAGCTGTTTTAACTGATATTACATTAATTCATATCAATCGCAAACGGCGGCGGAATCGACTGATGGAGTAAGTATCCTGCCTTGCCGTCGCTTTGCCTTGCCTAGCCTTGCCTTGCCTTGCCTTGCCTTGCCTTGCCTTGCCTTGCCTTGCCTTGCCTTGCCTTGCCTTGCCTTGCCTTGCCTTGCCTTGCCTTGCCTTGCCTTGCCTTGCCTTGCCTTGCCTTGCCTTGCCTTGCCTTGCCTTGCCTTGCCTTGCCTTGCCTTGCTTTGCTTTGCCTTTCCTTGCCTTGCCTTGCCTTGCCGTTGCCTTGCCGATCCTTGCCGTTGCCTTGCCTTCCCTTCCCTTGCCTTGCCTAACCTATACCCTAAAACACCCCACCAACAAAATACAGTACCATAAAAGCTAGTGGTACTAAAATTAATAATACTTATAAGGGTATTGTTGTAGCAGTCGCCAAAGGTACACCTTATCATCGTCGTATCAACTAAATGAAAATCAATGTACTACTGGTATTGTACTGCCAGTTACAATAACTCAAAGTTCGTGTTATCTATTTTACACATGCTCTTCATTGTTATCAAGGCACATGTATCCAGCTGGTGACATACGACTGTACCCTTTGACTAATTTTTGCTACTTGGTAAAGTTTTAAAAAATTAAAAAAATTTTAAAAAAATTTTGAATTGAATAATTTTTTACTTTTTTAGTTTTTAGTATTGTTATATTACAGTAAGTACAATAGAGAAAGCTAAAAATTGCCATAATGTGCTTAAATGTACAATATAAACCTATGATATAGCTATAATTAAAATTTGCAGTTCTGCCAATTAAGCCTGCTGCTGGCTACAATCACATTTCACAAACAATACCTCACAACCTACAATATCCAGAAGAGAAAGCTATTGGAAATACAATTAACGCAAAGCACTGAACAATATTTTCATTCACTAAACCAACACATGAACAAGGCTTTCGAAATCCGAGAAAATTTGTGAACAAAAACCTATTTATGAACTTATCGATAAATAAATAACTTATTTTTGAAAACTATATTTGATATTGAATTATATTGTTTTTACGTTGCTCAACGCGTTGACGAAGAATAAAGCCATGCAGGTCGCAAAAGGCTGGGCGCGAGAGGCAATATCTCGCTATTTTTCTGGCCGGTCGCTGTGTGTTCCTTTCAAAAGGTTGTATTGGATTCACTTGGGATGAAATCGTATCTAAATTTGACTCTAAACGCAAGTTATATATGGCTGTCCATTTATTATTACCCATTTTTGTTATTTATGTAAATTTGTGGCAGTAATTTTCAGGTTATAATTGTGTTAGGTTGAACAAGACGGACATTCCCCACGGATAGCTCCAGATCGGCGCTATATTTTATGGAATCAGAGTCAAATCGAGGTTTAAACGTAAGTTATATATGGCTGCTAGTTTTTTTTATTTAATTTGGGCTTTCATTTTGTTTTGTGGCGGTAATTTTCCGGTTATATTGTGTTAGGTTGGTCTAGATGGATATTTACCACGGGTCCAGTTTGGCTTCATATTAGATGGAATCAGAGTCAAATTGGATTTTAAATGTAAGTAATATTTAGTTACTGCTCTGTAGTTTGCAACTTTGTGTGTGATTTTGGTTTTGTGACAGAAATTTTTGTGTTATATGGTGGTAGATTGGTCAAAGTTGGATCACTCCAAATTGGTTTTATTTTATTAAGTTGAATACTTAATATTGAGCCACTGAACCCCATATCAGAAAAAAATTTTTTGCGCAACAAAAACAACTATTTATTATATCAAATAACTATCACCAACATTAATACAATCCGTCTAACGTATATTAAAAGTTTTGTACTAGTAGCATAGGATTCAGAATTTCTGGAGCCTAGTAAAGTTTTGGTGGCCTCAGTGACATCGTTATCTTCAGTGGATAGCCACTTACATATAAATGCTGTCGAAAATTTGAAACTATGGTAATATGTAGCTGTCGTGTCGGGTAAATACGTATGATGGTCAAGAACTTCGTATCCAAACTCGTTCTGTTTTTCTGAGGTCATCTTTGCCCCGTGCGGACGGACATCGTCATGAACAATATTCGAACCTCCGTTTCTCATCTTTGATGGTAGATGGCGACGCATTTGTTCGATATTGTCACAATACGTCTTAACAGTCATGGTTTGACCACGTATCAAGAAATTGAGTAGAATCAGTCCACTGCTACATCACCAAACATTCACCATTACGTCCTTTTGTTGCAATTCTGGCTTCAGAAGCTGACTAGCAGATTGACCACGATGAATCCATACCTTTGATCTTCTTGTATTGTCGTAGCAAACCCATTTCTTGGTGTTGGTAACAATTTAGTCTATAAATTTCGGATTCCTGGCTCGTAGCAACAGTTTATTTTCAGCCTAGTTTCACTTTATTTTTATTGACTTTTCTGGTAATCAGGCACCCAACATTTCAAATGTTTCTAGTATCCTATCGACTTCAAATGTTTGAAAAATGTTCTAATTAAAAATTGTAGGTCTTTTGCTAACTCTCTAACTTAAATTCACTGTTCAATTTTAGTCCTTCCAGGCAATCTTCTTATATTGTTTTAGGTCTTCATGACCTTCTTTCATTGTACCTCCAGAACGGAATTCCTGGAACTAGTGTTTTGCTGTAGAATAGCTCATAATACCTTCTTCATTCGTTCTATTGATCATTTGACTTGCTGAGTTTGCGCTACTAACTGCTTTGATTCTCAAACACTGCCTAAAGCCGTGATTTGTCTACAATATTCAAACGACTAAAAAACCAAAACCAAAAGTGCTGAAACTTACATTTTATGAAAATTTAGGTATTAAACTATGAAATGACAAAAAATTATAAAATTACACTATTTAGTTATTTTTTCCTGATTTTTTGAAAATTCGTTGTGAGACATGGCTCAATATTAAGTATTCAACCTAATAATTGGAATTTGAGCCAAATTGGATTCAAAACTTAAATTTTTTTGGCTTTTATTTTTTATAATTTTTTTTGTGTTCTTATTTGGTTTTTTTGTAACGTTTAGTTATATTGTGTTAGGTTAGTCAATCTTGGAGCACCTCGTACCGGCTGTAGTATAGGTCGAATTAAAATATAATCAGTTTCTAAACGTAAGTTATATCTAGCTACAGGTCTTTTATATCTGCATTCATCTTTTATTTTGGTTTTGTGGCACTAATATTTGAGTTATATTGTTTTAGGTTTATCTAACATGAATAAGTCCATACCGGTTTTGTTTAGGTCAGAATTGAAGCCAAATTGTATTTTAAACGTAAGTATTATGTTACTACAGCTGTCCTATTAATAATTTGGCGTGTATCGTTCGTTTAGACAGTTTCGACTAAATTGTATCGTTTTTGGTTGGCCAAATCTAGACATCATATTGACAACAATAGCGTTTGCTTTGGTTTTCATTCTTCGTGATGCACTATGTGAACAAAATGCTAAAATTGTAGTTTATACGAAACTTTTTCCAAGTGTTAAAAATAGTTTTACAACTCGAGACTATTGCGAGTTTACGGTACAATAGTAAGCACATACAAAAAGTCAAGTACTTGATTCCTATTATTGTCAACTCTGTTTAAAACTGTTACAACATGTTTTATACAGTTTAATAATATTTTGTATGCGTTGTTTTACATGTTTCGGCACGTCACATTCAATACATATTATATTTTATGCAATTTTCCATTGCCTAGGTAGTGTAATCTTTGCCACCTTAAACGTAGCGTGTCAGGCATTATAGTACTAACGCTGCGGGTTTTCAACTATTGTGTAGGCTATTAATATAACGAAGATCTGTTGTTACAGTGAAACGTAATACGTTTTAAGGCCTTGAAAGCCGTACTGTTTTTATGGTAGCACGTTCTGGCACCTATCATTAGATTTTTGTTTTTTAATTTGTATTCTTTTGTCATTTATTGCAAGCAGATATCATTTTACTACTTAAAACTCATATTTTTAGATAATACAAAAATTTTAAATAATTAACTTTTTTAATAATTTCGAAAATTAAAAATTAAAGATTTGATATATTTATTTTCAATTTGAAATAAAAACTAAAGATGTGCTTTATTCTGCCTTATATTATGGTAATACTGATGCTATTAGTATTTTTAATTACAATATCAGCTTTAATAGCTAGAGATGCCACGGTTGCTATTCTGGATGCTACAGAAACTCAATGCGAAGAAGCTAAAGCTTTTGGAAGTGATAATAAAGTTACTTTGATAATTGTTATGGAAGTGGTTTTATGTGTTTTTACCTTGATACAGGTTTACAAATGTGTTTTGTTAGTTCAGAGGAAGAAGTTACAGTTACATTGGAATCTGAGGGTAGGTTACTTTATTTTTGACCATTACTTCTATCTCTAGACCTACCTCAATTTTTACTTGGAACTCTAAATTATCCTGGCTCGATGCTTTAGCTTAGCTTTACCATAGCCTAGTCTTTGAACCCTTATACTTCTACTATATTCTTGTCATAATCTAACACTAGCTTTATTATTTACTATACTTCATTCCATTTCAGCTACTAATGACCTGTGCCATGTTAGGCTATGTGTTTTCATCATTTCAATCAGCCTTATATCCAATATTTTATTTGTGGAGACGCGTCATGAAGCTGATAGTAAGTGCGGTTTTGTTTATGAAAATACTACTTGTTACGTTTTACGATGGCCGAATTACTACGGTGTTGTGTATCAAAGCGTTTTACATTTGGCTATGTCATTTGAACGTACGATAGCTACAAGATTTTCACATACATATGATAAAGGGTTCTTACGACTGGGTAGGGTTATTGTTGGTTGTTTGGTAAGATTTTGGCATAATATGTTTTAATTATGTATATTATAAAATATCATTTACTATATATGGTATAAAATGTTGTAAGGAAAATTTTAAGGTAACATTTCCACTACTAATGACTCTATGGGCGGTAGGACCGGATGATACCAAAACTTATACGACTTTTTGTAATACGACGGGTAATGTTGAGCATTTGAAAGCCGGTTTGATAATTATGATTACAATTGACTTTCTCGCTGTTTTTACTGATATTACACTACTTTATCTCAATCGGAAACGAACAAGAAGTCGACTAATGGAGTAAGTGTAATTTAAAGTGGTACTAAGCATTAAACCTGTACCATAAAGCCTAAAATAAGGCTAAAGAACGTGCTGTATTAAAAATATTGTAGTAGCGGTTCCCAGAGATACACCTTGTCATGGTCTTATCAATTGAATGAAAATCAGTGTACTACTGGTATCGTACTCCCAGTTACAATAACTCAAAGCTTATGTTTTTTATCTTACACATGTTCTTCTTTGTTTTTCCGGTGGCTATATTCAGATGTTGATGACATTCGACTTCATGGTTTGAACAACATAACCTATTTGGTAAGGATACCTACTATAACATGTATTACTATGTATGTACTATAATTCGTGACTTTGATGACTTAATGTGCTGATATTTACAGTTTGTTGCGTTACATACTGTAAAAACAATATAGTAATACTAAGCTGTGTAATAATCTAGTAAAATGGCCAAAAGTACTTACTGTAATGTGAAAAAAAAGAAAAATGATTATTTTAGCCTAGATATTAAATTCAACTAATTTGAATTTAAAATTTTTATAGTGTAGGGTCAAGTAAGATAAGGTAGAGTAGAATAGAAAAGAGAAATGTAAAGTAGAAGGTAGTATAACAAAAGGTAGGGTTGGTAAAACTCCAAAGACTGAAAATTTGAAAAAATATGAAAATAAAATTCTAATTTCAGTTTTGCCAATTAAGCTTATTGCTGGCTACAGTAAGCTTTTACAAACACTACCTCAGAAGCTACAATACTCGAAAAAGACGATTCTTAAACTCGCAACACTCACAAAGCACTTTGGAACACTTTACATTCCTAGAAAGACAACTAAAAGATGCTTATGATAAGCGAGAGTATTATTCCAAATATCAGTACTAATAGTAGTTCCAAGAATATGGTACTGGTAATGTTGTTGAAGTACAAAACAAATTTGTTTTGATAAATAATTAACATTTTTTGTTTACATTTTTAAAGAATACATGAGTGTGTTAGGGTAAAGTATATGTTAGGCAGGTTTTGTTAGGGGGCATGGTTATAAAGACAGCTAAAGTATTTTGGATTAGCGCATTGTCAAGTTAGGGTAAATCAATTTAAGGTAGGGTAGGGTACCTACAGTGAAATAGGGTACTATGAAATAATTTATGTAACGTACGGTAGTGTACGAAAGACCTTAATTAGGTAGGGCAGAGGATACGGTTAGAGCAGCGTAGGGTTGGAGAGGGCAGAGTAGGGTAGAATAAAGTAAAGTGCTCGGCGGGGGGGGATTGGCGACTCCCGTCCCCGCGACTCCTCATCCCCGCGGGGACGGGGATTTTGTAAGTCATCCCCGCGGGGACGGGGATTTAAATAAAAAACAAAATTTTAAATTTAATATGCAAAATTATGACTTTAATAAGTTAAGTATTTAAATTTTAACGTAAAAACAAAAAACAATTGAACAATTTATTTAATAAACCTTATAAATTCAATATATAACAGTAAAAAAGTTTAAAAATAACAGAGAATAACAATAAATTGATTAAAACTCTTCAATGTCTTGATTAAGGTCGTCACTGTTGTCATCATCAACTTTTTTTCTTCTGAATTAGTTGGCACCGTAATAGTAGTAACGACTCAGCCATAGAGTCAGATAAGTTTGACCTGAGCTTGTCCGCAAATAATAAAGTCGTTTGGGAGAAGAACCTTTCGCTTGGAACTGATGAAGCTGGGATTCCTAATAACGTCTTTGCAATAGGGTGCAGAATCGGAAAAATGTTTGAGCTTGTCTTCCAGAAACTGAAAACGTCTTTGTTGAAGTTTCCAATACGTAGCTTGTTACATTCTTCCTACAAATATTAAGTTTAAGGTAAAAGTATACGCAAAAGTTAAACTCACTAGCAAAATTGTTGAAACTTTATTATTTCCGTTCTGGTTTTCTTTCACATTCAATTCATTGTCCAAAAAACTTAGGTCCATTGATGATTGACTGCTTTCTTGATCAAAACTTCTGTTTTCCTCTTGTAAATTAACGTCTTTTTCTACAAGATGGTCATTCATAAATTGTAAAGCAATATTGAAGTCCGTTTCCGATAGTTGGCTAGCGTATCTTGGATCTACCAGTTGACATGCATATATCAGTCCTTTGTAATCAATGTTCTCCATTCTACATTGTAATTTGTCTCTCAAGTCTTTCACAAACATGGCCGCATCGTTAAGCTTAAGCTTCTCCAGTTTCTGCTCTGTCTTCATTAAGTAGTCCACAAGTCCGTTGAGCATGGGAAATATTTCAGATGCTGTGGAGTTGTCTGATGAAAAATTTAACGTCAGGTCGTTGAACTTCTCCAGTACCCGCACTATGATCTTTAAAGTTTGTTCATCCTTTGCCGCAAAAACTCATATTAAAAAATTATTACCTGTTCTAAATAGTCATAAAATAATGTCAAAATTTATAATTTTGAATTATTTCAGGAAATAAATCGGATAAAACACAATGCCAAAAATTTGGCACAGTTGAAATTTCGTGGCAAGACTCAAGCAAATATTTTTATTAAATTTCAATTTATTTATAATTTTTTTCATATAAAAATCCCCGCGGGGGGGATTGAAAATCTACCATAGATTAGGGTAGATAAAAGTACGAAAACAAAAAAAAAACTTTTTAAAACCATGTTTATAATGGTTTAATTACAACTTTTTCAGTATTTATAGCAAAGTTTGTAGATGGGACAAGCTTGAATTATATATTAATGAAAACATAAATAATAATTAATTTTTTTTCTTTAAATACATTTTATTATTTGTCATCATGTACTTGACTATTGTATTTGTGACGACAACGCCTTATATTGTTAAGGCACAAAGTAAATGATAGGTTAGTTGGCATATAGTCCTCCTCTTATACCATCGGGAGGTAAGCGGGTATAGGAGGAGGAATGTATGCTTAACTTCCTTTTATTTTAATGAGACAGGGGAGGGGGTGGTGAAGCGGATTTAAGGAAGGGAAGGGTGGGAAAGAGGATGACTATTTTTAAATTTTTTAAAAATATTTTGAAACTAGTGTTATTTCGGGCTACAAATTCAGTTTTTGCAACATAAAGTAACAATACCATTATCTAAACTATAAAAACATGTAATTTAAAGTTTGAATTTTGTTGTATTTGAAGGGTTGTAAACGAACATGAATAATATGTATTATTTCAAAATAATAAAGTTATGTGTTATCTTATAGCTTTCTGGTTGTCATGCGGAGATGTGTGCTGTACTAAGCTTTCAAACGGCCTAAACTATTAAATTTTTTAAAGATTGGGGAATCCGACTAAATAATGAGGTTTTCAAAAACCCAGCTGAAGCGTTTAAGTTAGGGTAGGTTAGGGTTTTCTTCTTAGATTAGTACCATGTGTACGCCTTTTCGTTATCTGCACCCCTTAGTCTTTTAAGATTGAATATATAAACCAGCCCGGTCTTGCAACTTTAACTGACTATAATACATTGTCGAGTACATTTAACTGGTTATAGTACATTTACTTTTTCATTTATGAATCTTGTTTTGAAGATGTACGGCTATAATACACCTTTGAGACAAGATTTGCTTTAGATGATTGCTGACTTCCGAGGAGTGTCAAGAGTTTTCGAATGACATTAGGATTAACGAACTTTGTTTATAGTTTGGCATGGGTTCAGTAAAATAAAACAGGGTATTGAATGATAGGGTTCAGTAGGGTAGAAAAAGGCATGATATGAAAGGACAGAGTAGATAAGGATAGGGTAGCGTATGGTAGGGAGGATATGAGAGGGTAGGGAGGGTAAGACACTATGATAACATTTTACGCTCTTGACTAGACGGTTTTTTTAATTCACTGTGCAGTAAAGTCTATATAAACTACATTTTCAGAATCTGTTTACTACCAGCTTAGTTGTACTTTACTGCTGCCAAGGCTAAAATTGCACTTTCTTTTATATGTGTTTACTAGAGTAAGGACCTTATACTAACAACACTTGTGGAAAAAGTAGCTACAAGATTACATGTTTTCAAGTGATTACAATTTGCAGTGGTAAGGGAGAGCATCCATTGTACAAACTTTTGGCTTGTAAGCGAACATACGTTATTGAAGGGTAGTAAACTAAACTACAATTGTTACAGCGGAGTAAGGATACAGTTACTAAACTAAAGGAACGATGCTTAGAGAATGGTAAAGGAAGATTATTGAGCAGTAAATGCAATGTCTAGAGCATGGTAAAAGAAATTACAATTCTTGTCTATGAATTAATACTTGAAAAGCGAAAAAATGTTTTCAAAAAGTCAATAAGCTCCACCTGTTCTCTACTGTAATATGTCATCGTCGCCACTGTCTTACAAACTGTTTGTAGCCGGCCTAGTTACAATTATATGTGTGTTAATACTAAGTGCACAACTGATGAATTTTACCATCAATTCTCGCGAGCAATGTTCGGCAGCTGTGATGATTGGCCAAAGCAATGGCCTTGGTCTGGTTATGATTGTGCAAATATTTTTGAGTATTATTACCCTGGCACAAATTTGTAGATGCATAAGGCTGGTGAGGACAAAAAAACTGCATCTTCATGCCAACCTTAGGGTAGGTAAAATACGGTTTTCATTTTTGGAAGAGAGGATAGGGAAAGCGGGATAAAGTAGAGCAGGAAAAGGTAGCTCGGGGTGGCATAAAGCACGGCGGGGCAGGGTACAGTAATGTCGTACGGGGTAGGGTAATGCGGGGTAAGGTAGAGCAGAGTGGGGTAGAGTACGGTAAAGTAGGATAGGGTACACTAATATAGAATGGGGTACGATAGGGTAGGGTAGAATAATTTAAGGTAGAATAAAGTTGGGTAGGATATAGTAGGGGAGGACAAGGTAAGGCAAAGTACGGTATTGTATGGTAGAGTAGGGTAGGGTAGAGTAAAGTAGAGTAGGGTACAATAATATAGAATGGGGTACAATAGGGTATACAGGATAGGGTAGAATAATGTAAAATAGAATAAAGTTGGGTAGCGTATGGTAGGGGAGAATAGGCTAAGGTACGGTAGGATAAGATAAGGCAAAGAACGGTATTGTATGGTAGATTAGGGAAGGGTAGAGTAGGGTGAAATCAGATACGGTATGATAAGATAGCATAGGGTAAAGCAAGTTTTTAATTAACGTCTAAAAGTTTTAGTTACTAATGTTCTGCGGACTAATAGGCTACATTCACGTTAGTATCTACACCTCACTCTACCCAATATTCTTCCTAATGCACCGTATAAAACATGTAGAACCATGTGATTTGGTCTATGAAAAACTAACATGCTACATTTTACGATGGCCCCTTTACTACGGTGTTGTTTATCAAAGCTTTCTACATTTGGCCATATCTATTGAACGTACAATGGCTACAAGATTTATGCATACATACGATAAGGGGTTTTTATGGTGGGGCAGGGGTATCGCTGCTTGTTCGGTAAGTAATTTGAGGCAAAAATACTGTAAAGAAAGTTCTTGCCATTTTTTGTTTTGTAAAGAAAGTTCTTGTCATTTTTTTTTCAAAAAAAACTTTTTACCATGTTATGGCCTGGAAAGAAAGTTCTTGCCATTTTTGTTTTGTAAAGAAAATTCTTGCGATTTTTCACTTTGAAAACAAGGTTTTTGCCCTTTTAGATAATAGGAGCGGTTACTATGGCTTCATTAATATTGGCACCGGACGAAACGAATAGGCACTTCACCTTTTGTAACATAACAAATACATCAAATCAATTTGAAATGAAATGCGGCCTTATCATTATGTTATCCATAGACTTGGTGGCAGTCTTAACTGACATTACCTTATACTACGTAAATCATCGGACTAGGGTTAATAGGCTTGCTGAGTAGGTATCATATGACAAGTTTCTAATTTTTCTAAATTTAGAAAAATTTTTTTATTTGAAGAAGTCTTGTCGTAAATTTAAATTGTGTACTATGGGTAAAAACGACAAGAATTTTTTTTCAAATTTTTAAAATTTTAAAATTTATAAAAATTAAAAATTTCAGTGTACCACGAGAATACACCTTGTCATGGTCATATCAATTGACAGAAAACAACAGTTCGACTAAAATCGTGCTACCAGTTACTATAGCTCAAAGCAGCTGCTACTTGATGTATAACATAACATCTTTTATTGGCCGACAGTTTTTTACAATCAATGAAATTGGCTTTTATGCCATTACTAATACTTGTTTTTATGTAAGTAATCGTTTATTTTGCTTAAAATGATTTTTTTCTGAAAATCAGGGTTTTCGTGGTGAGACCCAAACTTTTTAAGAGTATATTGAAATATGGAAAAGCTAGGGCAAGGCAATTATAGGACAACTAGCGTAGGGCTAAAAGGGATGGGAAGAGTAGAGCAAAGTTGGCGAATGGATAGGGGTAGGTATACGGGAAAGGTAGGGGTAGACTCTTCTGCTTTAAAACGCCAAAACCTCTTAATTTCAGTTCTTCCAACTAGGCCTACTGCTAGCGACCTTTGCCTTCTACAATAACTACCTCAATAGCTACAATACTCGCCAGAAACAACTCAAAAAGAACCAAGCATCTCAAGACTACTTTGTACTTTTCCAAAGTCAGCTAGAAGAAGCATACAAAAAGCGGCTTATTTCTAGTCCAATGTCTCGACCAAAGCCGAAACCAGCCGGTCGATCCCCTGTTTTTAACGCTGTTTTAGCATAGATCGATTTAAATTTAAAATCTTTGTTTTTCAAGCTTATGTGTTTTGAAAAACAAATATTGTTTTACTCGTTGTTGATCATAATTTTGACAAATTTGACCCCTCCTTTAATAAATTCAGATTTGTTTAACTTAATCTATGACTTCTAATCATTGGTTTTCCGGAACGTATTTTAAAAAATATTTATTTGAAGCTTTTCACAGTTTTAAATCTGGTCCAACGGTTACATTTAAAACACAAATTTAAAAGGTATATATGGTACGATTTGACGAAAACTTACAGTATAAAGTATCTAAACTTACCTTACCTTACCAGAGGCGGTCTAATTCTACCGTATCGTACCCTACTTTACATACTCTAAACTACCCTACTACACTATCCTATTATGCTCTACCATACCCTATCCTACTCTTCTTTGCTCTTCTGTACCCTACCCTACTCTAACCTGCCCTTCCATACCCTACTCTTCTATGCTCTACTATACCCTACCTTAGCTTCTTCTCAAAGCCCCATCACTTCTTCTAAAGGCTCCCAGGTTTTTTTTGAAAAATAAACCGTAACAGGCATGCCTAGGCAGCCTTTTCATTAATGGCTCCCATTCACCCTCAAGATATTACAACTCAAAATTTTCATTGATCTTTAGTCATAATCTTTAGTGAAGTAAAACTTTTAATTTTAAAAACAATTCAAAGATCTTTGACCTAGTCACAATTTTTACCCAGCCTTCTTTTCAATTCTCTTAGTGCAAATTAAGTGCACTATTTTCACATTAAGTTTTAAATTTCAACATTTAAATTTGGCCAAGTTTTCAACAAGTTAATAAAGAAGCCTCGAGTTCGGCCGCGTCATGGCACGAGGTATTCGAAAAATTGAACTTTGAAATGTAGTTTTTGAGAAATTTCTCTTGCCGTTCCTCATTTTAGAAAGCCGAGTTGTAAATATTACAACTAGAAATGTTTGAATTATGATGACTTCAACAAGTTTTGATGAAAGAATACAGTTTTCAATACAAATTCGTTTTGCACATTGTCTTGTTGTCAAGTGCGACCGAAAAGGGTTTGTCATTAGCGAGGTTTTAGTGTTTGGTTTGCTTTTTGATTTTGTCGTTAAACTGTGGATTTTAATGTTTTGACTTTGATTACTACGGTATACTTGGCCGGGGCAATGAAATGATAAGTTTACGATAGTGATTTTCACTGCGTGTAGGTTAAAACTATATAAGATTACAAAGACTAGAGAACGCCTAGGGTAGGGCTAGGGCAAAGCTAACGTAAGCCAAGGGCAAGGCTAAGAAAGTGCAAGTCTAGGACTAAGGCAGAACTAGGGCAAAGCTAAAGCAAGACTACGACAAGGCTAAGCTGTCGAATATTCCGATTAAATTGGCTAGAGCAGGAGTAGGGAAAAACTAGCGCAATAGTAGAGCAAGGCCCGAACAGAGCCAGGGCAGAGCTAGTGCAGGGCTAAGGACAGTCTAGGACAGGGCTAGAGCGAGATTGACGCTAACAATTTACCGTGTTCTGCATTCTTTTTACACCACCATATAACCTTTCTCGACCTAGAATCACCAATTATAAAACAAACCGGCCGAAAACCTCAATCACATCATTTCTGCCACCGCTCCCTCCGGCCAAAAAATGCGTTCATACCTAGTGATATCAATTATAGTAGCAGCGATGTTATGCTCTATCACAACATTAATGATACGGGACACAAGAACTAAAATTTCTACAACAATTGAGACATGCCAAATAGCGATAGAGGTCAGTGAGAGTGTTCAGATTCATATATTAATGTTACTACAAATTTCTATTAGTACTGTAGTACTGGTTCAGTTGTATCGATGTGCTGCGCTGGTTAAGAACAAAAAATTGAATTTGCACTCTAATTTGAGGGTAAGTTACTGTATGTTGTATCTGAACCTACCTTACCATACCCTACCTTACTTCAGCCTACCATAACATACCATACCATAACATACCCTACCCTATCCTACCCTACCCTACCCTACCCTACCCTACCCTACCCTACCCTACCCTACCATACCATAACATACCCTACCCTACCCTACCCTACCCTACCCTACCCTACCCTACCCTACCCTACCCTACCCTACCCTACCCTACCCTACCCTACCCTACCCTACCCCACCCTACCCTACCCTACCCTACCTTACCATACCGCATCCTACCCTACCTTATCCTACCGTACCTTACCCTACTCTACCTTACCTAATCTTACCTCTACCCTACCTAACTCCTACTGTACCACACTATTTCAGTTACTAATGACCTGTGCCCTACTAGGCTACGTCCACACCTGTCTATATTCAACTGCGTTTCCTCTATATTACTTTTGGCGTCGTTGGCGTCACGACTCATCTTGTGACTATGTTTATGAAAAGTTCACTTGCTACGCATTAAGATGGCCGATTTACTACGGTATTGTCTATCAAAGCTTTTTACATTTGGCTATATCTATTGAGCGTGGCATGGCTACGCGATTTATGCATACCTACAACAAGGGATTCTTGTGGTGGGGCAGGGGTATTGCTGTTTGTTCGGTAGGTTGGTTATAACAAAAATTTTAAGGTTTCTGCCATTTTTAGTTTTGTAAAGAAAGTTCTTGTCATTTTATGTTCTGTAAAGAAAGTTTTTGCCGTTTTTTGTTCCGTTAAGAAAGTTTTTGCAATTTGTTGTTTTCTAAAGAAAGTTCTTATCATTTTTTGTTTTGTAAAGAAAGTTATTGCCATTGTATGCCCTGTAAAGAAAGTTATTGCCATTTTCAGGTCCTAATAACAATCGTAATAGCAACCCACATCTTAAGCCCAGATGACAGTACTGATTACTTTGTCTTCTGCAATATCACTAATAAAGTTACAGCTTTTCAAATGAAGTTAGGCCTAGTTATTATGATAGTCATCGACTTCATTGCGGTAATGTTTGATTTGACTATTTTTGTCATCAACTATCGGAAACGGATTAATCGCCTTACTGAGTAAGTATTATATTTTTACATTATTGTTGTTTTGTAAAGAAAGTTTTTGTCATTTTTGTTTTGTAAAGAAAGTTATGTTCATTACATGCCTTGTAAAGAAAGTTATCGAAATTTTTTGTTTTGTATGGAAAGTTCTTGCCGTTTTCTATTGTGTAAAGAAAGTTCTTGCCGTTTCTCTGTAACTTTTCCCTAATTTTTACCAATTTTCAAAAATTGCCAACCATTGTAATGCCAATATTTTTCAGCGCAACAGATGAATATTCCCTATCCTGGTCCTATCAGCTCACAGAAAACAATTGTTCAACTGGTATAGTCTTGCCTGTGACCATATCTCAGAGCGTTTGTTACCTAATGTACACAATCTCATCCTTAACAGCACGCCAATTTGTCAACAACACGGGCGTAAAATTTTACCAGTTAACTACTTGCTATTTGGTAAGGTATATTTATTATAATACTTTTTTTCAAAAATTTGTAAAGTTTCGATTTTTGGCCGTTTTTCCAAAATTTTTATAAGCCACATTTAAGCCTCATGCTCTAAAATTTAAAAACAATGCTTCAAATTCATTTTTTAGGTCTTCCAACTAAGCCTCCTATTAGCAACCATAACATTTCATCAAAAATACCTCAATACCTACAAAGAACGTCAAGAACGGCAACAAAAACTCAAGTTGGTCCCGAATACAACGCAGTATTTTTCGCATCTAGAAAAACAACTACAAGATGCTTATCAAAAACATAATAGCCCAACAACAGCCAATAGGTCAAGAAATCCCACCATTTTTAACGAATTTCGACCGCCCGTCCAACGGTCGATAACTCCGCCTGATTTTAACGTTAACGGCCGACGTAATAGCAGAAGGAACGAACATTCCTCTGATTATGACACTGCCTCAACTTAACTTTAGTTATAATGCGTAATAAAGGATAGGATAAGCGTTTTCCGATATTATCATAGATACTATAACCTCATAACGAAAAAATGCCAAATCAAAATAAATCTGATTATGACACTGCCTCAACTTAACTTTAGTTATAATGCGTAATAAAGGATAGGATAAGCGTTTTCCGATATTATCATAGATATTATACCCCTCATAACGGAAAAATGCCAAATCAAAATAAAACAAAAATATTTATTATCAATACCAATTTTAAAATACAACATTATGTCCAAAAATTCATTGCCAAAACATATTTCCATCACATTCTACTTCAAAGTCCTTGTTCTTCACCTTTTCCTGAAGATCAGTTCCAGAATTGCCGTTCAAAACAAACAAAGCTGTGTTCTCAACCAAAAACTGTTGTTTCCTAGTGATACCATCAAATTTAAACACATTTTGACATCTCTAAATTAAAATTGACTTAATTTTACTCATATTTTGACTTGCATAAAGAATTATCAAGTTCCTTCAAAATTACGGAGGAATTAGGGTACAATAAAACTTCTGTATCTTTAAAAATATTGGGAATTTCAGACAGATGTTTGTTTTGTTAGTTAAACAGCTAAATAAGCTACAACTCCACAAAATTTCGTGTTTCTAACTAAATGTTGACAAAAGTTATGACAAAAAACAATTTCGTAGGTTTCTGCACCTAAAACAATGTCCTCCTTCCTTTCGCAACCACTGTAAATGAATTTTCAACATAAACAAGTCCTTGTAAGTCTATATTTAGTTCGTTTAAACTTTAAGAAACAAAAAAATGCATTTACCTTCCCTTTCGGCGTTATTACACCACAATTGGCTTTGAGAACAACATCAATTGACATCAGTTCAGCTTCGTAGAATGAAAACCGTACAATTCCATTGTCTTCCTCTTCCAATTTGTAGTCGATACTTGACTTTAGCACTAAAACTTGTGTGAAATAAAGTTTTACACACTTGGACAATGTTTCAATATAATTAGAGGCAACATTATGAGATGTTGTTTTAGGTAAACGTAAGATGAAGTTTAGGTAATGAAAACAAAAACCGTACAAAATATGGTTTTAAAACTTCAAAAAAGGTACAATAATGCCTAAAATCTGATTCCCTAAAATAAAACACCAAAGACAATAAAAATACAGACCAATTTAGATATTATCCATGACCTTACTTACATGAGCCTCCATAAAACACTGTAAATGTCCCAACAACAGGTAATTTTCCACATTTGAAGTAGAAAAACAAATCGTTGTTTTGTTCATGAGCAGAATCGACCAAACTTATCAGAAATACAAAAAGAAACAGCTCAAAAACAACCATAACACCTTGCTGAATAGCCAAAATAACATTATTTTCACGGAATTTGAAGGTTTATGAGTCAAAATAGCTAAAAATTAATATTTTTGGCCTAAAAGCATATAAAACCCAGTTCTTGATCTAATAAATCTTTGGTTTTAATCTTCAAAAAAAAGTTTTAGATAACGGATTTTTTGAACGTTGCTGACGGATTTTCTGAATATTATTCTTGAATTAAAACATTTTCTTGACGGATTTTGTATCAGATCTTGATGTGAATTAATGTTTTTCTATTTAAAAATTGCAAATATATTGTAATTTTATATTTTTCAGATGTTCTACCCACCTTTTCCTTCACATTTGGACCTTCAGCAATGAGCATTTGGGTCTCAATGGATGGAATCAATGGATAACATCGTGCTCTGTGAGTTTATTTTATGTTTTTGTTTCTGAATTTAGGGCTTTTGAGGGTTTCTTATGGTGCAGATAAAACTTTTAAGTAGTTTACTTATTTTTGATGTTAAACTTTGGTGTTTTTAAGAAATTTTGGGTAAATTATATTGAGGAAGATGTGTTAGACATGAAATTGAGGTAATACATGAGTTTTTTGGGGAAATTGTGGCAAATATATTTATCAGTTTATAGGTTGTAATTGTAAAGTAGGTAGTATTTATTGTGAACAATCAAACTTGTTTGAAAATTTAAATTTTTTAAGTTCTGGCCGAAAAGGTACCTAAAATTTTAAATTTTAAAAATCAGTAAAGATTACTTTAAAAATTTTTAAGTACTGGAAGCGAAAATGGCATGTTTTTGTTTTATTCAGATTTTGTAGTGGTATTAATGAGTAAACCATCTTGTTATAAAAACTTAAAAGTGTATATTGTAGTAGACAAAAGATTAATTTAAATTAAAGGCTAAATTTGTGTGAACGTATAGCTGCTTTGCATACCTATGTTATTTTGTTTTTAGAACGTTTTTGTTACGTAATACTATACTATTACAACGATTTTTCTACTATTAAGGATAGTTTTTTTATTTTTTCAACTTTTTTTTTCGATTACTGTTACTATGCGTGATTTTTTTTCTATCAAATCTTCAAAGACTCAAGACACTGGTTACAACCACCGGACGTTCACTATACTATTATAACGTTCGTTATGACTCAATTAAAACAACTATCCAAAAAACCGATTCAATTACAAATTCCACTCCATAAGCCATTTTAGTTAGCGTAATGATAAATATTTAAACAGTCGTTTATTACAATGTTCATTTTTTTGTAATATAAGGCAAGGAAACCGGAATTGCATGCAAGGGTGTCATGTCAAAAGTCAGTGCAAAGATTCCACGCCGTTGATAAGAAACTTATTTGTTTTCGTCGACAGTTATTTTCAGGAAAAGTAAGTTGCAATAGACTGTAAACAATCTTTGTTAGGAGAAGGAAAGTAACATAAAGTCTATAGGAAAAGATTTTTTTAAACATGTTGGTTTAAAATGGCAATTGAAATTGTTTGGACCCAAACCGTTCTCTTACAATTGCTATACCTGCTCCATAAGTCGCAATAAAGCTTAAAACAATACTAAATGACGAACACAGTATTTACTAGCTGGTCCAAATATGGAGGAACCGAAACTACCAAATCAAGACCAAATCAGTAAGGAACCAAATCTTTACAATTCTTCCACACAAAAAGTAGCATGTACTACCAGTGTAAAACATGTTGTTTAATACTGGTGTTTGTTACTTTACACCCTCGCCGAGTTTGGGCGCATTGCGTCAACCTTGGGCAATTCAGTCCCTAATTAGCCTGATGGCTGACGTCAATGTTCATAAAAAAAAGAAAGAAACGGTTTGCCTTTTACAATGAATGTACACAAATCATCAGTCATTTTTCCTGAAAGAAAGGGAAGGCTCAAGAGTTCAAACCAAGATCAAATTGTTGTTTGTTAATAGAATGTGCAGAGAAGTCTGGATCGACTACAATGTTTTATGAAGTATTTACAATATGGGGCAGTTTTTAAAAATCAAATTATTTTTAAATGGTCATGTAAAGGGCTGAGCCGATTGCTTACTATTAGCCTGACTCTTGTTTCAGGAGCCGGCTCTCGAACCCTGTTGAAATTCGGTCGGGCTGAGCCTGATGGACTTAAACCTGAAAAGAGGCTAGGCCGGCTTTGAGTTGTTGGCTGCAAGTCAAATCTTTCGTGTCGGTACCTAAGCTGGGTCTCTGGTACATTGGTTTGGGTACCAGTTTTAGGGAGCACGTCTGCCGGTTTGGCCCGACCTCTTACAAATTGGCTTTGCCCGGCCAAGACCGGGCTGGGCGTATGGGTCAGTCTTTCAGGTATACTTTTAAAAACTGAAGTAATGGTTAAAATTTTTTCTTGGTCAGCTTTACTGAAAAAACTCTATATAACGATCTTCATCACTGACCCTTTATATAGAACAAAAAATCACCCTATTTAAATGCTGCTTATAACAATAAGCTACTATAACAAAAACATAAAAGCCAAGACTTTACTCTATCAATACGTTACACTTTAAACCCAAACTGGTGTACGAGAATATTAAAAATTGGAAGCCAGACAGTAAAAAAATGTAAAATTTAGGTAATAAAACAATTTATTACTGTCTTGCTGACCGAAAAACTTTTGTAAACAATTTTACAAAAGCAAAAAGCGAATGATTCACGTTACAAAAAAGCCTCCGGTAAATAAATTTACGACTATTTTACGAATTTGTAGACATTTTTATTGCCCTGATTTACTGTAAGTTTTTTGTTTACTGTAGTTTATGTTGTTTTTAGAGTTGTTAAGGATTTTGTAGGGCTTTATTTATGTATATCAGCTTTTGATAGGTAGTGTAAGTTGTATTAAAAAAAAATTTTTTTTGCGATATATTGTAAGCTAAATGGCAGTAACATTTGTTATGTACTGCACTATAATATTCATTTTTAACAATGTAATCTTGACTTATGTCATTTTAACAATGCTCGCAAGTTTTTTGTTAATATTTCGTATTTCCAACTGCGCACTGTCATTGTTTGTGTTATTTATGCAAATCAAACGTTTACAATGGAAAAAACCTTTCACGTGGTTGAACTTGCAGACAAACTTTTGTCATAATATATAGGTCTGTAGGTGATGCTGTCATGATTCATTTTTTAGGGTTTTCAAAGAATTAAAGTTGTATTTAGCATTTACAAGATAATAAAAGAAAAAAATTTTAAAAAGGTTGCATAACTACACTGCGAAGTATGATTAGATAAACGGGGAATATCTCTATTGATTTGTAAAATACGTCGTAATACACTTCCCGTATAATTTGGCAGAAGAAGATTATAAAAATAGTAAAACAAAATTTTAAAGCAACACCAGACAGACAAAATTACAAGAGGTTTAAAGACTAATTAGACGTTTACAAATTAACCGTAAACTTTAAAATAGAAATGGCAAAGAAATACTAAAGATACACAATTTGATCACTGAGTATTGATAAGAATTTGAACTTCACTTGGCAACTTCTGATTTCTATAAACTTGTATAATGTGAATGATAAAGTTTGAATTTAGGCTTAAAGCTAGTGCATTTGTATCTACCTGTACGTAACAAAAAAGTTTACAAACAGGTTTAAAATGAATTAACAAAAAGTTTCAGGGAGTGTCCAGGTTTGAAGAAAGCAGTAAACCATTTATCACTCTGGACATTTCCTTTTTTGTTGACAAAGGTCATTTTCTATAGAGATGCAGGTACAAGGACACAAAATGCCATAAAAAATGAGTTATGAACTTCAATGTTGCTTCACTTTAAAAACTTTAAGATGAAACTGATGCACAATCCTTTGAAGTATCAGTCAAAGATTATCAAATCCGCAACAGAAAGTACACATCAAGATTACAGAAATATACATAAAGCAAATAAAATTGCACATAAAGCCTTTAACGGACAGAATAACAGTACATATAATGGCGGTTGTAGTAAAAGAAGAACGATACTATGGAAACCTAAAACATAAGCCTACAAATTCTGCAACAATAAGATTGAAAAACCCTTCAAAATTTACGATTTCGCATGCATAAAACGTCGAAAAAAAGCGATTTTGATGCAAAACAAGGTTAACTATTTGTTGCGGATTTTATTGCGACGAATAAAAACGAATGTTTTATGCAACAATCCCTAAACACGGATCAGATGTTTCATTTTTTGTAAGTTTTAGGTATCAACTCTACTGAATTTTTCTAAGAAAACTAAAAAATTTAAAACCTTAAGGCATAAGACATCTACACTGTTTGACACGGCCCCGTCCGTAGCGTTTTTGGCTGGCTTTCAGTTTTACGGGTATGGTTTAAACACAACAATTTTGGGCCGGATCCGCAAAAATTTTCGGTGGACCCCGTCCAGTCCGGTAAAACATTGTATAGACTAAACAAAAGAAGGTATTGCGAAGAATAAGATAATGATATGCACAAGAATCTAATTTACTTCAAAATCTCATAACTTTTAAATTTACGAACATAAGGAAGCGAAAGTTTAAACTTCCTCAAAATCATCAACCAAAACTTTCAAGAATTATGAACGTAAGTTTTTTTTGAAAAACGTAAAATTTCGAAAATGTACTAATAGTTTAAAATTATTACTTCGGCGATTGGTATACGTATTATTGCATCATCATCGTTTACATTATTGTAATTTGACGTTCGGTTTAAGTTGTTGCCGGGACCAGACCGAAAACAGTCGATTTTTTGCGATCATAATCGACTGTAAAAATTATGGCCACGCCTTGTATGGCTTGTATCGCCCTCTCTTCGGCTTTTGCGATCACTCGCACTCTGTTAAACTGACTTCGAAACCGTTTGTCGCGGGTTTCGTGAAGTTGAGTTTAAAGCGCGAAAATAGGCGCACCTGGTTTAGAACGATGCGACAAACCGTGTGTTTTTTTGTCTTTTTCTTTTTAACGAATGCGTTTTTTTTTCTCGACCCGCTAAGGCCCCAACATTAACTCAACGCGACGAAAAAACGGTCCGTTTCCATCGATGGAGCTGAACGGGAACCGGCTGACCCGCCCGCCCACCTCCGCCTAACCCCGCGGCAGCGAAGACGTCGGTCGTATAAAAGGCGCGGCCTGACGATTTGAACGGCATCAGTGCAGTCTTCCGCTTACCCACAGCAGAAGCAGCAATGAAATTCTTCCAAGGCCTTCTCTTCGCCGCCTTGTGCGTTGCCGTCAGCTCGAAAGCCAGTGAGTTCATTCAAATTTTGCATTTTTAAATAATTTTTAAAAGTTTTTTTTGTTTTCAACTTTTTACCGCGCTTTTTAACTTTTAGTCTACAAGCGTGACAACAGCTACGGAGATGAGCCAGTGACTCCAGCCCCAGCTGCCCCAGCCGAAGCTGCCCCAGCTGAAGCCGCCCCAGCCGAAGCTGCCCCAGCCCCAGAAGCCGCCCCAGCTGCCGAAGCCGCTCCAGCTCCAGCCGCCGACTACCAAGCTGCCCCAGCCCCTGAAGCCGCTCCAGCTGAAGCTGCCCCAGCTCCAGTTGAGCAACCAGCTCCAGAAGCCGCTCCAGTCGCTGCCTCCGGCTACAGAAAGAAGAGAGACAACAGTTACGGAGACGAGCCAGTAACTCCAGCTCCAGCCGCTGAAGCCGCTCCAGCCGAAGCTGCCCCAGCTGAAGTCGCCCCAGCCGAAGCTGCCCCAGCCCCAGAAGCTGCTCCAGCCGCCGAGGCCGCCCCAGCTCCAGCCGCTGACTACCAAGCTGCCCCAGCTCCAGAAACCGCTCCAGCTGAAGCTGCCCCAGCCCCAGTTGAACAACCAGCCCCAGAAGCCGCTCCAGTTGCCGCTTCCGGATACAGAAAGAAGAGAGACAACAGCTACGGAGACGAGCCAGTCACTCCAGCTCCAGCCGCCGAAGCTGCCCCAGCTGAAGCCGCTCCAGCCGAAGCTGCCCCAGCTGAAGCCGCCCCAGCTCCAGAAGCTGCTCCAGCCGCCGAAGCCGCTCCAGCCCCAGCCGCCGACTACCAAGCTGCCCCAGCCCCAGAAGCTGCCCCAGCTGAAGCTGCTCCAGCCCCAGTTGAGCAACCAGCTCCAGAAGCCGCTCCAGTCGCCGCCTCCGGATACAGAAAGAAGAGAGACAACAGCTACGGAGATGAGCCAGTAACTCCAGCTCCAGCCGCCCCAGCCGCTGAAGCCGCCCCAGCCGAAGCCGCTCCAGCTGAAGCTGCCCCAGCCGAAGCCGCCCCAGCTCCAGAAGCTGCTCCAGCTGCCGAAGCCGCCCCAGCCCCAGCTGCTGACTACCAAGCTGCCCCAGCTCCAGAAGCCGCTCCAGCTGAAGCTGCTCCAGCCCCAGTTGAACAACCAGCCCCAGAAGCCGCTCCAGTTGCTGCCTCAGGCTACTAGATGCCATTTCCTCATCAACTCAACTGTATCTCAATTTTCAACAACTGCCAGGATTTTTGAATTTTTCTTTTGAAAATTTTAAATAATTTTAACGGGTAAATAAATATTTACCATTCAGTTTATTTGTATTATTTTACTGTTGTTTCATCTAGTCGAATGCATAGCAGTTACTGTTCTAACCTACTGACTACAATGTTCTCTAACTGTTTGTAATGTCACTACAGTGTTCCTCTTTTTACTGCTCCGCGAAGTTAGTATAACGTTCATGAACGGTCTTTGAACGACCTTCAAGGAAAACCTTGATAATCAAAAAACAACAGCTAACGAATGCGAAACCGGTTTGATTGTGCAATCATCGTTTTTTACTCGGAAAATGCTTAAACTTTTTTTCGGCGAATTAAAAAAATGATTTGCAAAAAAGTGAGAGTAGCTTGCGGGGGCGATACAAAAATGTTAAAGAGAAGAGTAAAATTGAAGGGTTGTAACGTACTTTGATGGGTGTTATAGCATGAAAATCCCTACTCTGCTTTGTGAAAGGGGGGGGGGGCAGGTTTGAGTAGGGTATGATGGCATAGGGTAAGGTAGAGTAGCGTCGGGTAGGGTAAACATGTGGAACGAGCCGGGCCAATTTTTCAGACCTGGCCCGATGTAAATTTTGCTCAGGCTCGGCCCGGATGTTTTACCTGCAAACGGGGCTTTTTGGGCCTTGATTTTCATGTCCGGCCAGACCTAAATTTGGGTCAAAGCCTGCCCGTTCCTATTGTATAGGGTAGGGTAAAGTAGAGTATAGTAGCGCGGGGTAAAGTAGGATAAAGACGGGTAGGGTAGGGTAGAAAATAAGGAAGAGTAGGGTAAGGTAAAGTAGGGTAAAATAGCGTAGGGTAGGCTAGGTTAGAGTAATTTATATACTTCAGTAACGCTTCTAAGAAAGCCTAAAAATTAAATTTTTTGCTTTAAAACAAAAAAAATTTTTAACAAAATAAACTTTATTAATAAATATTATTATAAGGCAAAATATAAAAAGGCGCATTATACAATTACGTTAGCTCATAAAAAGTTAATTTAATAGCATTATTGTCATACCCGTTTGGAGAGAATACAAATCGAAAGAAATGACATATTCCGAAACAAATGAAAGATCGTTTTGCGTAAAATTGGCAGATTCGTAATAAGTAACAAGTAATGATAAAGCCTATCAAAATCTTACTGATATGGTATGTCAACATTCAGAGACGAAAAAATTGTAATTGAGGCTCTAGATGGCTAAAATTGGGCCAGAATTGAAAGCATGAATACTAGACTGAACAACTTAGTACTAATTCAACACTACTAGTTTCTAACCAGTATTAGTCATGTAGTGAATGGACTGAAACCACCGTCCAGGCTGGAATTTGTTCCAAAAGCCTTCAGGCTCATGGCCTATCATTGGTGGATCTTGGCCTTTTTCCACTTGCTCAATAATCTCTCCTAGGTTGGAGTGAGCGGCCATAAATGGCTTGGAAGTGAAAGCTTTCGGCAATGGTGCCCAAGTGTGCTTCGAAACGGCTGTGGGCTGACTGAAAAGGTTTTTTTACACTTGTTAAGATTTTTTAATTGATCTATCTTCTCTAAATTGATCTTATAAGAGATAGCCTGGAGAAGTGGAGTCTAGGAGTTGATAATGATAATTGGTCTTTTTTTCAAAAAAAAATGTTTTTGGTTTTTTACCATCCCCTCCAAAAAAATACCCAACCCATCTAACCCAAAAACTATTAAAACCCAGTTTCCTACGGTTTAACTTCGAGCACAGTGTATTCCTCCTCCTCATCAACTTCCGGCGGTTCTTCTGGCCCCACTTCTGGCGCCTCGGTCGTCGTAGTTGTAGTAGTCGTCTTCGGCCGTCTGACTTTAACCCTTCGTCGTTTCGCTTTCGTCGTAGCATGCGTAGTGGTTGTGGTAGCCTCTTCTGTAACTTCAGGTTCTTCGTCTTCAGGATACTCGGTGATAGGGTCCGTGGACTCGACAATCTTTCGTGTAGTAGTAGCTGGGGTTGTGTTGTTGTCTTTTTTGCGTTTAAGGAGCCGTTGCCAGAAAGGCACCATTTTTGGTTGTTCGGCCGGATCAGTTGGGGTTGGGCCGATTGTACCGGAGTTTGAGGCGTCTTCTGGAGCGCGTGTAGCTTGAAGGCGATTGGGTTGTTGGGCGGCGAAGCGCTCCCAAATGTTTGGTTTGCCGTTTCGTTGCATTGTGCCGGAGGCCTAAATTAGAAGTTTTGAAATGATTTTAAAAAATGTATTTTTGGCTTAACTTTTACAGTTTTGTATACATAATGGGATATTTTTTAACCTAAAATGTAGGCAGAACTACATTTTCGTTTTATATAATAGTTTTTAATCAGAACTTACTTTAATATCAGTAGAAGCCTTTTTGTTAGCCTTAACAACTTTTTCTCTTTTGGCGACAATGTAGTAGCTGCAGAGACAGCGTTACCGGTTACTTTGGCCATCACAGCGTCGCTAAAGATTCCAGTAGCACTACAGACCGTCGTAGCGTAGCAGCGACTTATCATCTAAAAAATTTTGAATTAATAGGACTATTAGAGCTTTAAATTTTCGAATCATTAGGCTTATGAGTGCTATAAATTCTTGAATTACAAGGCCTCTCAAAGCTAAAAATGGTTTATTTTATTAGGCTTGCTATATATATTCAAGGTTCATCTTTTTTTTGTAAAATACAGTACAATTTTCGAAAGTAAGCGGAAGCCTACCTGATGTATAAAAGCCTTAAGCTTATAGGAATCTTTCTTGTGTTTGGATATAAAAGCTTCAAAGTTTGAGTTCGTTTTACAGTACGTCGAATCACTGATGTCTTGGCATTTGTATGACATTTGTTCTCCTGAAAAGTTGGGTCAAAATAAAATGAAAAGTTGAGACCTAATAAGCTGGATAGGTGTCAAAAGTTCGGCTAGGCTAATTTAAAACGCCAAAATTGAAGAAAGTTTGACGATGAAAAGGCCCGGCCTCTTTCAAGTTTGCTTCGGCTCATCTCTGCGAGCCAAGCCGGGCCTAGCGAGCCCTTTTTCGAGCCTCTTTTTAAAGCACTTTTAATATCTAGACTTAAGTCTTGTTTTCCAATGTTTTAACCATACCTTGTTCAAAACAATAGTTGAAGCACATTACTCCAAACCCGACTTGTTGACAAGCTCCATCTCGGCTTTTGTATATTGTGGCACACGTTTTCTTGTACTGAAATTTTGAAGCGTTTTATCAGCATTGTAGTATTTTACATAGTTAATTTTCAAAATTTGAAAAAAATAAAACTTACTGCTTGAAAATTGGAGCCAACCGGTTCCCTAGACCCAGTCCGAGGCATAACCCAAGATTTGTCAATGGCTTTGATAAGTTCATTCAATTTCTGAATGTTCAGGTCTTCGCTTTTGACCGGTCGCTGTTGCTGCGATTTGTTGTTGCGACTTTTGTCGGCGTTTGAAGTTGCGACAGGACTGTGAAAAGACTGTCGACGTTTCGTCGCTTCTATGGCTTGTTGCACTTTCCCGCTTACTCTGCCTAAAATTTTAAAATTTGAAAAATAAGCTTAGGGCCAAGAGATTTATTGGCTTAGGAAAATTTCAAAAATTTTAATTTTTCATTTTTTTTTAAATTAAAAAAAATTTTCATTAAATTTGGAAAACTGTTTCGCTTCAAGCTTTGACTTTAAACTTTAAAGTTAAAGAGCAGTAGTTAAGCCCAAAATTAAGTCTTAATACTAAAAGTAAGCCTTACGTTGTGCTTGTCCCAAAACCGTAACGCCGAGGTTTGTCAGGACGCCTACGTATAGGAAAATATGAATCGTATTCATTATTATGCGGGAATTCACCCGGACGCAACGTCCTTTAGAAATCGTTCACAGCACAGTTTGACAGTTTCGATTTTTGTCGTCTAAAGTTTAAAACATGATGACATAACGTGAAAAAAATACAGTGGAACTCTTGTACAAATCGTGATTTTAAAATTGTTTGTGATAAAATAAGGTCATGATCCAGAAGTTTATTATACAGAAGTTGATTATACAGGAGTGTGTTGCAAAAACATAAAACTGGCAAATTATGAGTTAGAGGTGTCAATGGACCCCAGAGCCAGGCGTGTGGGCATAGACTGGGGCGGGAAATTTTTTTTAGTCAATCAAGTCATCTAAGAAACCTAGAGTTTCCTGATGATTTTGATGCTTTTTCGATCATACAAAGCCATACTATTAGGTTGTTCACTTAGCTCTGCGCCCATTTTCAAAGAAAATTTGTGGGGGTACGGGGCGCAGAATTATTTGAACAACCTAATACAAACTTTTTGACCAAGAAATTATCCCTACCTCTCAAGAATTTTACCCTACCCTTAACTTTATTCCCAGCTACCCCAACCCCTACTCTTATCTTAAAAATTACCCCCTAACTACCTCTACCCCCTACTCCAAACCTTACCTTGCCTCTATTCCTTACTTCTTAAAGTATGCAAATCACTTTATCAAAAACTTAAAAATGATTTAAAATTTTTATCAAAATCTAAAATTACTTGAAACCCTGCCAACAACCCAAAAGTTCGTGACTCAGAACGTTCCAAACCCCAAGGTTTAATTGCTTCAAATTACCCGAAACAAGCGATCGACCCCACCTTCGAACACACGCTTCAAGACTTAGCACCCACTTTAAGCCGCGAGCACGCGTTTGTGTATTTTAATCTCAACTCCAACCGAAATAGCCATGTTTCGTTTTAATGCAAACAAAATCGGGCTCTATCAAACAATTGCGGCGGGCTTCGAGGAGTGAGTGACCTGCGTTCTCAAAGTTTCGTGCAGGAGCGACTTGGGATTAGATTAATAGCGGTTTGGAATGATATTTAGATATTTATATTAAAAAAATTTTTTTTTGGATGGATTTAGGCAGTATGGGATCTAGATGATATTGGAGGACAGAGAAAATATGAATACAGTGGAGTTCTTGTATAACGAACTCCTGTATGACAAACTTCCCCCCCAATGGATGTTTAGTCAAAAACATGTTTATCTTTTCCTCCTAGTTAGACCTATAAGGCTACTACCCACTAGACCCAGCCCCAGGTCGTCATAAAGTAAATTTGAAAAGGGCCGGGCCACCATACATGGTCCGAAGGCTAAGTTTCAAATCACCAAGGTCTGAAAAATTTTGGCCCGGCTTCTTTACAGGCCTACTCCCAGTGAGTAGCCTAGCCGTAGCATAAACAACTCAAAGTACAACGAGTTTTTAAAAAATAAAAGCAACATTAAAAAAACCAAAAGTTTTAAATTTAAAAAGGTTTAAAAACAAAAATAAATTCAAGGAAAAACCAAAATTCAACGGCTACAAGTTCCAAAAGTTAAAAGACCAACAACTTAATACTGTTGAAACAAAGCGTGCAGACGTCTTAAGCGCTATGTTAACACACTCTTGAGCTGAAGAGGTCATAAAAAACAATCTATAGGTCATAAACACAATCTCTGACCAACAACAATAACCGAGACTGCTCCCAAAAAGATTGCGTTCGACTTTGTAAAACACTTGAGGCTTCTCCGTAGCTCATCTACACCTATTTTGGTCACAATATCCGCAAATAAAACAAAGAGAAGAAGAGAGTTTGGGTTTTACGGTAGCGTCTGGGTGGATCAAATGGTTCAAAATTTAATTTGAGGATGCTTTTCGAAGTTAAAAATGAGGTCCATTTAATGAAGGTGAAGATTCTTATATATTAGGAAAGAAGAGCACAATCCTTCTCTGACGCGGGGGTAGAATAGGGTTTAAATACTATAGGGCCTAGGGTAGGGTAAGGCCTAGGGAACGGCGGTGCTTAAGGTTCGGCAAGCCCTAGAGTGCAGTAGGGTCTAGGATATCGAAAGGCTTAGAGTACGACAGGGCCCAAGGTACAGAACAGCCTTGGATAAGATAGGATCTAGAGTAAGGTATGGTTAGGGTACGGCGCGGCTTTAAGTACGGTAGGACCCCCCCCCCACCGCCTTAAAAGAAACTTTAAACCCCCCCCCCTAAAACCGTTTAAAAATCCCGCAAAAAATAAAATTACGTTTCAAAAAGTTTTCAAGCGTATCCTAAAACGTAACCAGCGTACATGGGCTTCAAGGAACGCGGAAATTATGGAACGATGAATCCGGTTTAGACGGATATCTCGCGCGAGAAGCGGCTGTTTGTTTTTGTTTGGCCTTTACCTTCGCGCGAGATTTTAGGTAAGTCGCGACGTCAAATTGTACGTATGTTTCTACATCTCGCGACAATTTTCAGGGCAATGTTTTTGATTAAATTATTTTTGTTTTTTTTTTCGTTTTTAAATTTTTTTGTTAGATTTTTAAATTTTTAATAGTTTTTGCAAGCGAAGATGAACTAAAAATTTGAAATTTTGCCGTAATTTTTAATAAAATCCTCTTGCATAAAGTTAAAGAAATAGGGTTTGTAAACTTGAACAAAACCCAACCAAGGAAACAAAAAGCATTTTGTGAAATTTATAAAGTTTTATGTCATTATAATGAATAGAAATGACAGAGTCTACGTTCAAGCATAGAATTTCAATTAATATATGCACACCATAACCAACCGCAACACATAAAACCGAAAAAGCATAAACAGTCATATAAAAGCAAAAAATCATTAAAGCATCGTATCAATTGACAAAATGTTGATCCGACTCCTAATAGCTACGCTATGTGTCGGATCGGCACTTGGGTTCAGACGAAATTGTTGTGGATCCCAAGGAGCTTTTAAGCGACACTGTGCTGACACTGTTTGTCACAAGCCGTCGGCCCCACCAGCACCACAGCCTACGCCAGATGAGCCAGAACCTATGCCAGACGCACCAGCGCCTGAAGAACCAAAACGACCAAAGCATCATCACAACAAGGCACCGGTTCAATCGGCACCAACGACTAATATTAAGATTATTAATATTTTCCAAAATGTGCCTGAAAATCCGGTGAAGGTAGAATTTGTGCCAGGACTGCCACATCAACAACAACCACCAAAGATTATCAACTTCCCTGGCTGGCCAGATGCACCATCATCATGTGGTCCAGTCAGAGTTTTGGTCAAGCCCGTGCAGCAAAACCAAGTTCAACCGCCAAGAATCATTGTTGGTGAACCGTCTAACCCGCAGTCACCTGGAGTTACGATAGTCATCACTATTGGTCCAAGTGCATCAGGACAACCTGGTCAGCCTCAACAAGTAATGCCACCAAGTAATTGCCCTGGACGGCCAAAGAAGCCCGTTATTATCCACGTTGCACCGAGTTCACCAGATAATCCAGTGCCACAACAACCCGAGCCTCAGCATGTGATCGACGTTCCTTACCCTAACGACGAGCCTCCAGTACGAATTATCATACAGTATCCAACGGAACGACCGCAACTGCCTAGCGAGACTATTCAAGTCATCCCTGGTCAACCAACACAACCAAACCAAGAGCCTCAGGTTGTGTTTGTGCCAGGAACGCCACAACAACGACGCAAACCCAAGATTATCGTTATTCAAGGCAGTCCAGACGGTCAGAACAACGGTCCAGTACGAATTCTTATTTTACCTGTACCAGACGACCAAGTTCGACCACCGTATATTATCCCTGGAGAACCCAAGAACCCTCAAGCTCCAGGCTACACTATTGTCGTACCAGTTGGCTCTCATCCACCTCAACGGCCTAGTCCACCACAACAACTTCAACCTCGTAGCAATGATGGTACTCAACACAACCCAATTGTCGTAAAGATTGTACCGGCTAACAGCCCAGTACAACAAACGCCAGAACCACAACAAGTGATTAATGTACCACACAATAATAATGAGCCGGCTACAAGAATCATCATTAAATTCTTGCCTGGAAACCCACGCCAGCCATCGTATCCAGGATATCCGTCTCCAGGACAAAACCCAAGTCCATCACTACCACCGGGACCAATCCAAGTCATCCCTGGCCAACAAACACCGCCTGGCGGAGAGCCCCAGATCACTTACGTACCAGGAACACCAAATCAACAACGAAAACCAAAAATCATTGTTTTCGAAAATCCTCCGAATCAACCTGGAAGTGGTCCAATCAGAGTGCTTCTTCAGCCAGTACCACCCAACCGTGTTACTCCACCTTATATCATTCCTGGAGAGCCGAAGAATCCTCAAGCTCCTGGCTACACAATTGTCGTTCCAATCGGTCCTCATGCCCCACGACATCCTGGTCAACCCGAACGACTACAGCCACAGGATAGCAATGGTCAGCCAAGAAACCCAATCGTCGTTACAATTTCACCAGCTGGTCCAAATACGCCTGTTCAACAGACACCCTCGCCACAACAAGTTATTAATGTGCCGAACGGTAATAACGAGCCAAGTACGAGAATTATCATTAAATTCCCGCCTGGAAAAGACAATGATAATCCTTATGGCCCACCAATTTACGTGCCTGGTCAACCACCTTCTGGACCAGGCCAGAATCCTTACGGACCAGGCCAAAACCCATCCTATCCTGGCCAAAATCCGTATGGACCAAGCCAAAATCCGGATGTTCCTGGAGACAATCCTTATGGCCCAGGTCAAAATCCACTGTACGGCCCAGGAGAGCCAGAAAAACCATCTGGACCAATCATTATCATACCTGGCAAGCCATCTCGTCCAGCTGGTCAAAAGCCTCAAATCACTTTTGTACCAGGTACACCAAAGCAGCGACGTCAACCTAAAATTATCGTTTTTGAAGGCCGACCAGATGAACCATCTAAAACTCCAATCCGAGTCTACATTAAACCAGTCCGGCCTGGCCATGTACGACCACCCTACATTATTTCTGGTGAACCAAAGAACCCACAAGCTCCAGGCTACACGATTGTCATCACCGTGGCTCCACGACCACCACGAAAGCCAAGTCAACCTCAACAACTTCAGCCACCAAGTCAGAACGGGCGACCACAAAAACCGGTCGTTGTTACAATTCTACCGGCGTATCCAAATACCCCAGTTCAACAAACTCAATATCCTCAACAAGTGGTCGATTTTCCGAATGAAGATAATCAACCAAAAACTCGAATCATTATTGAGCTTGTGCCTGGTAAGAACGATGATGACAGTCCTTACAATCCTTATGGTCCAGAACAGCAAAACCCAGTGATTATACCGGTCAAACCAACTCCACCACAAAGCCGACCAATAATAATCAAATTCAAAGGACCAAGAGAACCAAATCGTCAGCCTCAGGTTTATGAGGTACCACAACGGCCAGATGGCGGTAACAACAGCCCCATTCGTATCTTCATTAAACCAGTACGACAAGGTCAAGTTCGGCCACCATTCATCATTCCTGGTAGTCCACGCAACCCTCAAGCCCCAGGCTTTACAATTGTTATCCCAGTTGGACCAAATGGACCACAAAACTCTAGTCCGGAGCGGCTTACACCTCCTGGACCAGATGGACGACCACAACGGCCGATTGACGTTATTGTACAGCCAAGAACGCCAACAATTCTTCAACGTAAAGAGCCACAGTTGGTGATTATCGTGCCTAGCAATAACAATCAGCCTGATACACAAGTTATCGTCATCTTCGGCCCAAGAACGCCCCAGAATCCGGATAATCAGAATCCTTACAATCCGCCTTTTACTGTCATTCCTGGTCAGAACCCTGGTGGTCCACAATACCCAGGTCAGAACCCTGGTGGTCCACAGTACCCAGGCCAAAACCCAGACGGGCCACAGTACCCAGGCCAGAATCCTGGAGGTCCTATGAGTCCAAGCCAGAATCCAGACTACCCAAGTGGTCCAGGTAGTCCAGGCGGCCCACGGTACCCAGATGACCCTGGCCAAAATCCAGGCGGTCCTGACTACCCAAGTGGTCCAAGCCGCCCCGGCAATCAACCAGGTGATGAACCATTCCTACCAAGTGGACCAGGCGGCCGAGTTCCAATCCCACTACCGCCAGGGACCCAAATTAGGTCAGGAAACGGAGTCAAGATAATCATCATCCCAGGAGCACCAGGTACTCCACCTACGACGATTACGGTTCCAGAAAATCTAAGAGAGCCGGTTTGGATTCCAGGAACGCCAGAACGACCAGGTAGACCGTTCCAACCTGATGGTAACTTCCCTAACATCCGAGTACCATGGCCAAGAAGTCCAGTACGACCAAAGAACCCGAGCGACAGATTGCCAGAAATCGACATTATCATCTTCAAACCTCGCCAACCAAGAGTACCAGTTGTGATTTTTGGTCCGCCTGGACCTCAAGAGCCATCTGAACCTGGATCACCTGGTCAAGTCACAATTGAGTTCACTCCAAACGACAATCCTAGGCCGTTTTACATCTCAGGGCCACCAGGACCAATAGGACCAAATGGACAAATTTCGATCATCTACATCCCTGGCGGATTCCAAGCTCCACCGACCGGTCAAATTATCTTGGTCGGACCTCGTGGACCATCTCCTAACACAATTGTGTTTGTGCCACCACGTCACGATGTTCTACAGAATACTGAACAAATCATCATCAGTGGACCAAAAGGACCATCTGTGGACCAACCATTCGGTTCCATCATCTACATCCAACCTCCAGATGTCAGCCGGCTGACTGAAGTGACATTACTGTTCGGTTATCCAGGACCAGAAGGTCAAGACGGTGAAATCAGCATCATCTACTTCCCGGGACGACCAGGATCAGTACCAGTCGTTATCTTCGGTATTCCTGGACCACGTGGACCTGATGGACTGATCAGTATCTTCTATGTGCCCAGAGGCTACAGATTCGAAAGACAAGTGACGATAACGAGCTGGGAATTCTCTGAAGTTTCGGAATACTTCTCCATCAGCTGGTGCTTCAGATTCACCTTCCCACCGTTGGATGGACCAAGATTGGAACCGTCTGTTGGACAAAGTGGCATATTTGGAGGAGGAAGAAGTAAGGATTACATTACTTATTCCTCTACTTTACCTATTATATTACTTATTACTCTACTTTATTCTTATCTTTTTTTGACTAGCCTACCCTACTCTACTCTATCCTACTTTACCCTAGAGATACCAAAAGTTGTATCACTACTTCTACCCTTACTATACCTTGACTTTAGCTTACATTTAGCCTATATTATCCTACCCTAAAGACTGGAAAATTATTTTTTAAATTTCAGCATCGTACTCAAGCGAAGAGGAGGAATCATTTGAACAACAACAAAGCTCAAGCCACAAGAAAACAGAGTTTGTACAATACGACTGAGGCTGTTGGTTTGTTACTGTAATAAATTATATTTAATTGGTTGATAGAAGGCTATATTACATTAGCTTTTTCATTACTTTCGTGACTTGAAATTTTGAAATGAGGGTTGGGAAAATGGTTTTTAGGGGTAGGGTTAGGGGTAGTGAACCATTAGAATTGGTATAAGTTACAGGTAGGGCTAGTATTAAGGGTATGAGCAAGAGTATGTGTAGGGGTTCTGGCAAGCGTAGTGGTAGGAGTACGAGTGAGGTTAAAGATAGTAGAAGCCTTTATTTTGTAAGTTCATACAAGCCTAAACTCATTAGAAAAACTTTAATCCGACCAAAACGCTTAAAATTAAAACAAAACTGCCAATTTTGACATTATTTCCAGCGCTAGGACTCAATCCAACTTCATACTTGTTGTTGTTCCTCCTCAATGCCAAACATTTCTTTTGTAAAAATTCGTAGCCAAACACAAAATCATAGTCATTGGTCGCTACTTTGCCGATAAATGCCGAATAATAAGTTTTGTCATCTTTTTTGCGCTCTTCTGCATAGTCTTTCGCTTCCATCACGTACTCATTATTACCAATTTTAATCGTGAATTTGGGTAGATCAGCTAGAGAGTCGACGTCTGCCGTTTTGAAATAGGTATCGAAGGTCTTTGAGTTGACAAAGGTTCGGCGTGAGGGGTTGAAAGCTACTTTTTGCTTTTCGAAGGTTAGGTTGCCAATTGTAATACTGAAAAAAATTGTTTTAGATGAGGAAGACTTATCTAAATTTATTCTTTCTATCGTATTTTGGAAAGTGCCCGACCTGCCCCGCTCTGGTTGACTTCAAACTTTTTATACAGGAAGATCATGTAAATATAAGATCTTCAGCGAAGTACTAAATCGCGCTTTCCAGGAGATCACGAGAAAATCGAGATCAAAAGATTACGTTTTGAATTTCCCGCCAAGTTGGCATTGTGTTTCAAGCTAATAACTTAATCATTTTTTGACTTTTCGGAATTTTTCTTTCATATACTAGTAGAACATCTTTAAATGAACCTACATTTTAAATTTGTAAGCGCAGTTTGCCTGGAAAGTCGAAAAAAGTGCTTGAAACACAATGCCAAATTTGCCAAATTAGCGGGAAACTCAAATATTTAAAATTTAAAACTCAAAAGCGCAAGATAAAATTTTTGGGTGCTATTGGTGTTACAAAGAATTCATATAAAAATTTTGGGCTGATTTTGAGCGGAGCAGGTATGGTATTTTCCTTGTAAATTCGTTAAATATATTGTATTTTAGTTCTGGGCACTTGATTTTGATCTTTTTCTGGAAAATCGAACTTACTCAGCTTCAACTTGCCACCATGGCTTTCCATCATGTTCCAGAGCTTGAACGTATTTTAGGTCTTTGCAAGAGTCGATTTCTTTGCCAAACGAGACTTCTCCGCTTTGCTTTACCGGGGCTATTCGGCCGTCCTGAAATGGCATTTTTAAAAAGTCACGCTAAAAATTTTTTTTTGAAATTTTTTAATATTAATTTTCAAAAAAAATATTTTAATTTTGAAAAAAAAATTTTAATTTTAAAAAACTGACGTTATCCTGAACTCTATGTTTATATTCTCCTTCGTAGATGTAGATAGTTTTGTGGTCATCCATACCATCAAATAGTTTGTCTACAATTTTGTAATCAGCGTCTCCAAAGCCCAAACCTAATCGACCGCTCGCTTCGTATTCTTGTTCTCCTTTGCCTTCAGTGATTGTTAGGATCTTGTGTTGTTGAGTTAGGTCTCCTAACTAAAAATTTTTGGGTTTCGTTTGGAAAGATTAGTAAGGTAAAGCGTTAGGCTCTAAAACCGACTGTGGATGAAAAGGTTAGGGTTAAAAATTTATTTTCTAGGGGTTTAGACCTAAAAATTGCTGATGTTGGTTTTAGGCTTAAATATTTTAGGCTTAGATATTATAGGTTTAGCTATAGATTACTGGCTTTATTAGGCTTAAAATCTATATTTTAGACTTAAAAATTGATTTTTTTGCAAATTTAGGCTTAAAATTGACTTTGTATACCTTAAACTTAGCTACAGATAACTGTTCTATTTAGGCTTAAAATTAAAACTATAGGCCTAAAAATGGTTTAAAACTGAAATTTTGCAATCTTTAAGTGATAATTAATGATTAAAACTAATTTTAAAAAATTTTCTAAAAATCAATAAAATTTGTGACATTTTGTCGCTTTTCTAACAAATAGCCAAATTAGCCGAATAAAACCAATTTTTATGTTTACTAGTACTTAACTTTACTTGAAAGTCATAGAAATAGCCCAGAAATTCATTGGCTGGGTCATAACTGCTGTCATTGTACTTTTCACCATCTGGAATTCCACTGAAATTTGAAATTTTAAAAAAAAACTTGTACAATATTTTTTTGTTTGAACAGCTTTATACTCTATCACATTATATCTACAAAAGTGCTTAAAATAGATTTTCTATTAAAGAAATTAGCCTTGCACCCCGCGCGCCCCATTTTATGCGATGAAATGTGCCCTAGTCGATATTTTTAATTGTAAAAAAATTGTAAAAAAAAACTTACACTTCAACAGTTGTTAACTCCTCAGCAGTACATTTGTTTTTGCCTTTACATTTTTGACTAAAAACTAGTGACACTTCTGTGTTTAGGTCGATTATCGACGGTATCGTATAGTCTTTGTCTTCATACTTGTATTGAATGTCTACTGTGGGAATGTCTGGAATGTGGTGTTGTTATTGGGTTTTAAATGCTGGTTTTTTCAAAAAAATTGACCGAGCTTAAGCTTACATTTTTTCAATAAAGGCTAAGGAGACTAAGCCTAAGCTTGTAAGTAGGGCTAAGCTTAGTGGAAATGCTTAGTAATCGTACGTCTTCTCAGCCTAAGCGTACTATGCCTGAGCCTACTAAGCCTAAGCCTATTAAGCTTAAGCCTACTAAGCCTAAGCCTACTGAGCCTAAGCTTGCTAGATGATCTAATGCTGCTAAGCGTAAGCCTACCAAGCATAAGCTGACTAAGCCTAAGTCTACTAAGTCTAAGCTTACCAAGCCTAAGTTTATTTGGCCCGAGTCCACTAAGTTTAAGCTCACTAAGCCTATGCTTCATGTCTTGTATTACCGCTAACATATTATAAGTTGTGAAACATAAAAAAATTCTAAAAATAGAATAAAAAAAGTTTAACTACAGTAATACAAAGTCAATATAACATAACTTACTGCTCGAATAACTCTGCGAATGAGAAGCAAAACTGAAGAACGGTACGCACGTTACCGTATGTCCAAAAAGTAAAAGCGCAAAAATGGGTGTCATCGCGACGCGGTTTCTTCAATTATGGCCCTTCCCATATTTATATAAGCGACAATGTGATTCATGGATTTGGGGCATGGTAAATATTGATATTGTATTGTTAGTCAGCACACGTTGTTTGCATTTCCGATCAATTCGGAAATGGCAGGGTGCGAGTTACAGTTTATTGATATGATAAGGTGTGATAGTCACTTATTCAGGCTGATATTAGTGTGTTTTGGAATGATAAGAAAAGGATGACACATTGGTTAGGGCTTGAAGATTATTAAAAAGTAAATAATGATTAACACCTTTTTGAGGGGGATGAGAGGAGGGTAGGGATGGAGAACGGCTATGATAAGGTAGGGTAGGGTAATTGGATATGATTTTTTAATTAAAAAATTATATCAAAATTTTTAAAAAAATTAAAAAGTTTTTAAAATTAAGTTAAAAAAAATCTTGTCGTTTTTCAACTTGCACTACAATGTAAAATGACGACAAAACTGGGTAGCGTAGGCTTAAACTTTAGGAACGAAAAAAGTGTAAAGAAAAAGTAGCGTAAAATAGAGCAAGCTTTGCCACAGTCAGGACAAGTAAAGCACAGTACGAAAGATTACAATAAAGCATGTTACGGTATAGGATAAAAAAAGTGGGTATAAGGTACAGTACGGTAATATATACGCGTTAAATGAAGTAAAGGGTAGGGCAGTAAGGGCGAGTTCAAGAAAAGTCAAGTAGGTTAACGTAGACTAGACTAAAGTAGGGTAGGGTAGGGTTGGGTAGGGTAGGGTACAGTACGGTATGATAAAGTAGAGTAGAATAGGGTAGGAAAAATATTTTTTATTTTCTTTTAGGCTTAATTTTATTAAAAATTCAGAGTTTTACTTTTAACTTGAAAAAAATTAACTTTAATCCGACTCCTCATAAGAATATTGTTCAGAGTTTTGGCTAGCGAACACTTGGTTCTGTCCATTGTGAATGTTTTGTTTGAAAAAGTCTGGCATGTCGTTATCAGTACCAATTGTCATCATTTTATTTGACATTGACATTTGTCTGGCATAACGACGGAAGCGGTCTAAAATACAAAAGATATTACAAAATATTGGAAATGTTGCCTAATCTTATGGTATATTAACATAGCCTTAGAGAAATTGCAAGAAAGTGTATTACGTAATGTTTTCTTATGCAATCTTATGGCTTTATATCATTTGCCTCGATGTAAAACGACCCAACAAATGACTGCGAGTGTTGGGATTTGGCTCTATGTTTCTTCGGGGGGTATGTTTAGTATTGTCATTATTCCTTTGACCTTTGGAATGACTTTTTTCAAGTGTAAGCCCGCTAAATCTAAGTCTACTAAGCCTAAGCTTACTAAGCCTAATCCTACTAAGCCTAAGCCTACTAAGCCTAAGCCTACTAAGCTTAAGCCTACTAAGCCTAAGCCTACTAAACCTAAGCCTATTAAGCCTAAGCTTATTAAGCCTAAGCCTACTAAGCCTAAAACTACTAAGCCTAAGCTTACTAAGCCTAAGCCTACTAAGCGTAAGCCAACTAAGCCTAAGCTTACTAAGCTTAAGATTATTAAGCCTAATCCTACTAAGCCTAAGCCTAATAGTTATAAAAAACTTACTATGAACCACCGAACTTGATGACTTATGGCTTTTACTGCTGGACGAACTCGAACTGCTTGATGATCTTACACTAGACATGCTTCCATCAGCATTTCTAATCACTTTCTCATTCTTATCAATCTTGTTATCATTACTAGAGGAGCTTTGTTCCAAACTCTTCTTCTTAATGGTACCATTGGGACCTTTTTCTTCGAAATTGTCTGACTTTACAGCTGATTTCTTATCACTACTAGCTCCAGATTTGCTTTCGGTCTTTGAAAAACTGCCATCTGAACCTTGTTTCACCTCAGATTTGTCTTCGGATTTCGAAGCTTTGGCCGAGTTTTGTTTGTGCAATAAATCCGACTTTTTGTAGCCATTCTTCGATTCCTCGACTAGACTACGGGCTTTGACTAGGTTTTGAGCACTCGAATCAGAGCCAATCTTTTCTGATGATAACGCTAGGTTTCCAAATTCGTCTGTAGATTGACTACGGCGACGATTGGATTTGGAGGCATGCACACGAGCATCTTTGTCTAGGGATGAGGACTTTTTGTAGCCGTTTTTGTCTAAAAATTAAAAATTTTTAATTTTGCAAGTTAAAAATTTATTTTTGGTTAATTTTTGGTTTTTTAAAGTTTAAGCTTCATTTTATCGATAGTAGGGTTAGTACGGCTGAGCACGGCAAAAATAGGCTCCAACCTATTCTTACGTTTTGGCTGGGCTAGGCTTTTGGGCTTAGGCTTAGGCTTAAGCTTTAGCTTTGGCTTAGCCTTAGGTTTATTCTTAGGCTTAGGCGTAGGCTTTAGTATTTGGCTTAGATTTAGTCTCAGGCTTGGGCTTAGCTGAGGTTTAGACTTAGTTACAACTTTACGCTAAGGCTTGAACTTAGCCTCAGCTTTAGAGTGAATACAATGCTTATTCTCAGGCTTATACTTGGCTTAGGCTTAAATTTTGAAAAAGGCTTTGACTTAGGCTCATCTTTACGGTTTTCCTGAGGCTTGGCCTAAATTGTAGCTTTGTTTTAGTTTTAGGCTTTGGTTTTTTTAGGCTTAAGCTGAACTTTAACTTTAATCTGAAAGTATTAACTTTTTTCTTTCTTATGCTTAATGTGAGGTTGAAGCTAACGCGTAAGCCTAGCTTTATGTTTAGGCTACTTGAACTAAATTTTAGTGCGATTTGAATACCGTCCAACTGATAAAGAAATCAACCAAAAACTTTTTTTTACTTTTTTTTTTAATTTTGCAAAAAGTTTATTTGACTTTTTTAAAAAGTGTCGTTATTATTATCTTATTATTATTAGTATATATTGAAATCGCTTGCTCTCATTTACCTCGTCTCTCAAAACTGTCGGCGCTGGTCTGGTCTGAAGCTCCTGATCTCGATTCGTCACTGTCAAACTTCTGCACCCAGTTGCCATTCTTATCCTCCTCCCAATACATGGCGTCGCCAACTCGCTCCACACTACCTTCTTGCTTCTTGTTCACATGGTTCTTCTTACTGTAGCCGTGCTTACTTTTTGATTCGGACCGACTAGCGTGGGATTCTGAAGACGAGGACGAGCCTGACGAACTTCTTATGCTGCTTCTGGCTGAGCCACCGTCAGCTCCGGCCTGGATCCGGGTTTTGGCGTAGCTCTTCTTGTTGCTACTGCTCTGCTTGCTTGATGAGGATTCGGAGCGTGAACTACCGTGCCGTTCTGAGGATTCATGGCTTTCACGGTGTGAGGAGCTACTGGACTTTGAGGATTCACTGCTCTCGCTACGGCTGATTGAAGCACCGGCATGGTCACGGTTGGAGGAGGCTTGTAGCTGCGACATTCGGTCCATACGGTCGGATTCTGAAGCGCTTTTGGAGGAGCGTGAGGAGTGGTGACCATGGTGATGACCTGAGGATTCAGAAGAGCCATGATGATGACCATGGTGGCCTGATGAGCCTGAGCGTAGATTTGAGGCTTCAGAAGATCCATGATGATGACCTGAAGATCCAGAAGAGCCATGATGATGACCGTGACTTGAAGATCCGTGATGATGAATGGAAGATTCCGAGCTACCGCTTCGGCTACGCGAATTCGACGATGATGAACTCTGTAGATTACTCATCGACGCTCCAGAATCTCCGGCTGATGTTTGATGATGACCGTGATGACTACGACGATGGGATTCAGAAGAACTTGACGAAGAGGAACGATGTGAGGAGTGGGATGAAGAACTTCGCGAGCTTCCCGAGCTTCTACGACCTCCTGTAAGAAACAGGTTATTCATTCCGTTGCGCTTTTCTAAAATTTTTAGAATTTTAAAGAGTGTAAAGAAAGTTCTTGCCATTTTATGTTTTGTAAAGAAAGTTCTGGCTATTTTTCGTTTTGTAAAGAAAATTCTTGCCATTTTTTGTTTTCAATTTTTCCGTTCTCAATTAGTCACTTTAGGCTTATTTTTTATTTTTAGGCTTGAACATATAACTTTTAAGGCTTAAAAATGTGATTTTTAGGCTTAATTTTGTATTTTTTAGGCCTAATCTTCAAAGTTTTAAGCTTAATTTTTACAGTTTTAGGCTTAACTTTCTAATTTTTAGGCTTAATTTTGTACTTTTTAAGGTTAATTTTCTATTTTTTAGGCTTCTTTTTCTATTTTTTAGTTTTGCTCTTTTATTTTTAAGGCTTAATTTTCTATTTTTCAGGCTTAATTTTCTACTTTTTATTCTTAATTTCCTAATTTTTATTCTTAATTTTCTAATTTTTATTTTTCATTTTCTATATATTAGGCTTAAATTTCCATTTTCTATTCATAATGTTTTACTTATTAGGCTTAACTTTCCACTTTTCAGACCTACCATGACTGCTTCGCAAGTTCATACCATTCTCTCCTTCACGACTTCTGCCACCTCTGCCGCTACTTCTTCGACTGTTACTGGAGCTGCTTCTGGAGCTACTGCTTCGACTACTGCTGGAACTTGATATTGAACTGCTACTACTTGATCTACGACCATTGCTACGGAGACGACCCACATTCGAATTGGCATCTCGAGAGTTGGAGCCGAAGTTGAGGTTGGCGTCTGGAAGTGGGATCAATTATAATATATGTTAAGTTTAGTAGTTTAGGTAATGGTTATGGTAGGGGGGGGTGGTTTTGTAATGTTTTTAGTAGGGCGGATGTTTTTTTTAAAGCATATCGTTTGAAGGGTAGGACAAGGCTTATTATGGGGCTATTATAACGTTGGTCAGGTCTTGGGGTAGGTCAGGACATTGTATAGAGGATGTATTGTATGAGTAGAGCTTAGATAGGGTCAAAGACTAGTTCTTGATTTACCTGGGATTCTTGCTAAGATCAAGGATAAGGCAAAGGATAGGGTTGGTAAGGTAGGGTAACTTAGGATACAAGGTAGGGCAGAGCAAGATATTAGGTGCCGACATAAAGAACCCGCCATTTTTTACAGGAAATTACACGAAAAGTATGGCGGGTTCTTTATGTCGGCACCGTAACTTAAAGTAGGGTAGGGTAGGGTAGGGTAGGATAGGGTAGGGTAGGGTAGGGTAGGGTAGGGTAGGGTAGGGTAGGGTAAGGTAGGGTAGGGTAGGGTAGGGTAGGGTAGGGTAGGGTAGGGTAGGGTAGGGTAGGGTAGGGTAGGGTAGGTCAGGGTAGGTTAGGGTAGGGTAGGGTAGGGTAGGGTTGGGTAGGGTACGGTAAAGTTAAAAACACTTACCTCTGCCTCCCTTAACAACACTACTGCTGCTATGATGACTGCTACTACTTGAACTCGACGAACTCGATGAACTACGGCTTGAAGATACACTTCCATCAGCATTAACCACCTTCTTACTCTTCTTATCAAACTTACTGTCTTTGCTCGTAGAAGCTTTGTCACTAGAAGTCTTCTTAACATAGCCATTAGGGCCGTTCACCTCAACGTTCTTGGCTTTTTCAGAGCTTGAGCTCTGACTATCAGCACCACTTGATGCTGATAATGACTTCATATTGCCATTGGCATCACGTTGCTTCAGGCTTTTTGATTTGGCTTCATGGTTTTGCTTGGAGTCGCTTTTGTCCAATGATGATGACTTCTTGGAGCCGTTGGGACCAATCGATTTTGAACTTTTTGCGTCGTTTTTATGACTTCCTGATCCAGTATGTTCGTTTGATTTACGGGCTTTTAAGAGACTACCTAAAATTAAATTTCAATTACATTTTTTTTTCAAGAAAAATTTTTTAATTTTTGGTTTGGTCCGCCTTAGTTTTCGCCATTTTTTGTTTTGTAAAGAAAGTTCTTGCCATTTTTTGTTTTATAAAGAAAGTTTTTGCTATTTTCTGTTTTGTAAACAAAGTTCTTGCCGTTTTTTGTTTTGTAAAAAAATTTCTTGTCATTTTTTGTTTTGTAAATAAAGTTTTTGCAATTTTTCGTTTTGTAAAGTAAGTTCTTGCCATTCTTGGTCTTGAAAAAAAATTTGAAAAAAAATTTTAAATTAGTTATGGGAACAAAAACCATTTTTAAACTGCTATTCTATTGACTTTTGACCAATAAAACAATTTTTCAAAAACTGCGTTTCAATGGCATAGTGGGGTGTTCTAAATTATTGTGCACCAAAGCCCATTGGTTCGATCCTGGTTGCAGTAAAACGTTTTTTCTTGTTTTTTAGCTTTTAAATTAAAAACCTTTGTTTGGTTTTTGATAATATACACGTCAAAAAGTAAAAAAGTAACAAAAAAGTTTATTTTATGTTATTTTTGATGTCAAAATTGTAAAAAATTTAAAAAAAAACAGTGGATTTTGCTGATTTTTTCTTTGTAAATGCTTGTAAATTAAGTTTAAAAAATTTTTAAATTTATTTTAATGTAAAATACGGCATTCGAATTTATCTTAGACTATTTAAAATTTAAAACATTAAAAAAACCTACCATCCTTTCCCATCATCACACTATTGCTACTATCAGCCAAGTTGAAGTTGCTTTGATCAACTTCATGCTTATCAATATTTTTCACCGATTTGCCCCCAGGGCCTTTTTCTTCAGAAACTGAACTACGACTCTCCGACTTCTTCTTAGCTTCATCTACACTCTTGGATTCAGAAGACTTGGAACCGTTAGGGCCTTGTTCGGTCTTCTTGTGTGAATCTGAATTCTTGTGATCGTGAGCTGCTGAAGCGCTTTTACTCGACGTGAGCTGGTAGTTGCCATTGGCGTCGACTTGGAACTTCTTCTTGGAGCTTTTCTGGCTACTACCTTTGCTTTCTTTACTACTCTCTTTGCTTTCACTTAGTTTGTATGATAAGGTAGCTGAGACCAAAAGTAGGCAGAGGAAAAGAGCTCGCATCTTTTGTTACAGTAACCGTTGAGTTGTAAAATGACTAATATTAGAAGCCCAAGATTCTGAAGCTTCTTTTCACCAAGTTTCAGAATATTCCAACCACCAGTAGTTTCAAAATGGCACAATCTTTAAAGCCCGGTAGAAAAGTACCAAAACTTTTTCAAACTGCTCTAAAATCAGTACAAAAGCACCAAATTAAAAACCAATTAGCAAATTGCCTCAGGCAACTTAAGTGTTACCCAAAATTTGTTTTTTCTCTCAAAAAAAGTTGAGGAAGAATATTAATGGGCTGAAACAATATTAACCATGATTATATAGTAATGGACGTTTCAAGGCTAGTCAAGCGGCGATTAAAATAATTAAAAATTATGATAATTTTTATGTTGAACCTATGATGGATCGTAAAATCGATTAGTCGAATGGAAATTTTAAAAATATTATATTATACATGGGTGGTTAATTATATTATAGTACAGACGGTCTTAATGGTTACTTTTTGGTGATTTGCATAACTTTTTTTGTGAAAACTAAATATATTTTGATGTTAAAGTAATTTTGCAACAGAAGTTCACGATTCGTATTTTACAAAAAAACATGTTTTGTCGTATAACTCCTTTCACCGCGAGCTGCGCCCAAATTGAACAGCTTTTTAGACAGTTCAACGGCTTCTGTGGGCTAAAACTAGGCTTGATTTTTTTGAATTACTTTAATAACTTACTTCATTTTTAATGTTTTTTTTAATTTTATTAAGTTTTTTTTAAATTTTGCGAGGGTTCATTTATTTTGGCTTGTTTTTCTATGTTAACATAGGCCGAACTTCAACTTTTGATGTTTTCAATATTGTCCTGGAGCTTTTTAATCAGTTCAAAGGTTTTAAAAGATGCAGAAGAATTTTTAGACGAAGATTTATTGTAAAATACGACATTGTCCATGCTTCTTTATTACGTTTTGTGGTTTTTTGACGTTAACATAGGTCTAACTTTTTGATTTTTGATGTTTTCAATATTATTTTGAAGATTTTTAATATTTTCAAGGGTTTCAGAAGATGTAGAAGAATGTTTTGAAGAGGATTTTTTGTAAAATACGACGATTATCTATGCTTCTGTATTAATTTTTTGAGATTTTCCGATGTTAAAAAAGGTCAAACTTACAATTTTGATGTTTTCAATATTATCCTGAAGGTTTTTCATCAGTTTAAAGGATTTAGAAGATGTAGGAGAATGTTTTGAAAAAGGTCTTTAGTAAAATACGGCAAATATTTGACGGCTTTTAAAAATTTTTGAGGTTTCTCTATGTTAACATAGGTCTAACTTTCGATTTTTGATGTTTTCAATATTATCAAGAAGGTTTTTCATGGGTTTTAAAAGATGTAGAAGAATGTTTTAAAGAAGATCTTTTGTAAAATACGGCGAATATTTAACGACTTTTATTAATTTTTGAGATTGTGCGATGTTAACATAGGTCAAACTTACAATTTTGATGTTTTTAATACTATTTTGAAGCGGGTTAAAAGGTTTTAAAAGATGCAGAAGAATGTTTTGAAGAAGAACTTTTTGTAAAATACGGCGAATATTTAACGGCTTTTATTAAGTTTTGAGATTGTGCGATGTTAACATAGGTCAAACTTACAATTTTGATGTTTTCAATATTATCCTAAAGGTTTTTCATCAGTTCAAAGGATTTAGGAGATGTAGAAGAATGTTTAGAAGCTTTTTTGTAAAATACGACGTTTCTTATACGTTTTTTATTAATTTTTGAGGTTTTTCTATGTTAACATAGTGCGAAAGACCCGATTTTTAATGTTTTTGTTTCTATGTTGCAAGACTAATGGTTTTTTTTTAAGAATTTCAAAACTTTAGAAATTTTTTTTTGTAAAACACGCGTACACTCATGTTGGCTTATTACTTTTTCAAGTTTTATCAATTTTGACCTTTTTTATATTAACCTTGCTTGGAGCTTAATATTTGATGTTTTTACTGTTACTATGAAAAGTTTTGGTAGCTCTAATGTTGCTATAGATATGTGACATACTTTTTTTGTAAAATACAGCAAGTTCTAGGTAGTGTGTTTATTTTTTGAATCGATATTGACCTGATTTTGATGTTAAAATATCTTGGACCTTAATATTTAATGTTTTCACATGTTATCGTGAAGGGTTTTGATAACTCAACTGTTTCTATAGATATGAGACATCATTTATTAAGAGGTCTTTGTAAAATACGGATAAGTTTTGGGTTTATTTATTTTAAAAATGATATCAATTTTGACCTGCTTTCGATGTTAACATAGCTCAAACACTTTAAACACTTCTTTCTAATATTATAGTATCTTTATTATTATTATTAAGATGTTATTATTCTTCTTTCGGTCATATTAGTGCTCTTTTACCTTTTACCCAATAATGGCTTTGGGAACTTTTGGTTTAACAAGGATCAATGGCTTGATCCCAATCACTGGCTTAGCATTGACTTGTAAACTAGCCTTCTTATTGAATTTACTGACACTTTTCCCCGATCCCTTGTCCAATGACTTCTTCCTCAAGTAGCCACTAGGTCCATTCACTTCCAGCTCTTTGGCTTTTGAGTGATTTTTTGATTTTCGATTTGATCCACCATGTTCAAATGACTTGGCATAGTTGCCACGACCATCAGCTCGTTCTGATGATCGTCGATGAGAGTTGGAGGCTTCTGAAGCCGATCTACGGTCTTCTGAGCTTTTGCGAATTGATCCGGTGTTTTGTGAACCGGTCCTTCTTAATCCAATGGTTTGGGCGCCTTTTACTCCAATGGCTTGGGTGTTTCTTTGGCGGAGGTCTGAGGCTAAAAGCAATTTTTTCTTGTCGGTGGTGGCTATAAAGCGAAGGGGGAGGGGGGTAACTTTTCAAAATTTTATAGCTTTCATCATGCTCACTATTAATGTTCCTACTATAATATTTCTGCTGAGCTTGTGATGTACCGATGCCATAGCTTGTTCTACCATCATTGTAGCTTAATACATACTTACTGTAGTGCAACTTAGTATTAATTCAGCTTTTGTAGGCCCGCTGTAGCGTGTCTAACTCCTACAGTATGATTTGACCAGTCAGACAACTACAGTATGATTTTACTAGTCAAACGTAGCTGTCTCTAGCCTTACTGAAGCTTTAATTTGCCTTAAAGCAGCTCATTGTAAGCCCTACTGCAGCTTATTCTATATCTACTGTAGCTTTGTTTAGTCGTAATATGGCTCAATTTGGTCTTACAGCAAATTTCCCTAGTTCTTCTGTAGTCTACTCATACTCTACTGTAACTTTTCAGTATTACTATGGCTTATTCTTGGCTTACTGTTACTTTTACTTGCCTTACTACGGCCTTTTCTAGCATCTATTTACTATAACATGGTCTTATTGAAAATTACCTTTGTCCTACTGTGAGTCCTACCTTAACTTTAACGCTAGAATTTTAATTTTGAAAACCATACCTCTCTGTCCGGACTGTCCATTATAGCCAGCAACGCTTTCGGATTTACGATGGGCTTTATGTACATCAACATCCACTGAGATATCATTATCTTCTTCTAGAGCTAGTTTTTGTTGCCCAACTGATTGACTGCCTGGCTTTGAATGGCGGCCGAAACGAGAGGCTAGGAGGGCTGCTTGGGGACCTGGAAGTAGGGTGATTAAACTTCAAATTTTTTTTTAATTTGGAAAATGAGAGAATTTAAATTTTTGAGGTTTTTTTGCTTTTTGGGGATTTTGTGCCATTTCTTTTTGGACTTTTATACTTTTATGAGTGTTAATGATAAAATATGTCCAAGCCGGATCTTTTAAGACCAAGATTATTCATTTCAAGCCTTAAAAGCAACCTTTTTGGCCTAAAACACCCCTCAAACCATGCCAACTTCAACTATCATTCTTTCTAGTTTATTACGTTTTTATTCTGAATTGGTCACAATAGGCATAAGTATATAACATGAACAAGTTTTGTGGATCCGCGAGGCTTACTTACCTCCGATCTCGATGCTCTTGGCCGAATGGTGGTTGGAGTTGCTGGCGCTGGACGAGTCCTCTTCGTTGCTTCTGGAGTAGCTTCCGTCAGCGTTAACGTGGACGTTGCTCTTCTTGTCGAATTGGTTTTGGCTGTTGGCTGATCCTTCATCGACCTCGTGCTTCTTCAAGTAGCCGTTGGGGCCATTGACTTCCAAGTTGTTGGCCTTCAAGTGGTTGGCTGACTTCTTGTTTGATCCACTTTGTTCTGAAGACTTGTCGTAGTTACCGAAGGCATCAGCGGATTCAGAAGAACGTTGATGGGCTTGAGAGGCTTCAGAAGCGGCTCCGCGGTCGACTGAGCTGCTTCTTCTTGATCCGAAAGCTCCGACGGTTTCGTCGCTGCGTTGGCGGTTGTGAGCGTTCTGTGAAGCCGAGCTGTCGTCGGATTCGCTGCCACTGAAGTGGGCTCCACGGCCACCGACTACACCGATTCTGGGGCGAAGGTAGTTGCCATGAGCTCCGGCCAAATGAGCGCGGCTTTCGGCGGCGGAACGAGCGGCTTGGCGTTCGCTTTCGTACTGGCTAGCACGTACACGGTGGTCCAGTTCCGAGCGTTGACGTTCGGCTTCCTGGCGGGCACGGAAGCTGGCGCGTTCGGATTCGCGACGAGCGGCCTCTTGACGGTAGCGGGCTTCTTGGTTGTGGCGACGGAATTGGGCTTCGCTTTCAGCACGACGGGATTCGGATTCTTGGCGGGCACGGAAGGCGGCTTCTTCGGAGCGGCGGCGAGCGGCTTCGCTGTAGGCGGCGCCTTCGGCTTGGCTAGCGGCCAATTCGTTTTGGATTTGGGATGAGGCTTGTTCTTGTTCCAGTCCAGAGTATCCACCGAATCCTCCGGCTGATTCTTGGAATCCTCCGTAGCCTCCGGCTCCTAGGATGGTGTGATTTAAAATTTTTTAGGTTTGTGGGTTTAAAGCTAATTTTTGGGGGTTTTAGGAGATTTAGGCTTACGTTATCAATATTTGGGATTTAGCTGTTTTCAAAATTATAAAATTTCGATAATTTTTATTTTTTTAAATTTTGAGTTCGAAAATATTGACATTTCACTTACCTCCTCCGATTTCGATGCTCTTGGCCGAGTGATGGTTGGAGTTGCTTGAGCTGGACGAATCTTCTTCGTTGCTTCTGGAGTAGCTTCCGTCAGCGTTAACGTGGACGTTGCTCTTCTTGTCAAATTGGTTTTGGCTGTTGGCTGATCCTTCATCGACTTCGTGCTTCTTTAAGTAGCCGTTGGGGCCGTTGACTTCCAAGTTGTTGGCCTTCAAGTGGTTGGCTGACTTCTTGTTTGATCCACTTTGTTCTGATGACTTGTCGTAGTTGCCGAAGGCGTCAGCGGATTCAGCAGAGCGTTGGTGGGCTTGAGAGGCTTCAGAAGCGGCTCCACGGTCGACTGAGCTGCTTCTTCTTGAACCGAAAGCTCCGACGGTTTCGTCGCTGCGTTGGCGGTTGTGAGCGTTCTGTGAAGCTGAACTGTCATCGGATTCGCTGCCACTGAAGTGAGCTCCACGGCCGTAGCGGTTGAAGCGTCCGGCTCCCAATTGCGAACCACGTCCGTATCCATATCCCGCTCCGAAACCTCCGGCTCCACCTTCAACAACAGTCTTGCTGTTGTGGGCTTGTTGCTGAGAGCTGGACGATAATGAATCGTCGCTGAAACGGCGCAACGAAGCTCCTCCTGGGCCTTGAAGGACTTGGACTGAGCTCTTGCTGTCGGCCTGGTTGCTGGCACGGTCCAGGTTCGAGGACTCTTCATTCATGTAGCCATTTGGGCCGCTGATTGACTTTTTGTGTGAGTCCGAGTTGTCGTGGGCGTGGGCGGAGCTGGCGGCTTTGTTGGCACTGTAGGCGCGGTTGCCGAAGGCGTCGACCGACTCTTGTTTGTTCGACTTTTTGCTGGCACGGTCCGCAGCTTGTCGGTTACTGTCGCTGGACTCGGAGAAGCGGAACGATGAGGCGGTGACGGCGAACGCCAAACACAATACGAGTGAAGTCTTCATGGCTGGGCACGGTGGTTCGAGTTTCACGTTGAGTGAAATCGAAACTGTGATATTAATCAAACGTTCCGCTTCGGTTTATATACGTTTTGGTGATAGTGTTCGAGACGGTCGGTATAATTTGTGTGGTTCAGATACTGGCAATACAAAGGGTATGCTAATTAGGGTAGGACAGTGATAATCAGATTAGAGTGAGGGTATGTAAATGAGTCGTGGAGTAGGGTCATGATAGTCATGGTACGTAAAACTATTTTAATCAGAGAGAGTAGGATTACTATAACTATGGTAGAGAGGCTATGGTAATCAGTCATAACGTAAGACTATGTAAATAAGCCTAGGCCAATGTAAATCAGACTATAAAGAACCGTAACTGAATCAATTTTAAATTATCACGATTCTAGTACGATCCTATTGAAGTCAAAGATAATAAAATCTATTCATAAAGGGCAGTTAACTCCAAGACCATAAGACAAACGCGGAACATACGCACGATTATGTCCTGTCATAAATATTATGAACGAATCTGGTGTAGTATGATGGGGTTGGGTATTACGTGGTAGAATAAGGTGGAGTAAGGTATAGTGGGGTAGGATATGGTAGGGGAGGGTATTGTAGGGTAAGGTATGGTAGGGTACTGTAGGTTAAGGTAGGGTATTAAGTGGTAGAATAATGTAGAGTAAGTAGGGCAGGGTCGGGTAGAGAAGGGCAGGGTATGGTAAAATACGGTAAAGTCTGGCACAAAAAAAACATTACAAAGCTTTATACAACAGCAAGATAATCAAATATGCAAGAATTGCAAATTTTAAAACATGGCTGACATTTGGACTTAAACCAATCTTAATCTCCAACATAGCGTCATCAGCCTCCAGAAATAAGCAATATCTTCTTAAAAACTCGATTCCAACTCCAAAATCAAATTCATCGTCCGAAGTTACAGTACTTAACGTCACTTTGTAGGGTTCAGTAAGACCTTCGTAGTACTCAGTGTAGTCTTCTGGAGTTATTGTGAATTCATGGTCGTCTAACAGGATTGTTATGTTGGGTAATAAGGATGTTGTTGTAAAATACGTAGAATTGATAAGGGCTGAGCTTAAAGTTTGAGGTATTCTTGTGTTATGTGATGGTAGAAACCCAATTTTTTTGGGAGAGGTAGTAATTGTTGTCGTATTTTATACTGAAAACATTGTATTTGTAGTTATTGGGAAATTTTATTGGTACAGTATGTTAGGGGGGGATTCCTGAGAAATAAATTATCTTAAAAGTTGAGAACAGTAAAATAAGGTACGGTACAGTAAAGTAAAGTAGGCTACAGTAGAATAAGTCAAGGTATGGTGGTCTAAGATGGGGTACAGTAAAATAAGGTAGGGTTCAGCAGAATAAGGTAGGGTACAGTAAGATAAGGTAAGTTACAGTAGCATAAGGTAGGGTATAGGTGGAGCACGGCAGGCTTTAGTTAGGTAGAATAATTTATAGTACGGCGTGGTGAAGTTGGAAAGGGTGGGAGAGGATTGCCTTACCGAAGGGGGTAGAGTAGAACTTGCCTAGGTTCTGTGAGGCTTAAGGTACGGTAGGACCTGGGGTACGACAGGGCCTTGATACTGTTGGGCTTAGGTTGCAGTAGGGTCTAGGGTACGTTAGAACCTAGGGTACGGTAAGACTTTTTGTAAGGTATGGCAAGCTAAGGCAGGGTGGGGCAAAAAAGAGTGCCGGAAGGAAGGAAAAGGTAGGAAACGCTTCAGTACGGGTATAGTAGAGTCGTTTAGTATACTTACTCTGCCTTAATGATCCATCTCTTTCTATTTATAGTTTTGGCATACTTAACATTAGTCGAACAATTAGCTATTCGTCTTTCTCCAATATAAAGCTTACCTTTACTTGTACTTGTTATATTACCTTCTGGGTTCTAAAAAAATCATTTTCAAACCTTTCAATTTTTTATCATAAATTGTGACGTATTTTATCTTGTAGTACATGTCTCATAGACCTAGGCATAGAAAACTCACCCTCAGGCCTTTAAAGCTGATTTGTTTAAAAACTGCCACTTTTTCAATGAACCTTTCCATAAAGTAATGTAAAAATGAAAATTGCATGACATTGGTCAGTCCAAGTCCAAAAAATCCGTCATATTGAAATGTCATCTCTTTATTGCCACGGTTGATCACTCCGATATTCATGGTGTGGTTTCTGAGACTGCCCGAGGTCACTGTAGCTTCTACTACTTCACCTCGAAGACTGTTGCGACATCTGGTGTCATTAAAACCAAGATGGGGTAGTATTTTATGGGCTTCTTGGTATTTTCTGAAAATATCGTTTTAGTATGTTATAGTAGGGTAGAGTAAAGTGGTGTATAGAGAGTAGGGGGTAATAAAGTAGGGTAAGAAAGGTATGGCATGATAGGGTAGGAACATGGGTAATGGTTGAGATAGGATAGGATAAGGTAGGGTAGGGGTACTTACATGAGATCAACATAACTATGGTGTTCATTCTTGCTGCAGGTATAGTTCCTAGCGCAGCTCTTATCAAAAACAAAAGAGTAGGGTCTGTAGAGATCAATAGGTAGGTTGAAGTGACTTTCATCAATGTTAATTGGCAATGTCAGTGTGGTTTCTGCAACGAAATTTTAAAAGTTTTAAGATTTAAAGACCATGGTCATTGTCATTACTTTGAGAGTAATTTTATGTTTAGGGGTGGGTACTCACGGTGGAGAATGACAAAAATTTTTGGGAATTTTTCAATTTTTTGATATTCAAGGTTTTGGCCATAGATTTAGGCTTTATAAAATGTTTTCGTTTGGTCATGGAGATGTAAACGGTGGGCGTGGGTAGGGAAGGGGTGGAGATAACACAAAATTTTGAAAAAAAAGTTTTAGATTTTAAAAATTTTTACTTCTATGTGATTCGTACGTATTATACGGGTCATTTTTGTCAGAGCGTGGGTAATGAGAAGAGGATGGGGGGGGTAAAATGAAAATTATTTTTTTGAGTTTAATTTTTTTAAAACACGCTCAAATGGTTCGTTAAACAAAACATTTTATTTTAAAAATGTAAATTTTATTTTTTTTTAAATTTTTTTAATTCTTTTTTGATTTTGATATAGCTTACCTCCTTCGTAGTCGATGACGAACCCATTAACTTTAAAATTGCATAAAATGATTAGGATTACATAGAGTGATAAGTATTTCATGAAACACTCAATTTAAAAAAAATATTTCAATTCTTTTAAATTCAAAAAATATTGAGAGTCAAACCTCAAGACTTCTTTTTTGATAATTGCAGCTCCTACTGACTGCCTTTAATCTTTTAATATTATTGTTAAAAATTAACATGCTTCATAAGAGGCTTATCAATTCTAGTTTACTTCAATTTTCAATATTTATTTGTTTATCAATTTCGAATTACATAAACTATGATAAGCGCTCACATTTTATTAATTGCTACTACTTTTCATGCGTACTTTGTCAAAGATATATGGTCACATTGTGTAGTCTTAGTTAAAGTTTATGGGTTTATAGGGGGGGGACGCAGGATGGGGTATGGCTTGAGTAGTAGAATAAGATAGAGTACGGTAGGGTAGATAGGGGTGGGAGGGGATAAGATAAGGTAGGTAGGAATGGAGGAAGGACAAGATAGAGTAGGTAGGAGAGGTAGGAAGATAGTAGGGTAAGTAAGGGTGGTGAAAGAAAAGATAGAGTTGATAAGGACGGGGAAGGAAAAGTTGGGGTAGGTAAAGGTAGAGGAATATTACTGTAACTAGAGTCGAATAAGAGGTTTAGAGAAAAATAGGGGTTAGAACGACAGTTTTTAAAGATACAATGTTATAGTAGGGTATGATAGAACTGAAAAAATAATACTAGAGTAAGGCCAAAAAAGAGCTTTAAAATAACTATAGTTACTGTATGATTAGGGTAAGGCTATTACAAGGGTCGTTGACGAGTACGGCAAAGTAATAGGTAAGAATATTTGAGGGTAGGGTAGGGGGCATACTTTAAAACAAGCAAGGTTTGGGGTACAGGTACAGAGTAAGGCAGCTCATAGCAAGGTTATGTATGAGCGTAGGGTGAGGTGGGGTAATGAGGCCTAGGGTAGGGTAGGGAAAGATAGGGTAGGGTATAGTAGGGTTGGGTAGGGTCTGGTAGAGTAGGGTAAATTAAGGTAGGGTAAGTTCTTTTTACGCAGGCTACAGTACTACAGTATATCTCAAGTTAAAAATTTAGTTTATTGTAGCTCCGATGTAAAAATAGGTATATTAGATAAAACATACAATATAATTGCTGAAAGATAGGGTATTCATGAAGTATATACATTGCTTAGATTAAAATTGTCTGCAGAACTACAGTTACGTAGCATTGATTGCGACCATATATAATATTTATAAGTTACCGTAGTCCAGACTGTCCAGCGGCGTAAGGTACATTGGTACCGGCATTGGCTCCAGAAGAAGTTGCTACGCCTAGTGAAGCAGGATTTGCTGGTAGTCCACCAACGCTGGACGTAGCAGCTCCAATAGCCGCTGGTTGAGCAGCAGTGGCTACTGGTTGTGCACCAGAAGCACCATAGGTACCAGTAGCACCATATGAAGCTGGAGCTGCTCCAGCCGCTACTGGTGCTGATACTGCACTACCATCTGTAGCCACAGCAGCTTGCGGCCGAGCATTGATCATCAAAGCCAAAACTGACATTACAGTAACCAGTAGTACGGTAGTTTTGGAAAATTTAGTAGTGGGGAGAGGGGCAATCAAGGTACTTAGAGCAGTACAAGGACAAGAAAACAAGCCGATTGGAGTCATGATGCCTTATATATGTTGTTGTAGACTATCTTCGAACAAAGAACTCTGTAGCTACAAAAAGAAATGGCAGATTTGGTAACAAAGCTGCTGATAAGCACTGATAACTTTTACTTTATATGCGCCATCTTTCAACACACTTGTTTACCAAAACAAAACTCAATTTTCTATTTTTACTGTAGTAAATGAAAGAAAAGCGGCTTTTTTACTCTGTAACCTATTTATTTACTGTGATATCTTCAAAAGTTGTGTGGTAATAGAAGACTGGTCTTTGGTAGATTATAGATCAAACAGTAATGTCAAGTTGTATGTATGGGTAGGGCAGGGTTAAATAGGGGATGGTAAGATAGGGTAGGGTAGGGTAGGGTAGGGTAGGGTAGGGTAGGGTAGGGTAGAGTAGAGTAGGGTAGGGTAGGGTAGGGTATATGTATGACTAGAGAAGTTGAATTTGAATTTAGAGTGAAAGTGTCATTTTTGATGCAATTTTATAAACTACGTCAGCTTCTTCTTGAACCTATAAAAAATCTGTCATTTTTATATGAAATTTTGCAAAATACGTCTGGCTTTGCTTGGTTTTTAAAAAAATTTGTCATTTTATACCTTACTTGCCATTTTTTAATACTTTTCTTTACGTTTAAAAAACATGTCATCTTTTTTGGAAATTCTAAAAAATCTGTCATCTTTTCTTTAATATTTTGTAAAATACGGTATTGATTAATGAATTCGTTTAGAAAATAGACTATTTTTAATACTATTTCTTGTTTTTAATTGATTTTTCTTTGAAATTACTAAAAAATATGTTGTTTTATTTAATAAATTTCATAAAATGCGTCATCTTATATTTTAAAATTTTCTAATTGTAACGAAAGAACCAATTGGCGTATTTTACCTCAAAACAAAACATAATTTAAACTTTTTTTTTCAGATAATCTTTATTCGATTCAAAATGACTTGATTATTGACATCAGATTCACTGGGATTTATCAAAATGTAGTACAACATTCACCATGGTGTGGGCGCTTGGAAAGGTAAGTACTCTTGAATTTTATTGTAAACCTAGGTGCTTTTATACTCAAAATGTTTACTAGAACTTGTATGGAAATAGAAAATATTTCGTTGATTGCATCTTGTTTTTTGAGTTATAACGTTTTTTCTTAAATTATCCCTGATGCTTCATAGGCGTGTCTTTTATGGTTGATTTTGCTTTGAACTTGGTTGTAAACCTGGATATGTTTGTTCTTTAAATGTGTATTATGACTTGTAGAATGTGTAATTAATATATATTTTGTTGATTGCGTCCGGCTTTTTGAATTATAACGTGTTTTCTTATATTATCCTTGATGCTTGGTAAGGTTTCTTTGAAAGTTGATTTCTCCTTGAACTTGCATGTAAAACGTGGTGTGTTTGTACTTAAAATGTTTACTATGACCTGTAGAATATGAAAATATAAAATATTTTGTTGATTACGTTTTGTTTTTGGGGTTAGGACTTGTTTTCTGATATTATCCTTGATGCTTGATTGAAAGTTGGTTTCTTCTTGAAGTTATTTTTTAAACTTGATGTGTTTGAACTTAAAATGATCACTATGACTTGTAAAATATGAAAATGTAGCATCTTTTGTTGTTTGCGTCTTGTTTATCAATTTATGATTTGTTTTTTCATAATATCCTTGATGATGAGTAGGTGTGTCTTTTAAAGTTGATTTCTATCTGAACTTGTTTGTAGAACTTGATGCGTTTATGCTTAAAATGTTTCTTACCACATGTAAAATATGAATATAGAAGATGTTTTGTTGATTGTTTTTTGTTTATCAATTTATGACTTTTTTTCTAATATTATCCTTGATAGGTGTGTCTTTGAAGGTTGATTCCTCCTTAAATTTGCTTGTAAAACCTGCTGTGTTTGTATTTAAAATGTTTATTATGACCTGTAAAATATGAAAAGGTAAAAAATTTTGTGATAGAGGTACTGTATTTTAAAGTACGGCTTGTTTTCTTATATTAACCATGATGGTTAGCAGTATAATATTGCTTTTTTATGTCTCTTGAAGTAATTTGTTATGAAGTAAATGTAAAATACGTCAGGTGGCATTAAGTCCTAACTTTATTTATAACAAAAACCTACTGTAACTTTAAAAATCGATCTAAAAATGTCATTTTTCCTTCAAAAACTTCCGTTTTTTTAACCAAAAACAAACCCAAAATCATAAAAACAAAGTTACAGTAAGTGTCATAGGACCTATGAAACGTGGAAATAATTTTTTTCAATTGTAAGTAAACATTTCGCGCAGTAATGACCAAATATTTATTGTTTATAGTAAACAAATCGTATGTTGAAATGAAGATTACTGCTTCAAGGTGACAGTTTTCGTTGTATTTTTACAATAACTGCTATATAAGCAACAGTTTTTCATAACTTTTATTCTGATAAATCTTTTCGTTTTTCATTGGTTGGGTACTTTAAAACTGGCATTTATTATTGATTTGAGACGAAAAAAGTGGCTTTAGACCTTATTTTAGCTAACAAAAGGCTATATTTCATCAAATTAAACAAAAAATATAATATTATAATAAATATAGGGCTACTTTAACATTTTTTAGTAAAAAACCTACCAAAAGCGTCTTTTATTACCTAAAAATCAATCAAAAACACTTGTTTATGACCGGTTTCGCTTTCAAAACAAATGTCATTCGAACCGAAAGCAAATGCAATGTGCGGGGGTATAGCTCAGGGGTAGAGCGCTCGCTTAGCATGCGAGAGGGCTGGGGTTCAATTCCCCATACCTCCAGAATGACTTTTTGGGATTTTTAAGATATATCTGTCATTTTTATTGTTGTATATGATTTTATATAAGTTTGTGCGATTAGTTTTTATGATTTTAGTATTTTTTAATTAGTTGGTTGGTTTAAAAATGGCATTTTTGGGTTAAAAATACAAAAAAACTTGAAAAAATGAGGGTTTTGAGCGGTTTTAATGCCATTTTTAGTTGTTACTGTCAATAGAATTGCTTTTACTTTCTCCATAACTTCTCATAATGTCAATATAAGTCTGGCGAACATTTAAAAAAATCAAAAGTCGCGTTATTATAAACCCAAAAACTTGAAATTTCAAAAATTTCAGAATGTTCCGTAGCCTAATTTTATTGGTTTTGATCTTCGTTTTAGCCATTGCTCGGCCTCAGGTCACGGTAGAAAGAACGTCAGTTGAAGAGATTGGTAGACCAGCTGCTAGTTCTCGAGTTTCCGCTATTGAGACTCCGGTTGGTGGAGTAGCTGTGGAGGAGCCGGTTGCACCAGCTGTTGTTGTTGGCTAAGGTCTGGACTGTTTTGGAAAAAAGTCATTATTATTGTCAACTGGGGTTGATATGGCCCTTTTATATATTTTTTGTGTCCTATAGATAATATTTCATACTTTTTGTGTTAATATTTCGTAGTTGAAAGCCATTTATTACCTAAATTTTGAAAAAAAACATGTTGTAACTACCTCAGAGCTGCAGTACCTATATATCAGGTTGTTCAAAAAGTTCTGTGCTCTCTAAATCCGTAAATTTGTTTTGAGAGGGGCTCAGAATTATTTGAACAACCTTATAACTTATATTAGTCTGTTCAAAAAATTCTGAGCCATCTCTCAAAGTAATTTGTTAGGCTAATTGGCTCAGAATTTTTTGAACAGCCTAATATAATACTTTTGTGTCATAATCATGTCAAAACTAATGTGATATCACCTAGTATAGTACGAATAAACATCAAAAATAGCATTTACATGCCATAAGCATACTATATTTAAAAAAATTTTTGTTTTCATTTGGCGAGTTGCGCCCTACAATACTATAAAATAATGTGATATAGGTAAAATACGGCTTCTTTTCAATCATTTTTTCAAAAATATAACAAATTTATTAGTAACAACTTGGTTTATATTACACATACGGTTAGGATAAGGCACTTGGAACACAACTTTTGATACAGAAATTTGAAAAATAAAAAATTTTTAAATTTAAAAATATTTTGTTCAAAATGAAAAAAAGATGAATTGAAACAACATAAATTGAAAGTTAGACCTGATTTACCACCAAATGTTAAAAGAAAATGGCATTTTTGCTAAAATTTGGTCAAAAAAGGCTTGTTTTAGGCCTAAAATGGCTCCCATTCTGCCATTTTTAGGTAACAAAAAATGGAAAAAATCATTTTTTATATTTTGAAAATTTTAAAAATGGCAATTTATACCTGAACTACCAACAAATATCAAAAGAAAATGGTATTCTTCGCTAAAATTCGGCCAAAAAAAACCTTGTTTCAGGCCTAAAATAGTACCGTTTTGCCATTTTTAGGTGACAAAAAATTTAAAAAAATTAAAAGCTGATTACACATTGTATAGAGATCAATAAGAAATAGCAAAAATTATCAAGAAACATCAAAAAGTGTTGTAGAAAGACCAGTATATTATAGTATTGGTGCAGTTTTAGTTAAAGGCCACTGGACCACCTTTGCGAGGTGGGTCGGCAGGTCGAGCTGAAATGAAAATTGATAAGTATTTATGGTTTTTTAATCATTTTAGGCATGTTTTCAATCATAATTTTCATTTTTAAGCCCATTTGCAAAAATTTTTTAAATTAGCCAGGGCGCAGCTCGAAATTTTTTAATTTTAAAATGAAAAATTTTAATTTAAAAAAATGGCTTATCATATCAAAGTGGCTCATCTCGTATTTTAAAAATTACAAGTCAGAACCAACAAAAATAAAAATTGGCCTAACAAAGGGCGCAGGTTGCCATTTAAAAAAAGGTTATAATTTTACTTGACTATATACCTAAAGAAGGACGCAGCTTGAAAACCAAAATTAAAAAAAATTTTTTTAAATCCACCCCCAAAAAAGTTTATCATACCCCATCTTACGTTGCCCTCCCTTACCCTGCCCTACCATAAATTACGGTAGGTTTACCTTACTAGAGTCATACTGTATTGCAGCCCTTGCTTGTCTTAAAGTATACCCCCTACTCTACAGTACCCTACACTAACATAAACACCCTACCCGATCCTGCTCTACACTATCCTACAGTACCCTACCCTACTCTATCTTATCCTTGCCTACCCTACCCTTATTATATCCTACAGTACCCTTCTACACCATACCGTATCCTACTCTACCATAGGATACTGCATTCGGCCATACCCTATTTTACCATAGCATACCCAACCCTACCGTACCGTACCAAGCACAACACAAATTATAAGCCAAATCTCTACCGTAACCACCTACAGAAACCAATAACCACAGTACAAATGCCACTATGTAATACTACCACTATCACTACCACAACCATATACAGTACATAGTATAATATACACATTACGATAGCTACCTTACCTTCCAAGCTCCTCTTATTCAGATGATCTCCAGGTGATTGATCCCTACTGTAAGGTCGCAGCACCGCGGCCGTCGCCGGCCCAGTCGGAGTTACAGTAAGCCGGACCTGCCTTGGCTCGGGTACCTCTCGTATCGGCTCGGTGATGGGCGTGGCAGCGGCCGAGGTTGGGGGTGGTAGCTCGTTAAAGTGGTGATATGGCTTGGGGAAGGGGTGGTGGTGCTCGTAGATGTTGTTATTGTTCGCTGGAGGCTGAGGTGAGACCGGTTGAACGGTGGGTGAGGTGGATTGTGTACCTGAGAATGGGAAACGACATGTACAACAGCGTTACAACATTCATAGCAACATAAACAAAAAGGACGTACGACAAAGTTACTGTAGTAACAACATATACACTATAGCAGAACAGGAGGAGGGGTAGACATATAAAACATTTTTTCGGTAAGCTGCGCCCTTGAAAATCAAAAACTGTAATTTTTCAAAAAATATAAGTAAAATACGAACAATAAAATAACAATTACTTTAAAAAATCTTATTAAATTTTAATTACTTTGAATTGTATTGGCAAGCTGCGCCCTTGCAAACTCAATGTTTTTTGGTAAGCTGCGCCATTGAAAACCTAACATTTTAAGTTTACAACTGCAGTAAAATACGAAAAATCGCATTTTTTAAAATTAAAAACATAAATTTCTTATTTACAAATTTAAGGTACACTGCGCCCTTACAAAACATTTTTTTCGCAAGCTGCGCCCTTACCAATCCAATTTTTAGCTAGTTGCACCCTTAAAAATAAAATTTTTTAGCAAGCTGCGCCCTTACAAATCCATTTTTTAGCAATCTGTGCCCTTGAAAACCAAAAAATTTAAAAATTAAAAAAATATTTATGTTATTATTGACTTACTTGGAGAATTGGCCTGACTTCTGGCCATGAGTTCGCGTAGAACGTAGTCGGGCGGTGGGGGTGGGGCGATTAGCTGCTCTGTCACACTCGAATTTCGACGAATGTCTGGATAAAACCTTTGAGGCTCGTTGTACCTTCGATTCCTCAATTCATTAGTCTTTGGGCTAGGACTGTCAAACAGAGATGACTTGGAGGGGGAGCCTGGAAATTGAAATTATTTTAAATTCCTGTTTTTGAAAAAAAAATTAAAATGAGCCTTAACCTCATACTCCACCCATACAGGCCAACCCTACCCATTACCTATACTGCACTGCCCTATCCTGCCCGTACCCTACCCTGCTCTACCCCGATATCCTACATTGTCCTATCGTACTTTACTCAAGCCAAGCTACTCCCACCATGCCCTGCAACACCATTTCCTACCCTACCACCTCCCCCCCCCTCCCGGAAAAAAAATTTACCACCCCCACATTACCTAAAAATATGGATTTTGTCACAAATGCATTTTACCCCCTCAAAATAAATTTTACCCCACCCTCAAAAATAAAACTTTTACCACACCCACCCCGACTTCTAAAAATAATTTTATCACCCCACCCCTAAAAACAAATTCAATCATCCCCTCCCCCCCTCCTAAAAATAAATTTAACCTACCAATTTTGGTTTCAGAATTGGCCCTCTTCAGCTCCACCTTGAAATGCCTTTGCCATAGCTCTTGGACAATTTCCGTGCCAAAGATGACTCCGGAGTGTAAGGTTAACATCCTCAACACGAAGATACCATCAGTCCTCAGGAATTTGTCTACGAATCTTTTGACCTCTTTTTGTTTTTCGTCCGGATCCACGTCCAGCTCACTCATCTCCAGATGTCGCTTCACGAACCTGACATTGGGCCAAGGGAAGATGGCCACGAGAAGCCAATAGAGGAAGGAACCGGCTGTCAATAACAATAGGAAGACGTACCAGAACCAGAGGAAGATGAAGATTTTCTCGTTGAAGATGTTGATCACTAGAACACATTGAATCGTGTGTTCTTGGATGTTGCCCATCACTCGGACCTGGAACAAAAGTATTTTGAATTATTACTCTACCGTAACCAAGCAGTGCTTAAATCTACCGTTTCCGACTCTACCCTACCTTACCCTATCATACCTTACCCTATAGTACCCCGCCTTACTGTAGCTTAGCACCAGGATAACGAAGCGGTAACGCACCCTATCTTACTCCGGAATCACTCACACTAATACACCGTACCGTAGAGTGGAGTAATATCCTTCTGCTGCAGAGACGTCGTTTGGAGGGAGGGGGGGGTGGTTCGGGGTAGCTCCCCCCCCCCAGAGCCGATCCGAAAAAAAATCCACAGAGGTACCTGTACGTGAAAAAACGAAAAAAAAAATTTTCGAAAATCGGTCGACAGGTAAAACCGTAGCGACGTCCCTGTTCTGCTGTACCCCCACTATCCATTACTCTACAAGAGAACGATCTACCATACACTAGCTACCCATACCATCCCCTACCCTACTTTATCAAACATACCTTACTGTGCTCTGCCCCATCCTAACATACCATAAATTATAGTATGTTAGATTAGGGTATGATCGCCCCCCCCTCCCGCCTCCTCAAGTAGACATGGGAAACCCAAATTTAGGTCGGGCCAGGCCTGGAAATCAAGACTTGGCCCAGCCCGGCTCGTGTACAAGTAAAACAATCCGGGACGGACCTGAGCCAAATTTAGATCGGGCCTAACTCTCAAACCCGGCCGGTTCCTCATGTCTACCTCGCAGAATCTTCCCCATACACTCCATCTCAAAATTCAATTTTAGCCCTACCTGAAAGTCGCACAGTGCAATTCTAGGAAAGACGCCACTACTTTCCCACGTCCTTCCTCTGACCAGATCCAAGAGTGCACCAAACCCGTAAAACTGGTACTTGTCCGTCTCCAAGAACTTGTTCATCAAGAACAACTGAACCAGCACATTGACCAGGTAACAAAACTTGGTGATCAAATAGGTTACTGTAACATAGCAGGCCGAGTATGGTAGGTTACACATTCTCAGCAGGTTGTGTGGGCGCAGCTGTTTTTTGTTCAACCGCTTGTGGAAGCGAAGTGCGCCTTCGAGATGAACGGCCAGGGATCGTATGTTGGCACGCTTGATGTCAGGCTTGATATTGTTGGGATCCGATGATAATTTGCATATCTCCTGGATCTTGATACCCGAATGACCACTCATGTACTTCCAGAGCAGTGAGGGAAGTCTGAAGCAGGCAGCTTCGATCAAAAGAAAGAATGGCACCCATTGATAGTAACTGATGCGACGCTGATATTTCTCGTCCTTGGGCATTCCATCAACTATCTCACTCATTGGTACTGAATATGTGTCTTGGGCCCAGCAAAAATTCTCGGCGTACTAAAAATTATATTGTAGTAGACAATGATGTGAGAATTAGATGTTATAGTAGATTGGGAGATAAAGTTTGATGTTTTAGTTAGTAAAATAAGTAATTTTTTATATATATTTTTTTAATTTTGTTTATTTTAAAGTTATAATTTTTTCACCTGACCAGTCGATATTTTTTTACAACAAATTTGAAAATTTTTGAAAATAAGTAAGCTTCAACATTACCTCATTATAGTAAGTATATAGGTCTAAACATAACCTCTATATAGTGACTGAATAAACCAAAACCATTACCTTTTCAGATCCCAAGAAAGGGAATGAATCAGGGATAAGACACTCGATTGGATGCCCTCCAAACTGTTTATACGAACTTATCAATGCCAACACAATCATGAAGTTCGAGGTCACAATAGAATTGGCAGTGTCAGCAAAGTCGCTGAACGTTGGTGGATCGGCGAAGATCTGGCCACAGTTCACAACATTGCCAAGGATATTCATCACCCGTGTCTAGTACAATATGACTTTACTAGGTCATATATGTTAAACTTTACGTTGTTATATATATCAATGATACCACTTGACTATGTCGTATGATACTGAATATGTAGTTGATATACCTTGGCTATGTCATACGGTACTGAATATGTGTACGATTCAACTTGGGCCAAGTAATTGGCTATGTCATATAGCCTTACTATAGTAATAACAGTACGAATACAATTACAGACAGCCAAAATAAGCAAGCCAGATGTTATTTTAGTACACCATGAAGATACCACATCAGTTTTTTAAAACTAAAATTTTGAAAATTCATTTTTTAATGACTTCGAAACCCTATGCGTATTTTACATCACAGTAAAAATAAAATAATAATAAGAGTTAAACAGCATCGTATAACTTGTCAACCGCAGCCTGGTAAAAAGCAGGAAATAGGGTAAAAGTTAAGGTAAAGCAGAGGAAAGAGTATAGTTAAAAGTAGAAGTACGGGTAGAGCTAACGTAAGTATAAAGATAGAAGTAGCGGTACTAATAAGGGTAATAGTACAGGTATAAGGTATGGGTTAAGGCGGAAAGAGTAAGAGGTAAGGTGTAGGGGATAAGGAGTAGGGTAGGGGTAAAGGTAGGGGTACGGGTAGGGGTAGGGTTAGAGGTAAGGGTAGGGGTACGGGTAGGGGTGGTGATAGGGGTAGAGACAGGGGTAGGAGTAGAGGTAGGGTTAAAGTAGGCAATGTGGTAAAACTGTAAAAACAGGCGTATTATAAAACCAAGGTGAAGCAAAGCAAGCATATGAGCTACAAATTTATATCAAATAAATCTTAAAAACCTCAAAACAACCCAAAAACATCTCGAAATCACCCCTATTTCAACAAAAAACTACACCAACCCCCAATAGGAACACTCCCAAATGTACTTTTCTTTAACAGACGTGACTTTTCACCTTTTATTTACTATGTAAACATCTAGTAGCAACTCTGTAAATACCTTTACATCAAGTGCAAGTATACTTTGTCTTGGCTTTTGACTAAATACTACTCTTAAATCAACTATACTTACAAGAATACGTATCTAACATAGATCTAGAAATGTTGCCCTTTAGTTGAAAATCTTTTTTATCCAAAAAGAAATGTCAGTTTTTGAAAAAATCATCAAAAATCAACCAAAATTCGCCAAAAATCGTCAAATTTTTGAGAAATTTTGAAAATCCACCCCGCTTATCAAATTTACCACGCCCAAAACAACACCAAAAATAATCTTTGTTCTTTTTACTATCATTTAAAACCAATTTCAACCAAAAAAGATTAAAAATTGATTGAGAATCAACACTGTGAACAAACAGTCTATATTACACGTGATGACTTATGTTGAGAACTAAATTTGCAGACATTCCCAAACAACTACTCATCCAAACAACTATCAAAAAGATGCACTAGAGTCTGTAGAAGATATGTTAACATATTTTGAGGTTACCATGTTGTTTTAAAGAGATACGATGGTAAAACGACAGGTAACATGAGTAGAGTTTTCAAAAACCCATGCCCAAAGGTATCCTATTGAGCTTACCATACCTCTTTTGCTACAATCTACCCTGTCTTACTCTAAAATACCTTACCCTGCTCTCTTACCATCTAACGCCCCAACCCACCCCCATCCACATTCATTCACCCTGCCCTAATCGATCACCAATCCAATTTCCCAAAAGTGTCAAGAAATCAAAGTGAAAAACAGCCCCGATTCATGAGTAATTCGTAGACGTACAACTATATAAAGGTAATGTTTGCCTTGTCCCTATTCAAGTTATTAGGTAACAGTCGGTTTTCGAACACAAAAACCGTGTTATTATACCAAATTTGGTAACCAAAACATCATTTTTAGGTATCAAATCGATGTAAATGGTTTTGAATTGTATCAACTGGTCGGGTAATTTTAAATATAAACAAAAGAGAGCCATCGACACCGTATTTTACATTACTTTAAAAGTTTAAAATCCGTGAAACCAATATCGACTGATCGAATACACCTCAACTTTAAATATCGACTGGTCGAATATACCTCAACTTTAAAATTTATAACAAAGTTTTTCATAATCAGATTTAAAAGCCTTATTTTACATTCAATGTTATAAAACAACCTCCAAAATAGCCAAAACAATAATATTACAATAAACTCACCTCCTCCCAAGACCCAGAAAACACGTCCGGAGTCAAACATTCCAATGGTTTACCGCCGAATTGCTAAAAAATATTAATTTAGATACCTGTTTACACTTTTTAAAATCAAATAGTATATAGACTTTAATCAAATTTAGCTGAAATATTGATTTTAAAAACGGTTGATAACAAGCACCATAGATAATATAAGAAAATATGTCATAACTCAAAGCGAAGTAACCGATTGTCAAAAATTTTTATTTTTTAATACTCTACAGTTTCTAATAAACATTTTAAACGAAAAAACATTAGGTTTAACAAGCAAATTCATATAGAAATAGCCTTCTCAAGTTACACCTATCAAGCAGCATGGATAATATCGAAAGTCCTAATAAATTGAAAGTAAGTAAAAACTCAAAACCAGAGTTATATTTTCATAATCTAAAGAATATTGTCAACAAATTAAATGTAAATTTAGTATATTTGACATTTATATTCATCAAGAAATGGTCTTTTCAAGTTACACCTGTCAAAGCACCATAGGTAATATCAAAAGTCCTCATAATTCGAAAGAAAGTAAAAACTCAAAGTCAAAACTTATATTTTCAAAATCTACACAATATTATCAACAATTTAAATGTAAACTCAGTATATTTAACATTTATCTTCATCAAGAAATGACCTTCTCAATTTACACCTATTAAGCATCATGGATAATATCAGACAAAAAGCCATAATTTAAAGCAGAACTAAAAATCGTTAAAGCATTTACTATTGTAATATTCTACAAGTTTTTCCTGACATTTTAAGTACAAAAACATATACTTTACACTCTAAATTCACCAACAATTCCCAATATCGACCAATCCATCAAGAATAACATCAAAATCAAGCCAAAAACTCACTTTAAAGCTGACCAGCACAGCCAATGCAATCAAGATGTTCGTTGTGAAGAAGGAGTTGATTCTGTCCACAAAATCCCGATCGGCCGACGTGCCCACATATCGGAGCATTGACAGGACGGTGGTCAACACCATCGTGAATGTTGTTCTTGGTGGATTCTAATGAATTCGATGTGGATTATCAAGTGATTTTAGATCGAATGATCATTATCTGAAAGGAAAGGTAAATTATAATATTTTTTTAGGTAAAATACGAGATACACCGCGAGTTAAAATAAAGAGATATAAGGTGACCGATTTTATAAAATTTCTAGAAAAGATGACGTTTTTCTTAAAATTGGTGAAAAAACAAGACAAGCCTTTTAAAACATGTTCAAACTGACATAAAAACCCTAGATTGAACTCGTAATATCGTATTTTACAAAAACTAAAGAAAAAAGCTGACATATTTTATAGAATTTCCTCAATAATTACGCTTTTTTCGCCAAAAAATGACAAAATAAATAGAAGTTGATGTTTGTCTGTAAACGCAATCTTCAAAAATGATGAGGACAAGGTAAGCAACTCAAAAAATTATTCGAAAACTAATCGGATTAAATTTCTGCGCGAAAAAACAAAAAAAATCTCGAGATTTTGGATAAAAATTGATCGAGAGCATGTTCATGTTATCTTCTTTGCATCTACATTATTGTTTTTATGATCAATTGGTTGGCTAGCTATTTTTATTGTAAAATACGATATGTAATGCTTCATTAAAAATAAAAAAAAAATTTTAATTTTCAAAAATTGCCAAGCTGCGCCCTATAAAATAAAAAAAAATTTAACTGCCTAGATGCGCCCTAGAAAGTAAAAAAAAATTAAAAATTTAGGTAATACTACTTTTAAGATTTTACTCTATCCTAGTAAAAAAATTGATAAAAATTTTAAAAAAATGATTGTCAAGCTGCGCCCTATAAAACAAAAAAAAATTTAGGTAACAAACAGTTTAATCTAGGTAATAACTAGCCTTTAAAATTCAAATGCCTTAGGACTTCTATTGTCAAAACAAAGAAAAAGCGAAATTTAATGCCTTTTTCGACGATTTTAAAGCCTTCGTAACTCAAACCCTCCCCTCCCCCTTGGCGCTATTGGAAACCGTCTTTTATAAAAAGCTGGCTCTTAAAACGTCGCGTTATATTCAAGTAGGTGCGAAAGTACGAGAGGAAAACACACACTTTGGTAGGTAAACAAATTTGCATAGGAGCATTAATTATCGCCTGTGCTAGCCCAGAACCCTAGCCCAGTGCCCTAGTCCAGAGCCCAAGCCCAGAACCCTAGCCGAGAGCCCTATCCCCAGAGCCCCAGCCCAGAGCCCTGCCCTAACCTACGTGAATTTCTGAATCTTGGGCGGGGAAGATAAAAAAAAGTAAATTTCCAGCTTTGGGGGTGAGTAGAACATCCTATCATACTCTACCTTACGCCATCCTACACTGGCCTATACTACACTTTTTAATTCTACCCCCTGTAAAATAAGAAAAAAATTTTTACCCTACCCCCTTAATCAAAAAACGCCATACCTGGTCCCTGGTTAATAGAAAACATCCCTAGACTAGCTCTACTTACATAACTCATTATGGCTAGCTCCACCTAACCTAAACTTTGATCATTCGGAACGGGCCGAGCCGGCCCACTTTTCAGGCCCGGCCCGACCTGAGTTTTCCTCACGCCCGGCCCGATTTTTTTATGTGGAATCGGTCTTGGCTTTTCGGGCCGGGCTTTTTAGGGGTTTCCAGGCCCGGCCCAAAATTTTGCTCAGGCCCGGCCCGTTCCTCATGTCTATCTACATCTAGCTGTACCTAACAAGTAAGTCAATATCACCTTCTTTTTGTACAAAAACTCTTTCAAACAACCAAGAAAACCCATGCCTTAGAGACTGCTAACATAATGTATTCAAAAGGTTGCAAAATATTGTTGTGAAACAATTGTCCTTTTATGGAAACGAAAAAAATGCTTGAAAAAGAGTGGATTTTTGGCTCTTTTCGGCCCAAAAAGGAAACAATAAAGGAAATAATATAAAGGAAAGCATGTGTAATATGTTTATATTACTCATAGTAATATAGTTTTTTAAGTTTAAAAGGGTGGGGGAAGAGTATATCGACTTTAGATCTACCCTTTAGCTACAATGGGGTAAAGAAACAAAAAAAAATTAAATCTTGGGCAGGGTAAAGCAAAAAAAGTTTTGAGTATCGGGCGGGGGAAAACAAAGAAAAATAGTTTTGAGTATCGGGCGGGGTAAAACAATTTTTTTTTGAAGTTTGGGTGGGGCTTGGCAAAAAAATTAATTTTGAGTCTAGAGCGAGGTAAAACAGAACACAAAATTTTGGGTCTCGGGCGGGGTAAAAGAAAAAAAAACAAAATCCGGTTCAGGGCAGGGTAAAGCAAAAAAGAATAATTTTAGTTTTGGGTAGTACTTGAAAAATAGCTTTGGGGGGTACAAAAAAAATTTGAGCTTCAGGCGGGGTAAACAAAAAATCATTTTTAAGCTTTAGGCGGGGTAAAACAAGAAATTTTAGTTGGATTATCGGGCAGGGTAAAGAAGAATAAATAAAAAACCTTGCGCGGGGCAGGTAAAAAAACTTTTAAAAAACTAATCTTAAGCAAGGTAAGAACAAAAGCTGCTTTTTTATTAAAAAAGCTAAAGTTCTTTTAAAAAGTAATAATAGTCCTGCCTCCCTTCGTAATAAAGATAGGCAAACACGTGTTTGTGTCTCCCTCCTGAACATCCGCCAAAATCTGTCGCAAATAATGGTTTTTAATGTTTTTTCTTTAGTTTTACGTGTTTTGCGCTTTGAAGCCGACCTTGACAAATTTGAATTTGGAGAAAGTTCAAAAACAAATTTATTTTTAAGATCGAAATAGCGGATTTCAATTGATTTGAATTGAAAAACAAGAAGATTTGAATTTATTTGTTTGTTTTTTGACTGGCAGATGTTTTATACTACCCTACAATACCCTACCCTATCCTACCTTTCCTACCCTACATTACCCTACCCTACCCTACCCTACCCTACCCTATCCTACCAATACCCTACCCTACTTTACCTTATCGTACCGATACCCTACCCTACCTTGCCCTACCCTACTAAACACAAAATTTTTTTACCCAGCCCAAAAATATTTTGTACCCCTTCTCCTTTGATTTTTACCCTACCCAATCTGTAGGTGAAAAACCGAAAAAAAAATTTAAAAATTGGTCCACAGATCTGTGAACGAAAATTTTTTTTCCGACCTCCCCCTCCCAGAGAAAATCCATAGCGACGTCCCTGGTCTAGCCTAATGATTCGACTTAAAAAAAGTATCAAAACGCCTATAAATTTAACAAAACCCGCCCTTATTTTAACCAAAATTAGGCTTTTCAAAGTCTAAAATAAAAAAAAAGTGGCTAAACTGCAATAATTTCATAAAATAATTCATTTGAAAACAAATTGAAAAGGCCGTTAAAAATAAAGGGGGGGGAAGGTTAAAAAACAACATTTGATAAGTTGGGCCTGATAACCTTTCATTCCTTCCCAGCGTTCCGAATAAACTTTTCGGGATGAGTAAAGCCTCCAAGCCCCTTCTTTTCCCTTTGGCTTCGCTTTTCGGCTTCGAAAAACGGCGATTTTTGAGGAAAAAAAGAATTTTAAAAGCGCTTTTTCGTTTCGAAAGTGAATGACCAAGGAATGGACATTAACTAAGAAAGGGTAAGTGTGGAGGGGGTAGGAATAGAAGTAGGGATGGGTTTGAGTTGCGGTAGGGGTAAGAGTAAGGGTGGAGTGGTAGTGCAAAGGGTAAGGGTAGTTGTAGGGCTGAGGCTAGAGAGTGGATAGAGTAGAAGAAAGGGGCAATGAAGCTAAAAGAGTAATTTAGGGCCCTTGTTTTGGCTTAGTCACAACAATAAACTGGCATGTTTAGCTATTTCTTGGGTCATATGAAAGGCCACAAAAGGAAGGAGGGTGGGGGAAGGGGTTGAGGAATTAAAGTAAGAGGGTGGAGAACGAAGGGAGCGGGTTAATGCAATTGGAGTAAATGAGGAAGGGGAGGGAGGGGGTAGAAACAAGGGTAAAAATTGGAAGGAGGAGATACGGCAGCTAAAAAAACTACCCCCTCGCCCTATCCAAAAAACTGTTTTTTTTTAATTTAAACGTAGCTCACTCCTCTACCCCTGCCACCCCTAAAAAATTTACCCCACCCTCCTACTTTCTCACTCCCCAAAGCCAAAATTTAAAAAATTTACCCCACCCTTTCTCTCCTTTCTTATTCCCAAAACAAATATTTCCTCCACCCTTCTCTTCTTCCCCACCCCCTCCCTTCCGCCAAAAAACCGCCCTCTATTACTAGTTTTTTCTCAACCCCACAATAATTTCAAGTTTACTCATCAATATCAACATAAACAAGGTAAATACCTTTAAAAACCAAAAAAAAATTTTAAAAATCAAATTTTAAATTTAAAAAGCCCATAAGTTGAAACCATGACAATATAAACGTTAGAAATTAGTGTTGTTTCGGAGATTCGATGGAGAGTGTTTGGTTGTGTGACACATCTTCACCATTCACTCGTTTCTCTTGAGTTACTTTGGTGATGTGAAAGTAGGCGCCCGGCTCACTACCGACCGGTCGAACCACCAAGTCGGCCGTGGAGCGGGCTTCGCCGGCCACGTTTTCCGCGATACAGGTGAATTGACCACCATCAGCTTGTTCGACCGACGGGATTACTAGGGAGTGGACTCCGTTGCCTTCCTGAAATTTTTAAAATTATTAAATTTACCACACCCTCAAAGACAATTTATTAAATTTCTACCACACCCAATCAACTCACATTCAAAAGTTGTACTTCCGGACAATTTGGGATTGGATCGCCGTTTCGTAGCCAAATAACTTGTGGCTCTGGGTCTCCAGTGATCTCCACTGTCCATCGGAGCATGTCTCTTTCGGCCACTTCTTCGCTTATTAATCGCTGGATGAAATCTGGAGCTATTGTGTTCGCTATAACAATATAATTTTCATTTTTTTAACGTTTTAATTTAATTTTTACAATTACAGTCCAAAAATTTTAAATTTTGTCAATTCAACCGTACATTAGTTCGAACGTATGTACGCGCGAATCGACGAAAACATAAACTTACGTACGTGCGAAATGGCAAAATATGATATTATGTACGCTCAAATTTATAAAAAAGTAATTTTTAACCAAACCTGTATTTTATAGTACGTGCTAAATAGTATACATAGTACTATTAAGTATCGCATAAAACAGGCCGTAGTTTAGTTCAACTTATGTACGCGCGAATTCATAAAAACTAATTTTTACCCAAAACAGTACAGTACAGTACGTGCTAACAAGTAAAGAAGCACCATTTATTATCAAAATCAAAACCACCCATTTCGTTCCCCCCTCACCTTTATAAAAATGGTATCAACTCACAATGTTTCAAAAACCTACGTCTAACCACGAACTGAGCGCTACTCGTCGCTACACCCAGTTCGTTCCGCACCGTGCACATGTACTTTCCACAATCCTCAACTTGAGCATTATTAACGATCAAAGCGACGTGATTTCCGTTGTGAACGAACTGCAAGTTCGGGTGGGTTCTTTCATCTATCAGATGATCGTCTTTGGTCCATTCGATGATCGGTAGTGGATTCGCTGTCACGATGGCATCAAATTGAACTTTTTCACCGATTGTAGCTACATACGACTGTAACGTGTGTAGAAAGTGTGGAGGTTGAATGTCCGACGGCTGACGATGAAGAGAATCGCGGCTTAGGTCATGTTGCAAAGGTGGGGCTTGTTGTTGGGGTTCTGAAGGTTGACGATGAAGAGAATCAAAAGCCTGATAACGTTGAGAGTCACCCAGTAGATCAGAAGGCTGACGATGTAGAAGATCCTTCTGTTCTACACTGCTTTGACGGTACTGTTGATATTGCTCTTGAGAGTAGACATCAGACTCGTAGGGCTCTAGGTGACCTCCTTGAGATGGATAATATGACAAATCTTGGCCGGAAGCTTCTGCTGGATTCTGACCTTGATATACAGCTCCAGAAGCTTGATATTCACCTTGGTATGGGCCTGTTTTAGCTTGATATCCACCTTGATATGGGCCTCCTTTAGCTTGATATTCCCCTTGATATGAGCCTCCCCTATCTAAATATTGATCCAACGGCTCCTGCCTTGCCTGATACTTCTCAAAACTGCTGTTTTGAGTCGATTTTTGGCCTAAAAATGGCCTAATATCATCCTTACTATCATAAGCATAACTTGTTCTTGAGCTAGATCCATCACCATAGCCTTGAGGGCCTTCTGAATACCTCTGAGTGATCGTTTTTTGATAAAAACTTGAATTTTGGGTAATATTAGGGCTTTGACCAACATTCTGATTCTGGCCCGTATTACCTGGCATATTACCCATGCCAGCCAATGGTTGATTCAAATTCGGCCCAAAATTTGAATTTCGACTCAAATTTTGTTGATACTGATCGTCCTGATAGTACTGTAAACTCTGTGATTGGACATAACGTTCGTATTGTCCTAAATCACGTGGTTGATATGCTGATTGACTAAGGCGTCGAGCTGGTGATGTTGTTGATCCTCGGTCGGAGAAATAGGTAGGAGAGGCAGCGGCGTAGTCTGTTGCGCCAAAGTCTTTTTGAATGAAACGTTGAGGGGTCTGAAGGTGAAGAAGTTACTTTAATATAAGATTTACTGTGGAAAAATAAAGTAAGACAGACAAAGAATGATAAGGTAGGTTACAGTAATTCATGACAAAAAAGATATGGTAGGTTACGGAAGGTCATGATAGAAAAGATAGGCTAAGTTAACAGTAGATCCTAAAGCGGTAGGGCTCACGTTATCAAAACGCCTAGGATACAGTAAGACCTTATGTATAGTAGGGTCAGAATACAGTAATACCTAGAGTACGGTAAGACCTTGGGTACAGTAAGACCTTGAATAAAGTAGCGCCTTAAGTACAGTAGCGCCTAGATTACGGCAGGGCCTAGGGTACGGCAAGGTTGAAAGTACGGCAGGGCCTACAAGTACGGTAGGGCTTAGAGTACGGCAGGAGCCTAGAGTAGAATAAGCAAAGTATGCTAAGAGATGAAATATTATAGTAGATTAAGTTACAAGACAAAATACTGTCTCGGCCCGTATTTTACCTTTCTCGAGGGGGGTGGAATCATGGATTTTGGCCGAACGTGAATCAGTGTGCTCGATTCTGTTCTTCCTCTGATGTTTTCAGCAACAATACGGTACAGACCAGAGTTTTCGAGTTTTGCCGGAGCAAAAGAAATGTAGTAGGTATCGCCAATGTTTGGGAACTAAAAACAATATTTCATTTTTATTCAAAATTTGAATTTTCACAAAAATTTTTAATAAAGGAAAAAATCTCGTATTTTACATTATTATTACACCTCACCTAGACCTACGATATCACACCCTAATGTGGCTTACAGTACCCCTGTACAGGCCATGCCTTACTCTATATAACCCCTCCCCCGTACTTGCAATGTCCTACTCTATATAACCTACCCTCATACCTGCCACGCACTACCCTACAAAACCCACCCCTTGACTCACCAAACCATAATTTACCCTACGCTACAAAACCCTTCGCCTATTCAACTCGCCATGCCCTACTATAATATCATTTTCAAAAAACAATCACTTGTAATTTATATATAATATCACGTATGTGCGCAACCCCGTATTTTACCTCAGCAAAGTGCCAATTGCTCTTGATGGGTCGATCATTAAAGAACCACTGAACCTTGGGCCTTGGATTACCCACCATCAGGCAGTCCAGCTGAATCTTTTCGCCCTCATTCACGGTGTATTCGTCTTGGAACGGTCGAATAAACTGTGGAGCGTTGGCCAAGCTGCTGAATCCAAAGTCAGTACAGTCTTCTGGAGGTGGGAACCGATTCTCATATGCACTTTGAGTCTTGTGTAGTAGGTTGGGAGTGGTGCGCTCGGTGGAGTAATTGGAATGGTAGTCTTGGTGCACTTTCTGGAGCTGTTGAATGAGGACCTGCTTCTCTTGGTTGTAGTGTTCTTGGCGTGGCGATGAGCTTCGACGAGTTATGGTCGATTGTTGTGAATGGATGATTTGACTGGGCTTGGGCTGAAGGACTAGGTTTAGAGTAGCGGCTGTTTTCGCTTCGCCTGAGGGGTTTATGGCTCGGACTGAATAAAGGCCGGTATTGTCGTGATTTACACTGAAATTTTAGAGCTTAGGAGGTATGTAATGTAAAATTTTAAAAACTTAAAAATATTTTTTTTTAATTTACAAGTTTTATATTTACGTATAGTCATATAAATCAAACTGCAGTACTATCACTTATATTACAGTACTATATATCATATAGTACGGCATGTTACTCTATAGTAACATAAATCATTTTAGAGCCCTGTAGATTGTACAATAGTACAACAATTCCAACTTTAGTACTAAAGTCATGCTTAAGTACTACAGGCCATACTAAGTCATATTGTAGTACTATAGACCCCATAGTACCATAGGTCAGCCCATAGTATCACAGATCACTTCATCGTACTATAAACCAAATTGCAGTACTATATATGATATTATAGTACTGTATTTCGCATTATAGTACTAGATGAAGTGTCAGAGCAGCATACTCATATTATAGTATTAAAGGTAGTAATATAGTACTAATGATCCTATGGTACATTAAGTCATCCTGTGGTACTATAGGTTATAAAGTTATAGCACTACGGGTAAAATTATAGTACTTTAACTCATATTATAGTACGTTAGCTCGTGTTTAGAGCTATATAACTTCCATTCCAGTCCGTTCCCCCCCCCCTCCCCCCCAAGCCAACTCCTACCCACCCTCTTCACCTTACCATCTCCCCCCCCGTTCCCTATTCACCTACCATCCCTCCTCTCCAACCCACTACCCTCCCGTACTCAAAACCCGCTCCAAGCCCTATACCGTACTACCGTACCACTACCTTATACAATAGCCCTACCTTTCAATTCTAATCCGACTCCAACCATCTTTTTCATTGATAACCTTCAAATTCTCGCTGTCAGTCAATGGTTTTTCATTCAAAGTCCACTCGATGTTAGGTATGGGATCTCCGAACGCCTTCACTTCCAACACAATACCCTCTCCTTCGGCTACGACCTTATTCATCAAGGGTGGGTCGAAAAAAGGCGGCAGATTCGAGCGTTCCTGGCCTGGTTGGATTTGTAAGCGACAAAAGTTTATCGATTCGCCGTGAATGTTCTTGGCTACGACCTGTAGCGTACATTAATATAGCATTATGTCGTATTTTAAAAACTTTTAAAAACTGAAAATTTTTTTAAATTTTAAAAATAAAAAAGTTTTTTTTAAAATTTAATTTTTTTTTGAATTTTTAAATTTTTTAAAATTAAATAAAAATATTTTGTAATCCGTATTTTACCTTATAAAGCCCAGAATCCGAGCTTCCAGCCCCCAGAATCCGAAGAACGCACTTGTCTCCAGTGTAATCGATTCGAATCCGATCGGATTCTCTGATCACTGTTTCTTCCTTATACCATGTGACTTGAGGTTCGGGTTTCGCCACGCAAACACATTCGAGAACGGCCGTTGCTCCATCACGAACGTCCACATTCTGGAGTTGGCGAACAAATCGAGGCTTGTCTTCCAGTGGCGTCGCGTTTTTTGATCTTGCTGAAAATTTTTTAAATTAAAAAAAAAATTTAATTTTAAAAATTTAAAGTTTTAGAAAAAGGTTAGAATAAGGGTACATCAAAAGTAAGGTAAAGTATACAGTAGAGCAAAAGTACAGTAGAGTAGGAATATAGCAGTGAAATTAAAGTTAGGGTGCAGTAGAGAAAAGGTACGGTAGAGTGAAAGTACGGTAACATAGAAAACTGCAGTAGAAAAAGAGTACGATAGAGTTGGCGTATGATACAGTGAGAGTACGGAAGTAATTAAGACTCTACTACAATACACTAAGTATACCGTAATTCCAGTACTTTTCGCAACAGTACCTCAAAACCTTTCGGGACCTCTACCTACCGGTACTTCTACTCTACTGCATCCCTACTCTACCGTACTCCTACCCCCATCGTATTGCTACCGTATCATATTCCTACTCTCTCGTACTCTACTATGCTTTTACCCTAGCGTATCCCGACCATACCGTGCCACTACGATACCGTACTCCTACCCTATAAAAATCTTGCTCTACCGTACTCTAGTATATACTTCTACCCTACCGCGCCAGTACTCTACTATACTCCTACCCTACCGTACCCCGACCAAACCGTGCCCCTACTCTATCGTACTCCTACCCTATCATACTACCCCGACCACATCCAAACCCTATGATAAGTTTCATCGATTCTACCACTACTCTACCTTACCCCTTCTCTACATTACCCCCGTTCTAACGTACCCAACCCTACACACTTAAAAAATGAATTTTCAAAAAAAAATTTTTTAAACTAAAAATGTTAAAAACGAAAAGTATGCAAAACAAAGAACCAGTGCCTTCACTTACATTTCACCACTAATTGTGCGACACTTTGTGCAGTACCGTGCAAGTTCTCAGCAATAAAAGTGTAATTGGCCGAGTCCTCAGGAAACACCTCATCGATCCTCAATGTAGCCACTTCACCATCGAAGTTCTGTCGATAATCCGGCGAAGACTTGATCACTCTACCATCCTTAAGCCATTTCACACTCGATGGAGGTTCGGAATCAATCTTAACCATCAATTCAATCGGTCCACCTTCAGTTACCTCCAGATTCTCAAGACCTTGTAGTAGGTTCGGAGCGTGCCCCTTCGGAATCTGATATGAATGTTGGATTTGCGGAATTGAGGAGTTGGATGGAAACCTTGTAATCACAGTAGTCTCTTCCTCGGCTACAGTCTCGCTGAAGTTGCGTGAGGATTGCTCCAGGTCCGAGAGACGACGCTTCAAAAGTTGATGGTCACGGTGAAGATAATCCAACTTCTGACCCAAATCCGCGTCTGAAATGCCTTGTGGTGCTAACCAAATCGTGATAAACTTAATTGTGTGTGTGATATTAACTTAAAATTTGCATATTGTAGTGATGTTTTTGAGAAAATGAAAGTTGTATCAAATTTAAGTGAATTAACTTGTCATGGATAATATAATTGATGTCTATGTGGTATAAAACCAGTGTTTTTGGCAAAAAATGTTGTTAACAAAGTACGTAAACCCAAGATCGTAAAACGCTGCGTTGCGAGGCCGTATTTTACAATTAAAAAATTCAAATTTCAATTTTCCCGCCAAAATTCGGCATTGTGTTTCATGTGACAGGTATGGTCCAAAACTAGCAAAATAAACTTTTTAAATAAATTGATTGAAACCCCGTATTTTACATTTAAAAAGACAAAGAATGAACTTTTTAGCCCACTCCAACATGACCTACCTTCACTTTGTTGAACATGTTGTTGTACTTGAATAATCTTCTCCTGTTGCTCTTGAATTGGCAAATTCGAAACAACCCGACCAAGTTCCGTCTTAACCTTGCCCTCTTCAGCTGGTTTAGCATTTTTAGCTTTTGTTTCCAAATTGTCCAACAATTGATTGGTCTCAACCTGCCAGATCTGAACCTCTTCAACTGTTTTGCTCGCTGCCTTGCGCGCATCTCGCTTCAACTGCCAATTGCGTAGCTCTTCTTGAAGCTCATGGAACACTTTTTCATGCTCAGCAACAATTGTGGCCAATGATTCCTCCACTTTTTGGCTACGAAGGTTTAAGTCGGTCGGTTGGGAGGATTTGGCAATGGATGAGAGCTTTTGAACTGAAAAAATAGGTAATATCTGTCGTTTTAAACCTGATAAGCTATTAAATTTTCCGAAACTAAATAATCTTATTAGAAAAACATATAATAAAACACATCAAACAGACGTATTTTACATAAATATTAAGCCGTTGTTACCCAAAAACTTTAAAAAAAACCAAAAAATAGGTAATTTCTGCCATTTTAAACCTAATAAACCTTAAAATTCTAAAGGCAAAAATTGTAATGAACCCCAGTAATCAGAAATCAACCAGTATTTTACATCAATCCAACCTCGTTATTACCTAAAAATTCAAAGAAAAACAAAAAAAGGGCAGAACCCCAAAAATTACCTTGATGTTTCTCCTGAGCCAACGATTCTTGAGCATTTTGAAGTTGTTTAGTCAAGTCATTGAATGCCAACTCATTTTTATACAGATCTTTATCATTTAACGAGTCCGTCAATGTTTTGAAAGATTGGTCCAGGTCGTCGCTGAGTTTGAAGACCTATAACAATATTGATGTCTATCACAATATAAAAGGAAAATTTGAAACGGGAAATGAGAAATAAAGCTAGAGGACATGTTTTATAACTTAATACTGCTTTTTAATATCATATTGTTCAAGAATATTCAGGCTTTGTTCGTAAATTGAGAATTTTAAGACCAGAAACACTAGCTATGTCTACTATAACATAAAAATTTATATCAAAAATCAATAAAATAGAATCAACAAGGGTGTTTTTGATTACTAAAACATTTATCATACTGTATTTTTTATAATTTTTCATGACTTGATTCGCAAATCGACCGCTAAAAGACCTAAAACAATATTGTTACCTACTATAATATAAAAATCAAAATTTTAAGTTAAGAAATCCAAAAATCTAAAAAAAGCATATTTTTCTTACTTGATAAGGCAACTTTAACAGTTTTTTTTTATTTTTCGGCCGGTAAAATACGAAAAAATTAGTTTAGAAAACATAATGCCAAAATAACATTTTTCGTTGCGGGACCCAGAAGATAAGGTAATGTAAGTTAGTTTTTTCATCGAAAATAGTAAAATTAGACTTACCTAGGCTAAAACAGACTTTTTTAAAACTTTTTTTTATTTTTTGTTCCTAAAATCCAAAAAAAAGTTTTTGAAATTAAGGCTGTACTTTTTTTAAATTTTTTTCTAAAATCAATTTTTTACTGTTACCTTCTGCAAAACCAATCCCATTTCGATCCTCTTGTCCAAATTGCTCTTCAAAATCTCGTATCTTTGTCGGAACTCTTTGATCTGTTGTTGTCCATCTTCATTCAACTCAAATCCTTGTTGAACGACCGAATTCACTTCTTGTTCTTTGTTCACCAACAATGTTTCGAACTTTTTGTGAGCATTCAGGAACTCGCTAGCACTCTGAACATTCGAGCCGATGTGGCCATTGTCGGCCAAAAATGGTTCGGCCACTCGTTTCAGCCAGTCGTTCAGTTCGACCAGTTTGTCGGACAAGCGGCGGTTCACATTGACTCGATAGCTAGCCAGCTCCTCGACCTCGCGAAGTCGATGATTCAACTTCTCCAGCATTTCTCGAACGATGAGATTGTTCTCTTGTCGTAGGATCTGAGTACCTTCATCGATAACTTTTTTGGTCTTATTTTTGGCTAGCGGAGAGAGTTCGGAGGCCAAGGCGGCTGACGCCACTTTGAGGTCACGTTCCATTTGATCTAGTTGGTTTAGGATCTAAAACATGGGGTTACAGTGTAGATATTGGACTAGAAAAAGGTAATTTGGACAGTAAATTTACGTTTCGGCCAGTCATTTCCTAAAACTTCAATTTTTTTCGAGTACAGTCAGGGTTGACCTACTACAATATAGAAATGGCTAGATTTTTTATAAAACATCAAGCCTAATAAAGCAAGTTCTTGGCTTAAGCCTACTAAGCCTAAGCTTACTAAGCCTAAGCCTACTAAGCCTAAGCCTACTAAGCCTAAGCCTACTAAACCTAAGCTTACTAAGCCTAAACCTCCTAAGCCTAGCCTAGTAAGCAACCCGGAGCATAATAAGGCAAAACTAACAAAGCCTGAACAAACTAAGCTTAAGCCCACCATCATTTTCAACTTGTCTTACCATCTTAGCGTTCTGCAGAAAAGTCTCGACCTGACTTTTCGCTCTTCCTTCAGATTGAAGTTCGTCCAAGAACTTGTGAATATTGTTCTTAAGTGAGTCGACTTTCGTGGCCAAAGGTGATTGAGGAATGTTTTTTTGAACAATATCTTCGATTCTCGCCAAATTGTCTTTTTGGGTCTGAAAGTGTAGATTACGTAGGATAGGGTACTGTAATATATAGTAAGTTAAGGCTAGAACAGAACTCAAGAGCAAGGTGATTGTAGGAGCTGGGACAAATCTATAGCAAGATTAGGGTAGGGATGAGGTACAAGTTACAGTAGATAAAAGGTAGGAGTAGTATTAAAGATAGTACCAAGGGTATAGATATTACCAAGAGTATGGGTAGTACCAATGATAGGGGTAGTACCAAGGGTTAGGGTAGTACCAAGGATAGGGGTGGGGGTAGGGGTAGGAATAGGGGTAGGGGTAGGGGCAGCGGATTAGGCTTACATTTCCCTCAGCCAAGATTTGGCTAGCCGAATTGGGGTCTCTTTTCAATTTTTTCTTTGAGTTTGATAACCAAGTGTCAATTCCATTCAACTGAGCTCCCAGCTTCCCATGATTAACTTTCTTCGGTGCTTCTTCTGGCTTCTTTCTCTTTAAGGTTCCTTGATCTTCTTCAGCTACACCTTCTAGTTCCTGGTCTACCTCAAGACGCTGCTTCTCTTCTGTCCAAACTGTTTCTACATACTCCCATTCGTTTGACATTCTGTAAAAGATGGCATTTTTGAAAGGTATTTCAACTTTTCTTCAATTTATAAAAATTTTTTTTTGGGTGGGGTAAAAAAAAATTTTTTGGGGGTGGATAAAAATTTTTAAGACAAAACAGAACTAATGTAAAAACTTACTTCAACATGATTTTCTCGATAATCAAACAACTATCCACAACTTCATTCAGCCTGTTATCATTGTCAGCCAAAGCCCCTAACACTCGAATTTGGGTTATGACTTCAGTACCTGCTCCAATGGCTTCTACGGTTGTTTGAATGATTTCTGGAAATGAAAAATGGAATTTTGTGTCTACCGTAACAAAAAATTTAATTTTTTTCAATTTTTTATGTACCCCTACCACTACCACTACCCCTACCCCTACCCCTACCCCTACCCCTACCCCTACCCCTACCGCTACCCCTACTCCTGTCCCACCCAGACCCCGAATTTTACCCCTACCCCTAATTCCACCCCTACCCACTCCTAAAATTAAAATTTCTCAAAAAATCAATAACCTACCATCCACAGTATTTTTGACGGTTTGAATAGTCTTCGGGTCATCTTCGTCTTCAATCAACTTCTTCAGGTAATGATGAACCTTGGCCACGAGCTTTTCATGTTGTTTAGCAGCCTCATGAAACCTCAGAACGTCTTCTAGAATGTAGCCACGTAGCTCGAGCTGTTTGTTAAGTTCTCTCCAAGCCAAAGTCAGGCTTTCGGCCATAGATTCGTAGACATATACATTGTGGTCTTCTTGTTCGTGAGCTAGCTCGTTGGCTCGGGTCAGGAGCTCTTCCACTTGACTTTCTTTGGTCTGAAAAAGATAAAAAATGCTTTTTTGTTAAATTTCGAAATTTAAAGTCATTTAAATCTTATTTTAATTTTTTCCCGATTCCAAAAAATGTGTCATGAAATATGTCATAATGACATGTTTTGCTTAAAAATCACAAAAATAGAGTCTTTTAATTAAATTTATGAAAATTTAAGCCCATAAAATAAAATTTTAAATTAATTTTACGTGAAATTGTCATAAAATATGTCATGATGATATAAAATATAATGACGCATTTTCGTTAAAAATGGCATGAAATTATTTTTTATCAAAATTTTCATTTTAACACTGCAAAATGTCATGTCCAAAACTATTTTTAAAATTTAAAAAAAGTGTCATAAAATCTGTCATCATGACTCATTTTGAAAGCAAACTTACAGCCAGTCTCGCAGTCAAGTCAGTATGAGAGTCGAATAGAGTCTCCGCATCTTCCATAGTCTCTCCGATCTCAAGTAGCCTAGGGTTCATTTCGTCGATTCTTAGATGGATATCACCTTCGGACTAAAAATGTCATTATTGACAATATTTTTAGTTTACAATGACAACCTCATCTTTCAGTGAATAGATTGATGAAATTGGCGTATTTTACATTAATTTTTTTTGAATTTTAAATCTAATTTTATAAAAAAAAGTTTCAAATTTTTGAATTCCCGCCAAAATTGGCATTCTGTTTCTGTAGTCAAAGCCGTTTCAAAACCACAAAAAATCATTATTATGGGCAAAAAAACCATAAAAGATTTGAAAAACGTATTTGAAAACATAAATTTTCAAATCCACATTTTCCCGCCGAAATTGGCATACTGTTTTAAAGACCCAAAATAGGGCCAAATCTTCAAAATTATGATAAAATGAACTAAAAATTTCAAAATTTCAAAAAATCTAAGATAATAGCACTTACCTTGAGCATAGCCAGAACAATAGTTGTATGTGGTTCGGCTCGCACAGCTATGGTGGATATTGTGGTGGTACTGGGCTTCTCTCCCATTGCTACTGCCTTTTGCTGATCTTCAGCTTGTAGCAATGGAGGCATGGTCTGGAAATATGCAGATTAAGATAACCACTGGCCAACAATGTTCATTATAACAAGAAATGTACGATTCTAAAGGTATAAATCGCTTCAGAAACGGTAGTATTAAAGTTAGAAGCTTAGGTATGGGTGGGAGTACTGGTAAAGGTAAGAATAAAAACAGGAGAAAAGATAAAGGTAGAAGTAAAAGTTGAGGTAACAATACGGATAGGAGCACTCGTAAGGGAAGGAATAAGAGTAGAAGTAATAATAAGGACTATTCTTTTTAACGAGAGCATAACAATTTTTATAAGTCAAGTTGAAGATGTCAAGATCTCACTGAAAAGCAGCGTTTTTTAAAGCGTTTAAATTAGTAGCTCATTAAATTTTATATTATACATATAACCCTTGATGTATATACTTTTCATTCGTAGTTCAGACGAAAACCTTGAATTTTTGTCCACGGAAAATCTCTCATAATTTTGCGCGTTCTCTAGTTTTTTCTCTAATGCCGACGGCAATCAGGCAAAAAGAAGGAACATACAAAATTATGAGAGCTTTTTTCGTGGACAAGAATTCAAGGTTTTCGTCTGAACTACGAATGAAAAGTATATACATCAAGGGTTATATGGTGTTTTTGGCTTGAGAAAAGCATAAAAACGATCGCATTTTGAAGCTTTGTCCAATAATCCTGCAAAGCGACCAAGCCGGACCTAATTTTTCAAGCCTTGGTTTGGGCTCCAGCTCTGATAGCCCACACCTACCGGTCTTGCCCGTTTGCCGGCTCCGCCTAAATTGAGATCAAAGCCAATGCTAAGCTTACAAATTGTTAGTAAATCCTTTTTCAGGTCAATCGTCCAAGCTTTTTCAAAGTGGCTAAAAAAGCAAAAGAACTAAACGAAAACATTGGAAACATCAAACCAATAAAAAAGAAGTTGTCATTAGGCAACAAAACAAAAAAATCTTCCCCTACAAAGTTGCGGTCAACCGGTGGCATAAGAGACCAAAAAATGGCAATAACTTTCTTTCCGAAACAAAAAATGTCAATAACTTTCTTACAAGCCAAAAAATGGCAAGAATTTTCCTTACAAACAAAAAATAACACAGCCTTTCTTTACAAAACGAAAAATTACAAGAACTTTCTTTACAAGTCAAAAAATGGCAAGAACTATTTTTACAAGTCAAAAATGGCAAAAACTTTCTTTACAAAACAAAAAATGGCAAGAACTTTCTTTACAAAACAAAAAATGGCAAGAACTTTCTTTACAAAACAAAAAATGGCAAGAACTCTGTACTTAATAATCCTCCCCACAAAACTCCTAAAAATCCCCCCAAAACCTGCCCTTTGCCGGAAGCCGAAGGCATTGTTTTGTGCCTAAAAAACCAAAACTCGAATTCGTTTACAAACCTCAAAAAAGTGTTGGAGGAAGCGATTTCTCCCCCTCAAAAACGTCGGCTTCGGATTTATTGTTTTTAAGGGCGGCCGATCGCTTGGCCTTTTCTCACTTGCCCCCCTAGATCAGTCCCGACATTTTTACACAGAAAAAGCGAACGGCCCCACCATCTGCGACTCCCGTTGTAATAGTTTGGGCTCGGGACAAAAAAAGTGAAAGAGAGGTGGGAAATTTGAATATCAGGGGCAATATTGGAATAAGGCGGGGTAAAGTTTTTTTAATATGGATATATTTTAGCTTATGTTTGTTAAAAATGGCAAGAACTTTCTTTACAAACAAAAAAATGGCAAAAACTTTACAAAGCAAAAAATGACAAGAACTTTCTTTACAAAACATAAAATGGCAAGAACTTTCTTTACAGACCAAAAAATGGCAAGAACTTTCTTTACAAAACTTGAAATGGCAAAAACTTTCTTTACAAAACAAAAAATGTTTTTCATCGTATAACGTGTCACCCGCAGCTTGCAAAACCATAAATTGGCTTATTTTGATACTAATAGCAAGAACTTTGTTTACAAAACTTAAAATAGTGAAAACTTTCTTTACAAAACCAAAAATGATTTTCATCGTATAAGTTGTCACCCGCAGCCTGTAAAACAATGAAATGACTTATATTGATGCTAGTGGCAATAACTTTCTTTAAAAAGCATACAATGGCAAGAACTTTCTTTACAAAACAAAAAATGACAAGAACTTTCTTTAGAAGTTTAGGAATGCTTTTCTTCGTATAACTAGTCACTCGCAGCCTGAAAAACCATAAAATAGCTTATTTTGATACTAATGGCAAGAACTTTCTTTACAAACCTAAAACTTAACTTATGACACTCTTTTTAGCACCCCCACCCCTTCCCAATTTAATAAAATAATATTACCCTCAAAACGTTTGTGAACCTGCTAATCCAAACAATCTGGACATCGGAAAACAAAAAAGAATGGACAAAAACATTAGTCAGGTCGAAAGTTAATGCTGCCGCAAAACATAGATAGATCAGATGCAAGAAATTTATTCATAACTCGAATGGGAAAGGGTTTGTTTATGAATAACATCACCAAACTTTTTGAAAATTGAAAATTAACAAGAAATGGCAAGAACTTTCTTTACAAAACGAAAAATGGCAAGAACTTTCTTTACAAATCGAAAAATAGCAAGAACTTTGTTTACTAAACAAAAAATGTCAAGGACTTCCTTTACGAATTAAAAAATGACAAAAACTTTCTTTACAAAAGAAGAAATTGCACAAAAATTAATTATACGCTAAAAAATACTTTTGAACGTATAACTTGTCACTCGCCGCCTGCAATACCATAAAATAGCATATTTTGATACTAGTGGAAAGAACTTTCTTTACAAAACCGAAAAAAGCGAGAACTTTCTTTTTAAGACAAGAAATGGCAAAGACTTCATTTGCAAAAGAAGAAACGGCAAAAACTTTCTTAACGCATCATAAAATGGTATAAACTTTCTTTACATTTCAAAGAAAAGCAAAAAACGTCTTTTATCGTATAACTTGTCACCCGCAAAATGCAAAGGCATCAAATAGTTTATTTTTACTCAGGACTTTCTGTACAAAGTAAAAAATGGCAAGAACTATCTTTACAAATCATAAAATGGCAAGAACTTTCTTTACAAAGCATAAAATAGCGAGAACTTTCTTTACATAACACAAAATGGCAAGAACTTTCTTTACAAGGCAAGAAATGGCAAAAACTTTTTTAACGCATCATAAAATGGTATAAACTTTCTTTACATTTCAAAAAAAAAAGAAAAAAACGCCTTTTATCGTATAACTTGTCACCGGCAGGCTGCAAAAACTTCAAATAGTTTGTTTTTACCTAAGACTTTGTTTACAAAACTCATAATGGCAAGAACTTTCTTTACACACCAAAAAATGGCAAGAAATTCCTTTACATTCTCATAAACTTATAAAAGAAGCAAAAGACATACCTAAAAATCAATTTTTTATATTCAAATATCAAAAAAATTTTTGATTTTTTAAAAATTAGCCAAAAGATCAAAAACGACAAGTTTAGCAACATATAGATTATAAATTAGCCGAGCCTACAAGAATGAGCCAATTTTATGAAACAGTTGTCTCGTTTCGACCAAATCAATCTCAAAAAATGCCTATATATAAATGAGGCTTCTTGTAGTGACATTTCTTGAACAAGCCCATGAACTTCAATTTAAAATTTTTTTTAAAAAGTTTTAAAATAAATCAACTTACGTTTAGGTCGAGGCCTACAGTGCATTTTATTGACCAAAAGGCTTCTGACAGCCGATTGAAAGACTATATTCACCATGATTTGGCTTCTCCACGACGAAAAGGCTCCAATTTGATGTTGCATCTGGCTCCTAAAAGAATATTCTTTGTTATAAAATAATTTACCATCATTTTCAACAAGTTTAACATCAAGTATTTTCAAAAATATTAGTTTAAACTTCAAAAAAGACAAAAATATAGCGATTTTAAGCCATTTTTCGGCCAAAACCCTTTTAAAACGCAGTTTTGTTACCTAAAATAAGGTGTTTCTCATGCCGCAAAAGATTGTACAACATCTTTTTTATAACATATTAACTTTGCAGGTCAATAATCAAAGGATTTTCTATTGAAATTTCGAAAAAAGTTATTCTTCTGAAGCAAGTGTAATATAAATTTAGCTTCTATGTCTAAAGCAGGAAACCAAAAACGTGAAAGACTATTTAATCTACATGATACAACGTATTTTTTTATCATATACTATTATTTCAGACCAATATCTAAAGTATTTTCCATCAAAAACATTATATAATTATGTTACACTGCCTTCTGAAGCAAGTGCAACATCTACCTCAATTTTCTTGATCAAAACGTGGTTTTAAAGCCCAATTTTTGTTTGCTAAACATACTAAATAGTACAGTCTGGATATGAATTAAAAGATCGTTTCAAAAATAGCAGAAATAACTAGAGAAATATTGATTTAACTCAAGGTACCCCCATCAAATCATGCTTAATATCGAAAAATTTTCCAAAATGGCGAAAAACCAAAGCATTGCAAAACAAAAACATTTTTTATATTACATTTGATGTTTATTTTAATAAAAATGAAATAAAAAAGGTAAAATTAAATAAAACTTGAAAGAAATCCATCAAAAACTTTAAAATCCCGCCAAAATCAAACAGTAAAACAAGTTTATTGAGTTTAATATAATAATAATATTCGTTTTTTAAATAATAGAACTTTGAACACCAGATTAGAATCGTGCCCACCGGGCTATGGACAATCAAAAAGACAAGTAGACAACGCCGTAACAATGATAAAATGGTCATTTCGAGTAAAATGTGGTGTGATTGAAAGAGTTTTGTTTGGATGAAACTTGGCTAGTCGTCAAGATATACAACAACAACGTTTACACTGTGAGTAACAAGGTACGAAATAGATATTAAAAGTAAAAAAAGTTGAAAAATGTTAACATACGATTAAAAATGTCATTAAAATATTAAAAATCTGACCAAAAATTGCAAAGAATTGTTAAAAATGACAATATAACCTAAAATAACATACGATATAAAGCCTAATATGGTATGTATGACAAAGCTAAATGTAGCCAAGACTACTGGGCTTATTTTGGCATATATTTCAAAATTTTAAAAATCTTCAAAATTACCTAAAAATGACTTTTTTTGGCTCAACTCGCCGATTTTTACCAAAATTTTTTACTTTAATCTGATATTTCGTATTTTACAAACCACAAAGTAAAAAAGTTTCAACAGCATTACATCGTATGTTATCTTAGCAACACATACAAACCGTTTTCCTAAGACTAGATTCGAATTTCATTAAGTTATGACCATTTTTCGACTGTCAACTCGCCATTTTTTCTCATTTTTTGTGGGACTGCCAATCTTTTTTGAGGTTTTTAATAAAGAGAAGCCTTAAAGTTATACCAAAACATTTGAAAAATGTTTGAATTTTATAGAAATTTCATTTTTTTCAAAAAAAATTCCAATTTTTCGGTCTAGGCAGGTCAAAATCACCATCTGACCGACCAAGTGTATCAACCTCTAAAAATTGATGACAAACCCTCAAAAACAGATAAAAATGGCTCGAAAACAGTACCAAAAACAGGTCTAAAAGTTTAAAAATACAATAAAAAACACTTTTATGTACAATGACTTGGTGTACGCGTAAGGACATGAAATATAATACTCTATAGACTACATGGTGAAGATAACAACATATTTAAAGTTTAGAGCTAACAAACTGTTAACAAGACGTATTTTAGCTATAAAAATTAAGAAAATGAGCTAGTTCTATAAGAAATAAAAATTTAGGTTTAAATTCCTTAGGTTATTCTAAATATTTACAGTAGGAATTACAGTAATAAAAATTGTAAAAATTTTTAAAATTTCAAAAAAAAATTATTTCGTTAAAGTGTTTTAAGCCTAGTATAAAATAAAAAAAACTTTTCATATTTAAAATCATCATTTTGATTTTAATCAAAATGACATTTCTGATAACAAAAATTGTTTCCATGTTATATCTAAGCATAAAACAAAACCTTTTAAAAAAAAAAATTTTTTTTTAATTTTAAAAAAATTTTTGAAATTTTAAAAATTTCGAAAAAAGTTGAAATCTCATCAAAAACCTAATGAAAAATGGCCGAATCAAGGCATAATCGTCGCCGAATGCTGTAGATTTTGTTGTAAATGCAGTTGTTCCAATGGATTCGTACTGGCGTTGGAGGTTTGAGTACCAGGAAGCAGAACATTGCCCAAGGGGTTTTGAGCTTGAGTCACGGCCATAGCCGCGGCTGCTGCGGCTGCCGCACTATTTAAGCCTAGCTGTGTCATGGCTGCACTCACTTGGTCTGGAGCGTTGAATGCGTTTTGGGCTGCCATTAACCTGAAGGTAAGGGGTTTTAGATACAATATGCTACAGTATGAAAAAGATAAGTCCAGGTCAGAGCTATAGAGTAAAAAATATATAGTAGAGTAGGGTATGGTAGGGTAAGGTAGGGTAGGGTAAAGTATGGCAAGGTAGGGTAGTTTAGGTATCATAGGACAATAGATCTAAAGCAATAACCAATCCTAACCCAAACTCACCTCAAAAGTTGCTGCTGTTGCTGTTGTTGCGGTGATATCAGACCCATGGGGCTATTTCCATTCGCCTCGTTCGGTCGATTCATTTCCTCTTGTTGTTGTTGCATCCTCTGTTGCTGCAACCTCGCCACTTCATAAGCCAAGTTGAAGGGTGTACCATTGTTTATATTACCTTGTTGTAGTATGTTCTGACTATTCTGCTTTTGCTGAAATTGCTGTTGAGCTTCGGCTTCGGCCCTCGCTTTCATGGCATGGGACTTCATGTGGGCATTCAGCGACTTGACCTTCTCGAAGCGTTTGTCACACAAACGGCAGTGGAAGAAGCCGTCGGCCGAGGGTTGGGCGCCTTTTTTCGTGTTATTCGGGCGGGGTTTGTGATGTAACGCCGGAGGCATGGGTGGTAACGAATCCGAAGAGTTGTTGAAGAGATCCAGGTTGGTCACGCTGGGTGGTTGACTGTAGCCATTGCCTACGGAAGAGGATGAGGCTGGTGATGGGAACATTTCATCGTGAAGCCAAGGGTAGGCCGACTGTGGAGCTGATGAGAAGCCGTTGGTACTGACTTCGGGCTTGGTTAGGGTTGGCATGGCAAGGTCGGAAGTTGAAGCCAATGCAAATTCTGGCTTTTCTCGGTCTGGACTTGACAGGCGTGGGTATTTTTCGGGGGGTGATCGCCTTGAGAACGCCGAAATACCTGTCATATCAGACTCGGCTTCGGATAGCTCGTCTTCAGAAGTCTCGTGCGGATTCTCCGATTGAGTACGTTGACGAGCATCAAAGGACGATACATCCAGCTGCTGTTCCAACAACATTCGCTTCCGCCTTAGATTCCTAAGCTTACGGTAATCATCAGGACACGCTTTCTTCCAGGTATAGTAGAAGGCAATACACTGCTTCACGGTGCGATTCCCCAGCTCAGAAGCCACTTGATGGAAATCCTTCTCGGACTTGTAGATCGCATCCTGGAACATGGATATGTCTTCCGGAGTCCAGCCATCCGTGTCCGTGTAGCTGTTGTTGTAGATGATTGGGTATTGCTCCCAGTCCAAGGTGTCAGAGCGAAGTAGATCCATGACAGCCGACTGGATATTACCTTGGTTTTCCATTAAAATGTGCAAAGCCAACTCTTTGTTACGGCCTGGCCTTGGAATGGCGTGACTACAGGCGAGGGCTTCGTACGCAGCTACTGAAATGGGCGGGGTAATTTTTTGAAAATATTTTTTGGGTGGGTTAATTTTTTTTTAATTTGAAAAAAATATCATAAAATACCACTTTAATTTCCCTTTTAATTTTAGAGTATGCTAGTTTTTTAAATTAATACCTAAAATTTTGAAAAATTTTACAAAAATTTCAAAAATTAAAAAAAATTTTTTTTCCAAATTTTTATCAAGAAATTAAAAAAATGCATTTTAAAACATTTACCAGTACTAAACCAAATTTAAAAATTTAAATTATTACCTAAAATTCCAAAAATTTCAAAAAATTTCAAAAAAAATGTTGTTTTCAAAAGTTTTTGAAAATATGTCAAAAAAAACCTACCAGCCTTGTCAGGAAGATGTTCAATGACTTTACAATCAAATACCATCTCATCACGATCAGGAATGGCAGCCAATTCGGCCTCTGTCACTTCCCGAGAAGCCCATTTCTTGACTCGGGCTTGGAAGTTCTTACCGAAATTGATGTGCCTGAAACGGGGTTTTTGTAAAATACGAAATGTTTTCATTCTACAATTGAATAAAAACAATTTTTTAAATTAACGCTTACTACGTTTTCAAATAAATTCATCAAAAAACCTTTGAATCCACTAGAAGTAACATTTTATTTAAAAACCCGTAAAATATGCAAATTTTTATCAAAAATCCTAAAAAATTTAAAAATAGCTAGTTGATACCCTTATGTAACACTCTACAAAATTTCAGTTTTACATGAAACGTCAACAAAGAATGACAACAAAAAGTTTAGTCATACTACCACTTTATGAAAACTTTTTTTAAACATACAGTGGAACTCCTGTATAACGAATCGCTCGGGAACTAAAAGTTCGTTCGTTATAAAGGAGTTTCGTTATACTGGAGTTTTAAATGCAAGGGGATTCAAAAGTTGTTCGTTATACGAGATTTTCGACAGAGGAGTTCGTTATACAGAAGTTCCACTGTATAAGTTATGCAAATTTTTATAAAAACAAGCAAAAATTTGGAATCGGATGGCAAATTTCCTTACCTAAGACCCCTCAAAATTTCAATTTTATACATAGCTTTAAAAAGAAATGGCAACGAAAAGTTCAGCCTTAGTAACCCTCTAGGAAAGCTATTTGAAAAATCTTGTAAAATACGTATGTTTTTCCTACATCTATCCAAAATTCACTACATAGTAAAGAAAATCTTCATTTTTAAGTTTTCATAAGCTCGTTTTAACATACAGCTTCAAAGAGTTACTGTAACAAAAAATATTCTCATATTCAAAACCTCCCGCAGCTTGAATTATTGCTCATATAAAAACCATTATAAAATATGCAAATTTTAACAAAACCACCTATATCTTTACAATCGTACAGCCAATACCATTAGCTCCCTACCCTCAAAAATTCATTTCAAAACACAGCACCAAAAAACTACCGTACACAAAAAACTTACGGAGTCACGTCGCTTTCAGGAGCCAAGTATTCATAATAATCTGAGCTAGTCGATGTTTTTCTGGTCGGTTCATCAACACTGTAGACCGGTTCTTCTTGTACTATTGACGGTTTTCGGTTGCCAAATATCGACATTTTCCTTGAGGGTGGCGCAGAATTGGCCGAGCTTCCGGACTCTTTCCTCAGAGCTTCTAATTCGGCTGCGAATTGAGACTGAAATTTAAAAATTTAATTTTTTAAATTGTATCCGATGGTTGATGTTACGTATTTTACTTAAAATAATCATTATTATACCATAACCTATCCTACTTTGTCTTAACATACCCTGTCCTACCCTACATTACCCTACGATGCCCTAAAGTACCAATAAACCCTATATTTCATACGGTATTCATTGTTTACTGTGATAAAGTGCAATATTATTCAAAACCTTTTTTTTCATTTTTTTGTTTTCTTATCAGTAATAGAAATGGGCTTGTAAAAATAAAAGTCATGTGCTGTCTGGAGAGCAATGCAGCCAACAAACATTCATAACATTACACTTTTGTAAACGTTTTTACCTATTTTTAGCGATTTTTGCAAAAAAAGTTGAGTTTTTGATCAATTTTAGGTAACTAAAGGAATGTTATTCAAGTTTTAGATAAAACACGTCATATAAAAATAAAGAAAAGTTTAAAAAGTAATACAAAATACGAATTCTCTTCATCGTTACAAACTTCAAAAAATAGAATGTCCATCAAATAACGTGCAAAACTTCAAATTCAATTTTTCCCGCTAAATTTGGCATTCTGTGTCAAGATCCCATAATATGATAAAAATAGTCAAAATATGAATATTAAGCATGTAAAGGCTCAGTAAAATAAAAACTTTAACAAAAAATTCAAATTTTTGTTTTCCCGCATAAATTAGCATTCTGTTTCAAGATGGCAAAATTGACTAAAATTATCAAAAAACACTTGTTTCACCTTTAAATCAACGAGAACAAAGGCGAAACGTATTTTACAATATTTTTTTTCTAATTTGAAAAAGTTCATAATATAAAAAATGTCATAATAAAAAATAGGCAACAAGCTTACCCCCCTTGCCGCCAGTCGCAGCGATCGCTCCGCTCAAGAACAATCCATTCTTGCGTTGTGGAGCATTGGCACGATTATCCATTGGCGGTCGGGTGAAGGGTTTTCGACCAGTCAACGTGCATCGCGCCTTCTCGATATCCAATGGGTAGTTGCAATCCAGCGAATCTAGCGGATCGACCTCTTCCGTCGTTCGAAGCGACGACTTTTTGCGCTCTTAAAGTGCAATTTTATTAACTATTGTGGTAATAAGTTGATGTTTTACAAGGTTAATTGGCTTGGAGTTAGGTTTTAGCTGCTCTACAGTACCTTACCCTAACTTACCCTAACCTACCCTGCCCTACCCTACCCTACCCTACCGCCCCCCCCCCTCTTTAAAGCTCTAAAACCTTTAAACTTATAAAACAAATGACCTACCCTTCAACTCATGCCCATTCTCCATGTTCCCATTGGGCTGTGCGGCGGCGGACGTGCCGGGCGTTTGAGCGTGCGCGATGCTGTTCTCGTCGCTGCTGATGGTGGGTTCGGTGAGGGGGTTCATGTCGCAGCCCATGCGACGTAGTGTTGAGGGTTTGCGTTCCGATGACACGAGAGTCGAGACTTTACGTTCGGCTGCAAAATTAAAAGTTTGAAATTAGGTTTTTTGGCTTTGAAATTGAAAATTTGGGTGAGAAACGTTGAAGATTAGGGAAAAAACATTGAAATTTAGGTAAAAAAAAGTTGATGTCCAAGTAAGAACGTCAAAACTTAAGTAAAAACATTTAGGTAACAAAAAGTTGAAATTTTGGTAAAAAACGTCAAAATTTAGGTAAGATACGCCAAGATTTAAATAAAAAACGTCCAAATTTACCAAAAAATTAGTAAAAAAAATGTAAAATACGTGCGCAGTTCCATTGTAATGTACAAATTTTTTATTTTCAAACCCACAAACAACCTTTAAAAATCATTTCCTTTACAAAACATTTCGAAAAAACCAACTTTCAGTTCAATTTTAACCATTTTTTGCAACTAGACACCTATACAAACACTCGAAAACGTATTTATTTGTCGCAGCATCAGTTCGTCCACTTAAAAATAGACTTTTATTAACACAAACCACAACTTTAGATAACGTTTTATAGCTTCAAAATTTTTAAAATTTGAATTTTTAAAAAATTTTTTTTGTAAAATACGAAGAAAAAATCCCTTCCGTCGTATAACTTGTCGACCGCAGTAGGCAAATTCAAAAAACGGCTCATTTTAATAATAATGGCAAGAACTTTCTTTACAAATCAAAAAATGGCAAGAACTTTCTTTAAAAAACGAAAAATGGCAAGAAGTTTGTTTACACAACAAAAAATGCTTTTTATCGTATAACTTGTTACCCGCAGCCTGCAACTTCATAAAATGGCTTACTTTGATACTAGTGGCAAGAACTTTCTTTACAAAACAAAAAATGGCAAGAAATTTCTTTACAGAACAAAAAATGGCAAGAACTTTCTTTACAAAAGACCAAATGGCAAGAACTTTCTTTACAAATCAAAAATGACAGGAACTTTCTTTACAAAACAGAAAATGGCAAGAACTTTCCCAAAATAAATCAACATCATTTCAAAAAGCTGCAAACAAGACTAGGAAGTGTTCTAAAACAACCCTGAAACTTTGTCAAAAACACTCGTCTAGCCATCAAAATCCCTAGTTTCTATTTTCCATAAATAACGTCAGACATTGTAATTAAGTTTCAAAGCTGGCAATTATACTTTTGAATCTGTTTTTGTAAAATGAAAGACAGTTGTAAGTAATGTAGCGTTGTATACTTGATGTTAACGGTTTAACTGTCACATAATTTAAAAAAAAAATTTTTTTCGCCCCCCCTCCTCTTAAAAATGAAAACCAAAGATAACAATACTACTATAAGAGCCAAACACCACCCCTAACCCAAAAGGATTGTGCCAGTACTAATTTTTCCATACACACAAAGAAGACCCTACCCTACTGTACCATACCCTACTGTAACATATACTACTGTACCCTACCCTACCTTACTTTATCCTACCCTACGGTAACCTATCCTACTGTACCTTACCCTACCCTACTTTACCCTACCCTACCCCACACAATGCCAACCCTAACCAATCTCAATGCCAACAAGCCCCAACCCTACCCCACACACTATAACAACCCTGACCAACTCAAACGCCAACAAATCCCCCAAATGACATTTCTATGCCTTATACAAGTTCGAACCCCCCTCATTCCGCGAACACTTGTCTTTTGGACGTAGCGAAATGTCTGAAAAGCAAAGTGCATCAAGCAATTATCAGTCGTTTTTCTGCGTAATGGGCCCTTAGGCGCGTTTGCAAACGAGAAAAAGATGGAAAAGCAATGCAAAAAGTTCGTGTTAGCCGGGATTCTTTTGGCAAGTAAACATTCGCCACATGATTGATACGTTTGTTAAAAGGAGTACGCGAGAAAAGACATGGTTAAAAGCTACGGTGTTACTGTAGATATGTAAGGGGTTAGAGGTTAGACAGTTTTGCACCGGTAGATAAAAAAAGCTAGACAGTTTAGGGCTAGGATAATACGCAGCCTTAGGTGAGCTTAGGTAAGTCACCTCAAGGGGCAATTACGAGAGCATTGGTTGTTCCCAAGGGACTGACATAAACCAACTAAGTCAACTCAAAGGACTAGTACGAGGTCATTAAGTGACCTCTAAGTACAAGTATGAGAACATTAAGTTATCTTAAAGTACTATTATAAGAACATTAAGTCACTTCAAATGCTCAGTGTACTACAATGTAGGTCTGAATAGTTTATGGTACAGGTAAGACATGCAGGGGAATCTATTTCAACCTACGTTAACCTACCATACGATAGGGTATGGTAAGTTAACGTAGGTTGAAACAGATTTCACTGCAAAAAAATTTTAAAAAATGTTTCTACTGCCCCCAGTAACATCCTATATCTCCTCTGCACCGTTTACACCCTTAATCCCTACAACTTCAAATACACCTCATCCCCAAAAAACGTCTTCATCCTCCATTTCCTCAAACCCAACGTCCATAAACAGCACTTTGCGCTAATTTGCACCCGCAAAAACATCCCCTCCACCCCGACGCAGTAATTAATACGCAAAGAAGTGTTGGCCCCGAAATCCCGAAATTCGCGGAATGCAGACGTTGCACTTTAATCAAAAACTAATCGCACAGTTTGCGTTTTATAAGCCCCAAAAACAAACATCAGGCCCCCCGGCATATACAAATAAACAATATATCCCAGCGACTATAATTACCAACTGTAAATGCACTTTTAGGCCAGAAGATACGGTTCAAGTGTGTAAAAAAGCTCGTATTGTTTTGTTTGGTGGACGAACAGTTTGTGATATTGGCTTAATGGTTGTGATATTGGTATTAACAAGGAAAGTGCCCGAGTTGTTCCGCTCTGATTGACTTCAAACACTATATAGAAAGATTATGTAAATATAAGATCTTCCTTCAGCTAAGTACCCAAATTGCCCGCTCAGAATCAGCTCAAATCTTTTATAACAATTCTTTGTACTACCAACAGTACCCATAAAAAATTTCAGCTTGCCCTTTTGAGCTTTAAATTTTAAATATTTGATTTCCCGCCAATTTGACAAACTTGGCATTGTGTTTCAAGCACCTTTTTACACTTTCCAGACAAGCTAAGTTTACAAATTTAAAAAAATTAGGTTCATTTAAAGGTTTTCTACTGGTATATCAAAGAAAAATTCATAAAAGTCAAAAAATGACAAAGTTATAAGCTTGAAACACCATGCCAATTTGGCGGGAAGTTCAAAAGTTTATTTTTTGGTCTTGATTTTCCCGAGATTTCCTGGAAAGAGGGATTTAGTAGTTTGCTGAAGATCTTATATTAACATAATCTTCCTGTATAAAAAGTTTGAAGTCAATCAGAGAAGGGCAGGTTGGGCACTTTTCTTGTAATGTTATAGGTAATAAGGTATATATTATATATACTAATAGAGAAAATAGAAAACGTACTAAAATATAATTAAAAAAGATCAAAATCATAAGTTCTATAAGACTAACGTAACAAATTGAATCAAAGTTAAAAGGTATAAGTCATATCATATCAACCACCCAAGGACGAATAAGCTAAAGTCTGGTAAAAGCGCTTAAAAATCTTAAAAACAGACAGACGTTCGCATTCTCCCCTCCACAAATTCTCCAAAACAGTTTTTTCGCATTCGAATACTTTGAAATGTCTTTAAAACAACTTTCGATAAAAGTGCAATTTTTCAGAAAATTTTTCAGAAAAAAAATCGCGAGACGGAAGATAAATTGGGGTGAGGGGGGAGGGGGGAAGAGAAGGGGAGAGAAGAACGGGGGAAAACAACAAGGCGAGAGAGGAGAGAGTGGGTGGAGAAGTGGAGACAAGAAAGCTGATAAGAATGTGAACAGTAGAGGGGGAGAGAGAGACAGAGAAAGAGAGAGTGAGAGAGGGAGAGAGAGAGAGAGGGAGAAGGACAGAGACAAGGGAAGAAAGTGAGAGAGAGACAGAGAATGAGAGAGTGAGAGTGGGAGAGAGAGATAAAAAGAGAGAGAGAAAGACAAAAATAGAGAGAGAGAAAGAGAGCGAGAGACAGAGAAAGAGAGAGAGAGACGATGTTCGAAAGAACGACAGAGTCATCAAGACCCAAAAAACCTTCATAGAGAAAAAAAACATTGATAAGGCACGTCAGTCTAAAAAAATCATCATAAATAGAGAGTTCAGCCCGACCCAAAAGCCCTGATAAAAGCAGTGAAATGAGGGGGGGGCAGAAAGTGGAAAAACAAAACTTTGAAAAACAATTTTTTTCTTCATCCTGACGCTGGAAGAAGAGAAAGAGAGACCGGTTTGACAAGCCGGGCAGCCCCACGCTGATAAGGTCACGCTCAAAACTGACGTCAAGAATAACAAATTTGTTTAAAAAATTGGGGCTCGCTAGCTGGTAGTTTAGTAAAGAAAGTTCTTACCATTATGAGTTTTGTAAACAAAGTCTATCAAAACAAGTCACTTTATGGTTTTGCGGACTGCGGGTGACAAGTTATACGATGAAAAATTGTGAGAAAAAATTTTTTGCTCCCCCCTCCCCTCCACACTAGAAAAAGGTTAGACTATCTAAAACAAAATAATATAGTTAGTAGGCATTTTACGTACTAGGTAATCAATTTTGACATCTTGAAATAGCTTGTATCAAAAAACTTTGACACAATAATATCCGCTGATGTTTTATCTTTCGTCTTCTTCAATATCTCTTCTACACACCACATTTTGTGTCCCCAACAATGTATTCTTCTGACATCTCTATTTACTTCTTTATACTTTGCTCTCGAAATTGTACTTAAGATCCCTCGTATCATAACAACATGTCAAGATGGCTACATTGTAAACGAGCCACTGTTTTTAAAAACAATATTTTACTACGAACCAATGCTTTTTACATTTGGGAAAACGAGCTAATATTTCTTTGACGTTCGTAAACACCCTCTGGTATTTTAAACTTTGGTAAACATCTCTAAAATATTTAAACTTTTGGTAAACATCTCTAAC